AAATTCATCGCTCATTTTGTTGAGCAAATCAGTTCCACATGTTTCATTGTTGAAAAGGTTCTCTTCGTAGTAGTTGTTGAAACGAGCAACATCAACTCTAGATAATCAATCGACTAATCAATTTGCATTGTGTGTCCATCCCTGCACACCAGCTGCTCAAGTAAATTTTTAAGGGAACAAACCTCATATTTCTTTTAGTCTTTTACGTTTTAAACTTTTTAGAATTTTAGGTTTTATTGTTTTTTTAAGACGCATAATCTTTGGGGCTAAAAATTTTAGGCTACATTTATAGTAGTGATTTGAATATATTCAACTTGATAATTTTTCTAGTTAAACCCAATCTTATTATAGAATAACACTCGGCGAATGTCTAAAATCAAAAATTTCATAAGGACTATAGTAACTACGGATTCAGAGGAGGGCTGGGCCGGGGTCTGGGGTGGCCACCCCCTGGATCCGCCAGTGCCAGGATCAGAGGCGGGTTGTTTAACTAGGTTGCTTGTGAAAGATGCCAAATCGTCAACTGCCGAGGTCTTCTACGGGAGGAGATGAAGCTGGCGAGGAGTGTGAGTTTTGTTGGGTTCGGGTGCTGTGACAGATTGAGCTGCCAAGATGGAGGTTGCTGGATTCGGGCGCAGTGGTGGATTGAGCTGCCGCGATGGAGGTAGCGGCGATAAGATCAATTTTACGTTTTGTTATTTTATTTGTTAATAACTGAAATAATGAGGTAAAAATATTAAATATTAAAAAAAATAATTGCCACATCACATATTTAACGGTCAACTCTGAGGGTTGACTGCCACATCATATAAAGTTAACGGAAGCTAACAGAGAGTGACCAAACTTGAACTGTTGAACTAATTTTAGTGATCAGGAATGGAATAAACTAATTCTACTGAAAAACATGAGACTTTTTAGTAATTTCAGTGACCAAACTTGCAATTTATCCTATATTAGGCCTACGATTTTCCACTAGCGGAGGAAGACGTTAGCAGAATTAGCTTCCCTCGACACTCCATTCAATAAAAAAAAATAATAACCAAAATTTGATACCATTTTAAAACAACTAATCACAAATAATTCTCGAATTTTCAAAAAAAAAAAACATATTAGTCTCTCGCCGTACATTGCTGTTAGAATACAGGACAACACAGTGAACCCTTCAATTTCATTGGAAGAAAAATTGACACACTGAGGAGGGGGAGTTTGGTGGGAAATGTAAGTGGGAATCCAATTATATGGATTTTTGGGTTTGAGTAAGAATTATAAATATATTAGTTTAGTAGTGGTAGTAGCTAGATGCTGCTGCCGATGTTTGAATTATCAATTTAATTTGTTTGCTTGCCCCTGCTGCCTCCGTCAATCACTTTGATTTGAGGCTGTTAGGTATACTTTGATTGCGACTCCATCTTAAATCTCTCTATCATGCAAATTGGTGAGACCTAGCAACCTAAGCTCATGCTCATTGTTGTAAATTTTAAATTTGGTAAGCAAACTCTTGGATACTTTATTCCTTCTCTATGTTTTTGTGTGGTGTTATCAAATCACCATAAATGAGCATGAATAATTGTTTGGTTTCTATGTATGTTAATTAAATGAATGAATTGTGTGGTAGGAATTTTACAATGCTATATAGCATTGGTGCTATAGATTTTTATTTTTATGGTACAAATTGAAATTGTATTTTTAATGTTATGGTACAACTTCATATTGTACCTATACTTTTTGTACAGATTCTTTTATGGTACAACTTAAACTTGTACCTTATGTGATGGTACAACTTCAAGTTGCAAAATTGTTCCATAACATAATGATACAAATTCCTTTATGGTACAACCTAAACTTATACATTTAATGTTATGGTACAACTTCAGGTTGTACATTAAAGCACCAATACTATATAGCATAGTAGAAGTGCTCGTGGTGTACCACGATGTTGGTTATGTGCGAGAGATTTTAAACTTTGACTTTATGATATTATACATTCATTTCCTAAATATTCGAAACAACTTTGACATTTATAATATATTCATGATACAATCTAGCTAGTCTCACAAGGTTAAATCTCAACTATTGTGTTATGTGGTGTTGGTATATCTATTTGTCAAACTGGTTTTCTTGCCCTTGAACGGCCACTTCCAACTAATCTAAACAATATTTTTCTGCAATGATTTACAACAACACCATCCACATTTGAACAAGATATAAAATTAATGAATGATTTTTTTTTTTTATGTTTACCGTCTCCTATGATTTAGAGTATGAACTTATTTTCCCCCGAAAAATGAGAATGCCTGAGTCTATATAAAACATCAAAAAACTTGATAATAATGAAATTTTGACGGATCTAGATTAAACAAAATCCTGACTACACCACTCTACGTAGATTAACAAAAAAAAAAAAAAATCATTCCATACTAGATCCAAGATTTAGTCATTAAAGATGACCAATTCCCTCATCTAATATATTCTACCTCCTCGTTCTTGCTTATGTATGCATGTTGGTTGTTAGGGGTGGCTATACGGACCGGTCCGGTTAAATTGGCCCAAATTGATCTGGTCCAGTCCGGTTTTTTTGAAAATATTAGGACCGAAGATTGAATTGGATACAGTCCGGTCTTGATCCGGTCCGGTCCCAATTTGGTCTTGATTTTATATTGAGATTGTGGGAATTTGAGTGTCCTAAGGCCTAAAAGGGTGAGGAGTTGGTTAAGTTTTGCACTAAGTACAAAGGTTTGTGACCGTTTATGCAAATTACCCTTAAGTTTTGGGTGTTGAGCTCTTTTATCCGGTCTTTATCCGATTTTTTACCTCAAATCTAAGCCCAAAGATTGGATTGGATTGTTTACTATCCGGTCCCGGTCCGGTCTCGGTCCGGGTTATACGGTTCGGTTTCCGATTTTTCATCCGGTCCCGGTCCAAATAGCTAGGCCTTTGGTTGTCATCAATCTCGTATATATGCATGCCAGTTTGACTGCTTTGCCTCGGTGTCAAAGAATTTGTTTAGAAATATTCCTTCCTTCGTTATTACCGGAGTTTTGAATTCCGCAGGGTGAAGTCATTTTGGTCAACTAACTTCCTATCTGTTTGTATATTTTGGAATCAAATCCCCACGCCCTGTTGCATGGCAAGAAAAATTAATCCACAAAATTAGATGACAGAATCACACATAAATTAAATACCACATTCTAAGCGTATAGGTTTTCAAAATAATCTCCTACCCAATTTTATCACATGTCTCTAGATGAATTATAATTTATGCTCAATAATTTTAATTTTTTTTAATGCGATTTGATGAAATAACGCGTGTTCCTTTTTCAATTCACCCAAATACAAGTGTGTAATTATTGCAAATATTATTATTCTCTTAAAGAAACGAGAGATTTGTGTGCGAATGAGTCCCAAGAAATCAGTGAGTTTGATAAAATTTCTCATTCAAATGACCCTTCTGTGTAGATTCAAGGTTTTTTTTTTTTTTTTTTTGAAAGAGCAATGACATTTTTATTAATATTTTGAGCAGAATCAACGATTATTATATTATTGCTTTCTTGAGAACGGAATCATGGATGATTGTGTAAGGAGGTAACTGGAATTGAAAGGAAATTAATGTAAGCTTGTGGAGCTGGAACTCTTGCCGGTAAGAAGAAGAAAAGTTTGAATTTGGCACGACCAGCGTACGTAAAATCTATATTAGGTGTCGACATATCCCATTTTGTTCACAAACTAACTTTGCTATTTCCATTGTTGATTCCTATTCTAGTCAGTCAATAACACATGTTGTTTGGCCTCTTTTACTGTCGACAAACAACGTACACAAAAGGCCTGTTCGATCGCCGCCACATCGACCGATCAGTCAGCCGGCCGGCCGGCCATATGTTCAACTGATCTAGCTCTCTTCCGGCCAGGCCACCATGTCATGTCCTTTACCCAAACAGTCAGTCAAACTTTCCGGCGGCGGGCAATACCCTCGTGATTCTTTTATCAAATCTTACTAGCTAGCCAGCAGAAATTAATACACACACAAACCAAGCCCACCACCACCACACGTTGATTAATTTACCCTAATTCATTAATTCCCTCGGATCTTTCATTATCTCTCTTTCTAATAAGTGTATATATTCCGACGTTGACCCATTCATCAAAGGATTCATATTCAATAATATTATTATTATTTCTAGTTTTCTACAAAAATTATTATTATTATTATTGACCTCCCCATTCAACACCGATTTGGGAGTTGACCCAACCAAAACTTCCGAAATGGAAATTGCCTCATTTGTAGCTACAATTGCGGACAAAAGACCACAAATTTGTCAATCTGCACCTGCTAGCGGGTCATCTGTACAAACATATTATTATTATTATTATTATTATTATTATTATTATTATTATTATTATTATTATTATTATATGATAGCTTTGGACCTACACTAGATAATTTGAAGTTTACTTACTGGGTTTGGGTGTAAGTACGTAGTATTAGTTATAAATCAATTGGTCTCATTTGTATTCGACGTCACATCACGTGTTCAAATTTATACGACTTTCAATATTAATTATTGTCTTTAAATTAACTAATTAATTGGTATGACGGATTCTGAGTAAACTTCAACTTCATGAGTTGATTTCTTCATAAGAAATGTGTAATAAAGTAGTTAAGAACATAAATTGATCTCTTCCAACAACTCAAATTATTGGGATCATATAGTTTATAAACTGACATGGTGTTGCATCGCGCGCGCGTCTCATGGAATCCATATATAATTGGTCGTAATTTGATGCATGCATAAATGGATAGACAACAAAATGATAGTAAAAAAAGCTTGTTGGATGAATTTTGCCATTAATAGATAATAAGCTAGAAGCAGATAAAGCAAAATCCCTTGCTTCAAATACATATAGATAACAGCGACTTAATTATAAACCTATACTATAGTATTTACATCTCAATAATTAATGGTAGTAAGCCCTAGCTTGAATCCAATCCGCAGTCTAATTAATCAAGGCTCCTGTTTGAGGAACATGGAAGGGACGACGTCTTGCAACAGCCCATAGTCACCGGAGAACTGCAACTGCTGCTGATTATTATTATTATTATTATTATGGTGCTGAAACAAAAACTCTTGCTGCCCGAAACTCTGCGCCGGGTACACTAGCGAACCCACACCGGATCCCGCCCCAGCCGCCACGTGGCCGGACGGCGACGACGACGAGGGTGAGGAGGACAGTTGGAGCAGGAACTCGGCCGGGAAGCCGGTGGGCCTATTGGCGGAAGGCGCGAGCATGGAGTACTGCGAGAACATCGCGGCGGCGGCGGCGTTGCCGCGGAGGGTGGAAGGGAGGGGATGGTTGTGCTGCCCCTCGTAGGTGGTGATGACGACGGACGGGTCCTCGAACGATCTCTCCACTCTCTTCTTCACCCCGCACCTCTGCGTCGTGCACCTGTAGTAGCTCCTGCGGTCATTCCAAATGACGGTAAACTACCATATTATTGGAGGATGATGACAATTGCTGGTCCGAAAATTAAGCAATAGTGGAATCAGAAAGCCAAACATTTTAACGAGCAGTCTCAAAATCTACGTTGAGCGAAATCAGGAATCTAAACAACTGGATATATATAAGGGGACTAAACGACTTACCAACGACTAGATTTCCAAAAAATTTGTTACCAAAATTAAGAATTTAAATGTAATTTTGCATAGTTTTTGAGAATTGAACGCGAGTATAGCCTCCCCCTGACATCAGCGCGTGGCTTTGTCCGGAAAGACACTACAAAGATCTGTGCAGTAGCTGGTATGCGATCATCGCTATGTTAATGGAGTCTCTTAAACCGAAACACGCTCAACTACTGGATTGTACGTATTATCGTTGAACTAGGCGCAAATTTATGAATAAACAAAGTGAATGAATGGGTATAGTTGTTTAATTTTGGCTAGGTCAATACTTAAAAAAAAAAAAAAGATGTTGCTTACATAGATAGAATGCTAGCTAGCTCTACATTATTGCGGCCACTGAAACCGCAGTCACTTATATATATAGTATGCAGTCAATTAGTTGATTGGAGGAATTAGGGGCAGTTTGGCAAATGGTGAATTTGGCCGACCTTTTTAGGTAATCATAGTCAAGGTTTGAGAATGATGATGGTTTGGGTTCACATTTGCCTTTGTTGTTGTTGTGTAGATATCGTGTAGAGCAAGAGATCATATTAAAGGTTTAATTACTATATGATAATAGTATAGATATGAAAACAAATAAATAAAATAATAAATTACCGGGGATAAGGACTGTTCTTGACAGCTTTCTGGCCGTACTTCCTCCAGCGGTAGCCATCTTCAAGATGATCGACCTCGCTCTTGGTCATGAACGCAAAACGCGGCTCCCTCTGCCGTTTCTCCCCTTTCGCCTGCGCCTTCTTCCCCTTGCAGCTGCCCTTCCTTCACAACAGAAAAATGGTGCATTAATTAGTAATGGAAAAAGTTAATTAAAAAGGCCATGCAGATGAGATAGATGCAGTTCTCGATCTGTAACCGAAAAAGAAGCCACCATCATTAATTGAAGCTAGCTCCGTCTTACTTACTCTTTCTTATTGTCAGGACAGTTACTACTATCGTCCTCCAGTTCCCCATCCTCCACCGCCGGCTGGTGATCTGTAGTCTTCCCTCCAAGAGCCGTCTTGCTGAAGCTGCCGGAGTCGAGCTCCTCCCCGCCGGCCTCGCTCGAGGAGAACGACACCGATGAGTTGGGGGTCGAGAGAGGAGCGTTGTTACTGTTGTTGTTGTTGTTGCTGCTGCTGTGATCGGTGGGCGGCGGGGGAGGTGGCGGGCTGGCGTCGAGGCCGAAGGCTTTGGCGAGGGAGGTGTAGTGATCGGAGGATCCATGCAGGTAGTCGGTGAAGTTGTTCATGTTGTAGTATGGAGTTGGGTCGGCGAGGAAGCCGCCGGCTGGAGATGGGTAGTTGGGGAAAGAGGGAGCGGCAGCGTCGTCGCCGGCGCCGTGGTAGCGGTGGTGGTGGTGGAAGTAGAGGTGATTCTCTTCAGACATTATGTTTAGCCAGAGAGAGAGAGAGAGAGATGTGGTAGTAGGAGTGGTGTTGAGTAATGGAGTGTGATTAAGGAAGGGAGAGATAAGAGAGTGAGTTATTTATAAACTGGGGAAATGGGGAAGCTTTTGGAGATGAAAAAGTAAGGAGGATGATGAATGGAGAAGAAAAGGGGAAGTTGGGGTTTGAATGGGACTTTTTGGTGAGATTGCCACTTTTTTTTTGGTTTGTAATTATGCTTTAAGAAAAGGGAGGAAAGGGGGTTGGAAGGGGTTTGACAAATCAAAGCTAGAGAGAGACAGGTGAAGAAGAAGAAGGGGAGAATAATTGGCTCCCTTGTTTGCAAACATTTTCCCCCCAACTTATACACACCTTTTGCCCTTTATTATTTGCATATCTAGCTCATGTTCTCGATCCATAATCACTTCTCTGGTTTGATTTGGTCACCTCCATCAACTCTTTTTATATTGTTAATTAGTAGTGTGTTTGTTGGAAAAAAAATCATAAATTTTAAAACATCTCTAATCATTCTAGTAGTTTTTAAATTGTTAACAATTTGACTGGTTGAGACCAGTTTGAGTGTTTTTTATATGGTATTGGATTATTTGATCGAGATATTTTGTATTTGAATGTTAATAATTTTTGTTATAATTGTTGTTTTTATCATAAATAGTGGACATAGAAGGCACATACAAATTTACTTGGAACGTTTTTATTCCAATAATTAAAACGCTTTCATTTAGACAAATATGTAATTAATATAATATGACCGTGGTATTTCATTGGGCTAAGCTTTCTTTCATCTCATCAGATGTGCAAGGTGGAGGTATAAGGGGTAAATCCTATCCTACAGTCAGTCAGTCATGCACGATCACAAACGAAAATCCCATTCAGCCAACAAAAAACTTCATTTGGAAATGTTAGGAGTTAATCAATGCTTGATGTATTTTCATGAATTATTTGGTAGAAAAAGAATTGAATGAATCATTTGGTTTAAACAAAACCTCCAAATGATTCGATAATGTTTCTTTCTCAATCATTTACAAATAACTCGTATTTTCTAATACTTTTTGTTGGGTAAGCATAAGTGAGCCATTGAGAGACATGGGCCCGGGGGGTGTCTAGGCCCAAGTCCACTTGAGAGCTTGAAGAATGGGATGTAAGTCAGGAGTTAGGCCCATACAAGGAGGAGCGGGCGCATAACGACAAAAGTAGGGCGGGGACCGTGCATCTTTGGGATCAGGAGGCTTGGGGCGTGCCACCTGGTAGTGTGGTCCCGGTCAGGCGCCTAGGCATAGGAGTCCAGAAGCTGCCACGTGTAGGCGCCCGATCGTTGGGTCGTACCAAGCATTTAATGACGCGCTGACGTGGAGCTGAATTCTAGGAACCTGGTCGGGACCTCGACGAGTATAGATAGTACTCGGTAGGTGGCATTTACGCAGGTTGCCTTCTCTCACTAAAACCTCTCTTAGCACTTATCTCTCTAGAATCGGCACTGACTTGAGCGTTGGAGTGCTAACGGGCATCCGCAAGCCCTCTAGGCGCTTGTTTGTGCAGGGTTCAGGCGCCCCAACTGTGGTTGTTGGTCATAGATCGCGAAGAGGCGAGTTTGGGGGTTTGTGGCTCAAACAATTGGCGCGCCAGGAAGGGGGTCGAACGAGTAAGCACATGGAGAACATGAATGAAGGAAATGAAAGGGAGGATAATCCGAGGTCGGAGAGCTCGAATCACGAGGAGGGCGAGCGCCAGCTGAGTCAGGAGTTGAGCATGGATGTGGAAGGAGAGGGCAGTCTTGGGCGCCCGTCGGCGGATGAAGGAGAATCCTTGACAAAGAGGGAGTTGTTTCGAATCATAGCTAACCAAGATCGGGCCATAGCAGCGCTCAGAAGGGAGTTGGAAGGGGAACGAAGCGAAGACATGATGATGTATAGCCCACGAGTGAGTAGGGATGGCAATTTGAACCCGCCCCGCCGGGTTTTACCCGACCTGACTCGCGATGGAGCGGGTATTACCCGACCCGCAGTAGCGTGGGGCGGGGCATGGGTACCAAATTTCGACCCGTCCTGCCCCGCCCCACCCTGTTCTTGGCCCATTCTAAGTCAATTTCTTATGCAATCCTTTCATATATCTCCTAATTTGATTTTTCTAGGTCAAGATTAACTAGTTAGACTCGATCTTTCAACTAAATAGACTCAATTACCCATAATATTATCACTATTATCCATTCATGAAGTCTTTTCCCATTCGTTTTATCGTAAAAATTAAATTTTTGCTTGTATTTTTTCCAAATAGCATATAAGGATGGGTCGACTCGCCCCGCCTCGTACCGTAATAGCATGGGGCGGGGCATGGGTATTGACTCACTCCTACTGTCACCCTAGAAAATGGCCAAGTGTAACCACTTCCTATAGCGTAGTATAGCGGGTTTGGGTTTGATTGTCAACCCGGGTCCTAGATGTGATGACTACTCAGTGAATTCTTATTATCTAGCAGTGAAACTTTAGTACAGGTTCAATTAAGCAAACAATCAAAGCAATTAAACGGTTGTTTCAAGTCGAGAGAGGTCACCCGGATATGGTTCCCCCTAGACTGCAGTCAAGCCATATTGCAATTTACCAAGTTCAGTTTTAATGATAGTTATGCGGGAGGTTCTTAAGCAGTCTGAAGTCTCGACTAAAGGTCTCCAGACCCTCTCAATCTGAGTCCCCAGCGGGCGACTAACCTCCACCGGAGTAAACAGATTGAGGCCCTAACGAACCAAACCTCCACTACCGAAGTAATTCGGTACAGAATAGTGAATTGGCTCCTCGACAAAAGTCGCCAATTCACTACCTTCAATTAAGGGTGCTTTATCAACCTAGGCAGATATTCTTTTTCTAGGCTAAAGCAGAAATAACAGAAATTTGATCAGGATTCAAGTCATTCAATCATTCAAGCCTCAATTGAATATAATCAAATCATAGAATCTGTACTTGGGTTCATATAATCATACCTAACACACAAATCTAGGGTTCTCCATACCCAGATGGATGGAAAAACTACTCCATGGAGAGAGAAGCAAAAGCAGGTTCAGATGCAGAAATCATGCTGTGAAGGATGAGAATCTGCTCCTGGTCGTCAATCGGCACTTCTCCAAGTGTAAGCCGAGCTCCAATGGTGATGAAGATCAAGCTAGGGCACTTGGGAACTCTGGTTCGTTGCTCTCTCTCTCTAGGAATCACTTTCTTTCTCTAAAACTCAGAACTCCCTTCTCCTCTGCTGAAAATTGACTTAAAACCAGAAAATCCCGACTCACACGGCCAGGCCACACGGTCGTGTGACATCCCTAGTTGCCCGTGTGAGTTGTGCAAACCGCAGCGTTTTGATAAGTGGCTTCAGCTTCCTACACGGCCACGACCCACACGACCGTGTGGCTTCCCAGGGTGCCCGTGTGAGTTCCCTGGAATTTCCACCCGGCCATCAGGGGTCCCCTACACGGCTGTGTGGCTTTTAGGCATGCCCGTGTGACTTCTCAGCTTCTCGCCAAACGTCCAAACTTCGTCCAATCGACCCCGAACTTGTTCCTAAACCTTCATTCACGTACTAGGACCTGAAATATCACAAACAAGAACAACCTAGCGTGAAATCGTCCTAAAACGCGAGAATCGAAATCTCAAACGGCTCAAGGATAGGGGTAAAAACATGTGTAATCAATGGCCTATCAAACTCCCCCACACTTAACCTTTTGTTTGTCCCCAAGCAAACCTAACTCAAACCAATGCAACTCTCCAGACCTCTATAGCAACAGACAACCCCGATCGTCGGTAGAGGATTTTCTAGATCATAAAGCAGCTTACGAGGTCAACTGGTCTTCTAAGATGTTCCCTATCTCTCTCAATGCGAGTACTAGACTCAAGCCAGGATCATGAGAAGAAGTAGAAGTAAGACAGTTAGTTCATGGATAAAGGGACTCATATCATTCACAACCAAGGACTCGTTGTACCGGGATGCTCTTTCACTTCATTTCACCGTTGGAACCACTTTTTCACTTTCACTTTATTTCTTTTTTTTTTATTTCATTCACTTAGCGGGGGTTCCAACTGTAGTCTTTTGCACAGTCGACCCTTATTAGTCGAGCAAGAGCAATTTCTGTACATCTGGCCCTCGCCAGAGTACTTTTTTTAACTCCTTTTCCTCAACTCGTGTGGAGGGTCAATGAAATTAAGGAGGGGGTCGGAAGCTCTATCTGTGCCCTTAAAAGCACATCCTCAAGTAGGCCAACCGTTCAACGGGTGGAAGTTTTACTTGTGCTAGAGACAACTTAGCTTCACCTTGTAGGAGTACCCCACTAAGGATCACTAAAATCTCTTCCAAAACCCGATTTGGTGCAATGAACGGTGCCGCACACGTTGGGCTTACCCCATGTTTAAGATTTTGATGATTTTGACATGGAGGACCAACTGCATTTTTCATTTTCCACATGAGCACCATGTTCGATACACAAGTCCATAACACAATCCACATAGAATCACCAATACCACATGAATTCAACGGTCCTAGCTCCACTAATTCACAAAATCAACTGGCACAGCAGAGAGCTAGATAGGAAAAATCTTATACTTCAACATCCTCCATAGTGCTACATTACCTCCCTAGGTTGCATGTTACTATAGAGACTATCAATTCAAAGCATACTGAGCAGGCAATTTGCAAGGAAACACGTACTTGGAGCCCTCAAATTTAAAAATTTGGACAGTGGACTAGGCTCCAAGCACATAATCAGATCTAATGCAGTCAAAAGAGAAACATCTCCCCCACACTTAAGATCGACATTGCCCTCAATGGAGAAGAGGGAAAGATAAGGGGAACGATGTTACCGATGTACACGGACTGCAGGAGACTGGAAGTGGACCAGTCAGCGGGAAACATATGGTACGACGGACGGTTCTGCACGAAGGGAACATGAAGAACAGACTAGCACATTGTGCGTTAGGGATCAAAGTCAGCCCAGATGGCCACAAAATAGACAATCCACAAAGAAAAGAAACAAAACACACGACAGACTAAGTTCAAGCTCCGCACACACATGGAGCAAACACAAAAATTCAAAAATAAAAGAAGAAAAAAACTCTCAGAGGTGCGGCGAGTATAGCCTACTCGTTGTCGAGGTCGATGTCGTTCATGAAGGCATCATCGTCATCAGCTGGTGGAGGTGGAAGTGGAGAGTCCTCCCAAGTAGTCCTCCAGACTGGCTGCTCGCCCGGGAGCAGCTGGAGTAGGTACTGCTGGACCTCCTACATACGCCGAGATCGGGCTTGCTCCCTCTCGATGCGAGCCAGGGTCACCCCCTGCTGGCTACATCCGATCAAGACGCTCATCATAAGCAGCCATCCGGGTCCGGTACTCGACATGGTGAGCCGAATACTGCTGCTGGAACTGGAGCTGATGGTCGAAGAGCTACTGATTCTGGAGACGCAGCTGCTCGAATTGGTGAGTGAAGTAGTCCTGGCCAGGGAAAGTGGAACGGCTACCCCCGTACTCGAAGGTGGTGGGGCGGGGGCAGTAGCGTCATCGACATCCTCGGGGTGGACATCCTCATCAGCCGCATCCTCGGGAACCTCCGGTGGTCCTCCGCTGGGATCTGAGGTTGAGGAAACCCCTCGATCCACTTGACTCCTCGCTCTTCTCAAAGCAGGTGCATGCGATGGATCATATCTTCGTCAAAGACACTGGTATCCCCCTGCAGTGATATCTGGAAGTAGGTGGCCAGGCGGGTGATTAGGGGAGTGCAGTGGAGGCTCTTCAGCTCTCAAGCACTCTTGTCGAAGGTTCTTGCCACCACAGAACCCAAGTGGAGAAGATGATCCCCCTGGCGGATGGACTGGATGAAGTACATGGCTCTCCTGGTGATGGCGTTGGCACTGTCCGCAGCTGGAGTGTAAGACTTTGCCAGCAAGTGGTGGAGAATGCGGTTGTCGAGCTGCAGGATGCTGGCCTTCGTCTGCCCCGCCACGAAGGGACGATGGCCTGGCTGAGCGAGGCGGGTGTACAGTGTCTTGAAGTTCACCCCCACCAAATCGCTGAGCTCGATGACGTAGTCCCTACCATCGGCCAGGCCGAGGGCGGTCGCCAAGTCGTGGTAGCTCATGGAGCGGGGTGCACCGCCGAGCCTGAACTTGACGGCTTCACCGTCTGCCCAATCCTCCGTCTCTTCGTGCTTGAAGGTCGTATAGAACTCAAGCACGAGCTCGTGGTAAACCTTCTCGCGAATGCATAGTAGACGGCGCCAGGGGTGGTTGGTGACAATGGCGGAGAAGTGCTCGTAGCAGTGCAGCTTCTCAAACTCCCGCCTGGACCAGCAATGATGTTGCCCAAACGAGCAGGTCAGGACGCGCTTAAAACGATCCTGGTGGTGGCCTCTCTTCAAATCCCGAATAAACGGGTGCTTGAGGTCGGGTTTCGTCATGGTCCTGCAAAAGAACAACCCAAAGTGCAATCAAAAGAGCCAAGGAAAAGGTTAATCACACCCCCACACTTGAGAACAAAAATCAGCCGAACCATGGATTCATCCATAGTTCGGGAGTCAAAAACTCGATCAAACAAGCAGAACCTGGGTGGGGGTGTATATCCACGATAAAGTAGGCAACTTAAGGTTCACATTCATAGCAAATAAACCCTCAAAGCACATCATTAACGGGCCCCAACTGGCGCCCACAACATGGCATGAAAAACAGGCATTTCATCGAACACCTTGTGTGCACTATTGAGTTAAGCATAGAAGTGACAAATTTCTTGCACACAAGGGCTCAAACAAGCGTGGGGGACATTGCCAAATACAATTCACACAAAAACCAAGCCATCCCCTCAATCAATTGCACACAATTCACATGATTCAAAGTTGTTCTCTAAACATACACCCTAACACCCAATTCTCCATAAATGACAAGGTTAAGGTCAAAATCAAACTTGGAGACACAAGTAGAGGTGTAGGGGATGATGAGGGGAAGTCAATGGAAGCGAGGAAGAGGCCAAAATATTCCCGGAAGTGCTCGTCGGAGCCTCGCCGGAGTCTCGCCGGAAATCGCCTCCGGCGACTCAAAATCGATCCAAATCGTCTCAAAGTCGAGGGATAGGCCGAAATGGGGAGAAAAGGATGGGCGTGGAGGTGGTTTGGTGCAAAACAGAGCAAAAATGGCCGAAAATCGCCAAAGAGGGCGAAAGGTCGCGGTTTTGCAGCGAGGGGGAGAGGATTTCGGCGAGGGTGTTTGAATTTTCTGACCACGCGGCCATTTCGGCCGATTTTTAAAAGTTGGGCTCAGCCACACGGGCAAACTCACACGACCGTGTGAGGTGCACAAGTGCCCGTGTGGACCGACACGGTCAGGCCGAGGATTTCCACACGGCCGTGTGAAAAGCAAAACTGGCCGTGTGGAAATTGTCGAGGCTTCACACGGGCAGGGGGCCAATCCACAAGGCCGTGTGAGGGACCCCTCCTGCCCGTGTGGAATTCCAAGGTACTCGCACGACCAAAACCCAATTCCACACAGCCGTGTGAGTTTTAGGACTGGCCGTGTGGGCTGCCAAAACCCCGAATTTGACCTGTTTTCACTCAAAAACAACATACGACTCGTGAACAACACCTCAAGACTCAAAAACACAAAAAATCAAAAGGAAAAAGGTCAGAAAATGCAAACCGAGATGGGGTTGCCTCCCCACAAGCGCTTTTTACCGTTTTTTAGCTGGACGCCCATGGCGGAGCTAAGGGTCCGCGAGTTCCACTGCCAACTCTGCACGTTCGACCTCACCGCCCAAGTAGAGCTTGAGACGATGGCCATTCACTTTAAATGGTTCAGTGTGCAGGTTGGCAATTTCAATCGTGCCATAAGGGAACACCTGTGTGACCCTGTACGGTCCAGACCACCGGGAACGGAGTTTTCCGGGAAAGAGCTTTAGGCGAGAGTTATAAAGGAGAACTCGATCACCAACCTGGAACTCTTTCGGACCCCGCAACCGTGCATCGTGCAGGCGCTTAGAGCGCTCCTTGTACAGCTTGGTGTTCTCATAGGCGTGGTAACGCCACTCCTCCAGCTCCAGCATCTGCATTTTGCGCTCAACACCTGCAACACTAACATCCAAGTTGAGCAGCTTAAGGGCCCAGAAGGCCTTGTGCTCTAGCTCCACGGGCAAATGACATGCCTTTCCATAGACCATCCGGTACGGTGAAGTACCAATGGGTGTCTTGTAGGCAGTGCGGTACGCCCAGAGAGCATCATCGAGCTTGGTGGACCAATCCTTGCGGGACTGATCCACCGTCTTTTCCAGGATATGCTTGAGCTCCCGGTTCGTCAGCTCGCCCTAGCCACTGGTTTGAGGGTGATAGGCCACAGACACCTTGTGAGTCACATCATAGCGAGACAGTAACTTATCAAATTGGCCCTGGAAATGGGTGCCTCGATCGCTTATGATGCCTCTAGGTGTCCCGAACCGGGAGAATAGCTGCTTCAGAAAACCACAAACACGTTTAGCATCGTTAGTGGGCAAAGCTTGCGCCTCAGCCCACCTAGAGACGTATTCAACAGCAACTAGGATATAGGTATTGCCAAAAGATGGAGGGAAGGGGCCCATGAAGTCGATACCCCAGACATCAAAACTTTCACAGATTATAAACACATTCTGGGGCATCTCATCACGGGCAGAGATGTTACCTGAACTCTGGCATCGGTCGCACCGACGTGCGAAGGCGTCTGCGTCCTTGAAGAGCGTGGGCCGGTAAAAGCCCGATTGTAGCACCTTCCTCGCTGTGAGGTTTCCTCCTTGGTGACCGCCAGTAGGTCCTTCATGACAGTGAGATAGAATGCCCTCCATCTCACTCTCCATAACACAGCGACGATGATCCTGTCGGCTCCGATCCTGAAGAGATGAGGATCATCCCAGAAGTAATGCTTCAGGTCGGAGAAGAATTTCCTCTTGGTGTGAGTTGTCATCCCCTTGGGCAGCTGCTGGCCCACCAGATAATTCGCAAAATCAGAATACCAGGGGGTGACACTCTCCACCAGGCACATCATCATCAATCTCTCATCTGGGAAGGAGTCGTTGATCTCCTCCTCGAGGTTGTCCGCAGGGGGTGCGTCCAACCGGGAGAGGTGATTGGCTGCAACATTCTCCGCTCCCTTCTTGTCCCGAATCTCAATGTCAAACTCCTGCAATAATAAGATCCATCATATGAGCCTATGCTTGGCATCGGCCTTGCTCATCAGGTATCGAATCGCGGAGTGATTTGTGTACACGGTCACATGGGACAAGACCAGATAGGGAAGAAATTTGTCGAAGGCAAACACCACTGCGAGCAGCTCCTTCTCCGTAGTGGTGTAGTTCTCCTAGGCATCATTTAGGGTCTTCGAGGCATAGTAGATAGGTCAAAAGTGTTGATCTCGCCTCTGCCCCAAAACAGCTCCAACAGCAAAGTCACTGGCATCGCACATCAGTTCAAATGGAAGAGACCACTCAGGAACAACCATGATAGGAGCTTGGGTGAGCTTCTCCTTCAAGGTCGAGAATGCCGCTGTGCATGCATAAGTGAACTGGAAGGGGGCATCCTTCTCAAGAAGCTTAGTCAGGGGCAGAGAGATCTTCGAGAAATCATTGATGAACCGCCTGTAGAACCCTGCATGGCCTAAAAAGCTTCGGATCCCCTTAACAGATGTAGGAGGAGGCAACTTGCTGATAGTCTCAATCTTTGCTCTGTCCACCTCAATCCCCATCTTGGAGATCTTGTGCCCAAGAACTATGCCTTCTCGAACTATGAAGTGACACTTCTCCCAACTCAGTGCCAGGTTCGTTTCTTCACATCGTTTAAGGACGAATTTCAGGTTATGGAGACAGTGAGAGAATGAGTCTCCATAAACCGAGAAATCGCCCATAAACACCTCAATAATCTCGCCGACCAGACAGTCAAAGATGGCGAGCATGCATCGCTGAAAGGTGGCTGGGGCATTGCACAGCCCGAATGGGATCCTCCGGTAGGCAAATGTGCCGAAGGGGCAGGTGAAAGTGGTCTTCGCATGGTCCTCCGGTGCAATGGGAATCTGGAAGTACCCGGACATCCCATCCAGGAAACAGTAGAACTCGTGCCCTGCCAGTCTCTCCAGCATCTGGTCAATGAATGGCAGCGAGAAGTGGTCCTTCTGAGTGGAGTCGTTGAGACACCTATAATCAATGCAGACACGGTACCTAGTCACCGTGCGCATCGGGATGGGCTCATTCTTCTCGTTAGGCACCACGGTCATCCCACCCTTTTTGGGTACCACCTGGGTGGGACAAGACATGCCTGGGGTGTCTCCTTAAGTAGCGGCGCATAGGCTCGCCATAGAGGAAGGAAAAAGGCCTGTCCAACAAAAGCGTCGAAATATGTCCCAAGAAAAGGATGAGGTGGTTCGCCGTGAAGTCGACGGATTACTTAAGGCAGGATTCATGGAAGAAGCAAGGTACATCACGTGGCTTTCAAATGTGGTGTTTGTCCCAAAGCCGTCGGGAGACTGGAGAATGTTTGTGGACTTCACCAACCTCAACCGGGCGTGTCCCACGGAAGCATACCCCATGCCACGCATCTATTTGCTTGTGGACGCGACAGCCTACCATGAGGCGCTTAGTTTCCTTGACATGTTCTCAGGCTACCATCAGATCCCTATGGTGGAGGAAGATAGGGTGAAGACGACCTTCATGACACCCTTTGGTAACTTCTGCTACGAAGTGATGGCGTTTGGGTTAAAGAAAGCGGGAGCCACGTACCAGCGCATGGTAAATCAGGTTTTCCGCAAGCAACTTGGGAGGAATGTGGAAGCATATGTGGATGACTTGATCGTGAAGAGCAGGAGGCTCCAGGACCACATCATGGACTTATGAGAAACTTTCGAGACGATGCGACACTTCAGGTTGAGGCTTAACCCTAAGAAGTGTGTATTCTTGGCTGAGGCAGGGAAATTCTTGGGGTTCATGATAACGAAGCGGGGAATCGAAGCCAACCCCAAACAATAGTAGCCGATTATGAGCTCCCCCCCCCCCCCCCCGTCGGACACCAAAGGAGGTACAAGAATTGACGGGAAGATTAGCGGCGCTTGGGCGCTTCATCCCGAGAGCTTCTGACTAGGGCGCCCCCTTATTCAAGGTCCTAAGAAAGCCACCAAGTTCAAGTGGACCAAGGAGTGTGAAGAAGCCTTCGAAAATTTGGAGAGGTTGCTCATGGCGCCTACAGTGATAGCGGCGCCCAAGGCAAAGGAGGTGTTATACTTGTACATAGCTGTGTCTCACATCGTCGTGAGTGCGGTTCTCATATCCAAAGACCTGCTCACAAGCGAAGAGAGGCCATTATATTATGTCAGCCGCACCATGGTGGGTCACGAGACACGATACGCGCCCATAGAAAAGGCAGCGCTAACAGTGGTGATGGCAGCAAACAAACTCTGACCCTATTTTCAGGCTCATAGCGTTGTGGTGCTCACGAACCTTCCCCTCAAGACTGTTTTGGGATCTATGATGTATCTGGGCGCCTGGTGAAATGGGCCATACAACTCAGTGAGTTTGACATAAGCTATGCGCCCCATCCTACCATCAAGGCGCAGGTATTGGCTGATTTCATGGCAGAAGGTGTAGTGGACGGGGGAACTGGAGTTGAAGAATGTTGGCAAGTGCATGTGGACGGAGCAGCAAGCCGAGCAGGTGCGGGGGCAGGAGTGGTCCTTGGCAGCAATGAAGAGTCAGGTTGCACGGTACTACAACAAAAAAATGCGTGCACACAACGTTGCGGTGGGAAGCCTTGTGTTAAAACGGGATTTCCGCCCCAAGGCCACAAAAGGGAAGTTGGCCCCAAAGTGGAAAGGACCATATCGCATTCAGGAAGTCATTGGCCCAAATACGTTCAAGCTAGAACACCTGTCGGGCAAGAAGGTGAAGATGACATGGAATGCCCAAAACTTGCGACGGTACGAAGTAGGGGAGGCGGGTAGGTCAGATTATGGTGGGGAGGTCGAAACTGGCACCTCATCAGGCGCCTGCTTGTGAGTAGAAGCAAATGGCAAGTTGTTTCTGTGAAGGGCTTATTTTGGTTAGTAGGTTTTTTGTTGAGTTTTCAAAAGCGCCCTTCTGCGCCGTAGACTTAAAGCGCCCTTTATGCGCCCGTAATTTTGTAAAGCGCCCCACTTGCGCCCGCTCCATGTAAAACGCCCTAATTTTGTGCCCATATTTTTCAGAATCGGATTAATTATTATCTACGAAATTTGGTATTGAGAAAGTGAGAACCTAGAGCCCACCCCATTGCGCCCAGTATAGTGCCCACCCCTTGCACCCTTGCATTTGAGGGGCACCATAGGCAAGAGAGGCGCCTTCCGCCCCAAGGCCGCAGAAGGGAAGTTGGCCCCAAAGTGGAAAGGACCATATCGCATTCAGGAAGTCATTGGCCCAAATATGTTCAAGCTAGAATACCTGTCGGGCAAGAAGGTGAGGAGGACATGGAATGCCCAAAACTTGCGACGGTACGAAGTAGGGGAGGCGGGTAGGTCAGATTATGGTGGGGAGGTCGAAACTGGCACCTCATCAGGCGCCTGCTTGTGAATAGAAGCAAATGGCAAGTTGTTTTGGTGAAGGGCTTATTTTGGTTAGTAGGTTTTTTGTTGAGTTTTCAAAAGCGTCCTTCTGCGCTGTAGACTTAAAGCGCCCTTTATGCGCCCCACTTGCGCTCGCTCCATGTAAAGCGCCCTAATTTTGTGCCCACATTTTTCAGAATCGGATTAATTATTACCTATGAAATTTGGTATTGAGAAAGTGAGAACCTAGAGCCCACCCCATTGCGGCCAGTATAGTGCCCACCCCTTGCGCCTAGTATAGCGCCCACCCCTTGCGCCCTTGCATTTGAGGGGCACCACAGGCAATAGAGGAGCCTCCCCCCCCCCCCCTCCCTACGCCAAACAAGGCGCCTAAAAGGTATCAAACCAAGCAAGGGAAGGAGAATAACAAACATGTCTTAGTCAAAACATAGTGCGTGGGGAATTGTTTATCATGCGCCTCAATGACAAGGAATGATTCATAAACTAACAGACTATGTTCATCAGGCGCCTCAATAATACATAGTCCAAAAGCCCGACAAAGTGGGGGAACTTATTAGGCGCCTAAATCCACTACATTGTACAAATACCAAACACAAGACAAAGTTATGGAAATATACATGTCTTGGGTATTACTCCGCTGCCTCACTCTCGGAGTCGGACGAAGAGCCATCATTGCCCTCGTCACCAGCAGGCGCCTCGTCAACCACAGGGCGCCCACTCTCCATGTAGGATATGACGAATCCCACCATGGACTGGATGTCCCAATCGATGTCGGGATGATTGGAGGCAAGCTTCTTTTGCAGGATCAGAATGCAGTTCAGAGCGGCGTCAGCCTTGAGCGCCTGACCAGCACTAGACTTCGCAAAATCCGTCGATTGGGCCTCGAGCGCCTCCTTTTCACTCTCGAGCACCTGCTTCTCCTCCCGAAGCGCCTGGATCTCAGCCAAGTGCTTTTTATTCTCTCTGCCCAGGTTCTTATTGTCCTTCTTCAGGGCGCCCTTCTCCTGCTTAAGGAGATCGATCTCACTCCTGTAGTCGCCTGCTTCCTTCTCCAGGTTCATATTCTCCTTCTCTAGCCTGACCTTTGTCTCATGGTGCGCCCTCTTCTCTTCTTCAATTTGCGCCTCATACTCCTCACGCAATCGCTTCTTCTCCTCGTCGATCTTTTGTTGCACAAGGGAGGCGCTCTTCGCGGCCTCAAGTTGTGCATCATTGCACATTTGGACAAGCTCCTCTTGGCGCCTCTGGGCCGTCGTGAGGTTGTCTTGGGCCACGCCAAGCAAAGTGGTAGCTTCATTGGCCGCGGCGCGCAGTGCTTCGCGTTCCATGATCCCTTTCTTGGCCACGAGCATCATCTACGAAGGTGGTAGAACAGAGTGAAAATGGTCATGTGTGTGCTGGCATATAAACAAAGATGTTTAATGAAAACAAAAACATAAGGCAAAAAACTTACATGGGCGTTTATTCGCGCCACCTCACCCCATGGATCGGCGTCCTCCAAGTCCAGGGGGGCCCGAAGCACGTCTCCTGCAGATAGGACCATGTGGAGGGCGGCGCCTCGTTCCAGCGCACACCTGTCGGCAGCTCCGCGTCATCATACAGGCGTGGGCGCTTAACCGAATCGATTGGGGTGCCCTCTACCTTCCTCTTCTTCCTAACGGCCAAAGGCTCGTCATCTTTGGGCAAATCCGACCCCGCTAGCAGATCCACCATGGCCGCCTGAGCTTCTGCAGGCTCTGAGACATGGGGCGCATCCCATGTTTCTAATATATCGCCCAGAGGCTCTGGCGTCGGGGGACTGGGAACTTTGTCGGCTGAACCCTTTTCGGAGATTTCGCCTTCCGGCTTGTGCGCCCCTGGCCTTTGCTCTTCATGGGGGCAGGCGCCTCGGTTTCAGCGCAAACAATGTTTGCCTTGTTAGAGCTTGCACCCTTCGATAAGGTGGTTTTTGCCGCTCTGCCATATTTTTTACCACCTTTTTTCGACGTAGGCGCCTGCTTGGCCACCAACCCAAACTTTGCGAATTACGATTTCATAATTGAGCTGATGGAGGTGAAATTCGCGCCTGCGCAAACACACATAAGTAAAGCTGGTTAGCAAAAACAAAGAAGGGAAATCATAATATGCATGGCTACACTATAAATAGGCACCCACCGTCACGATAGTAATCGTGTAAGACAGGCACCCTAGCCGCTGTGGACCGCAGGTTAACGGGATGCAAGGAAATAAGCTGGGCTCCTTCAATTTTCTCGGCAGTTGATAGGGTCACGTCAACATTGAACGCCTGGTGATCGCCCATGACCCAACCTCTCGCGAACGAGGCGCCACTCTCATAGAAGGAGTCCTTATGCGCTTTAATAAAGAAAAAACTTCTAAACCACTCTCTACCTAGTTTGGGACTCTCTAAAAGAAAGTGGACGGGAATGTCTAGGCGCCTATGCAGTGATAGGCAGTTATCGGTGTAAACCATGTTGAAAAAGTAGTGGAAGAGCTTAAAAGTAGGCTCGACGTTATTCTGGCGGCACTTCAGTTTGAACAGAATGTGGATGAGAAAAACGGAGGGTGACAGGCGCCCAATCGAACATTGGCAGGTGGTAAAAATGCCTTCGAGGATAGAGTCGAGAGGAAATCGGAGTCCGAACCGAAAGTACTCTCGATAAATACCAAGCCAGCGGGGTCCGACTACTCCAACTCTGGCAACGCAAGGAGCAGGCGCAAAAGACCAGGATCGCGGAAGTTGAAGTGACACAGCCAAGTTTTCGACCTCGAGCGCCTTTACACTCGAAACTTTCCGCGGCCCCGCTTCAATAATAGACATGTGACATGTCTCAACAGGCGCTTACCCCGATGGCCAGGTGTCCACCCATCTCCGCATTTTGATGGATCCATCCTCCTGGGCGCCTGAGTCGGATGATAGCGGAGACATCGTCAATTCGGACGAGTGCGGGGATCCAGGCGCGGCGCCTATAAGGTTTGATGCAAATGGGGCAAATCAATGCTAAGCCCTAAACAACTATGGGGGCCTATTGCAAAAAAAAAAACTTACTAGGCTTAGGCTTCGAAGACGCCGCCGCCGCCGCATCGGTCGTCGCGCCTCAGGAGGTTGTTTGAGGGATGGTGGGCACCGCAACCTTGTCTGTTGTTTCGCCTGCATAAGTAGTATGGGAACTCTGTGGCGTCGCGGTCGAAGTGGCGTCCGCCTGATTTTTGGCACGGGGGGGGGGGGGGGGGGGGGGGGGGGGGGGGGGGTCCATGCGCCCGACTCGCGGAGAGGATCGGGTGAGAAGTGACTTTCCAATTCTAATAGGACATTCGTCTCCGAATTCTTTTCCTTCACCGAGTCGGCGGAAGGGGTGCCTGAGCCAGATTTGAGGGACATTCTCGAAGATTAAAAGGATGAGGGTAAGCGCACAGAGGGCTCGAGCTAGAGAGAGAAAGCTAGAGAGAGAAGGATTTTGTGAAAATGAGGAAGGGTGGTGGCGGACCAAGTTATTTATATGGGGATGCGCGCCCGACCCTCAGATCCAATCCTCACCGTTCGTTTGAAATTTGAATTTCAAATTTCCAAAATAATTCAAAATTAGAATTTCAAATTTTAAGACGCACGGAGAGGGGGACAGATAGGGGCGGGCTCCCGTGACCCCACAAAGGAAGGAAGATTTAGGCGCCTAGAGAGGTGCAAGGTGTTGGTCTAGGCGCCTTCTTAGGAAAAACGCGGTGGTTCAGGCTCATAACAGGCAGAATGGTAGCCACAAAAGCAATCATCCTTAAAATTTTGCGTGGGAAGGCGTTCATCACCAGTTATGAATGCTAAATGGGGGGACAGGAGAGCAAAAGACGTGGGCGCCGTAATTAAGGCAGGCGCAGGGGGACAAAGAGCGTGAGGTGGATCATTGCACGATGGGGGGGAAGAGTGTCACAGAAACAGTCATGCTTAAGATTTCACATAATCAGGCGCTTAAGTTCGAACGGTGGGCGAATAGTGATCGTTTAGAAAGCGCCCAAGAGAGCGCCTAGAAAATGCCTGAGCATTGGGGATGGTTAGGAGCCCGTCGAGCAATGGAGGTTCTACAAACAGTGTGACAGTGGTTTAAACCGCCCATGTACAGTTGAGGCAAACAGGTAGGGACATGCATCGAGAAGACCACCCAATATTACATATAGTTAGGCACTCATCACAAACCATGAGCGCCTAACTGGGGGGACAATTGTTGGGTAAGCATAAGTGAGCCATTGAGAGACATGGGCCCAGGGGGGTGTCTAGGCCCAAGCCCACTTGAGAGCTTGAGGAATGGGATGTAAGTCAGGAGTTAGGCCCATACAAGGAGGAGCGGGCGCATAACGACAAAAGTAGGGCGGGGACGGTGCATCTTTGGGATCAGGAGGCTTGGGGTGTGCCACCTGGTAGTGTGGTCCCAGTCAGACGCCTAGGCATAGGAGTCCAGAAGCTGCCACGTGTAGGCGCCCTACCGTTGGGCCGTACCAAGCATTCAATGACGCGCTGACGTGGAGCTGAATTCTAGGAGCCTGGTCGGGACCTCGACGAGTATAAATAGTACTCGGTAGGTGGCATTTACGCAGGTTGGCTTCTCTCACTAAAACCTCTCTTAGCACTTATCTTTCTAGAATCGGCACTGACTTGAGCGTTGGAGTGCTAACGGGCATCCGCAAGCCCTCTAGGCGCTTGTTTGTGCAGGGTTCAGGCCCCCCAACTGTGGTTGCTGGTCATAGATCGAGAAGAGGCGAGTTTGGGGGTTTGTGGCTCAAACACTTTTTAATCAGAACATTGCGCTTTTCATAAACTCAATGATCACACTTCTCTATTTAGTCTTGATAAGTTAAATATTTTGATTATTTTCTAATTAATTATGATAGTACTTTTCAATTATTTTCTAGTAAAATAATCATTATTGTTTTTATCATTAGAGACCGGTTTTTACTATAGGTTATATGTGTTTAAAAAATTATTTATTTAAGAGTTGTTACAATTTTTAAATGAAGTTGACATACTATTATTATCCAAAATTAAAAAAAAAATAGTATTATACATGACTCGTATCCAAGTAATAAGTTGTGTTGGTTGCAAAATGATTTTTTTTTCATTTTTGGTTTTATTATGATTGAACAAATAATGAAATATATTACTTGTAAGAAAAAATGGTAACACAATACAAAAAAACTCATTTTATGAATAATTGATCTAAGAATTTTCAAATAGACAACACATTTGGAAATGTCTACATAATCAAATATATATATATATTTTATAACGGAGAGCCCTTACCTATGATAACTGCATTGCTTACGCAACGTGTAGGCTAAACTCTATGGCGTCAACCTTCGATCTGGTCTTTGATAGCTGGCCAGTAAGTGCTACTAAAAAAAATTATGCACCAACAGATTGATGAAGGGTATCGAACACAACTACCCTCTTATACTACATTACCAAATATCTATATTTTTAAAAATCTACATTTGAAGGAATGACTTAGTTTGAAAAATAAAACAAGCCCCAGTAGTTTAATTTGAAATGATTCAAATATCAATAATTTATGATCACATATATACTTGGATTTGACCATATTATTTGGATTGAACATATTATTTGAATTATGCTTAAACGTAGCAGTAGTATTTGGCCACAAACAACACGTTTGGTTGGTAAAAAAAGATATGTGATATTTGACACATGTTATTCTTCAAATATCATAAATGTGTTTTTTGACAAATACTAGAGGAAATATTGATATTCTCCAAATACTAAGTTTGTTTAAGTGCTACTTAAGAGATTATTTTTGTTCCAATTATGTCCTTCCTTTTCTCTAAATCCCAAACTACCCTCTCCTTTTTTGTCCCACTTTTTATTTCTCCTTCCCCAATCATCCTCATAACCACTATTTGGTTGCCCCTCTTGCCTTTAGTTATGCCTAACACTAACAAAGATTCAATATGTCGTGACACATTATTATATTAAAACAACTTATAAAACTCCGTACATATTAATACGGTAATATATGCAATGTTGACCAAGCATCCATACGCGTTGACCAAGCCAGAAAATAGATAAAGCTAAGAACGAAAAAAATGCAAAAATACCAACTTAAATACAAATAATACATCAACAATACCACTATTCATAATCCAAACGTAACATTTTGTACAAATACCAAATAACACAAATAACAGGTCTGGCGGATATACATCCAAAATAATAATATCCACCAAATATTTTATTTCAAAACAAAGAATGAAACTTGTGGCATTCGATGATGTTATTCTAACATGACCATGCAATCCACAACCAAAGCCAAAGAGTGGTGGGCTTAATTAGTGTGAAATACAAGGGGAAGGGAGGAGTATGAGAGGTTTGAATTGAATGATCGGAAGAAGGGTTACACAAGTCAGCGAAGACCGTTTCGTAGGTAGCCTGTAACAGTCAATCAACACTTCTCTTTTACCTTTTTATTTATTTATTATATTTGTTTTTGGACGTATGTAGGAATTTAGTAAACTACTTTTTTTTTATGAATGGAATTTATTTAGCTAAGTTGAGACCCAAACAGAGAGGCCAGAGATGAAGACGTTAAAGAAGGGAGGCGTTGGGGACTTTTTTTTATTTCAACGGGGCCTCGTCATCGCTTTTGCTTTATGTTTCCGCTTCAAATGATTATCGCTTTAGCCTATAATATTGGTATTTTCTTATTGAACCGCTAATACGACATGGTTCTATAGACCTTTTTGCCGAAAAATAATTGGGCAATTTATTTTGAGTTGGGTGTAACACTTTAGACGAATCTCACATCGACAAAGCACGGGAAAGATCCATGGTTCATAAGTAAGAAACCGACTTTAACTGACACGACGCGTTAATGGAGGAGTTCTCACAACGTGCTCAGAGTGGAGTACAACAATGATGAGTGACCTTATGGGAAGTCACATTGAATTGCACCCCAATTCGAAATCCGTGCGGGTATAAAGACCCAAAATGTACAGTATCTTGTCGAGAAAAGGTTCGAGATATTACATTGGGTCTCATAAATATTTGGGGTTCATATCAAAAGTTGGAACGGAACCGGGACGGTTTCAAGAAGCAGCAATGTGATTAAGAGAGAGCGGGTACACGTGGACGGGACTGGCACCGGCTTTTGACCTGAGCCGACACATTATCCGCCTGCCACGTGCACTTCCCTCTTTTTCTGTTTTCTTTTATTTGGGTCAATACTTCCGCTTTCCTTCCTTTTCGATTTTTTTTTTGCTTCCGCACCTGATGCTCCATGCTGATGCCTACCTGACGTCATCCCGAGTCCGCTTCTTGGCCTTCGGAGAACTGCCAGTCCTGCCCTTCCATCTATACGAATACGACCATTTCATTGCCTCACCATTGACATGAAGGAAAAAAGGAATAGGTGAAAAATGTCATCACAAATTTTATTCACTTTCCCTTAAATAATATGATAATAGTATAACTATCGATTGGTTTCATAAGGCTTTACAACACATGCAATATCCTCTAATAAATTGTGGATACCATGTACCAAAACTAGACTTATGGTTCAAAATTTATTTCTAAATAATATAAAATGAAAATCTTTAATGCCGATTCGAATAAATCATAAGCTTAGTTTGGCCCTGCGGTAGTTTTTGCAGAAGCAGATTCTGGCTGGTGCTTTTAGATAAGTACTTTAAAAAAAAACAGTTGAGTGTTTGGCTATAAAACTATTAGAAGTGCTTTTTAATATGAGAGTTTGTGTACAATGACTATAAATGACTTATAATATAAAATATGAATAAAAATTATAAACAATAAAACATAGTCAAAATGGATCTTGTTAGATTTCTTTTATATTAAATAATATGATTTTACAATTTATTATATTTTAAAATGATATAAATGAAGAAAAATTATATTTTCTGAAATAAAATTAAAATATGGTAAGGATAATCTTGTATTTTCAAAACAGCTTTTTGCAGAAGCTCAAAATCGGAGCTTCGGCTTTTATGTTATACAAAAGCGCTTTTTCGGCTTTTCAAAAGCCGAGCTTTCAGAGGTGTTTGGCCCTGCTTCAGCTTTTGAAGCCGAAAAGCACTTTTCAAAGCCGAGCCAAACATAAGCATAATATTGTTGCTTAAAAAATAAAATCTTAACATTATTGAAATAAAATTATTTATGAGCTCTTGAAAATTGAAATACAACGTTTGATCTATGGAGAGATTGAATCGCCTTTCTATCATCTAACTTTTTTTTTTCTTTAGAAGCAGGGTGAATTCATGGCCTCGATAACAGCAAATGCAGATTTGCAACTTTCCCGATCCCCAATTTCAAACCCAACGGTTCACTCTTGATCAATGAAGAAGAAGACTGAAGTGGCGTCGTTTTTGTTTCAAGCGAGCAGCTCTCCACAACGCTGTCGTTTCGTTTAGTTTCTTTGCTGTTGTCAAACGTTGTCGTTCCAGTCTTTCGTTTTCCCTTTTGCTTTCTGCACAAGTACTTTATTTCCTATCCAAGCTACCAAACAAGAGTGTGGAGCTGGTTGTCTTCTTGCTTGTAATCAGCCTATATAAGGCAGAGATGAAATGAAAGAAAAACAAGCTTTAGGGTTTTCAGTTCAACCTGGTTGTTATGGTATCAGAGCCATTCTTCCAGACCTAGCCGCCGCCGCCCGCTCTGGCTGAAAACCAAGAAGAACACGCTGCTGCTCAAATGCAGCAAAACGATGACAATGCTGCTCCTCACATTGTCTACCAGAGGGAAGATCCATACTTCCTCCACGGTTCAGAGCAGCCAGGCTCCCTCCTGGTTGCAGATCGCCTCAACACAACAAACTACAATGATTGGAGTGGCGCTATGTTCAATGCACTTGCAGCAAAGAACAAGCTAGGCTTCATTAGTGGAACCATACCACAGCCTGCAGAAACAGATCCCAAGTATGGAGCTTGGATCCGGAACAATGTTATGATATTAAGCTGGATTCAACAGTCAGTAGATTCAGAAATCAGGAAGACTATTCTCAACATCAAGTCAGCAGCAGAAACATGGAAAAGCCTTCAAACAAGGTATGGATCTGGAGATATTGTTAGAGTTGCTGAACTTGAAGAAGCCCTTTCCACCTTGAAACAAGGTAATCAGACTATCACAGAATACTATGGGAATGTCATCACTCTTAGGGATGAGCTTGACAATTATCAACCTTTACTGCCTTGTGACTGTACTCCTACAAGTCACTTAGACTGTCTTGCCATGAAAAAGGTCTTGGAATATCAGGAAACTAATTATGTCATCAAGTTTCTCAGAGGGCTCAATGAGAATTTTTCTGGAGTTAGATCTCAAGTTCTGTTTGGGGATGATCTTCCTAACATCAACAGAGTTTTTGAAAGAATGTTACAGCCTGAACGTCAGCTCTATGGCACTCAAACAGGGAAGATGATTGCTTCTGTTCACACAGAAAACACAACCTTAGCCATGCCAGGCATCCTGAGAAGGCCTACCCTCCCACAGAAAAGACCCTTCTGCACCTTTTGCAAGAAAGAAGGTCATACAGAGGATACTTGTTATCAAAAACATGGTTGGCCACCTGGTTTTGGTACTCGACCTCCTTCTTCTGTTCCTCCTAGGGTGATTGAATGCACCTTTTGCAAGAAACATGGCCACACAGCTGATATATGCTTCAGGAAGAATGGTTTTCCCTCTGATTTTGCATCCAGAACTTCCACTTCAGGTTATGGCAGAGGTAGAGGAAGGGGTTATGCTAACACTGCTAGTTCTCCTCACCAGGAAGATGAGATCAAACTCACCAGATCTGAGTATGAAAAGTTGATGAACCTCATGTCTTCTCAAAAGGGCCAATCTTCTCATGCTGCTGCTGCCTTTGTCACCAACAGAGGTAACATTTCCAATTGTCTCTTAACTGGCTCTATGGTCAATACTATTTCCCATACAAAAGACAATTGGATACTTGACACAGGGGCTTCTGACCATATAGTTTTCTCCCTTTACTATCTTAATAATACTCAGCTCCTCTCAAATGCCTTTATTACCCTACCAACTGGTGAGCAGATACAGGCTACACATACTGGCACCATTACCTTGACTGAGAATCTAATCCTCTTAGATGTTCTCTATGTTCCCACATTCACCTTCAACTTGATTTCTGTCAGCAAGCTTACCACCACCAACTCTTTAAGCCTAACTTTCCATTCTAACCTTTGTCTCCTACGGGATCTCAAGCAGATGAGAGTGATTGGTTCTGCTAGATTGCTCAATGGCCTCTACTACCTAGAAGTACCTAATTCACCTAAACACATCTCAGCTGTCAGGTCTCCTTCCACTGATCTGTGGCATTTTAGATTAGGTCATGTATCTCATTCTAAAATTCCACTCCTCAACCAATTTTGTACCTCCATCAAAACTCAGAGAGACTTACCTTGTGATGTTTGCCACTTTGCAAAGCAAAGAAGGCTTCCTTTTCCTTCCAGTCAGTCTGTAACCCATTATGTTTTTGAACTTCTTCATGTAGACATATGGGGTCCCAATCCCGTTCCTACTTATGATGGATACAAGTACTTCCTAACTATTGTGGATGACTATTCCCGATTGACTTGGATCATTTTACTTGCTGCTAAATCTGATGCTAGGCCCAAACTCATTGCCTTCTGCACTCAAATGCAGAGGCAATTTCAAACTTTGATTAAAAGGATCAGAAGTGATCAAGGTAGTGAATTTCACATGGAAGATTTTTTTCAATCCACATGCATTTTACATGAAATGTCCTGTGTTGAAACCCCTCAACAAAACAGCAAAGTTGAAAGGAAACACCAACATATCCTAGCAGTAGCAAGAGCCTTAAAGTTCCAAGCCAATTTCCCTACCACTTTCTGGGGTGATTGCATAAAACATGCAGTGTTCCTCATCAACAGGGTACCTTCTACTGTCATTCAAAACAAAACACCCTATGAACTTCTCTACCTCAAACCTCCAGACCTTACCAATTTGAAAGTCTTTGGTAGCCTATGTTATGCCAGTACTCTAGGGAATCACAGGACCAAATTCCAACCTAGAGCTAGGAAAGGTGTTTTCTTGGGCTACCCTGTTGGAATCAAAGGATATAGGATTTATGACCTCACCTCCCATGAAATTTTTATTTCCAGAGATGTCATATTCTATGATACTGAATTTCCATTCAAATATCCAGATTCTACTCCTCCTCCTCCTCCTCCTACTGATCCAACTGATCCTGATTACCTTTTTCCTATTCCATCTACTCTTCCCAGCACATCAAATGATACATCAGACCCTCCTTTTGATCAACCCCCTAATCCACCCTCTCCTTCTTCACCTACTCAGAATCCTACTGAACCAATGCAAACACCATCTCCTCCATCCTCTCCTGTTTCTCCCTCTTCTCCTACTTCTGATACTACTTTCCCTTCCTGTTCAGCCTCTCCATTGGCTACTCCATCTTCCCATTCTACTCCTACTCCTCCCCCACATCCTCCTATTCCCCTAAGAAAAATCTGACAGACCTACTAAACCACCACCTCACCTTGTAAAAGACTACCATTGTTATTGATAACGATGTAATTGCACATATTTGCGCCCCTAGTTCTTATCCGTTTGAGGGGCATAGTCGTGTGTTTTGGCCTATTTTACGCCGGGTTGTGCTATTTTGTCATTTTCAGGTCTCAGATGTCAAAGGGAAGGCTAAGCGCGAGTTTCGGGGCATTCGGAGGTCATTTCGTCAAGCTGGAGCCAAAACACGGGCACACCTAAATCATTACACGGCCGTGTTCTGGTGGCCGTGCTTTTTATGCCGAGAGCTAATTGATTTGGCAAATTCAGCTGCAAACACGGGCTGAAAGCACGGCCGTTTTCAGGCAAAGCACGGCCGTGCCCACTGCGAAACACGGTCGTGTTTCTCCCAACACATGGCCATGTAATTAACACTAGCCAAAGCACGGGCGGGCTGAGGCATTACACGGCCGTGTTCTGGTGGCCGTGCTTTTTATGTCGAGAGCTAATTGATTTGGCAAATTCAGCTGCAAACACGGGCTGAAAGCACGGCCGTTTTCAGGCAAAGCACGGCCGTGCCCACCGCGAAACACGGCCGTGTTTCTCCCAACACATGGCCGTGTAATTAACACTAGCCAAAGCACGGGCTGGCTGAGGCATTACACGGCCGTGCCCTCGACCGTGCTTTGGCCACTGATGCCCTTTTAAGCAGATTTTCAGCCAAACAGAAGGGGATTCGAGTTTTAGAGAGAGAGATCAGTTCCTAGAGTGAGAAAGCGACGAACAAGAGTCTCCAAGTGCCCTAGATTGATCTTCAACACCATTGGAGGCCAGCTTGAGCTTGGAGGAGTGCCAATCAACGTTCAGGAGCAGGAATCCATCCTTCACAGTATGAATTTCGTGCCTGATTCTGCTTTTGCTTTCTTCTCCATGGAGTAAATCTCCCATTCATCTGGGTATGGAGAACCCTAGATTTGTATGTTAGGCTTTGATTGTATGAACCCAAGTACTGATTCTATGATTGATTATATTCGATTGAGGTTTGAATGATTGAATGACTTGAATCCTGATCAAATTCCTGTTGTTTCTGCTTTAACCTAGGATGAGAATATCTGCCTAGGTTAATAGAGTATCCTTGATTGAAGGTAGGGAGTTGGTGACTTTAGTCGAGGAACCAACTCACTATTCTGTACCGGATTTACTCCGGTAGTGGAGGTTTTGTTCTTAGGGCCTCAATCTGTCTACTCCGGTGGAGGTTAGTCGCCCGCTAGAGATTCAGATTGAGAGGGTCTGAAGACCTTTAGTCGAGACTTCAGGCTGTTTAAGAATCTTCCGCAGTATAACTTTCATAGAAACTGAACTTGGTAATTACAATCCGGCTTAACTGCAATCTAGGGGGAACCATATCCGGGTGACCTCTTTAACCTGAATACAACAGTTTACTTGTTTTGTTAGTTTGATAGTTTAGACTTGCATTCCAGTTTCATTGCTAGATAACAAGAATTCACTGAGTAGTCATCAGATCTAGGACCCGGGTTGACATATAAACCTAACCCGCTATACTACGCTTTAGGAAATGGTTTCACTTGGCCAATTCCTAGGGTGACAGTAGAAGTGAGTCAAGTTTTTGGCGCCGTTGCCGGGGACGGCTAGGTTGTTGAAGAAAAGTGATTTCTGTTAATTTAGCTTTTCTTTTTGCTTTGTTTACTTTGTCCCACTTGTGCCTTCACGGGTTTGCTTGCTTGAGTGTGTGCAGGTAGTGCATGACCCGTAGCCAGTCAGGAGGTTTACTGCCGTTGAATCCAAAGATTGACCGCACTTGTCGCCAGCTCAGGAGACAACAACGAGCTAGACTGGCTGCGGAAGAGCGCATAGACGGCCACCTGAGTAGCGATTCTGAAGAAGAGCACGGGATGGACGGAGACTACAATCAGCACCAGGGGAATCCTCAGCAGGTTCCCCCGATGAATCAGGTCCTGGGGAACAACCCCATACCCCAGGATCATGGGGTTCATCATCCACCGCCGCCGGGCCCCACCTTGGAGTACTACTACACTCCTCGGATTGCTGACATCCGCCCGGTCATCCTCTACCCGCCTATTCCAGCAAACAACTTCGAGATCAAGCCATGCTGGATTCAGCTCATTACATCTTCTATCCAGTTCCATGGCTTGAAGGATGAGGATGCCAGGGTGCATCTTTCCCGTTTTCTGCAGCTGACGAACGGGTTCAAGCTGAATGGTGTCCCGGATGATGCAATCCGCCTTCATCTCTTCCCCCATTCTCTGGCGGGGAATGCTAAGAGGTGGTTGGAGACCCAGCCCCCATTGTCCATCACCTCTTGGGACGATCTGGCTGACAAATTCGTGCACAGGTACTATCCGGCATCGAAGACTACAGAGATTCAGCGGGAGATCACTCACTTCCGCCAAGAGCCAGATGAGTCACTTCGTGATGCTTGGGAGCGGTACATGGGATACTTCTGGCAGTGTCCCCATCATGGCTTTAGTGATGCTTTCACATTGGGGAACTTCTACAGTGCCCTCTCTCCAGATAGCCAGAGGGTGATTGAGTCTTTATGCCCAGAAGGGGATATTCTTACCAAGACTCCACCCGAGCTGAACCAGATGATCAATACCTTGGCTGCCAGAGATCATTCTTGGGGACAAAGCAGCAGAGGCAGACAGTCCCGGGACCGTGGTGTGCACGCCATGGAAACCAGATCCGGGCTCGAGCAGCAGGTAGCTGAGCTAGTGCAGACATTGAAACAGCCCAACAGTCTTATTCCGGGCAGAGGTTTGGCTACACCTTCAGTTGCTCAATGCCAGTGGTGTGAGAGCTCGAATCACCTAGTGGAGGACTGCCAGGCTATGAGGGAGTCTACCACTCCCCAAGAGCAGTTGGACTTCATCGCCAATGCTCGGCGTCTTGACCCGTACAACAGCTCATATAATGAGGGGTGGCGCCAGCATCCCAACTTCGCCTGGAGCAGCAACACCACTAAACCACCTGGTTTCCCAGCACCAGCAGGTGGTTTTCAGCAGAGGCAGCCCTTCCAGGCTCGACAGGGGCCAGTTCCATAGCAGCAGCCCTACCAGCCTAGGCAAGGGCAACCATTCCAGCAGCCCCAGCGCCAGTTTGTCGAGCCAGCAGCAGCTCCAGCCCCAGATGACCGGATGACAAAGCTGGAAAATATTCTAGCTTCATTCATGACTAGCACTCAGGCTGCTATCACGTCACTGGAGGCGGGTCAGCGGAACCAGGGTGCCATTTTGCAGGATCTTCGAACCCAGGTGGGCATCTTGGCCCGCCAAAACACCACCAGGGCACCGGGGACTTTGCCTGCCACCACTATCCCGAATCCTCGGGATCCTCACCAGCACCAGCAGCTGGATGCCATTTTTACCAGGAGCGGTATAACCATATTTGCTGATCCTGTCCCGGCCAGACAGGAGGAACCACTACCTGCTTCAGCACTTCCAGCCGACGATGCAGAAGTGCGGGTGGAGAAAGAAGAGCGTGCTCCCAAGCCACAACCAGTGGTTAAGGAGCATGTGCCCCAGCTTCCCTTCCCCACTCGCCTACACAAAGACAAGCTGGAGACTGAGTTTGCCAAGTTCATGGCAATGTTGAAGCAGCTCAACATCAGCATACCGTTCGTGGAGGCACTGTCGAAGATGCCCAAGTATGCCAAGTTCATGAAAGACCTCCTCACCGACAAGAAGAAACTTGGGGATCTTTCGACAGTGATGCTGAGCGAGGAGTGTTCTGCTATCCTGCAGAACAAGCTGCCCGAGAAGCGCAAGGATCCAGGGAGTTTTACTATCCCTCTTACTATTGGCAGCATGCATGTAGGCAAGTCCTTGGCGGACCTAGGTGCTAGCATAAACGTCATGCCATATAAGTTGTTTAAGAAGCTAGACTTAGGTGAACTTAGCCCTACTAGGATGAGCATTCAGCTCGCTGACCGTTCCATTGTGCATCCTAGGGGTGTCATAGAGGATCTGCTTGTTAATGTTGGTGCATTCACATATCCTGTTGATTTTGTTATTCTGGATGTAAATGAGGATGTGGATGTGCCTTTGATTCTGGGTAGACCATTTCTTGCCACCGCCAAGGCACTTATTGATGTGCATGATGGTAAACTGATCTTGCATGCTGGGAATGAACAGGCTACTTTTTCTGTGACTGAATTTGATCATTGTGCTATGATTGCTGTCACCCCTGTGCATGCTATGTCTGATCATGTACACGAGCCTGTCGTGTATCCTTCTGCACCTCTTATTTTGCAGGACCCTCCTATCATTCCTTCGCCGCCACTCCATCCATCCTCGCCTTCGAACAAAAAGCTCAAGGAGGAGTGGCGGCCAAAGCAGCAGGTTGCTAAGCCTGCATGGAAGAAGAGTGGAGACCACTATGAGCTGGTCCCACCTCCGGCACCACGACCACCCTGGCCGTCCGGGTACTCACTCGCCTGCATCTTACCGGATGGCCAGGTCGAGCTGACCGATGATGGTGGTCGCATCCGTCGGGTGCAAGGCCACAACCTGAAGTGTACCTCAAGAGCGACGTGGATCCGCTCTTGGAGGCACCTGTTCCTGCACCTCCCTGAGTATCCACCATGGGCGTCCAGCTAAAAGACGGTAAAGAAGCGCTTGTGGGGAGGCAACCCCACCACGGTTTGACTTTCTTTCTTTTGTTTTGAGTCGGATTGTAAACCAGTTGGTTTTGGTGTTTTCTTTTGTTTTGGATGGTGTTTTATTGGGCTGACCATTGGACCTAACATATTGTGTTTGAGCTCTTTGGTTTCCTTTGGCTGTGCTTGTCTTGACTGGTACTCTCTCCAGTCCGCTTCCAGTCTCCTGCAGTCCGTGCATACCGGTAACATCTTTCCCTTTCCCTTCCCTCTTCTCCATTGAGGGCAATGTCGATCTTAAGTGTGGGGGGATGTTTATCTTTTGACTGCATTAGATCTGTTTGTGTGCTTGGAGCCTAGTCCACTGTCCAAATTTTTAAAATTGAGGGCTCCAAGTACGTGTTTCCGTGCAATTGCCTGCTCAGTATGCTTTGAATTGACAGTCTTTATTGTAATATGCAACCTAGGGAGGTAGTGTAGCACTATGGAGGATGTTGATGCATTTAAGAAGTCTCATTTCTTCTTCATATTATGTCGGTTGATTGAGTGAATTAGTGATCTCAGAACCCTTGAATTGTGTGGTGTTGTGGATTCTCTGCCTGTCATGGACTCTTGTATCATGCTTTGAAAATAACAGGTGCTCGAAAATGTGCTCCAAAATAACGTCTCCCGTGCGAATAGGGCGAAAGTGTGTAAGGGGAGACGGGAATCCATTCCCAATTTCCACCTACTACCTCCAGCCCCCTTACATGTCTTTCCCCCGCACGAGGCTCGAGACATCCGCTCCTGGCATGGCCGGTAAGAGCAGGTTGGGACCCTTGAAAAAAAGAGAAGAAAAAATAACAGAAAACAAGCAAAACAGAAAGAAAAGGGGTTCCAACCATCTTCAAGAAGAAAATAGAGCACCTTGAAAAATGTGAGTCCATGATCCTTTGTTTTTGAGAATCTCTTCATCCACAATTCATTTGTCCTCTGTTCACTGTTTGCCATGATGCCGACTCGATACTAGTGCTCTCGCCGAAGGAGCTATGAGATGACTTGTGCGTCGGTTGACCTCGTAAGTTGCTAAATGATCTAGGAAGTCCTCTACCTACGATCTGGGTTGTTTGTTGCTATAGAGGTCTGGAGAGTTGCATTGGTTTGAGTTAGGTTTGCTTGGGGACAAGCAAACGGTTAAGTGTGGGGGAGTTTGATAACGATGTAATTGCACATATTTGCGCCCCTAGTTCTTATCCGTTTGAGGGGCATAGTCGTGTGTTTTGGCCTATTTTACGCCGGGTTGTGCTATTTTATCATGTTTCAGGTCCCAGGTGTCAAAGGGAAGGCTAAGCGCGAGTTTTGGGGCATTCGGAGGTCATTTCGTCAAGCTGGAGCCAAAACACGGGCACACCTAAATCATTACACGACCGTGTTATGGTGGCCGTGCTTTCTATGCCGAGAGCTAATTGATTTGGCAAATTCAGCTGCAAACACGGGCTAAAAGCACGGCCGTTTTCAGGCAAAGCACGGCCGTGCCCACCGCGAAACACGGCCGTGTTTCTCCCAACACATGGCCGTGTAATTAACACTAGCCAAAGCACGGGCGGGCTGAGGCATTACACCGCCGTGCCCTCGACCGTGCTTTGGCCACTGATGCCCTTTTAAGCAGATTTTCAGCCAAACAGAAGGGGATTCGAGTTTTAGAGAGAGAGATCAGTTCCTAGAGTGAGAAAGCGATGAACAAGAGTCTCCAAGTTCCCTAGATTGATCTTCAACACCATTGGAGGCTAGCTTGAGCTTGGAGGAGTGCCAATCAACGTTCAGGAGCAGGAATCCATCCTTCACAGTATGAATTTTGTGCCTGATTCTGCTTTTGCTTTCTTCTCCATGGAGTAGTTCTCCCATTCATCTGGGTATGGAGAACCCTAGATTTGTATGTTAGGCTTTGATTGTATGAACCCAAGTACTAATTCTATGATTGATTATATTCGATTGAGGTTTGAATTTATGAATGACTTGAATCCTGATCAAATTCCTGTTGTTTCTGCTTTAACCTAGAATGAGAATATCTGCCTAGGTTAATAGAGTATCCTTGATTGAAGGTAGGGAGTTGGTGACTTTAGTCGAGGAACCAACTCACTATTATGTACTGGATTTACTCCGGTAGTGGAGGTTTTGTTCTTAGGGCCTTAATCTGTCTACTCCGGTGGAGGTTAGTCGCCCGCTAGAGATTCAGATTGAGAGGGTCTGAAGACCTTTAGTCGAGACTTCAGGCTGTTTAAGAATCTTCCGCAGTATAACTTTCATAGAAACTGAACTTGGTAATTACAATCCGGCTTAACTGCAGTCTAGGGGGAACCATATCCGGGTGACCTCTTTAACCTGAATACAACAGTTTACTTGCTTTGTTAGTTTGATAGTTTAGACTTGCATTCCAGTTTCATTGCTAGATAACAAGAATTCACTGAGTAGTCATCAGATCTAGGACCCGGGTTGACATATAAACCTAACCCGCTATACTACGCTTTAGGAAATGGTTTCACTTGGCCAATTCCTAGGGTGACAGTAGAAGTGAGTCAGTTATTTGGCCAAGCAATCTAGCACCACCAGTCAGTCAAGTTTGCAACAGATTCAAGACAAAAGGTTTGTTCTTTCCTCACTTCTCTCATATGATTCTCTTGCTCCTCATTATAAACAGTTTGTTCTAAACATCTCTTTTCATCATGATCCTTCTTCCTACAAAGAGGCCTCTAAGTCAGCAGCCTGGAATGCTGCAATGCAGCATGAGATCAAAGCTTTGATAAAAAACCAAACATGGGATGTAGTGAATCTACCTGTTGGAAAGAAACCTATTGGGAACAAATGGGTTTACAAAACCAAATTTGAATCAGATGGGAGCCTTGATAGGCTCAGAGCCAGACTAGTTGCCAAAGGCAATTCTCAGCAAGAAGGTGTGGATTTTCAGGACACCTTTGCTCCAGTGGTCAAAATGACCACAGTCAGAACTTTTTTGGCTATTGCATACATGAAAAACTGGCACATTCACCAGTTAGATGTCAATAATGTTTTCCTCCATGGAGATCTCCAGGAGGAAGTCTATATGACATTGCCTAAAGGTTATGATCCGCCTCCTGGATTTATCAACCCAGTTTGCAAATTAAAGAAATCTCTTTATGGTTTAAAGCAAGCTTCACGCCAATGGTTCTCTAAGTTAACAGAAAAGATTCAGACTCTGGGATACATTCAAATCATGGCAGATCATTCACTGTTCTTCAAGGTAACAGACTCAACCTACACTTGCATACTCATCTATGTTGATGATATGTTAGTTGGAGGCAATGACTTAACAGAGATCACAAGGTTAAAACAGTTCCTTCATAATGAGTTCAGCATCAAAGATATGGGGAACTTGAGATTCTTTTTGGGAATTGAACTGGCAAGGAACAACAAAGGCATTCATTTATCTCAACGCAAGTACACATTGGAAATCCTTGAAGAAGCTGAGTTGCTGGATTCCAAGGGTGTTACAACACCAATGGACTACAAACTACATCACTCCAGTCAGGTTGAAACACCCTATGAAGACCCTGAACATTATAGGACTCTTGTTGGCAAGCTGATTTACCTAACTACAATTAGGCCTGACATCAGTTTTGCTACTCAGCAACTCAGCCAGTTCATGTCTAATCCAAGCACAGTTCATTACAAAGCTGTACTAAGAGTTCTACGCTACTTGAAGACAGCTCCTGCCACATGACTCTTCTTCCCTTCCAAAGGCTCTTTTCAGTTAAAGGCATTCACAGACTCGGATTGGGCAGCATGTATTGATACAAGACGCTCCACCACAGGTTATTGTGTTTACCTTGGTGACTCTCTTATCTCGTGGAAAAGCAAGAAGCAAAAGACAGTCTCCCGTTTGTCTTGTGAAGCTGAATACCGAGCCCTGGTATACACAACTTGCAAGATCCAATGGTTACTGTTTCTGTTGAAGGACTTCCAGATTGACCATCCGAAGCCAGCTGCTCTCTTCTGTGACAATCAAAGCGCCACATACATTGCCCAGAATCCAACGTTCCACGAGCGCACGAAGCACATTGAGCTCGATTGCCACCTCGTGCGTGAGAAAGTTCAATCTGGTATTGTCAAACTGCTCCATGTCTCCTCCAATCATCAATTGGCTGATATTTTCACCAAGCCCTTGTCTCCTGCACCCTTTCAATTACTTTTCTCCAAGCTTGGTGTGCATAATCTATGCCCACTAGCTTGCGCCGGGGGGGGGGGGGGGGGGGGGGGGGGGGGGGTAACAGCAAATGCAGATTTGCAACTTTCCCGACCCCCAATTTCAAACCAACGGTTCACTCTTGATCAATGAAGAAGAAGACTGAAGTGGCGTCGTTTTTGTTTCAAGCGAGCAGCTCTCCACAACGCTGCCGTTTCGTTTAGTTTCTTTGCTGTTGTCTAACGTTGTCGTTCCAGTCTTTCGTTTTCCCTTTTGCTTTCTGCACAAGTACTTTGTTTCCTATCCAAGCTACCAAACAAGAGTGTGGAGCTGGTTGTCTTCTTGCTTGTAATCAGCCTATATAAGGCAGAGATGAAATGAAAGAAAAACAAGCTTTAGGGTTTTCAGTTCAACCTGGTTGTTACTCAAATCAAGTCTAAATCAAACCGGAGAAGAACTTTTTTTTTTAATAAACTAAAGGTTGTAGAAAAATGACAATTTACATAATTTTCACGAATTTTGAGACTAGTTCACGAAGAGCATAGCTCTCGAAATATGATGACTAGGTATGCAAGTCTTGGAATTGAGTGATGCACTCTCTTTGGTTTTGGAGTTCGCCTTAGCTAGCTCCTTATACCCTTCGACACTTAAATCTAATACTCCAGTCTAGTAAGCTTAAGCATGAAGGTCCCCAATGCCAGGCTTAACAGTAGAGGTGATTAATTATGTAAATGTTGAATAGTTTAGGTACTAAATTGATTAACAATAAAGGTGGCAAATGGGTTCGATTTATTGATTGTTGGATTATATTTTTTTATCCAAGCGACATCAAAATATTGATCATTATATAAATGTTAGAAAAGTTTAGGTACTAAACTGTCATTATAAAAATTTAAGTACCAAAACAAAATCTTTGAATGATATTTTACGTTAAAATTCAATTTCAAGCATCAAAATATAAAATATAAAAAGTATAGCTATTAACAGTAATATTCCAAATATACATGAATCAATCCGTCCAATTGAATTTGGATTTAAAATGATTGAATTAATTGGATATTTTATTAGATGAATTCGATTGAATTGATAGATTGAATTCAAATTGTCACATCTAAGTAATGCTTATCTTGTATATATATATATGTTTAATCAGTCCAAATTTTAAACACCTGAGACCAATAATCTATGATTCTATGGGGAGAGTTCTGGGGCTCAAGATAGGGTGCATAACCATGGGTTATGCACCCATGCATAACCAAATCTGGAGTTATCATTTAGAAAATCCAGATTTAAGGATGGAGAATTAAAGACCATTTTTATTTTCTCTAGCTTTTTTAATCGGCTCATATCTTTTTCGTTTTAACTCGAATTTTGATTTTTTTTGCACAGATGGAACGAGTTCATCTTGCTCTACTAAATGAGATCAATTTTCAATATTTTTTTAGAAAAAAAATTCTGACCTCTCAGTACCAACTGCATACCATATTGTATTTTCTATGTTTTTAATTCGTTTTTGAAAACGTTTGCACAGAAGGGATGAGTTCATCATGATCTATTGGATCTAAAAATTTATGGGTGAACAAATTACAAGACCAAAAAATACCACACAATACCATACAATACCAACCTGGTACGGGGTGGTATATTATGGTATATTATGGTATTTTCTTTGTTTTTAATTCGTTTTAAAAACCGTTTGCACAGAAGGGATGAGTTCATCATGATCTATTGGATCTACAAATTTCTGGGTGAACAAATTACATGACAAAAAAATACCACACAATACCATACAATACCACTCTGGTACGGGGTGGTATATTATGATACACAATGATAAAAGTCGTAAATGACAATCAATATACTTCTATTATCATGTATTCAACCATCCTACAGTCTTGGTTTGTTCATACCATCATGGTACGCTTTTCAAACCATAAGTATGTTCTTATTTCAATACCAGTCAATACCATATGGTATAGACTGGTAAAAAATGGCTCAATTTTTTTTGTTCGAAAAATATATCAAAGTGGATATCATTTTGAAGAGCACAATTAATCTGATCTAACTGTGCAAAAAAAATTAAATTTCGACTTAAAACGAGTGAGAAATCGTCCGTCAAAGATTAAGAAGGGGAAAATTAAAGGCTTTCCAGGAGAGAGGGATGCTGATGTGGGGTGGTTACTCATGATTACTCACCATAAGGTTACTGACCTGATCCGTTCCCGAGTTCTGGTTACTTGATCGTGAGTCGGGACTCCTAAACTAATCTAGTGGATTACTTGTATTTTAGCCATTTAGGGATTCTCCGAATTTTTATTGAACAAGAAAAATGTTTTCCAGCTTTTTAAGACGAAGCTCGTAACCAAGGTTGTCAACCCGCGGGTTGACCCGGACCCGGTCGATCTAGTGGATCTAGGGTTAACGGGTCACCCATTTTAGCCAGTTTTAGCCCGTACATATAGAAAGAGTCATTATATTGTGCTTATCCTAATAAATTATATCAAATCTCATCTAACATATGAGTAATAACATATAATTTTACACCAAAGTAACATGTCGTACTTAGATCCAACATATAGTGAAAATTTACACACACTTATATAATATCAATATTCAAATGTTCAACTAAGGATTCCAAAGATTGAGTTAGGCGAAAAGAACACTCAGAAAATAGGCGCAATTCGCAAACCAAAGAAAAAAATGACACAATTTAACCTCCAACCCGATATATTCTAGCGATCGACCCGACGGGTGCGTACGGCCCGATTTTCTTATCGAGTCAGAGTCAAAGTAGATCGACCCGTGGGTTGACAACCTTTCTCGTAACTGAAAACTGCTTTACCATCATTTATAAGCGAGTCTCGTTACTTCATAGACCAGAGATTCGGAAAAAACTATTGTTTTATATTTAAATTACTTTCTACCATCAAGGACTCCGTGGCCCAATGGATAAGGCGCTGGTCTACGAAACCAGAGATTTTGGGTTCGATCGCCAGCAGAGTCGTTTTTTGGCTGTGAGGATTCAAAGCATTATAAGGAGCATGGGTGTTTAAAAAATATTGTGAGATGGTGCATCAATTAATATTTTTTCAATCTCCAATAATTCAATTAATATTTTTTCAATCTCCAATAATTTTTTAAGCGATCATATCTCATTCATTTTAGTTTGAATTCCAAAATAATTATATAGAGAACAAGTTTTGTTTTATTGTGCTTCACATGATGTCATTAATAATTTTTAAGCGATCATATCTCATTCATTTTAGTTTGAATTCCAAAATAATTATATAGAGAACAAGTTTTGTTTTATTGTGCTTGACATGATGTCATTCATATTTTTTGTCGCACGCCATCTAAAAACTGTCATACCATTATTTTAGCACTATAGTAAGATTTGGTACCACCAAATGATAAGATAGCAATATGGAGTCTTATCATAATGGTATGATCATGGTATGCCAATGGTCAGATGGTAGGATGAAGTCTTACCATACTAATTAGATCATGGTATGACACCGGTAAGATGGTAGGAAGTTTTACCATAGTGGTAAGATAATGATATGAATATGGTAGGATGAGAGTAAACAATTAATATTTTGAGATGGTGCATCAATTAATATTTTTTCAATCTCCAATAATTCAATTAATATTTTTTCAATCTCCAATAATTTTTTAAGCGATCATATCTCATTCATTTTAGTTTGAATTCCAAAATAATTATATAGAGAACAAGTTTTGTTTTATTGTGCTTCACATGATGTCATTAATAATTTTTAAGCGATCATATCTCATTCATTTTAGTTTGAATTCCAAAATAATTATATAGAGAACAAGTTTTGTTTTATTGTGCTTGACATGATGTCATTCATATTTTTTGTCGCACGCCATCTAAAAACTGTCATACCATTATTTTAGCACTATAGTAAGATTTGGTACCACCAAATGATAAGATAGCAATATGGAGTCTTATCATAATGGTATGATCATGGTATGCCAATGGTCAGATGGTAGGATGAAGTCTTACCATACTAATTAGATCATGGTATGACACCGGTAAGATGGTAGGAAGTTTTACCATAGTGGTAAGATAATGATATGAATATGGTAGGATGAGAGTAAACACATCTTTGTGAAGTTTTTTTTTTACTCAAAGTATAACAAAATATACATAATTGTGTGGATCAAAATTAATGTATTTTTTATATAATTTTTTTTTCTGACGAAGAAGATATGACCCTATTAAGAAAAACAATGATTAGAAAAAGTAGACTTTGGCTGATTAAAAGTTATCTCTGAAGTGGTGCTCTCTTGTCTGAAGTACAGGTGTTCGTTCCTCTCCACCGTGTCTCATTCGGTTCACGCTACTTAAGTATAACCCAATTGTCCATATATATCATGACATAATAGACTCTTTTAAGTTTTAGCGTTGAATTGGCTCCTAGTCAACTAGTGGCGAAGCCACCTTGTAGTAGGGTGGATTTTGGGAGCCACCTTGGGTCTAGATTAGTACACCAAAAAATAATAATCTTTTACACAGTTCTTAAACTCGATGTCATATACTTCATGTTCATAATTATACTTGTCTACCAACAAACAATAGAGACCTTTGTGTCACATTAACCTAGCATATTGTATAAATAACTCTAAATTTCACATACAAATGTGTCTATAATTGCTTATTCTTAGTTTACTAATTCTTAATTAGTATCGAATCCTCCATTCTAAAGTGAAAATATGTCGGCAAACTATAAAATTATCGTCGTAAGTAATTATTTAAATATTAATAAAATTCATGTTATATTTTATACTTTTTATGTCAGACCCACATTAAGTGAAATTCTTGCTAATTGTGGTCAACCAACGTCCTTTTTTCCCTTTCAATTACCAACAATTATCCTATATATATTCTGCCTGACTGTTTCCCTCTTTAACAATAACCATGGAAATTAAGGAAGGAAAAAAAAAAACTAGTTAGAAATAAAATTGGTATCAACAAAAATAGAATTATACGAACTTTATGGAGACTCAATATTACCGCCTGATACGTACAATGTTGATTTTACAAACGTTCCATGACTCGTAATCTAAGCTGACGAGTACGTTTGGCATTTTACGAGTTGACTCTCTCTTTCACCTCTTTGAGTAAACGACCCTCTTTCCCAATTCTCATTTTCTGTGAATTAATTTAGTCGCCACAATTGATTCATGGTCTTACAACAACCCAGACAAGGTCACTCTAAAACAAAGCCTCTCCACATAAATTTCTCAGTGAAAATTTTATTATTTTTAACTGCACCTAAACTTTAGCTTTATTTATATGACAATGTTAACATCTCCCCATGGATTCCTGTTTTTATTTTACTCCATGTTTATTAATATTTTTTTCTAATTAATTGTTGATTGCCTCAAAATTAGTACCAATCCCATTAAATAAAATATATACATTATCTTTCACACCTATATACTATGACAGGAAAATCATGTTATTTTGATTTCATGCAATATTAAAATACATGATATTGTATAATTTAACAATCTTCGAGCGAGTCAATCCAAAGATTTTGAGAATTTATCACAACCAATACAAATGAAATACTCTTTCATCATAGGTATTTTCAATGGGGAAATATCTTAAATACGAGGATATACAAGAAATTTGCAGATTAGGTCATAATATGAAAATAGGGAAAAAATGGTGGTCGACAAGTGTATGAACAAATGATGAAAGAGATTGTTTTGTCACGATATGAACAACTCTATTATACGATGCGAAATGAAACGTAAGACGCTAAAATGATGATCGGAGCACTTGAATCTCTTGTAAGATAATCATTCCCATCGCATACGATGAATCCCTCACATTAACCATCCGGATAAAATATTATATTATAACTTAAATTAAAAAAAAAGTCTATTCTAACAATCTCACGTATACAATATATATTCTAAAAAAAAGTCTATTCTAACAATCTCACGTATACAATATACGATTTATTGAAATTAATGTATTTTACAAAATATATTCTTCAACCCACTCTAAATAATTATTGGGTCAAGAACACTTGTAATTGGGCATGACATGCACGGCAAAGAAGCTCCCCAATCATGTTAGTTTTATTACAAAATAACATAAGAAGAGGCAAGATGACATGAATTAGTCTTGCATTTGTACCTTACAAATCCTGTGCATAACTCCTATTTATATAATTCTATGGGCCGGTTGGAATTCGGAACATCTTTCACAATCCCTGGAGAGATAGTTCACTAATAGACCGAGGGATAAGTAATTCGACTCATTCACATACAGATCATGAATGTTTGGAATCCATATTATGCAAGGAGACATTGCTTTTGCTAATTCGAATTGAAGGGTGATATAAAATTGGTCTATTTCCCCATTGAATATAGTCCTTTCGGTTTCGGGGGGCCAAGGGTAGTGTAGTAATTTCGTGCTTCTCTACCATTTTTCTCTCGTCAATCCCAGACCTTGGATCAGGCTGAGGACTAGACATGTCAATTGAACTCGAATCACCGAGACTCAAACTCATCCAACCTGGTTAAATATAGTAAACTTATACGTTGATAAGTTTCATGTTGGTGTGGGTTTGGCTAAAACTCATCATGCTTTCCATCCGACTTGTATCCAAGGAGAAAATGGTATTGTATCTACCCTAAGTTTCTAATTAGACCCTAACCCTTTTTAAAGAAAAGAAGAAAAAAATAGACCCTAATACTAACCCTCTAGTCTCATTTGTCTTTTTTATGGCAATGTAATTGTAGAGATCATTTCGATAATATAAGGATGTGGGTGTTCAGAGAATGTTGTTCCCGAATATGTCTGTGCACCTGTGACTAATAGAGCGAGTAATTTGTATATAGAAGGGCATATTTGTCTTTTACCTTCTATGTTCGGTGTTCCCTATGTCACATGTTGATTATGGTATAAAAATATGTGTATTACCTATGGTTGACCGAACTTGAAATAAGAAAACCACAAAGTTCTGTCGTGAACTAGTCTCGTTGACATCAATTGGTTGACCATGTAAATCTTGATCTCATGAGTTTTTTGTTTGATTCGGATTTTCATGGTATTAGAGCATGTTTTGAATTGAGCTTTACACGATGAGTAGCGGCATAATTGATAGAATTGAGAAACTAAACACATCCCAATGCATTGTACCCCCACCGAGGATCGAGTCAAAACTCACATTTAAATTCTCTATCCTTCTTAATTGAGTCATATGTTCTTTATTTGAACTTTGATTTTAGAACTTCTGCATAGGAAGAACACATTAAGTATTATCTAAAGAATGGTAGTCGCCATTGATATATTTTGAAAAAATAAATGGACCTTCAAAGCACATACTTTTTTTTCATTATACCATCATTGTATTTGTATCGCTTTGTACCATCACCGTACCAATATCATACATCAAATTATCCAATATGTCATCATACCACCTATAGTACCAGTGACATATCATATGAATGAATAGATTGCTCGTGAGATGAATTTCTTTTTTTTTTTCCAAAATATATCAAAATAATATTATCTTATTTTTTCATGATTTTTTTATTAGAGGTAGAATGAAGAGATATGATTCGTTAAAAATTTGTGGAAGATTCAAAAAGTCTCTTAATTGCTTGTTGAAGAGCCACTCATATTTCCTGAAATTCCACCACAACTACCAAAAAATCAAATATGAAAAATATATTGATTTCCCTCCTTACCCCATTTAATGTGAACCATCAAAACATTTAGAGCAACCCCTATAAAATTCTATCTCATTTGGAGCTCGATATGATATATTTATAGGCTTCAAAAGTAGGGTTTTCTTAGATTTTGCTAGGGATAACTCGTCTTATGGAGTCTACTACTAAGCTATCACACAACACTCTCGAGTTGTGAACTTCCTAAGTTGCGTATTGGCCACTTCTTTGGTTTTGGCAGCTTTGGCCATATATAATTTGGGACGCCAAGAACACCACTTGATTAGTCAGGGCCATAACTCATTCATCTGATCTCAGAATTCATCACCGTTTGAACCAAGACACTCCTATTCTTGCCCTCTTTCATGTCATAGATTATTTTTCTTATGCCTTGTCCTAGAAATATCCAAAAAAGTACCAACAATGCATCGAACGTGTAAAAACCCCCCATAGAGGTTATTAAAAGCACTTGAGCAAGTATCAAACAAATCCAAGATATAATGGCTAAAGAAGTCATGATCATAGAACGAGATAATAAAAAAAGTCTATTTTACAAACTCTTGCATAACAAAAGTTATACACTGGAATGATGTAGATCCATGGTGTTACGACTTTGAACATTTTACCTCAAGATTACAATAAAATTGAACATTTGAAAGGACTTCATTGAGAATCTAAGACATGCAACTTTGTCCAAGTCAGTGACTCATGATTGTTAGAAAAAGCAAAGGAAAAGAGGCTACCTTTTTTTGCATTAAGATACCAAAGTTGAATAAGGAAGTCTCAGGCTACCCATCTTCTTTTTGCAGGATACCTTTCAAGCAGGCAATGAACACCATGGACGACTTTGATCTTGTGGTCTGCTTTGCTTCCACTAGTTTGAACTACTTTGCTTATTCATTAGCAGGGTTCAGCTCTGTGAGAGTCGTCTGAAACACCTTTTATTCCAATCAATCCTCCTTTTGATCTCTCACAAAAAGGAAGGCATCATTACTCAATTTATATACATTTTGGGAGCAAGTGTGTATGTGTTGCTGTTCTGAGTGTGACCTTGACTTGGGCAATGGGCATATATGCATTCTCTTGGACTCGTTCAAAATGTGCAGTTCAAAGTGTTCCCATAAAAAGGAGGAAACAGTCTTCCAAAGTTGATAAAAAGGGCATACAATTATGTGACATCTACCAGCTTCATTGTTTTTCAAAAGACACTTTTGTTTATATTATGGTACATGATCCAAGAAAGAGTAAGGAATAAGGACAATGCAAAGCAGACCATCATTCTCTGCGTCCCCACTTCATTGACATTAAGGTTTGGGGGGTTGGTTTAGTGTAAAATTATAGCCGCTTTTTGGCTTAAAAACTCTAAACCGTTTTGCATTTTGCAAAGCTATGGTTTGGTGTATAATCCACCAAAGGGATGTTGTATAATTTGGACTTTCGATAGGGTTATAGGGGTAAGAAGAATGGGAAAATAGCAGAAAGAAAAAACATACAAGATACGAGATTTACTTGTTCCGTAAGTGTGTAAGTGTGAGAAGTGCCAATTTTTTTTTATAAAAAATAATCATATATATTGATTGGAAAAATAGATCAGTACATCCTGGAACGAATCCATGCCACAATCAAAAGAGCAACACATAGTTGGGTTCAAGGAAAGGGCTTTGCGAGCCATCAAATGGGCTAACCTATTACTACGCCGACCTACAAATCGCATCCTAAACCCTATATGCTCAGACCGATAGTGCAAACCTTCACGGAAAATGGCACCCGCACGACTATCACTATCTTGAGTTTGGTTAAGGCTATCAATAACGACCTTAGCATCACCCTCGAATCGAACCAACGACAAACCCTTTTGAACGCACCACAGGATCGCCTCTCGAAGGATCAAGAGTTCCACCAGCATGTGGTCACACATCCCGGGGAAATGAACGGCTGTAGCCCACATGATCATCCCTCATGGTCTAGGAGGACCATCCCCCCAGCTGCATGGGAGCCTTGTCTCGTCGCCCCATCCCACCTGCAAACCACAGTACCAGAGGAGGTAGGTGGCACGCCACCCACCCCAGCCAACGGAGCACGAATAATCTTTTCTTATGTAAAGCAGTCCACTCGTGCAATTGGTGCTGGTATTGTCTCAATAGAGCTGGGATCCCAAACTGTTTGCCATAAAAAAACAACCCAGTTACGAGATTTCCATACCCGCTACAGCACGGCCACAATCGCCATTACTTGGTGTGGGTTCTGGATGAGAGCCAACAGTTTCTTAAGGAACAGAGGGAATGTATGACAAGGGAGTCCCTGCCCTAGATGCTCTAAGCCAGCATAATCCCACAACGCTCGAGCTACAGGGCACTCCAAAAAGATATGCTCAATACTTTCAGCGTCCGCCCAACAAACCAGACAACGAGGATGTACCAGAAAATTCCATTCAATAAGGGCTTCCGTTGTGGGGATGAAACAGTGCAGAATTTGCCGAAGAAAGACCTTCAGCTAGGGAGGAATTGAGGAGTTCCAAAATCGGATCCAGCTGACCGTAGGGCTCCACCTTCCCTGCTGTTTATCTACTTGCACTGCTAGGTGGTAAGCTGATTTGACGGTGAAGACCCCATCACAGGTGTCATGCTAGACGAGCTTATCCTCTATATCCTGCCGAGGTAACGTGATAGCCTTAATAGCACGATAAGTGCCAGGGTGGAACCATTGGGCCAGTTTTTTGTCAGACCAGCGTCCCTCACCCGAGACCAGCAACTCAACCACTTTTAGATCACCCTCTTCCGATAGCACCTGGGGTTGTAAGTGGGGATATCCGGGTGTAGGCATGGTATCCAACTAGAGTGCAATGCCGACACCACTCGGCCATTCTCAATCTGTCAGCAGAGACTTCGATCCAACAACTAGCGCCCATAAAGGATACTCTGTCATCCCCAGGAAGGACAAGAACGTGCAGTAGCGGTGAGGAAAGTACCATTAGGAAAATACTTCCCTTTATACACCTGAGCAAGGAGGGAATGAAGATCATTGAGGATACGCCACCCTATCTTGGCAAGGAGTACCTGATTTAAATGCTCAAACCGGCGGAATCCCATACCTCCCTCATGCTTACTAAGAAACATCTTTCTCCAAGACATCCACCTAATTCGCGAATGACCATCCTCCACCCCCACCAGAATCTCGCCACAAGTATGTCTAAGATTCTACACAACGTGAGAGGTAGTTTAAAGTAGGACATAACATGTAACGGAAGAGACGAGGCAACCGACTTAATCAAGGTTTCCTTTGCGTCCCATGAAAGCGTCTTTTGGGCCCACCCTTGGAGACGAACCGCCAATCGTTCTTCCACGAACCGGAATGTGGCTAACTTAGACTAGGTTATAAGCGTAGGCAGTCCCAGGTATTTGTCTTGTACCCCCACTGCCCCTACCCCCAGCACCTGATCCGGGATCGATATATTTTTACTGAAACAGACCGCCGATTTTGCCAGATTGACTCGTTCGCCACTTAGTTCCTCATATTCATTCAGAACATCGATCAAATTCTCACATTGTTGCAAAGAGCCTCGTAAAAACAAGTATGAATCATCCGCAAAGAACAAGTGAGAAATCCTAGGTGCCCGGGGGCCCACTTTAACACCTTCCAGCTTCCCCTCTGAAATGGCTTTACGGAGAAGGGTAGCAAACCCTTCCGTGCACAAAACAAACAAGAGGGGAGAAAGCGGATCACCCTGCCTGAGACCACGCGTGGGCTGGAAGAAACCATGAGGTGTACCATTCATTAATATCGAGAAAGATGAAGATTAGAGGCATTCCCGGATCCAGCTAATCCAGGTAGGACTGAAGCCAAGTCTTAATTTTTAGATAATGCATTAATTCATGCCCCAGAAGCACATTCTCCACAATTTGTCTTTCCCGGATGAAGGCATTCTGCCCTTCCGAGATGATGTGAGGGAGAATTTGGGCAAGTCTTGCAGTCATAATTTTGGTGATAATTTTATAAACAAACTAGCATAAGCTTATCGGCCGAAGTTGTCGCACAGACTCCACATTATCCACTTTCGGGATGAAAGTAAGCCAAGTATGGTTGAAACTTCGTAAAATCCGGTTTGTTCGAAAGAACGAGTAGACAGCTTCAACCACCGACCCGCCCACAATGTCCCAGAAAGCTTTGAAAAATTTCCCTGTAAAACCATCTGATCTAGGCGATTGTTTTGATCCCCATGGAGAAGACCGTGCGCCGAACTTCCTTCGGTAGGACCTCTGCCGTTAAGTCTGCATTCATTGCATCATTCACTTTCCGCATGAGTTTTTGGATATTTTGTTATAATTATTTGTTATAAGTGTTCTAGTTGGATTAGAAGATGTGTTAGTTCTTGTTTAGTATTTAATTAATGTTTCTTGTAAGGCAACAAAGAGGATTCAAGTAGGATTAGCGAGAGAGGCCGAATGCGTTGGGTGGGAAGGAAAGATATTTGGTTGTATATCTTTATAAATATGTGTTTGTCTTGTGATTAATAATATTAAAATATTTGAATCCATTTTATGTTTCTTGCTTTTGTTATGTGATTAGTAATTTCACAACTATTTTATAGTTGTTCTCCCTATTAATGAGATATATTGTACTCGAGAATTTTCAAACAAGCTATCCTAAAATCTGAAAACAAAAAATTAAGTACATAGAAGTCAGCCCTGATGAAGCATATATGTAACATCTTAATTAGTTCATATTGTAAGATCCAAGATCTTTGGGCCATGAATATGGGCTTAACGGTCATGAATTTAGGTGGATACCATTGGGCCATGTTGATTATGGATGTACCTTGTTGGTGACTACTACCTTCACCTTGCTGTCTGATCTTGCTTGGTAAAACTAACGCCGTCCCTAACTATTACGTGATTAACCATAGAATGATATATATGATTTAGTCTTCTTCAGGTCCAATGACAGATAGTTTCTTCCTCCAAATTTTTTTTGTTATATTTCCAATAGGCACCAATTACAATTGGACACATCTCAGCGGAATTTGGTTTGTTTTTAGTGTACAATAACACTCTAACAAGATTCGAGATTATCAGTTCTCGTGACTTTAAGGTTTTACTTCTTATTCTTTATTATTTGTGCACTCGTAGAGCATCATGTGTGTATTGCAATTTTCGGGTACAGGAAATGATGTAGCAGCTTCTTCAAAGAAGGATGCAAACTAGGTTTGTTTTGTCGAGCGTTACTTTATAAGAATTTCAAATTGGATAAACAGTTAGACTAGAATCGTCAACTTAGCGGTAGATCACTCATGTGAGGTTGGTGCCAACCATATTCCAATAGATATCATGGTACACAAATCCTTCCGTAACCAGTAATTACTCTACACCGTTTGTTTTCCCTTCTTGCCCTGTTTTTTTAAATCGACGATTAAAGTTACTTTAGGGTAATTTTAATAACGAAAAAGATACCTATATGTGATTATTTCCCTTTACAATATGATTTTTCATTTAGCTCTTCTCAAACCCTAACAAATAATCTCCCCTCCTCTCTCTCCGGCTCGTCCTCCATCTTTGCCGCTCTTCCTCCATCCTTGCCCATGGACATGCACTACCATATTTGCGGAAGTTCTAGAGTTACTTCAGTAAAACAGAAGTGACAATATGGGCCTGGTATTGTTTCGTGCGGGTATCTAGGAATGGCAATGAGACATGTTTGGGGCGCATACTGCTAAATCTATGCCCTGCTCTGTCCAATAATTCATAACTAGCTCTGCTCCGTGCTCCTCCCATGGATCGACAATTTTTACCCCATTCATTGCCTCGCATGGATCGGATAAACTACACCATGATCCATCTTTTAAGATTAGAAGGAAGGATCGGATAGGGATTTGTAGAGGCACATCGACGGTAAAGGCTCCGTTCATTGCTCTGTAACCAATAAGGAGGCGTTTACTTGGGGGATCAGCCAACGCCGTTATCGGTGGCTGCCCCTGTGCGATGTTGGTTGATCCCCCCATAGAGTGAGAGTGTCGTATAGTGTCCCAATATTTCTTTACATACGATCTTCAATAGGGAGAGGATACGGTGACAACCCCCTAAGGGGTTGTCAAATTCTGAAATTCACTAACCACTTCATAGCCCTTGGATACGCTCGCTCTCTTGTATCTTTCTTCGTTTTTCAAATTAACGGTTAAGATTAAAGGAATGGTATTTTTGGAAGGAAAACATTTACCACACCCAATCATTCACCCTACCATATAAATAGAAAAAACTCTAACTCCTTCCTCCTCCCTCTCTCCCGCAGCCATCACTCGCAGAGCACTCCACCGCCACAACCCTCCACCGCTGGCACCGTCGCCCCTGTCTCCCGCAGCCGCCTACCTAGCCCTCTACCGCCGCCGCCGCTGCAATCCTAGCCTCCCTCCACCCCCTGCCATTGCAACTCTCTCCCGCCGGCCCGTCGCAACGTTCGCCTCCCACCACCGCAGCATAATCATCCTCTCCCCGTCGGAGCCCTCTCGCCGCCCTTCGTCTCCCACCACCGCCGTCGTCGCGAGGTCACCCTTTGCCTCTCTCTCCCTTCACCAACTCCCCTTTTCTAGATCTGGGTGTTTTTACTAGTGATACCATTTTCTTCTGGTAGCGTACTAGTGATAGTGGTACACTACCACTACCATCAGGTTGCTGCTAGTGGTAGCGTACCACTATCATCTGGTACCACTACCATCTGGTTTTTTGTGTTATTCTCTACTGGTACCGCTACCAATGCTAGTGGTACGCTATCATTAGCATTAGTAGCGCTACTAGTGCTAGTGGTACGATATCAGATGGTAGTGGTAGCGGTGTACTGGTAGCGTACCACTAAAAAAATCATTATCAGTAGACTAATGGACTGGTACACTTTTTAATGCACTGGTACATTTTTTTCCCAGGTTGCCAGAGGGAGTCTACCGGAGAGAATTCGCCGGAAAAAATCTGCTGGAAGGATTTCACTGGGAAAAAAAAGTATGTCGGTTGATGCGGAGTGGCCGCTAGAGAAAGGAAGAGAGATATATAAATGTATAGGATTTAAATTAAAAAAACAACTTGTATCTAATATGGGTTTTTAATTCCCAATGTAATTAATAAAAAAAAACTAATTAATATATTCTTTTTTCATACCCAAAATGCTCTCGGTTGTCAATCTAACAACCCAAAAACCCCATTTAGGATTGTCACCATATCTCGACCCTCTTCAATATATTCTCCCTTCGGCTTTGCGCATGTTCCTAGCCTCCATCGCCTCTTCAAAGTTTGCAGAACAGGGAGAGGCACAAACTCGTTCTTGGTATGATTGGAGAAGAGTGCTATGGAGGATGGAGAATTCAAGAGATAAAAGGTAGGTTTGCAGATTCCCGCTTGTATTGATGGGGTGATGAGAATTAATTAGGAATCTTGAATTGGGGATGGGTTTGGGAATTGGCAAAAATGAATGTAGTCTGTTGATATTCTTTTCACTTGAGATAAGCAGCGCGGGCCGGAGTGGGCTACTACAAAGGATCTATGCCCGACCTGTTCTAACCACAGACCGGGTCAAGCTTCACCATGTTTAAGAACGGATTGAATTTTATCCGTCACATTACAGGTAAGATTGAAGAATATCCGATGGAGCAGATCTGGTTTGCCATCCCCACTGGTATCCGACCATCTGAACTGGTTTTAGTTCGCGTTATATTGGTATCCGTTCATATAAACTGGTATTGTTTCGCGTTGGATTGGCATTCGTTCGTTTGGGATGGCATTAGCGTTGGATTGGTATGCGTCTGTATGAGTTGGTATTGTTTGTGTTGGATTGGTATTCATTCGTTTGAAATGGTATTGGTTCGCGTTGGATTGATATACATTCGTCTGAAGTGGTATTGTTTAACACTAGATTGGTGTTTTTGAAGTGGTAGTGTTTTTTACGATTTGATATCGAGGTATTGGTTCTTCTTAATAGAGACAGGTATTGGTTCTTCTTAATAGAGACAGAGAAGCTTTCTAAAAAAAAAAATAGATACATAGAAGAATCAAGAAGAAGTAGAGAATCTAAAGAGGTGGCCGGAGAAGGAGAGCTGTGATAGGAGAAGCAGAAAGGTGGTCGGAGAACTAGAGGGAGAGCAAAAGGGGTACTTAAAAAGAAGGAAAAAAAACTTTAATTAATATGTAATTTTAACTTCAAAAAATATAATTTGTTAAATAAATAATTATTTTTCATACCCAATTTGCACTGGATTGTCACGATTACTACAACTATAATGAGTCACTATATTGCTTCTCCTTCGGACAATGGTCTAAGGTACTACAAACTGGTTAGTTTTGAATTGGCCAGCGCATTCCTCAATGCTCGTGGTATTGTTATGTCACTCATGTGCTGGGAAACCAACCAAAGAATATTTTGCATATATTGACCAAAACTCCCGCCCTCCAGAACAACTACCCTATCATATACCTAATGGTCTTAGGTATCTGTGTATCCTACCTTGACAACTAACTGCACATAGCCAACCAAAAACATTGGCATTCATTTACACATCAGTTGAAGCATTTGGGAAGCATCCTTGCCTTTCTTGGGCCATGGCAGGCAGCCTATTAGTTGCATCTCACTGAAAACATGACTTGCTTGCTTTCTCCTGTCTGGCAAATTGAGGTAAAATAGACTGTTGTGGAATGGAGTTTTTGGCTGTCCAATGCCCGCTTGCTGTTGGAGAAGGAGAAACCACTTGTAGGAGACCATGCAAGTTGACAAGAGCAAAAACTTGGTTCTCTATTGTATATGATCTTTGTGAGACTGATCCCTGTGTGCCATGGGTTGACAGAGATTCGTTCGCACCGTGGGTAGGTTGCCTCGCGCTGTTTAGGGTTGACCGGTGATCAGATCATTGAGGGTAATTTTCCCCAGGTTCCCGGAGTCTATCCGATCAAAATTCTGGCATATCTGCAGAACATCTTTATCTGTTACCTTCCCCATCTCCTTCAGCTTGTATATCACATATTCTGATTTGCTGCAAGAAACAGGATTCAATAATGAAGTTAATAGGGTAGCCAACAACTGATCCAAAGGAGTTGGGAGCTTTGAGGACGGAAGCACGCAAGAGTTTCTCCATACAGCAAGCCACAGGTTTTTTCTGAGTCCTACCTATTACAGCTCCCTAATGGCATTTGTAACAGAAACTAGCACTCGCCATCAGCAGATAAATAGGCCATGAAAGACAATCAGAATGAATTCTATGTAAAGCCTCCTCGTAAGATATCAATTATGAACAGCATTCCTCAATTCTGTACGAGCCACATCAATCACATTAACAACAGCACAAGGGACAAATAATATTTCTGTTCTATACGATGTACTTCAGCAAGTTAAAACAGCCTCAGTCAGAACGACTACCTCAGATCATAACAGTAAAACCAGAGAAGGATAGCCTGTTTGTTTAGTATCAACAAAAGGTTGCTCTAGAAAAAGTGAACTCAAAAGTTGGAGCTACTATTCACCATGAACCCACTAATTCTTTGAACCAAAGCTCAAACAAACACACTCGGTAAGGCATATCACACTGCACAGTTTCTTTCCCTACCACAAATTATGAACAATTATATTCAACATTCAACAGAACTCTTACCTGACATAACCATTGTGATCAATATCAGCAGCCAGAAACTCCGAGACAGTCATATCATGACCAAGAACCCATTTCGCCATCCTCCTCTGCCTCTTATCAACTCGGGCCTCAGCCAAGTACAAGAAAGCCCTCGCCACAGCCAAAGTTGACACAAGCAACCAAATTGAGGCAAAGATTCGACCTTGCATCGACTTGAAAGCCCTGTCTCCATACCCAACTGTGGTGACAGACATTACGGAGAGGTACAACGAATCAATCCATCCAAGCCGCTCTATGAAATGCATAACAGTAACCCCAATGCCAATGCAGATAATCACAACGCCCAAAGCCAACCCAACCTTCATTCTTATCCTCATTCTCCCCTTCTTCACATCAATAATGTATCTACCCGCAGTTTCCCTCCCCCCAACCCTCTGAGCATTCCTCAACAGATAAGTCTCTTGCAAATCGAGCACATAGCTAACCATCCCAGAAAGCAAAATGTCGATGAATCCAAACCCCACAAGCACAAAAAGAACCGAGAACAATTTGGTGGCGGTGCTGTTCGGGGTGATATCGCCATACCCAATCGTACACATAGTGACAATGCAGAAATACAGAGCATCGACCACAGGGTGGGTCTCGCTAACGGTGAAATCCTTGCGGAAAACCCAATAAATCAAAACACCAAATGTTAAATAGACTACCAGGAGTATAAAGCCCTGACGCACGACGGAACTGGGACCCAATTGAGGGCTGGGATCGGCAGGGTGATGGCTAATCTCGTTGATTGCCGCCATGGCGGGAGCCGTCTTGCAACGATGTAGATTGCTCTTGTGGGGGACCTTGTAATTGGGATCAATCAGCCAAGACTGCGCATCCGGAACCATTGAACCTCCTCCTCCTCCTCCGACCCCTCCCCCGCCGCCTCCCCCACCGCCGCCGCTGCGGTCGTTGTTAGAAAAGACGGATGTACCGGCGGCGGGGTAACGAGGGCTCGGGGAGAGAGTGAGGGCGTCGACGAAGGAGGAAGACGCCCTAGGGGAAGGCGTGAAAGGGCCGAAAATGAGTCGGTCCTTGAGCGCGGAAGGGGTCATGGGGATGGGCAAGGAGAATTCGTCGTTCTCCGGGAGAGGGCAGAGGCAGGGCGGCGGCGGCGGCCGGGCTCTTGGGCTCGGAGCAACGAACGTGAGGAGCGGCTCTTTGTTGTCCATTTTTTCCTTCGATGGGTTCGTGCGCCGGTTGCCAGAATTGAGAGGTGGGTGCTTCGGCTCAACGGGGAAAGAGAAGGGAAGAAAGAAGGCGGTTTGGTGTGTGGAGGATTAATATAAGAGAGTATGATTAATGGTGCATTTTAAAAAGAGAGAGGGCAGGGGAGATGATCAGCCATTAGGAGGTAGATGCGCCATTTCAGTTGGCGATGGCGTGACAGAGCTAAGCACAAGTCCCAGAGATGGAGAGAGAGAGTTTGATTCGGTCAGTCTCTCGGCGGAAGGGAAGAAGGGAAGGCATGAAATGAGAGGCGGACTCTAGCTGGAGATGAGAATAACGCGCGGGGAGGCGCGTGGGAAGATGCCGAATCCTGAAATGAGTAACTGATGAGGGTTTTTATTTTAATGTAATGTTATAAACCAATCATTATGGTGAATGAATATGGGGAATTGCGTATTGGATTGGATCTATTCTTTTTTGCTGCGTTGGATGTAAATGTTAAATCATCAACTAATCAAAATTGTATTGAGATTTGAGAATGACGTCCAATTAATCAAAAATTAGATATGTCATTTTCAAGTTGTACAAATTGAGGGATTATCTTTTTTTCGTAAGTGATTATTCTGGTCTTTGTTGTCCTATCACAAACCAAAGAAAATGTCCCAATGTTAGAAAGTCTTCAAAATATGAGTACGTCGAGAAAATGGATATTGTATCAAGAGATCTAATAAAAAAAATTGGGCACATACAAGTACTTGTCCACATGCGAAGGAGACGGTGAGATGATTATTTATATCGTTCGGAACTATTGATAGGTGGTTGGTCATCACCGGTGGTGTATCCAGAAATCTAAATGAATGAGTTGACTTTGAATCCCTGTAGTTAAAGAGGGGGCTAAGCCCTTAAAAACTGAATTTGTATGAATTTTGCATGTAATTTTGCTGTATTTCAAAGTTCATGACCTCTTTACATAATTTTCTCCAGAAGAATATGCATCGATAGGCACGTCGCTACATGATGGGGAAGAGCTCATCCATTTATCCTATTTGTTTCCAGTTATCTTGAGGATCGTTTATCGAAGCACCAGAATGAATACCTAATTCAAAAAACAAGTTTGCGAGCAACGATTGATGTCGTCCTTCAATAAGTACCTTATGTGGACAGATTATAAAAGTTGTTGGATCACTAGGATGCTCCACACAAAGGAATGGATCATCAACATTAATCTGTGTCCATCGCCTGAATCTATGCAGATGCTATCATTAGAAGGGAGTGCTTTTTCATAGAGAAGCCTTCAAGGTAAATCTCGGACGCAAAACTATTAATATAGCTATTTGATAGAGATCCTACAAATTCTAGACTTGCTGGATAAACGATGGTCACCTTATCCAACAGGCAGAAGATGGCCAATGTTCCTCCCCTTAAAATAACTTTATTTCCAATTACCTTGCCAATGAGGGACATTTTCCTTTTTTTTTTTTTTTTTTTTGTCACATGACGTAGGTTTTCGTGATGTTTCTTGCCTACCGAGCGAGTACTGACTTTTGCATGACTCTCTTCACATTTTGAGTCTCGTTTGATTAGTAATACAAGATAGAGAACTTTTTAGTGCAATGTATGACCATTTAATCACTTTCAATTAACACATGTCAATTGCTTAATGGATTTTCCAATTGAATTTTGACTTAATTCCTCGTTGCGATTTATATTATTTTGGTGAAACGAAATAATCATTCATTAAAAAAAAACAAGCTTTCAACAAGGAGCAAGAAGGATAGCACTGGCAATTTGTGGCTTCTGTGTACAAATAGTGAAATTATTTTTTACTCTATTCAAATCAATTTTTAGATTTTCTTTAACATTCAAGATAATAGTTTCCCGTTATCATTTAACATTCAAGATAATAGTTTCCCGTTATCATTTAACAATTATTTTACCAGTTACAGTCGTATTAACATTACACAAGTATTTATAAAAAAACACTACACAAGTAAAGAAAGTATAAAAATAAATCATCAATACCACGAGAAATAATATGAAAGGGAGTAAGGGACAAGGACTCATATGAGATCTCTCTCTCTCTCTGTTACTTAGTTCTTAAGGTCATTAAAAAAAATACTTGAGGTGGTGGCTTTTTAGATAAGGTAAGCTGTCAGAACTCAAATCTACAAAAAGTAAGTCAGAATTCAAGCATGAATTAATATTTCAAGGCAACGGGAAGACGAATGTAGTGGTTTTCTCCAGTAATCTGCAATGGTTGGATCATAGCTTAGTAAGTCATGTAAATGTTTGCCGGAAAAGAGAAACCTACATGTGAAGATAGGGATGACAATTTTGACTTGCATGGGTATTCTTATCGACCCGACCTGCCCTGACCCGTCCCATTTTTGACTCGTTTTTGCTTATATTACATGTAATTTTAGTCAAATTACTTAGGATTCTCCTTTTATTTCATCATATTTTAGCTATTATAAAGTTGTAAATTAGTGAAAATCTCAATTTCTCCAATAATTTAACTATATTTTTATCATATTATGATTTATTTTTTGGTCTTATAATGAAAATAATGAATATTTCTAATGCTTTCCATATAAATTGAATACTCATTGGGTTTACCCCACCTGTCACGGGCGAGTATGACCGGACCTGCCATTGCCATTCCCATGTGAAGATGACTGTGACGGTGACCATTTGGCTTTGTCGAGTGATTTAATTTTAAGTGATAATTAGACTCATAACCTTAATGAGCTGTAGCCCCGCGGTTTCCATCTATAATAAGTACGATTAAGGCTGGCAAGTGGCAACTTACTCATCTCATATATTCCCATTCCTAGCTATTTATTTATTTATGAAGATGGGCCAAATATACCTTCGCCGAACCTTGTTTGCTATAGGCTATAGCTGCCTGGCTGTGGCTGGCTGCTTGAGGCAATTTTCATTTCCTTCTACATGTCTACTTTTCCTAGTCCAAAGCAAATCCACCCGTGAAATCCATGGCACAAAAAAAAAAAAATCCGGTTGAATGTAGTCGATAGCGAACGTGCAATTCCACGGATAAGGAAACATACCCCACGATTCAAAAGTCCACATAGTTAACAGGACAATAGCATGTCAAATAAGTAACATGAAACGAAGACGGATATCATCGATGATTTACAAATACACCGAACCAAAAGACATCAAAATATGAAAGCCTGACATGGCTGCAAATACCATTAGGAACGACGCCATACATTACTACTGAGACAACTCTCTAGATCAAATGGGGAGACTTGATAACGTGTACTTCTTTCATGGTAAAAATACAGATATGACTTATCCCACAACTCTGCTAGAGAAAAGCCCCTTGATCATGAATCTGCAACTCACCGAAACACGCTGTATAGATGCATCCCAGAAAGAGATCTTCAAATTTCAGTCATCATCGTCCAGAACACTACGACGCCTCTGGATCTGAGATTTCCCAAATAAACTTGTCAGTTTATTTCATACCATGTCTATAACAAGGGTTCATTCAAAGAACGTAAGCAACAACACTAATGACTTACTGTGACTTTGGTTTGTTTGGATGTTTGGGTGTTTATCTGTTCTAGCAGTGAAATCAGCCTCTCTTCTGATACCTGCAAACAGGGTTAGGTTAAAATGGGCTGAATAAATTATAAACTGCGCATAGTGACCAATATTGTGGACACCGCTCTAACATTTACCTTCTCAACAATCTGACCCATTTGGGCCGCTCGAAGTATAACATCTTCAACACCTCTAGCCTTTTCAGGCTTAACCAATGCAATTCTTGCAACTGCAAAAGAGGCAATGTAGGATCACATGCAAAATCAAGCACCCTGGCTGAATCCTCATTCTTTCTTAACAAAAACACAAACTGATGAAGTCAACAACATCCCTTTACCATCAACAAGGGATAAAAGAACAATCAGCTCAACCAAACTAATTGCTAAGTAACGACTGAGACAGCCCTTACACCAGGAAATTTGTATACATGAATTTATACAGTAAAGTTATTCACAAGTTGCAAAAAGCATTACTTACTTCTTTCCCGGGCTTGAGCAGACAATATTTGGCTCAACATCAACTGCCTACGCTCCTCAGCCTCTCTGAATCGTCAAAATGGAGAGTTTAGATGATATTCACAGTCAAGGATTGTGTACATGTTGAAACTGAGTCACCACCAGCGAAGTAGGCAGTTAATGGACACTATTTAGAGAAAGCCATAGAGAACCTCTTAGCATCTTCTTGAGCATTCTGCTGTTCAGGGTTCGGCTGACTTGCCTGGTTATAGTCAGGTTACTTTCCAATCAGCAATTCACCTCCGAAGGAAACATATATGAACACACACAAAAAGAAAAAGGAAGCGGAGGGAGCTATGAATTACCGCGCCGCCGCCGCCGCCACCACGTTGAGCCATTAGCTCCTGCATCCTTCTCTGCCTGATCGCTTCCAGCTCCGGGTCAGCCTAACAAGTAAAGTAGAGCACAAGCTCAGACTAACTGATTACCTAATTGATTTCAGAGAAACCAACTGAACTACAGCTGCCGCCATCACCATCCCCTTCATTCAATTTCGGCGAGGATGTGAAAACACTCGAGGCAAAAACAATAAGAGCTGTAACGCGTACGACGATTGAACGATTTAAAGACTAAATCCCCCAATCAATTCGAGAGTAAAGAGTGAAACCCTAACACCATGAAAGTTCCCAGTTCGCTAAATGACTGGACGGAAATTAGGAACGAAGACGGAAAAGAATAACCGCACCATTGATTCCGACAACGGTGAATGAAATCCGGATGCTCAAAATTCCGGCGGGCAAAGTAACCTTCAGCTCTTCCGAGAGCCGTCTTCAGTGGACCTCGCCTCGTGCTGTTTAGCTTTTTGTTTCGGATTCAGCGTTCACTCGACGCCACCCTCGAACCGATCTTTGAACAAGTGTGAAAGATCGATATGATAATCTGATTATATTCTCAATGATGCAGAGAGTAATTTCTTTAGTCGAGGGGTCAAATTCGTCATTTCGCCATACTTTCTCGGATAGGGGTGTTAAAGTGAGGTCTTTGGGTTGAATCGGGTTGCACATTTTTGTAAAGAGATCTATTAAATTTCCTAACTAAGTTTTAATTATTCATTAGTTTTTGTTTTGTTTTAGTTAGACTAATTATTATATTAGTAATTAATTCAGTTTTAGAAACAGTTTCTTCTAGTGTCTCTGTAGTTCCAATACTCATTTGTTCTTCTACAATATCTGAGACAAAGTATGATAGTTCTAGTATAACCATAGTGATATCGTCTATTGAAGTAAGATCTATAATATATATTCCTTCTATTAACTTATTTATATGGTGAGTATTAGGCATTTTAATGAAGTATTTATATCTTATCTTTTAATTATATTATTAATTCTTGTAGCTTCTTTATTTCACTATTGTTATTATATTGATGAAGTATCGTAATATTTTTTATCTCTTCTTTTTCTTCTTGTTCTTCTTCTTTTAACTCGTTTGTTATTCTTCTAGAGAGGTGTTGTTCATCTAGGCTAATTCTTGGATTAATATAGTTTGATTTAGTTATTTAAATAGGGGATTCTAAATGTATTAATGGTTTAAATAAATCTTCTATAGTAATAACTTCTTTATCCTTGAATGTTAAACTATGATGACTATTGGTTAAAGCGTAGTTTATTTGTTATGTTACTGAAAATGGTTAACTATTTTCTCTCATAAAATTTTCTCTTTTTAATTCATATTTTATAATTATTGAGGAATCAAGATTTCCGTCAATTAGACTTAAATCTTGTTGTAAATTAATATCAAATTTAATTATTCCTACTCCTAAATTTCCTTGTCCTTTTGCTATTATACTTTCTTCGTTATTAATGAGTCTGTCATCTCTTATTTCTAGTTCTATAGGCGCACTTATTCCTGTTTTCATTGTTGATTTAAAAATAATTTGTATCGTGCTAATATGAATATAATTTATTTTACGTGGTTCTTCTTGTTGTAGTTTTGATAACGTTTTTCTAATTTGTAGCTTATTTATTATTTGAATTAGAAAATCTCCTTTGGTCTATTCTATTGTTATTGTTGTTCTCCTATCATCTTTCCATATTTAATTATATTTTTTCTATCAAATAGTTTAGATAAAAATGACTTGGTGATAAAATGTTGGGTTTCTGATAAGGTAAAATTAGTTTGCTCTTTGATTTTTTTGATATCTACGATACCATCTAAGAAATAGTTTTCTTCTTCATTCTTGTTTAAATAATCAAAATATTTTTTACTAGTACTAGGGTTATCAGACATACATGATTCTTGTTAGTTGAAATGGTTTGATTCCTTGTTGTTTAGCGTCTTCATGGTGATGTTGAGTGAAAAATGCTGGAGATGATCGTTCCCCTCCACTTTCACAGGGGTGGTGTTGGATTGGTATCACCAGTTAGAGGAAGGACGTATCGATTGCTTTGAGTACTTCGCTTTCCTGTTCCTGTCAAAGTTCGCGAGCCGGAAGCGCAGGACCCTCACTATAAGCGCCCTATTCAAAGTTCGCTAGAGGGAGAACGAACCACTTAGGGAGTTTTACGAGCGATGGATGTCGGAGGCTATGGCGGTGAAGGATGTTAAGCCTCCGGTGCTGGGTTGTTGTCTAGACGAATGCACGACCAGCGAAGAGTTGTGTCGGGCGCTCTCGAAGAGGGACGTGACGTCCACTGAGGACCTTGACAGGAGGGTGCAGAAGGTCATTATGTTGGAGGAAACACTTGCGGCTCGCCGATTTGACAGGCGAAAGGGGAAGGCTGAGGAAAACGAAGGTTATCACGCGCCACACGTGCCGCCGGTGACAACAAATGTGTTCCCCGCGCGTCGAATGGAGAACCCAAGACCTATGCAGAAGAGCGAAAGGAACTTCACAGAGCTCAACAACACGCTGAAGAACGTGTTGCAATACGTAAAAGACAAGGGGTACCACTTGAGGTGGCCAGGACCCATGAGGGGGCGCCCAAACGAGCAAAATCTCGATAGATATTGCGAATTCCACCGTGAGAGAGGGCATCACACCGTAGATTGCTACCAGTTGAAATCCGAGATCCAAGTGTTAGTGGACAGAGGAATGCTAAACGAGTTCGTGAAGAAAGGTGACAAGAGGGCACAGCGGACGTTCGTGGCGCGGGAGGCCCAAGCAAAGGCGCCTTCCCTAAAGAAGAGGTCGCCTTGCCACCACCCCCATTCGACGTAGAGCAAGAGGCCAACCCAAATCGTGTAAGGCTGACCATAGAAGCTATCACCGGATCAATAGACCTGAGGCAGAAGCTGGAAGAAGGGAGACGGCTGAAGTCGGCCACCGCAAGCGCGAGGGAGGCCATACAAATACGCTTCAATGATGTGCCCGAGGAGGCGTGTCGGACGCCCTCCACTGAAGCGCTGTAAATCCGGGGCATGGTGGCTGGGTGTGAAGTCAAGAGGATGCTGGTTGACACAGAAAGCTCAATGGACGTGTTGTTTTTGTCCACGTTCAAGAAAATGCAAATGGCGGCCAGCATGGTAGAACCGGCGGACACAGTGCTGATTGGATTCTCGGGGGCGCCGGCTAAAGTTCTTGGACGCGTGCGCCTCCCAATGACGTTAGGCGACGAGGCACATAGCGTGACCCACACAGTGGAGTTCGGTATAGTCGACTGCCCTTCACCGTACAACGCGATTTTGGGACGCTCCTGCTGGCCCTCATTAAAGGAGTGGCCTCTTCTTGCCATTAGACATTGAAGTTCGTTACCTTAGAAGGACTGGAATATCAAGAGGGAAGGCGTCCGCGGAGGCGCGTCTGGCCAAAAGGAGCCGAATGTACAATATCGACGTGCGCCCCGAGGATTTGCCAAGGGCCAAGGCAGCAGACGGGGAAATTCATGTACCACTGGATGATCTGCGCCCTGACATATGCGTCCGCATCTCGGCACACACGACAGGCGAAGAGTTGGAACCCCTGGTTCGCTTGTTGAAGGAATTTGCGGATTTATTTGCATGGAGTGCAAAGGAGATGCCCGGGGTAAAGGTGGAAATTGCAGAGCATCGCCTGGAAATAGCAAAGGGCGTGCGCCCCGTCCAACAGAAGAGGCGCCTGATCTCGTTAGAAAAAGAGGAGGCACTTAGAAAGGAGGTAGAGAAGTTGGGAGAAGCGGGGTTTGTAGAGGAAGCCAAGTACACAACGTGGCTATCCAATGTTGTTTTAGTGCATAAGGCGACGGGGGAATGGAGGATGTGCGTGGATTACACCAGTCTGAATCGGGTATGCCACACAAACGCCTACCCCATGCCAAGGATCGACCAACTGGTGGATGCGACCGCATACCATGAGGCGCTTAGCTTTTTTGATATGTTCTCGGGCTACCAACAAATACCCATGTGCAAGGAAGACATGGATAAGACTACGTACATGACTCCATTTGGGAACTACCGCTATAAGGTGATATCATTCGGGTTGAAGAACGCGGGAGCCACGTACTAGTGTATGGTGAACAAAGTGTTCCAACATCAGATCGGGCGGAACGTGGAGGCATACGTGGATGACTTGGTGGTTAAAAGCAAGCATAGGAGAGATCATTTGGCAAACTTGCGCGAGACCTTCCAAACCTTGAGGACACATGACTTGCGCCTTAACCCTTTAAAGTGCGTCTTTGGGGCAAAGGCGGGGAAGTTCTTGGGTTTCACGATCACAAAGTGCGGCATCGAGGCAAACCCCAAACAGGTGGACGCGATCAGACGCCTCCAACCTCCGCGCACGCCTAACGAGGTACAAAGCCTGAATGGACGACTGGCCGCTTTAGGGTGCTTCATACCCCGCTCAGCAGACAAGGGCACCCTTCTTCCGAGTACTGAGGAAGGCTGACACGCTAAAACACAACACCAAACGACACCAAACTGCGACCAAGTGTAATCGCAGTCCGGAAATGCAGTAAAGTGGCAAGTTCTAATTATCAACCCGGGGTCTAGATCTACTGCCTATTCCATGTTTATCTATTATCTAGCAAACTAAGTTGAGTGATTGTGAGTTTAAGCGAAAACAGTAAGAAAGCAGGAAATGGTTCAAAGTTCTTTAGCAAGGGAAGAGTCACTCGGGAATGAGTCCCCCTAGCTCCTTAGTTAGGTCGAGGTTGTAATTACTAATTACCCTGGGTTGATTAACTGTCGATTAAACTGCGGAAGATCCGACAGTAGCTTGGAATCTCTTAAGCTGACCAAGCCCTCTCAGTCAAACTACCCAGCAGACGACTAGTCTTCACCGGGATAGAAAGCTGAGGCTATGAACACAGAACTCAACTACTGGAATTGAATTCCAATGCAAAGCAGTAAATCGATTATTTCTCGTATAACCAATCTACCACTACCGATTGATGAAGCTCTAACAACCTAATCAGATTTTATCTATCTCAGGTTGCATCAGAAATCAAGAAAAGATTACCAGGCTTTAATTGACTCAATGAATCATGCATCAATCGATTAAAATCAATCAGTATAACAATCCCAAGTCATTACAATCAAGATCCCTAACACATGGAACTAGGGTTCTTCATACCCAAGTGAGAGAGTCAGAGAGAGAGGATAACAGAAATCAAAGTAGTCATACTCATAAAGATGAGGAAAATCTGCTCTGGGATGATGATCTTCACTCCTATGATGATCTCCAAGCTTGATTGATAAAACCCAGCTCCAAAATCACCTCTAGGGTGTGTTCTTCGCACTTTCTCTCTCTAGGGCTCTGTTTTTTGCTCAAAAACTCGATTCTCCCAAAATATGAACTCCTCTCCAAATAAAACCCGCACAGGTGCAAAAACACGCCTCTAAGCCCAAAAACACGGCCGTGTTTTAATCAAAAGAGGCTGGGTTTTTGAATGGTGATTCTGTGAAGGGTAGAGAAAAAACACGGCTTCTAGCAAAAGGCCGTGTTTTCACACCAGAGGGCGTGTTTTTCAACAGCCCTGCTGCCCGGTTTTCGCGATCGATGTTCTTTCACCTCCAAATGTCCTGAAACTTGCCCCAAGGCCATATTTATGTACTAGGACCTGAAATACGACAAGAGAACACAACCTAGTATGAAATAGGCCAAGGAATGACCAATCACTAAGCTAAACGATCAAGAAATGATGGGGAAAACATGTGCAAATACGGTGTTATCAAATTCCCCCACACTTAACCGTTTGCTTGTCCCCAAGCAAACCAAGTCAGATACAAGGTAAGCTCAAAGCATCTTAATCATGCAACCCTTGTGGACATATATATCGGCACAAAACACGTGAATCATATTGGCTTTTGATCATTAACACATGGACAACTTCAACAGCAACCTGGACAACCACCACATAAGACATTCGAGTGCAGCAAAATCGGGTGAAGGAAGAGTCTCCCTTCTGTTCACCAACCAACATAGACTCGACTCAACTACTTAGCCAAGACAGTCATCGTATGCATCAAACTCAAGACATCAGAATCAAGACCGAGCCATCTAGGTCCTCACCGGGGTAAAGAGTATAAAGAACAAGGAAATGAATCGCTCACTCTTGACCAGTGGGGTCATGACAATTTGATGCGAAAAATGCACATGCTTATTCTCTCATTCCCTAACGTCTCTTCACCATGACGACAGCCTCTAAATGTTAGAGTTCACATATTGGGTGTCATCACTAACTAATCCGGAGGTCTTAGACACAGGTTCAAGTGACTGGCTAGGGTCTTGGACATGGGGAAAAAGCCTTTTAGGTGGTGGAAGTATTCATAGCACAAGGTTCCACTGTTTCAAACCCAACACAATCACAACCAATCAAACCACTTACTTTCTTTCTGCTATTCTGCATTACTCAAATTCCTTAGAGCACAAGAGCGAAGGAGGTCACAATAATGTTAGTATTTCCAAGCCAGACTGCTAAGAAACACTAATTAATAAGCATGATTCAAATTTTTGGTATTGGCTCTCTTTTGCTTTCATTCATCTTTTTTTCTTCTTGTTTTTCATTTCTTGAGAGAACCAACACCTCTGCACATTTTTCAAACACATGCCCAACTTTTAAGCACTACCTCCAACCCTCACATTATTTTTAGCAGAAACAGCAGAGAATAAGCAAAAACCACTCTGTGGAACCTTCTAAGAGATGCAAAAGGGTGATTTTCCATTGTAGACCGAAAGAAAGGAAATTACACGGCTCAAAAGGGCTGACTAGGGGGTATAACACACCAGGACAGTCAATTTGGGAGTGGGCTATTCCTATGCCTCCATCATCTTAGCTAATGACAACGTGAATGCTACACATCATGGAAGAGGGATCTATCACACAAAAAAGAATTGAGCAGGCTCAAATCTCACATGGCTACCTATATGCTCTATCTCTCATTCTGATTCCCTGAACTAGATGCATAAACGACTGTCAAGAACAAGTGATCAATCCAAGTCACAGTTGGTAAGCAAACAATTGAAAAAAATGGAACCCCTACACTACTCTATTGCCCGTCTCAGTCATCATTATAGGTTGTCCTAGTCGCAATCCAGTTGTCATGCGTCAACTCTAACAATCATTCGATTCACCAATTAAACCACTGTGCCAATATGATCATCCAAACATCAGTACTTGGAGCCCTCAAATATCGAGATTTGAACAGTGGACTAGGCTCCAAGCACACATATATACGTTCCAATAAATACAAAGCACCCCCCCCCCCCACACACACACTTATGCTCGACATTGCCCTCAATGGAGCAGAGGGAAGGGGAGCGATGTTACCGTGAAATAGTGGTCAGGAAAGGTGACTGGAGGGCGGACCAGTCAAGAGCAGGGGACTTGACAAGGACCATTCCAACTGGCATAGAGCTAGAGTCATCAAAACACACACACATTGGGTGAAAGAACCTGGGTTCCATGTGGACAAACCGAAAGCAAACGAAAGGAAAACAAACCTTGGTGGGGTTGCCTCCCCACAAGCGCTTATTTACCATCGTGAGCCAGACGGTGGCTCTTAAGTCTCGGTCCACCACAAAACCTCTTTGAAGTTAAGGTTCTCGTCGATGACGTGGAGTCGAAAGTCACAAGCAGGTGATGTGATAAGTGATGAAGATGGCTCATGGTCTTGAGGAAGATGAAGTCTCCACTCTTGAGACCTCTCCTTCGCGTCTGCTCTTGTCTCATTGCCCCAAACTAGATAAGATATCCTCAATTGACTACCATCGCATCCACCAAAAGGGATTGATGTTGATGTGGTCTTGGTCTGGCAAAGAGACACTGCAAATGGGTCCTTGCGAAGAAGCTACTCGAAGTTTGGTGGAGATATCACATGTAACTCATGGCCGGTGCAAGCCTCTTCCACCTCAACTTCATCCTCAGCCTGGACACCAGTCGCTTCTTCAACCCCCCCCCCCCCCTCCTTCTTCCTCAGAATTTGATTCCTCCCCTGGGAAAAGATTAAGAACTTCCTCTTCTTTGCTTTCTTCCTCATCCTCCATAACTTATTTCCTCATCCTTTCCCTCTCTTCTTCTTCCATAATGGATTGGAGAGCAAGTCGCCATGCAAGGTTCTCAATAAGTTCAGCTTGCATCTCCTCACGCATGTCTGCCTCTTCAAAGTTAGATGAGGAATGGGAAAAGGTGTGGTCGGCTACTACAGGATATTCCTGATCATGATCATCACGGGAGCTCTCTGTGACAACTTCTGTCTGCTCCACAATGTTCTTGTAGACTTCTTCATCCTCCTCCACTTCTTCTAGGGAAGCAGAAAGGCGATCTTGAGCAGACTGTGACAAACTTGCTCCACCCACTCTGTTTGCTTTGCTGAGCATTGAACAGCCTCCTCCATTTCATGGAGAAATGAGGGATCAGAAGGGCTAAGGGCTTGGATTTGAAGATCCATCTTGGAGCATGATCTCTCCGTGTCTCGAGCAAAATGCTCCACAAGAAGCCTCAATTGTTTGTCCGGATCTGCCAGTGGAGTGTAGCATGGCTCTGCAGAATGGCCCGTGAAGGCCGCCATGGCTAACTCCAACTCAGATGGCCCCTCCGGTTGTGGAGGAATTCTTCTTGAAAAGGAGATTGTTCTTGAGGTTCCCAAGGGTTTGGTTGTTCTCCGTTAGGGATGGCAATGGGTCGGGTTTTGCCAAACCCAAACCCGTGGGTTTATCCGTGAAAAAAACCCGGGGTAAAACCCACTGGGTTTGAAAAACTCAAACCCAACCCAACCCGCTGGGTATCCGCGGGTTCATGGGTACCCACGGGTTTTTGTCGTAAAAAATTTACAATGACAAGTTCCTATCAAAATTAAAGTCAAATATCAATCTCTCAATACAAATTATCCATATATAAAACACCATTCTAGAAAATACAAGCAAATCACAAATTAACTATACAAATTGTTCAACACCAATCTAGAAAACTCTAGAAAATTGAAGCAAATCACAAATTATCCATATATAACATGATTAATTGAAAGCTTCTTCCTTTCAATTAAGTTTCTTCACTCTCCACTCGATAACATCAACTTCATTCTACACAATTAGAAAGAAAAAATTAGACATGTCTCCACAAACATAAATAAGATTAGTTGTTTAGAATGTTAAATATACCGATAAAATTAATTATATAGGTGTGGGAGGGTACCCATGGGTCGGGTTTACCTAAACCCAAACCCAACCCGGTGAATAGTGAACGGGTTTAAACCCACACCCGGCCCAAAACGCGTCAACATAGATTTTACCCGGGTTGGGTCGGGTGGGTACCCGTGGGTTCGGGTTTTGTTGCCATCCCTATTCTCCGTAGTAGGGGGGTTGGTACTGACATCCGAATCCATATTCTTCTCCTCCTTGATTTCTCCAGGAAGTCTCGGGGTAATACCACCCAAATGGTGGTTGATACCCCCAATGGTTGGAGAAGCCATGAGGAGCCATGTTTCAGATCTGCACCAACAAAAACACAACACCCAAGTGAAAAGCAAGGGTGGAAAATAAAAGGAAAATGCTAAAGTAACAGACTTTCACGTTTCTACAATAACCTAGGGTCCCCGGCAACGGCGCCAAAAACTTGACACGTTAAAACACAACACCAAACTGCGACCAAGTGTAATCGTAGTCCGGAAATGTAGTCTAGTGGCAAGTTCTAATTATCAACCCGGGGTCTAGATCTACTTCCTACTCCATGTTTATCTATTATCTAGCAAACTAAGTCGAGTGATTGTGAGTTTAAGAGAAAACAGTAAGAAATCAGGAAATGGTTCAAAGTTCTTTAGCAAGGGAAGAGTCACTCGGGAATGAGTCCCCCTAGCTCCTTAGTTAGGTCGAGGTTGTAATTACCCTGGGTTGATTAACTGTTGATTAAACTGCGGAAGATCCGACAATAGCTTGGAATCTCTTAAGCTGACCAAGCCCTCTCAGTCAAACTACCCGTCAGACGACTAGTCTTCACCGGGATAGAAAGCTGAAGCTATGAACACAGAACTCCACTACTGGAATTGAATTCCAATGCAAAGTAGTAAATTGATTAACTTTCGTATAACCAATCAAGAAAAAATGATCAGGTGATAACGATGTAATTGCACATATTTGCGCCCTTAGTTCTTATCCGTTTGAGGGGCATAGTCGTGTATTTTGGCCTATTTTACGCAGGGTTGTGCTATTTTGTCATGTTTCAGGTCCCAGGTGTCAAAGGGAAGGCTAAGCGCTAGTTTCGGGGCATTCGGAGGTCATTTCGTCAAGCTGGAGCCAAAACACGGGCACACCTAAAACAGTACACGGCCGTGTTCTGTGGCCGTGCTTTTTATGCCGAGAGCTGAGCTGATTACACGGGCAGGGCCAAAACAAAGCACGGGCGTGTTCTGCCAAAGCACGGGCGTGTTCCACCAAAGCAAGGCCGTGTTTCTCCCAATGCACTGGCCGGGTAATTAACACTAGCCAAAGCACGGGCGGGCTGAGGCATTACACGGTCGTGCCCTCGACCATGCTTTGGCTGATGCCCTTTTAAGCCGATTTTCAGCCAAACAGAGGGGGATTCGAGTTTTTGAGAGATAGAACGATTCCTAGAGAGAGAAAGTGACGAGCAAGAGTTCCCAAGTGCCCTAGATTGATCTTCAACACCATTGGAGGCCAGCTCGAGCTTGGAGAAGAGCCAATCAACGTCCAGGAGCCGGAATCCGTCCTTCGCAGTATGAATTCCGTGTCTGATTCTGCTTTTGCTTTCTTCTCCATGGAGTAGTTCTCCCATTCATCTGGGTATGGAGAACCCTAGATTTGTATGTTAGGCTTTGATTGTATGAACCCAAGTACTGATTCTGTGATTGATTATATTCGATTGAGGTTTTAATGATTGAATGACTTGAATCCTGATCAAATTCCTGTTGTTTCTGCTTTAACCTAGAATGAGAATATCTGCCTAGGTTGATAGAGTATCCTTGATTGAAGGTAGGGAGTTGGTGACTTTAGTCGAGGAACCAACTCACTATTCTGTACCGGATTTACTCCGGTAGTGGAGGTTTTGTTCTTAGGGCCTCAATCTGTCTACTCCGGTGGAGGTTAGTCGCCCGCTAGGGATTCAGATTGAGAGGGTCTGAAGACCTTTAGTCGAGACTTCAGGCTGTTTAAGAACCGTCCGCAGTATAACTAGCATAGAAACTGAACTTGGTAATTACAATCCGGCTTAACTGCAGTCTAGGGGGAACCATATCCGGGTGACCTCTTAACCTGAATACAACAGTTTACTTGCTTTGTTTGTTTGATAGTTTAGACTTGAATTCCAGTTTCATTGCTAGATAACACGAATTCACTGAGTAGTCATCATATCTAGGACCCGGGTTGACATATAAACCTAATCCGCTATACTACGCTTTAGGAAGTGGTTTCACTTGGCCAATTCCTGGAGTGACAGTAGAGTCGAGTCAAGTTTTTGGCGCCGTTGCCGGGGACGGCTAGGTTGTTGAAGAAAAGTGATTTCTGTTAATTTAGCTTTTCTTTTTGCTTTGTTTGCTTTGTCCCACTTGTGCCTTCACGGGTGTGCTGCTTGAGTGTGTGCAGGTAGTGCATGACCCGTAGCCAGTCGTGAGGTTTACTGCCGTTGAATCCAGAGATTGACCGCACCTGTCGCCAGCTCAGGAGACAACAGCGAGCTAGACTGGCTACGGAAGAGCGCATAGACGGCCACCTGAGTAGCGATTCTGAAGAAGAGTACAGGATGGACGGAGACTACAATCAACACCAGGGGAATCCTCAGCAGGCTCCCCCGGTGAATCAGGTCCTGGGGAACAACCCCATACCCCAGGATCATGGAGTTCATCATCCACCGCAGCCGGGTCCCACCTTGGAGTACTACTACACTCCGCGGATTGCTGACATCCGCCCGGTCATCCTCTACCCGCCTATCCCAGCAAACAACTTCGAGATCAAGCCATGCTGGATTCAGCTCATTACATCTTCCATCCAGTTCCATGGCTTGAAGAATGAGGAGGCCAGGGTGCATCTTGCCCGTTTTCTGCAGCTGACGAACGGGTTCAAGCTGAATGGTGTCCCGGATGATGCAATCCGCCTTCATCTCTTTCCCCATTCTCTGGCGGGGAATGCTAAGAGGTGGTTGGAGACCCAGCCCCCATTGTCCATCACCTCTTGGGACGATCTGGCTGACAAGTTCGTGCACAGGTATTATCCGGCATCGAAGACTACAGAGATTCAGCGGGAGATCACTCACTTCCGCCAAGAGCCAGATGAGTCACTTCGTGATGTATGGGAACGGTACATGGGATATTTCTGGCAGTGCCCCCATCATGGCTTCAGTGATGCATTCACAGTGGGGAATTTCTACAGTGCCCTCTCTCCAGATAGCCAGAGGGTGATTGAGTCTCTATGCCCAGGAGGGGATATTCTTACTAAGACTCCACCCGAGCTGAACCAGATGATCAGTACTTTGGCTGCCAGAGATCATTCTTGGGGACAGGGTAGCCGAGGCAGACAGTCCCGGGACCGTGGTGTGCACGCCATGGAGACCAGATCCGGGCTCGAGCAGCAGGTAGCTGAGCTAGTGCAGACATTGAAGCAGCCCAACAATATTATTCCGGGCAGAGGTTTGGCTACACCTCCAGTTGCTCAGTGTCAGTGGTGTGAGAGCTCCAATCACCTAGTGGAGGACTGCCAGGCTATGAGGGAGTCTACCACACCCCAGGAGCAGTTGGCCTTCATCTCCAATGCGCGGCGCCTCGATCCATACAGTAACACATATAATGAGGGGTGGCGCCAGCATCCCAACTTCGCCTGGAGCAGCAACACCACTAAACCACCTGGTTTCCCAACACCAGCAGGTGGTTTCCCAGCACTAGCAGGTGGTTTTCAGCAGAGACAGCCCTACCAGCCTAGGCAGGGGCAGCCATTCCAGCATCCCCAGCGCCAGTTTGCCGAGCCAGCAGCAGCTCCCGCCCTAGATGACAGGATGACGAAGTTGGAAAACATTCTAGCTTCATTCATGACGAGCACTCAGGCGATTATCACGAGGTTGGACCAGAGTGTAGCCTCGCTGGAGGCAGGTCAGAGGAACCAGGGTGCCATTTTGCAGGATCTACAGACCCAGGTGGGCATCTTGGCCCGCCAGAACACCACCAGGGCACCAGGGACTTTGCCTGCCACCACTGTCCCGAATCCTCAAGATCCTCACCAGCATCAGCAGCTGGATGCCATTTTTACCAGGAGCGGTAAGACAATATCGACTGATCATGTCCCGGCCAGACAGGAGGAACCACTGCCTGCTTCAGCACTTCCAGCCGACGATGCAGAAGTGCGGGTGGAGAAGGAAGCCCCTGCTCCCAAGCCACAACCAGTGGTTAAGGAGCATGTACCCCAGCTTCCCTTCCCCACTCGCCTACATAAAGACAAGCTGGAGACTGAGTTTGCCAAGTTCATGGCAATGTTGAAGCAGCTCAACATCAGCATACCGTTCGTGGAGGCACTGTCGAAGATGCCCAAGTATGCCAAGTTCATGAAAGACGTCCTCACCGACAAGAAGAAACTTGGGGATCTTTCGACAGTGATGCTCAGTGAGGAGTGTTCTGCTATCCTGCAGAACAAGCTGCCCGAGAAGCGCAAGGATCCAGGGAGTTTTACTATCCCTCTCACTATTGGCAACATGCATGTAGGCAAGTCCTTGGCGGACCTAGGTGCTAGCATAAATGTCATGCCATATAAGTTGTTTAAGAAGCTAGACTTAGGTGAACTTAGCCCTACTAGGATGAGCATTCAGCTCGCTGACCGTTCCATTGTGCATCCTAGGGGAATCATAGAGGATCTGCTTGTCAGTGTCGGTGCATTCACATATCCTGTTGATTTTGTTATTCTTGATGTGCATGAGGATGTGGATGTGCCTTTGATTCTAGGTAGGCCATTTCTTGCCACCGCCAAGGCACTTATTGATGTGCATGATGGTAAATTGATCTTGCGTGCTGGGAATGAACAGGCTATTTTTTCTGTGACTGAGTTTGATCACTGTGCTATGATTGCTGTCACGCCTGTGCATGCCATTTCTGATCAGGTACACGAGTCTGTCGTGTACCCTTCTGCACCTCCTATTTTGCAGGACCCTCCTATCATTCCTTCGCCGCCACTCCATCCAGCCTCGCCTCCGAACAAAAAGCTCAAGGAGGAGTGGCGGCCGAAGCAGCAGGTTGCTAAGCCTGCACGGAAGAAGAGTGGAGACCACTATGAGCTGGTCCCACCTCCTGCACCACGACCACCCTGGCCGTCTGGGTACTCGCTCGCCTGCATCTTGCCAGATGGCCAGGTCGAGCTGACTGATGATGGTGGTCGCATCCGTCGGGTGCATGGCCACAACCTGAAGCTGTACCTCAAGAGCGACGTGGATCCGCTCTTGGAGGCACCTGTTCCTGCACCACCCTGAGTATCCACCATGGGCGTCCAGCTAAACGACGGTAAAGAAGCGCTTGTGGGGAGGCAACCCCACCACGGTTTGATTTTCTTTCTTGTGTTTTGAGTCAGATTGTAAGCCGGTTTGGGTTTGGTTTGTTTTCTATTGGTTTGGATGATATCTTATTGGGCTGACCATTGGACCTAACATACTGTGTTTGAGCTCTTTGGTTTCCTTTAGCTGTGCTTGGCTTGACTGGTCCGCTTCCCGGCCACTGCAGTCCGTGCATACCGGTAACATCGTTCCCCTTTTCCTTCCCTCTTCTCCATTGAGGGCAATGTCGATCTTAAGTGTGGGGGGATGTTTATCTTTTGACTGCATTAGATCTGTTTGTGTGCTTAGAGCCTAGTCCACTGTCCAAATTTTTGAAATTTGAGGGCTCCAAGCACGACTGTTTGCTTGATGATTGATTGTATTGGCACTGTGGATGTGATTAGAGAATTGAATGGCTTTTGACTTGATACACGACGACTTGAGTGTGACTTAGACAAATTATTGTGATGACTGAGATGTGCAGTAGAATTGTGTAGGGGTTCAGTTTTTCAGCTGTCTGCTCACCAAATGTGACTTGGTTTGATCACTTGCTTTTGATAGTCATTTATGCATCTAGTTCAGGGAATCAGAACGAGAGATAGAGAATATAGGTAGCCATGTGAGATTTGAGCCTGCTCGTTTCTTTCTTGTGCGATAGTTTCCTCTTCCATGATATGCAGCATTCACGTTGTCGTTAGCTCAGATGATGGAGGCATAGGATTAGCCCACGACCAAATTGACTGTCCTAGTGTGTCATACCCCCTAGTCAGCCCCTTTGAGCCGTGTGTTATCCTTTCTTTTGGTCTGAAATGAAAAAAATCACCCTTTGCATCTTTTAGAAGGTTCCACAGAGTGGTTTTTACATATTCTCTGCTGTTTCTGCTAAGTGTAATGTGAGGGTTGGAGGTAGTGCTTAAAAGTTGGGCAGGTGTTTGAAATTGTGCAGAGGTGGTGGTTCTCTTAAGAAATGAAAAATAATGAAAGAAAATCAAAGAAAAAAATGAAAGCAAAAGAGAGCCACCACCAAAAATCTGAGTAATGCCCATGTGGTAGTGTTTCTTAGCAGTCTGGCTTAGAAATACTAGCATTTATGTAACCTCCTTTGCTCTTGTGCTCTGAACTTGAGTAATGCAGAATAGCAGAAAGAAAGTTATTGGTTTGATTGATTGTGAGTCTGTTGGGTTTGGAAATGTGGAACCTTGTGCTGTATGAATACTTCCACCACCTAAAAGGCCTTTTCCCCATGTCCAAGACCCTAACCAGTCATCTGAACCTGGGTCTAAGACCTCCGGATTAGTTAGTGATGACACCCCATTTGTGAACTCTAGCACTTAGAGGCTGCATTCATGATGAAGAGATGTTAGGGACTGAGAGATTGAGCATGCGCATTTTTCGCATCATATTGTCCTGACCCCACTGGTCGAGAGTGAGTGATTCATTTTCTCTTATTCTTTATACTCTTTATCTCGGTGAGGACCTAGATTGCCCGGTCTTACTTCTGATACCTTGAACTTTGTGCATGATGTGACTGTTTTGAACAAGTGGTTGAGTCAAGTCTATGTTGGTTGGTGAACAGAAGGGAGACTCTTCCTTTGCTCGATTTTACTGCATTCGAATGTCATCTGTGGTGGTTGTCTAGGTTGTCATTGAAGTTGTCCATGTGTTAGTGATCGAAAGCCAGTATGATCCACGTGTTTTGTGCCGATATGTCATGCCTTCTTGTTTTGAGCTTACCTTGTGTCTGACTTGGTTTGCTTGGGGACAAGCAAACGGTTAAGTGTGGGGGAGTTTGATAACGATGTAATTGCACATATTTGCGCCCTTAGTTCTTATCCGTTTGAGGGGCATAGTCGTGTATTTTGGCCTATTTTACGCCGGGTTGTCCTATTTTGTCATGTTTCAGGTCCCAGGTGTCAAAGGGAAGGCTAAGCGCGAGTTTCGGGGCATTCGGAGGTCATTTCGTCAAGCTGGAGCCAAAACACGGGCACACCTAAAACAGTACACGGCCGTGTTCTGTGGCCGTGCTTTTTATGCCGAGAGCTGAGCTGATTACACGGGCAGGGCCAAAACAAAGCACGGGCGTGTTCTGCCAAAGCACGGGCGTGTTCCACCAAAGCACGGGCGTGTTTCTCCCAATGCACTGGCCGTGTAATTAACACTAGCCAAAGCACGGGCGGGCTGAAGCATTACACGGCCGTGCCCTCGACCGTGCTTTGGCTGATGCCCTTTTAAGCAGATTTTTAGCCAAACAGAGGGGGATTCGAGTTTTTGAGAGATAGAACGATTCCTAGAGAGAGAAAGTGACGAGCAAGAGTTCCCAAGTGCCCTAGATTGATCTTCAACACCATTGGAGGCCAGCTCGAGCTTGGAGAAGTGCCAATCAACGTCCAGGAGCCGGAATCCGTCCTTCGCAGTATGAATTCCGTGTCTGATTCTGCTTTTGCTTTCTTCTCCATGGAGTAGTTCTCCCATTCATCTGGGTATGGAGAACCCTAGATTTTTATGTTAGGCTTTGATTGTATGAACCCAAGTACTGATTCTGTGATTGATTATATTCTATTGAGGTTTTAATGATTGAATGACTTGAATCCTGATCAAATTCCTGTTGTTTCTGCTTTAACCTAGAATGAGAATATCTGCCTAGGTTGATAGAGTATCCTTGATTGAAGGTAGGGAGTTGGTGACTTTAGTCGAGGAACCAACTCACTATTCTGTACCGGATTTACTCCGGTAGTGGAGGTTTTGTTCTTAGGGCCTCAATCTGTCTACTCCGGTGGAGGTTAGTCGCCCGCTAGAGATTCAGATTGAGAGGTTCTGAAGACCTTTAGTCGAGACTTCAGGCTGTTTAAGAACCGTCCGCAGTATAACTATCATAGAAACTGAACTTGATAATTACAATCCGGCTTAACTGCAGTCTAGGGGGAACCATATCCGGGTGACCTCTTTAACCTGAATACAACAGTTTACTTGCTTTGTTTGTTTGATAGTTTAGACTTGCATTCTAGTTTCATTGCTAGATAACACGAATTCACTGAGTAGTCATCATATCTAGGACCCGGGTTGACATATAAACCTAATCCGCTATACTACGCTTTAGGAAGTGGTTTCACTTGGCCAATTCCTGGAGTGACAGTAGAGTCGAGTCATCAGGCTTTAATTGACTCAATGAATCATGCATCAATCGATTAAAATCAATCAGTATAACAATCCCAAGTAATTACAATCAAGATCCCTAACAATGCCAGGTTCTCGCGATCGACCTTCTTTTACCTCCAAATGTCCCAAAACTTGCCCCAAGGCCATATTTACGTACTAGGACCTGAAATACGACAAGAGAACACAACCTAGCGTAAAATAGGCCAAAGAATGACCAATCACTAAGCTAAACGATCAAGAAATGATGGAGAAAACATGTGCAAATACGGTGTTATCAAAGGCCCCACGCGCGAGTCAACCATAGGGGCAATCATTGAAGATGCAGAGGGGGAAGGAAGTTGGATGGCGCCAATGACATGCCAATGACATTCACGTTCTAGCTGCGCCCATGCGGGGGAATGTGGGCGCATGGCCATTATGGCAGTGGGGTATGGACCTATTGGGGACATTCCCCAAAGTGCCCGGGCAGATGAAGTACTTGATAGTGGCGGTGGACTACTTCTCCAAGTGGATTGAAGCTGAGCCCCTTGCGTCCATAACGCAGGTGCAGGTGCATCGGTTCACAAACAAGAACATCTTCACTCGGTTTGGGCTACCAGAGGCAATCGTAACCGATCATGGAAATCAGTTTGATTGCAAGCAGTTTATAGACTTCTGCGACGATAAGGGGGTGATATTGCACTTCTCATCGATGGCATATCCCCAAGCGAATGGACAGGCAGAAGCTGCCAACAAGAGCATACTGCACGGATTCACACGAGACTTCTAGACTCAAAGGGTAGATGGGTCGAGGAGCTCCCGAGCGTGCTATGGGCGCATCAGACGACATACAAAGTGGCAACGGGGGAATCCCCGTTCGTGCTCACATATGGAAGCGAGGCGATCATCCCGGTGGAATTACGCATGCCCACCTTTAGACTAGCAAACTACGAGGCGTAGGCCAACGAGGGGAGCGCATACATGACCTGGACATGCTCGAGGAGCGACGCGATGTTGCCTCCATCCGATTGGAAGCTATGAAGCGGCAAGTTTCCAGGTATTACAACCAGAAGATGTGCCCTCATCGGATAAAGCGTGGGAGCCTAGTGTTGAAAAGGGACTTCAGGCCTAAAGCCAGTGATTGAAAGCTTGCGCCCAAATGGAAGGGACCTTATCGTGTTCCGGAGGTGGTGGGGCCTGCCACGTTCAAGTTGGAGCGCATTGGAGGCAAGAGCATCAAACGTACGTGGAATGCACAGAATCTCCTAGTTTACCATGGTAAAGGGGATGGGGATATGTTGGAGTAGGTGTGGGCGGTAGGATGGAGCAGGCGCGGATGTTTTTGTGGGAGGTGTGCTGCACCTTGTATGGTGCGTGTTTTTCCGTAAGGGGTAGACAAGATAGTAAGTATGTAAAGCGCACTAAACATGTTGCGCCCTTACTCTTGTTTAGATAGTAATTCCAAAAGCGCCCTCCCAATTGCGCCCTATGTTTATGAAATTTAAGTCGTAATGCGCCCTCCATCACAATGCACCTTGTGCAGTATAACGCGCCTCAATACTTTGCGCCCTATACACACGAAATGTGTAAAGCGCCCTAACTACACGCGCCCATGAGAAACTTGTTAGAATAATTTAAGTACAAAGGCAAGTGTAAAGCGCCCTAAATACATGCGCCCAAAGGGAAACTCATCAATGATTTAATGATTTAATGACCACCAAGGCAGATGTAAAGCGCCCTAATCACATGCGCCCTCAACTCATATACGTCAGAATCAAACGCGGAAGAAACTGGGTATTCATGCCAAAGTTAGCAAAATTCATGTTCAAAATGCGGGATGACAAAACAGTAGCCACATGCGCCTTTTAAAAACAAAATTGTCTTCATTCCTCGATGTTGACCGCCTCGTCATCCACCTCGACCTCCACGTCTCCCTTGCCACCTCCATCACTGGGCACAGCACCATCCGCGGGCGAATTCACACCAGCACCCGCCTCCGCACCATCTTCGACCGAAGCTGCAGCTTCCGAGGCGCCTGACTCGTTCTCCATGGCGGACACGACATACTCAATAAGAGCAATCGCATTGAACGCCACATCCGGGTAGTCGGTGGGGAACTTGGCCCTCAGTGTCTCCACTTTGTTGATCACAGTGTTAGCCCGAAGATCCTTGCCAGCGACTTGAGTCCGGATAGTTGGCCAAGTCTTGGTCCAATTGTTGCACGGCAACCTGGGACCTCTTCAGCTCATGCCTGTAGTGCGACCGAGACTTCATTAGCTTCTTGTTGGCCTCTTCCAGGTCGTTGATGGTTTGGCGGAGCACGCTCTTCTCCTCCAATAGGGCGTCGCGCTCACGCGCGAGTGCAGCATTCCCCTCCCGGAGCTCCTTCTCCACTCCTTCCTACTCGGCCTTATCCGCCTCGGCCTGCGCCCTAGCCTCCTCATCAACCTCCGCGCGAGTTTTGAGCCGCTCGGCTGCCAACTTTGCCTTTAAGTCAGACTTGGCAGCGTTCAAGTCCGCGTGCATGCGCTCAGCAGAGATAGAGGCATTTGTGCCCTCTTGAGCGATCTTGGCGATCTCTCGCGTGGTGGCCTCACACAGGAGCATCATTTGAGGCGCACAAGCACAAAGACAACCAAACAATTAGTAACAAAGGGCAGAAGTAAGATCAAGCAGTCAAGGAGGCAAGAGAAGTTTCATGCGCCTCATCACAAAAAGCGTTACCTGGACGCTCATGTTGGTCAGTTTCAGCCAGGGTTTCGCGGAGATCAGGCCGTCTGGATGCTCAACAACATCATAATGCGCCCTCGCCATCTGAACAGATGCGGAGACTTCCTTGGCCGCCTTAATAGGGACGTCCACTGACACCTTGACGAGAGGGCGCCTGGACTGGAAGTATGGGGGAATCACCTGGCCAATGTGCTCTCCAATCATTGGCTCCATAAAACTCGGGGGCAGACAGTCCCGCTTGTAGTGGCGGTCTTGGATTTCTTCCCATGACCGCGCAGAGTACCTCCCGCCCTCTTTCGAGACGCGGCGAATGAAGGAGAGGGAGGAGTACTCACCCCGGCGGTCTCCCGAGGCGTGGAAGTGGAGGTTGGAGTAGAGGTGGTTGAAGCGCGACGCTCTACTTGAGGCGAGCCATGGCCTGCCCCCTCACCTTCGGAACGTGCCTGCTAGGGGGAGGAGGCGCGCGCTCCCGATGAGGCGCCTGCGGCTGTTTTACACCACACCCTCTTGGGTTGCGCCCTCTTTGCCCGAGGCGCCTGGCTGGGAGGGGCGGCCTGACCAATGTTCACGTTGCGGAACAGGTCGAGCTTCGACCTGATAAGGTTGGTCACCGAGGTGAAGTCGGTCCATGCACCGTGTACAAGAGCAAAGGCGGTCAGAAAAGCGCACATGCAGCATTAATAAGAAAAGCGCACAAGCAAAATTAGTAGAGCGCGTGGATAACAGAAGGGCGCATGATCGGTACCATTGCCGTAGAATTCGGCAAGAACGCGTGCATATTCATCCGATAACTCGAGATCAATGGGCTCGACAGATATGCACTTGGCCATTGCCTCCTCACTCTGGCTTAGGGGCTCCACCTTGTTAAAAGCGAACCGAATGAATTCTTGGTATAGGCCCACCCATTCGTCGCCACACAAGCCAATCCGGGCCTCCGGAGGCGCATGGATGTACCTCCAAGGCGCGGGTAGTTGCGCGGCCACAACGAGTTTTTCCAACCTCACCCCCAACTGTTTGGAGGCGTGCTGTGGGCCCACATCTTCCACGGGCATCCTCGAGGTGTCCTCGGGCGCATAGTCGGGAGGCCACATCGAGTCCCATGGCCGGAACATGTAGTCTTGGGGCACGGATGGGCCTGAGTAAAAGAAAGGGGTAAGGGTAAAGCAAGGAGTGGAAAGGAGGCGCGCGCGTCCGCGAAATAAAAAAGGCGTCCGCACAAAAAAAAATGGGGGGAGAAAATTCGCAGGCTAGAAGGGTGCTAGGGCGCATGAACATCCTTATCCGCGGACAACATGGCTTTCTAATCAAACAGGTAAGAGAGACGCATAGTGACCAAATCGCAGGCACATAGCAGTCAAAGAGAACTTACTGGGAGCGTTGGGGGTTGCGGCGGCCTGGCCTTCGGCAGGCACCTGAGATCCGGAAGGCGCATTTGAGGCAGGAGGCGCATCTGCAGCAGGCGAAGATTGGCGAGCGGCAGCAGCCTGCTCGTCAGAAGGCGCCGACGCATCGTAAGGAAGTGGGATTTGTCGAGAAGATGCCATGGTGAGGTTGGAGGCGCACGATATGGCAGGCAGACTAGAGCAAAGGAGCAGCGAAGAGGGAAGGTTAGAGAGAGGAAGTAGAGAGAAGGTAAAAAGGAAGTTGTGAGAACTGTGGAAGGGGATGAGGGATTTATAAGGGGGCAAGGAGAGAGAAAGAGGAAGATTGGGGGGGGGGGGGGCGGGGAAGGCAAAGAGACCACACCAATCCTCTCTTGAGTTCGAAATTTGAATTTCGAATTCAAAGCGTATTGGGGGGAGAGATAAGAGTGGAATCGTAAGAGGCATAATGGCACAGAAAGCGAGGAGAGAAGGGAGGAAGTCGTGAGAAAAAGAAAAAGAAAAAAAATAAAATAATGGAATAAAAATATATAGCAATTATGATAATAGTAGTAGTAAGAACACGAAGATTATGGGAACCCCCGGAAGACGCGTCGGTCCATACACAAATGGGACGGGGGCGCATGATAATAGCGAACAGGGGGTAGAGAGGCACACAAATTGGGTGGGGGCAAGCGGTTGCGGATGAAGCACCAGTAAAGATGAAAGAGGCGCGCTCAGCGAAAATAGGAAGGTCGCGCAGAACCCAAATTGAGAGGCGCATGGTGGCCCGAGCAAGGAGATAAGCAGAGACACAGGGAAGAAGGTGAATGTAGTTAAGCCCCTAACTGGGGATGTTAGGCGCCTAACTGGGGGGCAATTGTTGGGGGAATAAGTGTGGGCCAAAGGGGCAACCCAATTGGGAAGGCCCAAGGAAGATCAGTGGGGAGGCATAGGCATAGGCCATCCAGGGCCCAGTCAGAGAAAACCAAGGAAGCCCAAGGGATCAAGAGCCGTGGGCCTGAGGGCGCACGGTGAAAGACCCAAATGACCAAGGTAGCGCGCGGGACAGGTGGGACCGGACACCTGGCAAGGGGCGCATGGGACAAAAAACACACAACGGTCGGAAGTGTACGAAAAGCTGGCCACATGATGTCATGCGCCTCTAAATCCTGACGAAGGTGTCAGGTGGTGGAAGCGCATGCGCAGGGGCTGTACGGCGCATTTATTGCGGACCTGACACGAGGCGAGAGCGACGGATACCGGTCGATCTCGCCCCGGGTATAAATAGTGAAGTAGGTAAACCTCATTTACTCAGTTTTGCTTCTCTTACTAGAACTGTTCATCACTTCTCTCTCTAGAGTAAGGATTCTCACTTGGGCGTTGGAGTGCTAACAGACCTATCTGGTCCGCTAGGAGCTTGTGTGTGCAGGCGGAAGTGCGCGTGCGGGAAGTGCAGTAAGAAGCGAGGCGTGTGACGTGAAGAGGAGGGTTGTGGGGGCATAAACAACAACAATAGTGAAATAAAGAAGCTACAAGAATTAATCATAGAATTGAAAGATAAGATATAAATACTTCATTAAAATGCCTAATATTCACCATATAGATAAGTTAATAGAAGGAATAGATATTATAGATCTTACTTCAATAGACGATATCATTATGGTTATACTAGAACTATCATACTTTGTCTCAGATATTGTAGAAGAACAAATGAGTATTGGAACTACAGAGACACTAGAAGAAACTGTTTCTAAAACCGAATTAATTATCGATATAATAACTAGTCTAACTAAAACAAAACAAAAAACTAATGAAGAATTAAAACTCAGTTAGGAAAACTAAAAGATGTCTTTACAAAACATAAAATTGTATTGGTTGTAGTCATGCCACTATTTCCTTCCATGAAGAATAAACAAAAACCGAAGAAAGCAAAGTTACGTGAAAAATCATGCATATATCAATTGCTTGACATCAGATTCTTTGGTCAACATCTTTATAACATCATGTCAATTTGGTATCAGAGCCAATAGGGGCGTGCAATGGTCTGGTCCATACCGGACCATACCGGACCAAACCGTTGTTAAGACCGGACCGGACCAGACCGAGTAAAATGCGGTCCGGTCCTTGGTCCTCATGAATTTTATAATTACTGAAGAAATGATGGACCGAGCTCATATTTGGACCGGACCGAACCGGACCAAATGCAAGAATGGTCCGGTCCTTGATCCTAACATGTCTTTCACTAATGGACCGCGGTTCTCATGAGTTTGGTCCGGTCCGGACCGAACCGAACCGTTGCACACCCCTAAGAGCCAACAAACTCAACCAATTTAACCAACCCAAGAATAAAAATAAAGAATAAAAACTAAAATGATAAATGACAAAAATGTACCACCCGGTTCAACCCAATGGACTTTGACACCCCTATTCTCGGATCACTCTCATCATCCAAAAAGCCCAAATAACTCTGGGCCGTAGTGGGCCTCACGCAAATCCCACTGTGAAATCGGCCGCATCGAATCCTCCCTCCAGCTTACTTTTTTCTTGCTAAAAATCTGATCTGATGCTCGGCTGTCGAATCTATCAATTTTCAGTCCAAGAAGGTAAGAAACAGAGTCGACTCGGACAGTCGTCGTCGTCTCTTTGCTCAAGCTCACTCTGTCTTCACACTGAGCTCTACTGACTCGCCGGAGAAAATGGGGTTCACTTTCACGATGAGCTTGAACTTGCTCCTCCTACTAGCCATGGTGGCCACGAACCTCCTCTCCTTGTACCACCTCTCCTCAAATCTCCAGTCCCCACTCACCGCAACCTCCCAGCCGGTCCCCGACCACCTCCTCCGGCAGCTCAACACCATACGCGCCACCATCAACCACCTCACCCGCCACCAGCCTTCCTCCTCCACCACCACCGACACCGACGACTCCAAGCCGACAATCCCGCCGGATCTGCTCCTCTACGCGAGCCTCTCCCCAATCGCCTCCGCCTGCCACAACCACCCGGACCTCCTCCACAAGTACATGACCTACACTCCTTACTCCGCCTGCCCGTCCGATTCCGATCTCGCCGAATCCCTAATCCTCCGCGGCTGCCACCCGCTCCCGCGCCGCCGCTGCTTCTCCAAAACTCCCTCGAAGCCGCCTTCCTCCCTGCCGCGCAACCCCTTCCCTTCCTCCCTCCTCGACTCCAACGTGCTCTGGGGGAAGTACAGCTGCAAGTCGTTCGCCTGCCTGGCGAAGGAGAATCCGAACCTAGGGTTCGATCTGGGGACCGAGATCTCGAAATTCATGACCTACAAGACCGAGCTCGACCTCCCGATCCCGCAGCTGATCCAGATCTCCAAGACAGCCAGCTCCCCGATCCGGCTGGGGATCGACGTCGGGGGAGGGACGGGGACCTTCGCGGCGAGGATGAAGCAGTACAACGTGACGGTGGTGACGACGACGATGAACTTCAACGTGCCGAACAGCGAGGTGGTGGCGATGAGGGGGCTGGTGCCGCTCCACGCGCCGCTGCAGCAGCGGCTGCCGGTGTTCGACGGGGTGCTGGATCTGGTGCGGTGCGGGCGGGCGGTGAACCGGTGGATCCCGCTGGCGGCGATGGAGTTCCTGCTGTATGACGTGGACAGGGTGCTGAGGAGCGGCGGTTACCTCTGGATCGATCATTTCTTCAGCAAAGGTGCGGATCTGAGTAAGGTCTATGGGCCGTTGATCGGAAAGTTGGGTTACAAGAAGGTGAAGTGGGCCGTCGCCAACAAGACCGATTCCAGTGGGTTGAAGAATGGCGAAGTTTACTTGACCGCACTTCTCCAAAAGCCGCTGTTCAGATCGGTGCTATAGTCAAAATTCAAAACTCTCTTCTTTTCAGGTATTTGCATTGGCTCTTAGTGCCTCCTGAAGATTTGTTTGATGGGCTTTTTCTGGTTAAAGTTGTTACATTATAGGGAAGAGCCTAGAGGTTCCTTTTGCAGCCATTAGCGTGAATTGTATTTAGGGTAAGAATGAGTGATGATGATGAACTTTTCGAACCTGGTTCCTAGGTTGGCATGGATTACACCTTCATAAAGTTGAATGCCATCCATGATTTTAGGCTGCTCCTTTTGGTAATGGCCTTTCCCGCGTCTGCTTTTAGGTACCATTGATTTGCCAGCACCTTCCAAAATGAAGGGAGGACGAAGAGAACACTTGGAATGAAGGATCGAGCAGAGATTACCAGATCTGCAACTGTAAAAAATGAGAGAAATTGTATAATAGTTTCTGCTGGATCTTCGACGATTGTAGAATGGCATCTGCTGGATTTCGGAATTCATGTATTCTGTTAATTCATCGTGCGTAGTAGCGGTTAAATAAAAGTATGATCAACCACACCATTTCTCCCTTTGTGATGATGGCCGAATCTCCAACTTGATCACATTTTTGCCCCAAGGGTGCATAATATGGGAATGAAGGCGAAAAAAGGGCAGAACATAGTCCTACTCATTTCTTACGTACTCGGACAGCACAAATATCCGAGCTATAATGAAATAGTAGCGAATCGATCTCGTCATCATCTCTCAGGAAGCAGAAGCAGAATGTTTCTTTCGGAGTAGGTGATGCACGTCGAGCTGATTGATCTTTGCAGCCAGTATGAAGTCATTTTCTGTTAGCCCCCCTGTGCAAGCATTACCCGCCGGTAAAATACACAATTAACTGAAACGGAATGGAAGAAAGACTAATGGCAGTTGAGACAAATATAAAGATGAGGCCAAGCAGCTCCTTCATGAGAACCGAGGATAGGTTTTCACTGTTGGACTGTTAGCTAGCTATGTTTGTTCAGAGGCTGAGAAGCTCCTACACTTTATCACTGCGAATTTGCCACAATTCACAAAAGCACCTCATTTTGCCTCTCTAAAAGAGGCAACATCACTGTAGAAAGGTTTATATGTATGGAAACGGAGATGCTTACCGACTGCATGTGTCCATATCTCGATCTTAACATCATTCCACCCAACAAGATGAAGATCGGGATGATGACCTGCATTAATCACAATATGCATATACACTGTCAATGTCATCCTTTGTCGGCTTTAAAACCAAAATTTTCTAGTCAATGTAAGTTGAATACCTTCATTTTCAGCAATATTCCCTACAAGCTGAAATAGCTCCAGTCCTTTGGTGAAACTCTTAGCCCTCCACGATCTGTTCAGCTTCAGCTTACCATCCTCATTGACCAAGCTCCACCCTGACACCTATTCGGGGAAATCAACAAGCTAGGGTTAGTTAATTTTGACACGAAGAGCAGCAAGAAATAGTAACAGCAGTAACACGAAAAAACAAAAACCTTTGGCATCATTTGAGCAGCACTCTCTTCGGTCATGGGTCGCATGTCCTTTGAGTTACAAGGCACGCACTTCTTGGTCACCAAATCTATCATGAAAACTAAGCCGCATCACATACAATCGAATATCTGCAACTACCGAGCTATTTCATCACTAGTCGATGCTAGTATAGCATGAATCCACCTACAGATATTGATACAGAAACAAAAAAACGGATAATAACAAGAGCAAATAAGATAGAAAGCATGGGCTTCAGATTCCATCTGCCCTAGGAAACACCTAATGACCGAGCAATGCGTGATAAAAGAGTGCAGAGATGCAGAGTTTCTTGTTTCTAGGGCGACTCTTCCTTAACTTGGAAATCATTATAGAAGGTCTCAAATCATCACAAACAAATTTACAATTCGACTAAACCGTAGGTAGGAAAGAGGTAGAGGGTTCATGACGACGCACCTCCAACAGTGCAAAACGTTCTAAATCCATAATTCAGCTTCCTAGTCGACGACAATCCCACCACAGGACACCATGAAATCTCACTCACTTGAGTACTTGAACTGTAGGCATACACAAACAATCTTTCCATTCACAAGACAAGAAAATGGTTCCACAATTTCAGAGCAGGGCAGCGATTCAGAACTCCAAAATTTTATAGGCCACCAAACAATTGCCGGTGACCACGTTTTGACACAGTGATTCTCGCACCCAAAATGACAGACACAGAGCCCAATTCCAATTCGCCAAGTAATCGAGTCCCGCTCCCGGTAGCATTCATGCCAGATATACGATGGAGAGTAAGGGAAAAACCTAAAAGAGCCATGCAGTTCAGGAATATGTAGAGATTGATTAGAGAAGGCAAGTACCGTCCATGGCGTCCGATCAGTAGAGCAGCGACGGGCACCTGGGCGAAAACGGATAGTTAAATTGATCGCTGGAAATGGGGAGGAAAGAAGGAGAGAGCTTTGAAGGAATTGGATAAGAGCGGAACCTGTAGCAGAGGTGAAGATGGCGGTTCACTGAGAGAGAGGGATCGCATGGACTGAAGCAACAACCGCCTCATGTCTTCTGGTGTGGGGTTGTGTATGTCTCAGTCCTCCAGGTTTCACAAATCTCCACCGGACGTTGCGCTCACTCGGCCGCCGCGGTTCACCGATTCTTCCTTTTTTATTTTAAAAAAGCATCCCTATTCAGTTAAGCGCACGTATTTTGTGTCGACTAACAAAAAAAACCCCTAAACTTCTAAATTTTAACAAACTCATACCATACCAATTGTGGTTTAACAAACGCATCCCATTATGTTGCACTATTTTCTTATAAACCGAGCACACCTCAGACTTCATTCAAAATCAATCAGGGTATGTAAATTTTCTGACAATCATACAAAATTTTTCATTGGAGTACAAGATCGAAAACTGTGACACTATGAAAACCAAACGACATCAAATGACCCCAATTTGTGAGGATAACCGACACACTTGTTATCTTCTCTATAAATATGAAAAATGGAGACTTCCCGGTTCTACTGAACCAGGGTCTAAATCTCTGATTAATGGTTGCATGATGGTGATCTTATGCTCTGAGCTGTGAGCAGTTGCAACCGATAATAGCATAGACACAATGACCAATAGTATATCCTTCCTTGCTCATGACAAAAGTGTGTACACATCATATTATAAGAGAATGAGTATTGAAGTGAATGACCTGAAATCTGCAGCAAAGAGAAGAATAACACAGTTATAATATGTTAGGTAGACAAAAAAAAAAAAAAAGGATGTCAATGTTTTTGTATAGTAAGAGTTGTGTAAATAATCTCACCATGGTGGAGGCAGTCTTGGAAAATGTGCAGAACCATATGTACTTATGAACTGTAGTTTCATAAAGAAGGAAAGGATCCAAAGAGGGATGGTAGTTTGAAGGGAATGGTGTTCATCACCTAAATCAATCAATCAGGGGCTCTTTTCTGAGAGGGTGTATGTAAATCCTTCTCCTATTAAAATGTACGGGTAAGTAACCCCCACGTTGGAAGATTTTATTCTTGAAAATGTAATTATTTGTTGTAGGTAATAAGTTGCTACTAATACTTTAGCAGAAAATTGAAAAGCTTTGCAATTTTTTAAGGAAGGTCTTGCATGGACAAAACACATTGTATGACCGGCCTAAAAAGAAGTATGAATTCAACATTTAGATTGCCAATAGTCATGGTGAACACACATGAGGATGAGAGAGAAGTATCAATCCCTAAAGCAAAAGACAGTTTTACAACATGGAATGTCCATGAGAAACAGGGTTCATATTATAGCATTTGACAGCCCCAACCAGCAAAAGATCATTGTCATGGCATCATAAAATATGATTGAGACGAAAAAGATGGACGCAAAAGGTAGTAGACTTTCATTCATTGAAGAGTTTCTTCACCACAGGCTTGCTCTTAGAAGATTTAGTCTTCAGGTGGGAGAAGGCTAGGTCATCAGGTTCCCTGGATTATTTCTTCTTGCTCCGGAGCGAACACTCTACTAAAACTTCTCAATCTTCATTGTCCAAGGTTGTAAGAAGTGGGAATAGCGGTACAATAATTTAGCAAACGTGAACAAAGCTAAGTTTAGACAACAGCTAAGAAAGAGACTCACGGGTTGATAGACAACATAGAAGGTGAAATGGTTCACGGTGAATCTGCAGGCAACAATGGCTTCTGACTGAAGTTCTCTCCTACCCCAGTGGAGGCAGAACCACCATTATCACTAAGTATATAAGGGAAACAAAATAAGAGTTTGATGAGAACAGCAAACTGATAATAATGAGTGGAGCGAAATCAAAGGTTGGATAGAAGGAAGGCAACAAATGTACCATGGCAGCAATTCGACTACTCTGACGGTAAGCAGCAGCAACAGCTTTTTCTTTATCCTTGTTATTGGATGTGTGCTGGCAATGTTGTTCCCTGCAGTGGAAAATTTAAACTAAATGAAAGCGAAGGTTCAGAAATCCCATGAACAAATTCATACCCGTCAAATGAATTAGAGGATCAGTGACTGAAAGCAGGTTCAGGAATGAACAAAGGTGAAGTTGCAGTTATCCCATTCATAAAGTCAAACATAGGAGGGAATAGGGCAAAAAGTAAATTGGTACACGAAAGTCTTGTTGTAGCATCCATGAAAAATAAACTTCGCAATGACTACACATTGAAATATGAAAGCAAGCTGAGATGATCCACATGTGCACGCAGCTAGGTTAGACAATACATACCCCGTGGAGCCGGGTGACTGGAAGTTGTCAAGTAGCTCGATAGTGGTAGAATTATCCGAACCCATAGCAGGCGTCGATGGTACATTTGCAGCTGAAAGGACGACGTTGAATGCTGCAGTTACAAACGGACCAACGAACCTGTTATTATAATTATGTTCATATAAGCATCATGCTAAATACAAAATCTTCAATAAGCTGACTTATTCGGCAAAAAATGACATTGTTTCATCATATCATGAAACCATGTTCTATATAATGCTTAAATTTTATATTTCTTATGCTATTTGTATGTTCAGCTAAAAAATGATAAGTGAGGCTATTCGACGTCCACAATGAAGAATAAGGAACTTACTAAGCATCGCAATGTGAATTCTACTTATCCACAAAATGATGTTCTCCCTTCAATCTACTTATCTAGATAAAGGTGTTTTCACAATTCATTAGGTTTACCTTGTTAGCCGTTGTGACTTGTGCAACTCACGAATCACCACCCCCTGGTCCCAACTCCAACTCCAACTCCATCCAATCAAACTATTGAGTAGGTTTCATCAGCTTTGGCGAACCCTGGCCCCTGCATTTAGTGGCGGAGGCACCGAGGCAGGATTTGAAAGTACCCCTGTCATATTTTCATAATATAAATATTTAATTAATTATTATTTAATAAATAAAATTAAAACTAATTATATCCAAATAATTCATTCACATTCATATTGTGAAAAAACACAAAACATTTGTTGTCTACAATGTTAAGTAAGTCTCTTTTAATGTATCGCACTAAACAATCATTAGCAAACTGGTCGCCAATTCAACTTCAAAACTTGTTCTTAATATAACTCTAAGCTGAAAAATGTTCTTTCTGCATTTGTAGTTGCAAATTGGTAGAATCAAAACTAGTGGAATTGTCATTGTCGCTGAAAAATTTCAGGATTGTTGGAGAAAAACGAATAGACATAAGGAGAAAAAAGATTTTATTAGGTCTTTATTGCAATTTAAAGTTCGTTTATAATATAATAAATTAATTTTATATAAAATATATGAACAACTAATAAGTTGTGTTGTACTGGTAAAATACTATAATACCACCTTTAATTGTTTGTTCCATCATCAATATAAATATATATATATGGGTATTTTTTTCACTCCGAAATTTGCCCTTTTCCCGTGATAAGGGCTAATGCCCCTGCCTCCGCCTATGCCTGAATTAGTGGATTTGCAGCTCTATGTGATTTGGTGAGTCGGCCGAATTTTAGGGTGCGCTAAGGTTGGGCTGATGTGGAGGTGAGTAACAGAATCATATTAGCTCCTTAGAGCATCAACATTGGTATTGCATTCTCAATTGCAAAATGAAATAGCATAAGTGTTTGCAATTGTAAAATCAATTACATTGATGTGACTACAATTGCATATTTGTAAGCTTGCAACAAAGGCAATTCTATATGCAAGTAAAAAAAAGGCCTAAAAATGGGAGATTTTTTATTTATATTATTTTCTTTTCTTTTTTACTTAATTTTCTATAATTTAAACATAATATTTAATTATATTTGCAATTTCAAGTTAATTGCATTGATGTAGGTGAATGAAATGAATGTGATGTGGATTGCAAAAATTTGAATTGACAATAAAAAACACAAATGCAATTTTTTTTGCAATTGCATTGATAGAGATGCTCTTAGCCGAAGGCCCAAACCCCACACCGAGGTCAGCAGCACTCAGCCACTCAGCAGCTTTCTATTACGAGGTGAAAAGAAAAAAAAAGAAAAAAAACGTTCTAGAAGAAAGGAAAACTGATTCGACAGGAAGAAAACGGTGGGAGCCGGCAGCGCGCGAGAGTGTGAGAGTGACTCCTTAAGACCTTAACCCATAAGACACGACTACCTGCCAGTAGGGATGGCAACAAAACCCGAACCCACGGGTACCCACCGGACCCAATCCGGTCAACGCGGGTAAAATCCATGTTGACGAGTTTTGGGCCGGGTTTGGGTTTAAATCCGTTCACTGTTCACCGGGTTGGGTTTGGGTTTAGGTAAAGCCGACCCATGGGTACCCGCCCACACCCATATAATTAATTTTCTCGACATTTTTAATATTCTAAACAACTACTCTTATTTATGTTTGTGAAGACATGTCTAATTTTTTCTTTCTAGTTATGTAGAATGAAGTTGATGTTATCGAGTGGAGAGTGAAAACTTAATTGAAAGGAAGAAGCTTTCAATTAATCATGTTATTTATGGATAATTTGTGATTTGCTTCAATTTTCTTGAGTTTTCTAGGTTGGTGTTGAACAATTTGTATAATTAATTTGTGATTTACTTGAATTTTTTAGGATGTTGTTTTATATATGGATAATTTGTATTGAGAGATTGATATTTGACTTTAATTTTGATAGGAATTTGTTATTGCGAATTTTTTACGACAAAAACCCGTGGGTACCCATGAACCCGTGGATACCAAGCGGGTTGGGTTGGGTTTAAGTTTTTGAAACCTAGTGAGTTTTACCCCGGATTTTTTCACGAATAAACTCATGGATTTGGGTTTGGGTTTGGCAAAACCCGACCCAATCCGACCCATTGCCATCCCTACCTGCCAGCGCCTGGAGATTAGGGGTGTACATGGGTCGGGTGGTCCAGGTTTAGGCATTTTAATCACCCGACCCATGCACTACGGTTTGGAAAATATTAAACCCAAACCCACCCAAAAAAATCTAAATCCTACGGTTTGTTTCTAATTGGGTTGGGTCGGGTTGACGATATTTTTAAGTAAAAACCCAACCCAACACAAAATATGTAATTATTCTACATCATAAAATATTTTATAACAAATTAAAAATTCAAACGAATAAACTGAGGTGAAAGGTATCAAAATTCACAAATATTGTTTGAATTTTAATAAAACTTGATTTACTTCAACTTATGTCTAGTTTTTTTCAAGACATTTGTTGAAATAGGTTAAAAAGGTTACAAATGAACGCATCCATAATATAATATTCTTTTAAAATTGTACACAAGAAAAAAAAATTACGTGAATTATAGCTATATTAAATATATGTCTAAACTTTAAGTCGAAGAATGCATTAGATTAGTGAGACTTTAAGAGAAAAACATGACGAAATATCTTAATTTTCTTATAAGTATGACTATATACGACATAAATATTTTTTTGGATACGAACTCATACCAATAATTGGAACACGGGTTGGGTCGGGTTCTACGGGTTGTGTAATCCAAAATCCAAACCCAACCCAAAAGAGGCGAGTTGTACAAAAGAAAACCCTCACCCAACCCAAAACCTTCGATTTAGCGATAAATAAGGGTGGGTTGGGTCGGGTTGGACCGGTGGTTCGGTTTGCGGGTGTGTTTGTTCACCCCTACTGGAGATGACCATAAAGGCATAAACATTAGGGATGGCAACAAAACCCGAACCCACGGGTACCCACCCGACCCAACCCGGTCAACGCGGGTAAAATCCGTGTTGGCGGGTTTGGGTTTAAACCAGTTCACTATTCACCGGGTTGGGTTGGGTTTGGGTTTAGGTAATCCCGACCCATAGGTACCCGCCCACACACATATAATTAATTTTCTTTGTATATTTAATATTCTAAACAACTAATCTTATGTATGTTTGTGGAGACATGTCTAATTTTTTCTTTCTAATTGTGTATAATGAAGTTGATATTATCGAGTGGAGAGTGCGTTAACTTAATTGAAAGGAAGAAGCTTTCTATTAATCATGTATTTATGGATAATTTGTGATTGACTTCAATTTTCTTGAGTTTTCTAGATTGGTGTTGAACAATTTGTGTAGTTAATTTGTGATTTGCTTGAATTTTCTAGAATGGTGTTTTATATATGGATAATTTTATTGAGAGATTGATATTTGACTTTAATTTTGATAGGAACTTGTTATTGTAAATTTTTTACGACAAAAACCCATGGGTACCCATGAACCCGCGGATACCCAGCAGGTTGGGTTGGGTTTGAGTTTTTCAAACCCAGTGAATTTTACCCCGGATTTTTTCACGGATAAACCCATGGATTTGGGTTTGACAAAACCCGACCCATTGCCATTCCTAATAAACATTTCCACAGTCGTGGATCGCTTCCTTTTGCGCTCAACACGCTAATCTTTCTCAAACCAAAAACAACTGGAAGCTCCAATACTCAGAATTCTCCGCAGAAAATCTTGCCGAACGTAAAGATGGTACAGTGCACTCCACACCCGCTCCTCCATCCTCCTTTCTCTCCCTCTCTATTTCTTCCTTCTCCATCGAATTTCTTCTCCATTCTCGAGCTCCGCCGTAATGCGAGTGCCGAAGCTGGTACAGAACTCGGAAAATGATCTCCAGATCAGTGGCGGCTTAAACAGTTCATCAAAATGCTTTAGGTTGTTTTTTTTCCTTTCAAGCGTTGTAGCAATTCATCTGAGTCATTCGATCGACCTTCTTTGCCACGATCTGTATCTGGTGAATGGCGATCAATGCCAGATCTGAATTTCTCATCGATAGTAGAACAGAAAGACTCTGATGTCGCCGGAGTTCCTTTCTGATTGGAATTTTTAGTTGCATGATTGCCGCAATGGGGACGATTAGGCTTTGACTGGTTGTTGTTAAGTATAGTGAACTCAAGAGTTCACTGGTTGGTTGGTTACTGCTGAATCTGGGACTTGTTCTTCTTCTTGCTTTCCGTTCTTTATCTAACGTGGTTTCTGCTTCTGTGTTGATTGTATTTACAGCAAGCTTGTCCACAGGTGAAGAACATCCTTGTGTTGGATTCTGAAGGCAAACGCGTTGCCGTGAAGTACTACTCCGATGAGGATTGGCCGACCAGTGGCGCGAAAGAAGCCTTCGAGAAGACGGTGTTCACCAAGACGCACAAAACGAATGCTCGTACGGAAGGTCTATCTCTCTCTCTCTCGCATGATTCAGTCTGTTCCTTCTTTCGAACTTGTAGATGGATTGAATCATCAGACAATTTCGATTGGTTGTGTGTTTGTGTGCAGCTGAAGTTACAATGATCGACAGCTACGTGATCGTGTACAAGTTCGTAGAAGATCTCCATTTCTTCGTTACAGGAGGTGAAGATCAGAATGAGGTGATCTTGGCCTCTGTTCTTCAGGGATTCTTTGATGCTGTCGGCATTCTACTCAGGTCCTGAAACAATTTCTTACTTCCCAGTTATGGCCGATTATGTGTACTGAGTTTATTGTCTCTTTGAATCTAACTTCAGAGGCAATGTGGAGAAGAGCGAGGCGCTTGAGAATCTGGATCTCATTCTTCTGTGCTTGGATGAAACTATCGATGGCGGGTATGAGAGAATTCGTTCGAGTTTTCCAAACCTTGGTCCAAAATGTTTCCTGTTGTAAGAACCGTGTTTTATTTTTGCTTCGATTGTGCAGTGTCCCTCTCCAAACAGACGCAGCTGTTCTTGCTAACAAGGTAGCTAGTCATAACATAGATTCTGGAGCTCCATTGTCAGAGCAGGTACCATCTTCGACCCCTAAAACCTCTGTTCTCTGTTCTGGCTGGTATGGTTTAGCCTCACGGCTTGTCTACTTTGTGGTTTTTTTGCAGACATTGGCTCAAGCCCTGGTCACAGCTCGCGAACATCTCACGAGATCCCTTCTCAAATGATGAATATGCTCTACTTTGGACAATACATAGTTACTATCTCCTTCCCGCTGTCGTCTTATACATAATATGTTAGATTTAAACTTCGATTTGTAATCTGAATACTCTGCTCCAACTCTCTGGTTAGCAGTAAGATGATCGAATGAGCCACTGCGAAGTAGTAGTATATGCGAGAACAAAAGCAACTAACATCCCAAGTTTATGCCATATCTGCAGTCTCACTAGTACATTTCCCTTCAATGCTTAGTGAGTATCCTGAAAGTATTTCTTTTCAGAACAAGAGGCAGAGCAGAGAGTCGTTAGACGAGGATCTAAATTGGGTTTTTATTGGATGAGAACATAATCTACGTCATCAGAGAACTTGTCACCAGTAGTCGGGGTGAGGTTAGTCCTGGTCCTACCTTTGCGAACCTGGCCGTGGGTCTCAGCCTCGTGCTGGAACATCTTAACCAGTTCTTCAAGCTCCAGCTTCCTTACTTCCACTAGCTCTTCCTTGACCGGCTTCTTAAGCCCAAGGTACAAGATCCCCAGTGCAATCAACACTGAGCCTATGGTGAAGAGTATCCCTGTGAAAAGGGCAAAGGCATATGGAGTGTTTGCCGCTCCTGGGATTCCATCCACGTTGATCCCAAATAACCCGGTGATGATTGAGAGCACAAGGCCGCAGCCACCGAAAACAGCCAAGTTATGTGTCACTCTTAGGCTTTTATCCTGCATCATGAGAAGAAGAAGAAAAATCAGGAGGAATTAAGTGATTTGATTCGTAATAAAGAGAAAACATCTAACAGAACATTTATCAGAACTTAAACTTTGGATAAACTATGCACATTACATCCATGAGGTTTTTAAATATAAAAGCCACTCACTAATAATATATAGTTTCCTACTAGGCCTGTTCACCATACTAATATAAATTTTATCTTCATGTAAAGTTGCCAAACTACTAGCTACTGCAAATGAGAGGTTATTCGAACCTGCAACCATGCCCTGACAGTACTTTGCATGACATCTTGAATGGTAAACAAGCGACCTCGAACTGCTTCTTGTTCCTCAATCATATCCCTGGTGGTCTTTCTTATTCCCTCTAACAACATTCTTGCTCCGTTTCCTTTCAAGTGCTGAAGCAGCTCAAATATAATCTCCTCCCTCGCATGGAGTGACCACTTCACTCTAATAACCTGCAAACATAAAATATCTACATTGAAGGAGATGGTTATCAGCCAAAATGGCTTAATATGGTTGGAGGAGTCCTGGTACCTGTCGTGACAACTTTCGAATCTCTTGGTTCAGAATAATCCCAAAGAGATGCATATCTTCGTGGTTTCTCCTGTTAATTACGATAGACATTAATACAAGAACAAAGATAAAAGGACTGGCGTTTCCGAAACAAGAAGAGTAGACATCGTGAGCGGAAAAAATCCCAAGTTACACATGTTTTTAAAAAAAATTCTCAAAATACACATGTTATGAAAATAATTCCCAATCTACACATGTTTGGGCCTTCACCGCGTCAGAGAAGGGCGGTGATTGCTTCACCGTGGGAGAGCAAAACGGTGACTGCTTCACCGCCGGAGAGCAAAACGGTGATTGCTTCATCGTGGGAGAGCAAAATGGTGAAGCACTGACCTGCGTCCAAACTTTAAAACAACGTAACTTTGTGCTCGGTTATCCGATCGTAGCGAATTTTTTTTTGATTCCGCATAATTTTTCGAGATCTTGCAAGCCGCAAACTGCCGGAGGCGGTTTGGTCCCGCCTTCGTCTCGAAAAACCCTCGTTTGCTACCCCGAACGAGCCTTTTTTCGATTTCGTCAAACTTTGAACGACCATAACTTTGTGCTCCACAATCCAAAAATCATGAATTTTTTTTTGATTCCGCATAACTTTTTAAGGACTACAATTTTTATTAGGAGAAAATTTTCAAAAAATGAATTATTTATGGATATAAGGGGTTTTGGGTATAACTTTACCTTCCCTTTTCAGGAATCCAAGTACATTCCGAAATTATGTCTATGATAAAAATTGTAGTCCTTAAAAAGTTATGCGAAATCAAAAAAAAATTCATGATTTTTGGATTGTGGAGCACAAAGTTATGGTCGTTCAAAGTTTGACGAAATCGAAAAAAGGCTCGTTCGGGGTAGCAAACGAGGGTTTTTCGAGACGAAGGCGGGACCAAACCGCCTCCGGCAGTTTGCGGCTTGCAAGATCTCGAAAAATTATGCGGAATCAAAAAAAAATTCGCTACGATCGGATAACCGAGCACAAAGTTACGTTGTTTTAAAGTTTGGACGCAGGTCAGTGCTTCACCGTTTTGCTCTCACGCGGTGAAGCAGTCACCGTTTTAGTTTGAAACGGTGAATACATCACCGTTTTAGACAAAAACGGTGAAGTATTCACCGTTTTGGTCAAAAGCGGTGATGACCTTCACCGCCTTTGTCTAAAACGGTGATGCTCAAACATGTGTACTTTTGGAAATTTTTTTATAACTTATGTATTTTGGGAATTTTTTTTAAGAACTAGTGTACTTTGGGATTTTTCCCCATTGTGAGCTGCCCCCAATACAGCAAACCTGTTCATGAACTTCAACTCGATTTCATCGGCAACCCCAAAGATCGACTTGCGAAATAGCCTTAAAACAAACAAGAAGCACATGAGAAAACTGCCCAAGAGATGCTTGCATCATATCTTTACTTCTTATGCCATAAAAACAACAAAGAAACATACTTATATCGCTCATCTACCTAAGTTCAAGTAGAAGTAGTACCTGTCATCCCATCGAGTCAAGCGGCAAGCTAGTTGTGCTATGACTTCATGCACTGTTCTAGGTGTATTATAACCTCCAGCAGACAGAAGATCCTATTGCAATCAAATAATATAACCAGTGCATCAATCCTTTTCACAAACAGGCTGGCAAAAACTAATGAAATGGATTAGGGCGAGTAAGAAAGTTGAACGTTTTACCTGAACCTCAGTTATCCCCAGAATATTTATTGTTGACACTGTGCCTTTAACATGCAACGCAGTTACCAGGAAATTCTGTGCTTGCCAAGAACGTAGCACGACTGGAATGTCATCTTCATCATCAAATGGATCACCAGCAGACTGTCCCAGTAGCTCAAACAGAAGCCCTCCAGCAACCCTTACAGGGACCTCGACGAAAGCAACAAGAAACCACAAATCAACAATGCAAAACCCTGGAGGCTAGAAGCTCCACAAGAGCTGTTGCCTTGTATTCCAACAACCTATTGTAAAAGAAGTTGCAGCAACCTGCTGACTTGTATTCCAGATACTATCTACAATTAAAGAAGTTGCAGGAAAGGAACCTCTAAGCAAACTACTATTATGTGTATCTATACCTCGTAAAGCAGGTGCTTCATCTTCTCGCTGATCAGCCGGCTCTCGTCTCTCAACGCGAGACTGATCGCCGGATGCAACCACTGAGCACTGTTGAGCCAAGCCTGGACGGAGCGGTGGCCGGCATCAACATGGCACCACCACATTGGCCCTGCGGGCCGCTCCCAGTAAGGAGCTGCCAAATCTGCTACCGTGATATCCGATTCACAGTCGATCAACTCGAGCTGCTGCGACGCCCAGCCATCATTGACTTGCACGTTCTTTACCAGCTCCGAGATCCTTGTCCAGCCGATCGGCACCCAGTGGCTGCCGTCGAAGCTCTCCGACGACTCCTGCAGTCGGCCGTCTCGAGATTCATCCCCAATGGAGGCGTCGTTCAATAGTTTCTCAGCGATGCCGTCGTTTCCTGGGAGGTGCGGCTGCCTGTTGTCACCGCCGTTGGTCGATCTGGTAGGGGTTTTTGGAGGAGATCTGAAATTGCTCCTCCGGCGGCCGCGAACGAATTCGAAGGCGCAAATCAGACCTTCGGTCCAGAGATCAGCACCGGACACGGGATCTGGTCTGCTGTGGTTCTTCATTCTGTTACCTTCCCTCGCCCCTTCGCCGACGCCGCTACCGTTCATGGCAGAGGATCCCGCATGAGGTTCTCGATTCGGCGGAGAGAGCACACCAGAAAATCTCGATGAAAGCAATTTAAACACTAGTTCACATCACGCCGCAAAATTCTCCCTGCTAGACCTTCGTATTCAGCTCGGATTTGCAAGCGTCATCGGCAAGTGAAGTGTAGTGTTCGCGCCATTAACAGATAGGAGGAAGTAAAGAAGATGCGAGATAGGGTTAAAAAAGGATAAAGTAACTCGAAATGAATGTTAGCGTCAAGGTTATCAAACCGGTATAAACAGGTTAGGTAAGTGGAATGGCATCGCTCAGTAATACAATCGGTTTGTGTCGGTTCATGTAAGTTTAATTAAATATGTAATAATGTGAAAATAATTAATAATTTAATTGTATATAAAGTATATTTGTGAAAAAATTACTTACTATCCAACAAATAACATCAACTTTAGATTTTTAAATTCATGAAATAAATAATAAATTAATTTTTTATTAATTAAATCACTAAAACAACGTAATTTATTTAGAGTTCATAAATCAATTGCTGAATCGCTATTCGTCGCCCTAAAATTCAAATTTTATCGCCCTAAAACAGAAAAAATTAACATATTTACCCCTCAACCCAATTTCAATTCTAGCCCTAACCAAATAATCCTTCCCCAACCCACGTTCGCCGCCCTCACCAGAAAAAGAATCGTCTCCTCCCCTACTCTGCCCCTGCCCCAAACCCAATTTGTTGTCGCTGCTGCTACTTGAGCGCCGGTGGGAAGGTACTGTGATCATTGTTTTAACAATCCCTAATTATATCAAAATTATTTTAATGTGCTGGTGCTGCAAAATCCTTTTCAACACCCGATCCTACAAACAAGCATTGACAGAGACACAATTATGAGATTTTCTATTGGTTCACTATATGCTAAACAGTGGGTTCCTTTCGTTCTATAAATTCCTCCATAGCAGCAACAAATTGAAGCTCCAAACTTTTTTCAGAAACCATTCTCGAGGGTCAATAACTAAAGACATGAGAAACAAGGAAGAAATTAAAACTCATTCCAACAACCAAGTACCGAATCCACTAAATCAAGGTTGTCAAACCGGTTTATGTCAGTGTGCCGGTTTAGCAAGTGGAATGGTTCAACCGGTGGCACATACCGGTTTGTGTCGGTTCATGCCGGTCAATATTACAAATAAAATTATAAATACTCATATTTAAACATGACATTTAACGTCAATACCTAATAATTTATACTTGAATCCAACAAATAACATCAATATTTAAATTTTATACTCATAAAATTAATAATAAAATAATTTTTATCAATTAAATTCTCTAAAATAAGGTCATTTTACTTAGAGATTCGTATATCGATCATGCCGGTCATACCGGTGGTGTCACGCCGGTTTTATGACCGGTATCGATTGAACCCGGTACAACCGGTGGCACGCCGGCCGGCGTGACAACCATGCACTAAATTGAAGCAGTTCAAACAGTTCCAGCTCTTCAAGGCCGGTTTTGAAGGGGGCGGAACCAGCACCAGCTCTGCATTACTCTTCTCCGGCGGAGGCGGCGGATAATTGTCTTTATGGAGCTGATGAGAAGGAGGAGTAAGCCTTTCAAACAAATTGTCTCCCATTCATTCCTCGCGGTTAAAACCACAGTTCCTTCTTCGATCTCGTGGTAGAAATTGAGACCGATCGAACTTCCGGCCTCTTTCTTTAACCCTCTCACCGCCGATTCTTGGATTATCGGTGGATGTTCGAATTCCGCTGGTTTAGGGGGTTGGAAAATGAAATTGAAAATAGGGGTATAAATGTCAATGTATTATGGTTTAGGACGAAAAAATTTAAATGTTAGGGCGACGAATAGCAATGTCCATCAATTATGTCGATCAAACCGAAAGTATTCTCGCCGATTTCATTACTGGCACCAATGGAACCTGATTCAACCTATCACTATGCCACCGACATGACAATCATCACAGAGTGGACGAGCGAGCCGTAAGTTCTAGAGTCGGCAATAAAAGCGTAGTTCATCTTATGGCAGGGGAGGAAAGCTCTGCCGTCGCAAATATACCGGATTGTTGAGAGGGAAAATACCGGTGAGATGAGACGGCGACGGTGAATGGGACGCCGTGAGTGCTAAAAGGATTAGATACCCAAAACAACTTATGTAAAAAGGGGAAAAGGGAAAGGTAGGGAATCATTATTAAAGCCAAGCCGAGTCGAGCCGCTCGGCCGGATCGGTAAAACCGCCACCCGATCACAAAACCGGTTCAGAACAGTCTAAAAGTCGCTCTGATTTTATGTAGTGGTTGGCGAGCGTTGAGGCGGTTAACCGTTCAAGCCGCTCGTCCGATTTTTGCCATTCAATTGTTAAATTTAATTAAAAAAATTGAAATAAACCAAAAACGTCGTGCTCTCAAACTGAATCCTTATTTCCATTTCACAATTTCGAAGGAAAGATGAGCTCTGATTAAGAAGTGTCCACTACTTAAACTGATAACGTTTATTAGGTACCGATTCGCTAGCGATTTTTAAACGGTCTATTGCCGGTTGGACCACTAAAGTGCTAGCCGTTCGCATTATCGGGTCATGCTCCGATTCGATTCTGACAACATTGATTGAGAGAAACCACAGACGAAAGCAAGGAAAATATTCTTTCTTAACTTGGTTTAGTGAACAAAATTAGAACCAAAACGCTCAATACTTCTAATATATTACATTCTCAACAGCAAACACACATGAAGGCAATGTTACTACCGATAGCCACAGAACAATTCTACAGAGAAACAAGGGAAAGTTAGGGAAGAAACACCATCAAGGAAAACCTGTTCCAGCCCACTGTAGTTGAAAAGTTCACATGTAGGAAGGAAAGGTTTCCATCAAGAGCTCAAGACTCCTGAACTACAAAACGCAGAGCAAAGTTTCTTCACTATCACAAGAACAAAAAACACAAAAATGCAGGTAACTGAAACAAGGTCCTTGACTAAACACTGAGATTAGCACTCTTCTTTCTTGTTCCTAAGTAGGTTAAAACCAGAGCAGCAACGACAATTATGAAGAGAGTACAGCCTCGTGGCACAGGGCAGTAGCAGCCACCGAAAAACAGGACGACGAAGAAAATCTTACATTCAATCTATTATTTTTCCGACTGCCCTTTGGATATTTGGCCACTTTCAAACTGACTACAAAGACCCTGAAAAACCACGAGGTGATGGCAGGGTAGGCCTCGCATTACCCTTTAGTAACTGTTTTGCCATAGCTGTTGGGTTGGCTTCGGGCCCTGGCCTTGCGAGCTGCCGCCAAGAGATCCATCCCTCGTGCTCTGTTGCTGATGATCAAGGGATAACCCTGTTTGGGAATGGTAGTAATTCGGGTAACCCGCAAGACCACCATAATGTTGTGACGGCTGTTGTTGACTTTGCCTAAAGCCTGAGGGCTGCTGTTGCTGTTGCTGTTGAAGCTGTTGTTGTTGCTGTTGCTGTTGAAGCTGCTGTTGCTGTTGCTGTTGCAGCTGCTGGTTCTGCCCCTGGAAGTTGTAATAAGAGTTTGCAGGGACTGTTGACATGGTCCGTGATCCATGCCCTTGAACCCACATTGCTGAGTTGTCATTCTGACAAAAGAAAAATACAACCACCAAAATCAGTTGGGCACTTGGGCTTCAGCGGAAAAGGTTGAGAAACATGAAAAACTTCATCACCATATCCAGTAAAGCAGTACAAGTCATATACGGAGGTGGCAAATCACCCCAAACCAACCGACCCACTTACACCCATTTGACCCGATGTCATTCGGTTGTGGAGTAAACTAAATGGGTTCGTTCAATGGACTTCGAGATAATTATCATTTAAACCAAATCCATGAACCAGCCAGCCCAAATATGCCACCCCTCACTAATGATTTATGCCCCAAAGAGAACGAAGAAGTAGACCAGTCCAGAAGCTCGGAGGATAATATACCTGTTGTTGCAGAGACATCAAATGGCTGTTATCCTTGTACTGCGAGCTCAACACATCGTCATAGCCAAGAGTTGTACCAGCAGGGGGAGCAGGTGGATTGAGAGGGAAGTTTCCTGAAGGAATGCTTGATGAATTCCCAAACCCATATCCAGATGGGACAGCAGCAGACTGAGTGGGCAAGCTGCTGACAGAAACACTATTCTTGTACTGAGGAAGCATAGCTGCCAGAGCCTGGTGGTAATTGCTATTGCCTGCAAAAGTCTGTTGGTAAGCCGACGGCATATATGCATAGCTCTGAGGCAAGAAAGGATAGCCAATCATGTTAGCATAATGGCCCATAGGAAGCGCAGGTTGTGAATATGGGTGGACAGCAAGGTGCTGAGGCAGAGCAGGTCCAGTGGCAACAGCACCACCGCCACCACCAAGTGACTGTTGAGTTGGCTGATGCGTGGAAATGCTGGATGCTCTGAGAGCCTGAAACAGGAACATAGATATAAATAAAATGTACAAACTGTTCCATCACATATATTTCAAGCAAGGTCGTGAGTGGTGCTATGCAGATTTATACCTTTACCACATTTTTTTTTTGTAGGACCTTTACCACATTTTAACAGTATGGTAATCATCTGAAAATTTTCATCATGCATTTGTCTTAACTTCTTTTATTTCATTGAAAGGGTAGTAAAGGTGAACGGTCAGGTTTAAAAAAATAAGTTGAGATGATCAGATATGAACTATTTTTGAGCAACAAAAATAGCTCAATTGATACATGAGATTTTGCCCGTGAGGAGTAGCCTTCAAGAGTAATAGCTCAATTGATAATCTTATGGATACTGTGAAACTGGACCGAAAATATCTCTAATTAGACTATACACTCAATGGAAAATCACAGCAGCATACCTCTGGCATGGACATGCTTGGACCACTGATAGAGGACGCTGTAGTGCCATACTTTGTAGGCATGGATTGAGTGGCTGGGAAAGGTGAGTATGGCAGATCAGGCTCCCTTCCTGTTGGCACGTTTGAAGCCAACAATCCACTAGGTAATGAGTTTGAATAGGCCTGCTGTAATCATGGAAAATAATATTAGAAACAAGCCCGAATAATTGCATTGATTTAACCTACCACATGTCTGATAAAGCCTGCAACCCAACCTTCGCTATGTCTGAATTTCACACTCCATAAACTATGCAGTTTTCTCTTTGATTATTGCAACCAAGCAAGTCACTTGGATACTTTGTTATTAAACCATGACAGCATCAACAAGTCATTTCCATGATAAAATAAGGGTTATAGGTATAATATGCCCCTCTACTATGACGTTTTAGCAAACATTTTATATCAAACATGCCTCTGTACTTTGAAAAAATTATCAAACATGCCCTTATGTTAAAATTCCTTTGAAAAAATCGCCAATCATGGTTGAACCGAGATTTAGACGAACCGACATCGGCAAATGGGAGCGGAAATGTTAGTTTTGCCTCCCGTTTTATTTCTCTGGGTCTGTTCAAAGGGAAATTATTCGAATTATTTGGCTATACAAAGAACTAAAAAAAATTCTAAAAGTGAAATTATTAGGAATATTTTAGACATTTGTGCCGCCCAAACCAAAGTTCAACCTTGGTTAACGTTTTTTGGATGAAAATTTAAATAAAAGGGTATGTTTGATCATTTTTACAAAGTACAAGGACATGTTTGATATAAAAAATAGTATAAGGGCATGTTTGATAAAACGTCATAGTAGAGGGGCATATTATACCTATAACCCATAAAATAACATACCCGACATAAAAAGTAGCATTCAGTTGCCTCCGTCACCCAGCACATCTTTCACAAGGACAAACACCACTATCAGAGTAGCCTCATTACAAGATGTACTTGCTCTTGTGAATCCTTCCATTCCCCAACCTACTGTACTCAACCTATCTCAAACTTTGTACTTTATGCACCCCATTCTACAACCAAGTAATTAAGACTTAAGAGCATGATGCTTCTTACTTCAACATATTTTTTTGAGACTTCAAACTTAATTGTAAACATACAAGACCAATAATATTTGACCGCACTGTTGGAAATGTAATCCATGAAGGATCAATTGCATAACTGTATATGTTCAGAACAAGAATTATAAGATAAGCTTTGATCCATACCATAACACTTGAGAAGGCCGCAATGTTCTGCATCTGAGAGCTCGGCTGTTGACTGTTAAAGGCAGCATCTAAATGCTGAGTGTTTTCATAATTATAGCCAGGCGTAGAGGAGGCAAATGCATATTGATTTTCCTGAGCAGCTTCCTGGCTTTCCTCCTTTAAGACTTGTGGTTGAGGGACTGCAGGAGAATCATAGTTCCCAGCATTCGCATTATTAGTTCTATGAACTAAATCATCTTCACCTGTACTTCTTAGATGCTCATCTGCATAGTACTCGGGATCTCTGCAAGAGAATCAAATTAAGGTGGTTATGAAGTTACAGCAAGCAAACAAGTGTATATGGTCAGTGGTCACTTTAACGAAGCACACCTAGCATTTGAGTGCACTGCTGTGTCGGCTTCCACCGTTTCAGATGTCTCTTCCAGATTATTCGCCAAGGAGTTCGATCCAAATGGCCCAGACAAACCCGAAGCGATGCCAGAAGCAAAGCTACCAAAACTTAAGTGCGAACAATCTTGAGCATGAACTTGAAGATGATTTGGAATTATTACAACAGGGTTATCTTCTTCAGGTGGCCCAACCTTATCTTCATTCTGCAAGCTCAATTGCTTTAGATTTGCTGAGACAGATGATGAACTGTCCTCTGCTGAAACAAAATAATAGAGGTCTTAAATAAGACTGAGTTCCCTTATAATAGAATATATGGAGCATAAAAAGGAACTACCAGACGAAGAAAGCCAGTGTAACGAAAACCACTGTGTTGAGGCAAAAGAATGGCAGGAACAGGACACATTCCCCAGAGAGAAAAATTAATATTCCCACATTCGGAATGACAGCAACATGAATTTCAGAAATCAAAGGTATAAGTCACCACTGAATAAGACTCGAATACTTACCCAAATTGACATAATCCCATCACTAATCAAAACAGTAACTAGTGAATTAAGAAATTGGGGTTTAGTGCTCACCTTCATTATGCTCAAAAGCATGTCTATGAGCCTGGTAGGAGTTAATATTATCATACAGATCATTGTCGAATAGTGAGGAACCTCCAATGCCATCTTCCTGTATATGTCTACTGGATACAGAAGGAGGCCCACCTTGACTTTCATTAAGCGTTTGAACAAGATCGTCCTCTTCTGACTGAACTTCATCAGGCTCGGACCTAACGTGCTCATCTGCTCTATCTAAAGGTAAGCTTGATGGGTTCGCATACAACTCAGGATCTGTAGGTGCCTCCATAAAAGATGACACATTAGCACCAGATGGCTGCTCAATTGATGGCCAGTCATTGGAATAAACTTCTGGTTCATTGTGCATCTCCGGCACCTTGTGAGCACTATTTTCTGATGAATGCATATCATTGTGTGCGGGTGCCCATCCATGCTGCTCATTAACAATGTGGCTATGTAATGCAGATGGCTTACTCTGGGGCCTTCCCATTTTGACAATATCTGCCATTGATACCTGACCTGGAACCGCAATCCAACCAGATTGAATTCCAGGAGTAGGCTGCACTGATGAGGAAACCCCATCACCTGCACTTACAGTTGGTGTTTTATTTTCAGCACCCAATGAGTCGCTGCAAAAAGAAGTAAACATCAGGTCAGAAAGGCACTCACTCATACAAAGGAACATCATAAGCACAATTAAATAACAAAATAAAAGAGGGAAACGTGAATGAGACAAATATGAAGAGTTGAATGATGAAGAGTACTATGTATTATAATATGAGGAATACGACATCCCAAGAAAGTAGATAGTACTATGGAGTATAATGTGATGATCAAGCGCCAAAAGAATTTGAAAACATTGTCATTCATTTGCTTTCAGTTATCACTAACAAAAAAGCCAAATTCTTGTCCACGTTGCAATACCGATTACACAAAACAAAAAATGAAGGATAAATAGGACACTGATCGGTTGATACGAAACATGAAGGTTGTATATTTATTTTTCTTTTGCATGATCTGGTACATAAAACTGCTGTAGTTCTATCATAAGCAAGAACTACAGCAAACATCTGATGTAGGACAACAACATCTGATGCAAAGGGGTCACAAAAGGATCACCTGGGAAATTGAGCTCGCCACCCACTATTGTTCCCTGCAGTGGCAGAGGCATAAGAAGTAGAGCCTGCATAAGCATGTGCTCCATTTTCCTTCCTGTAAGCAGATTTACCATGCAAAGCACCAGAATCTGTAAACAGAAGCAGAAAGGTGAGTGTTAAATAGGCTCCAATGTCTATAGTTTATTTTAAACAGAAAGGTAACTTCTTCAACTAATAAAGAGCATCATGTTCATACCAGTTGAGCCATATTGGTTTGATCCACTACGCCCATACCGGTCTGAACTTCCCCTGCCACCGCGATGTGTAACATTATTAGCACCACGAGGCCGAATGTCTGTTGTATCCTTATTCTGAGTCAAATACAGAAGCCCTTGTGAAAAAAAGGTTCAATAATAAAGAATTCACAGGCGACGAAAAGTAGAGAATACTTATATGAAGTATTCACCGATACAAATTTCAGGACTTTCAGGTTGCTAAGTACCTCTTTCTTCTTTTCTCGCTTGCTCTTAACTTCGCGGAAAGGATCTACACAATGGGTAACTTTACATCAGAATGAGCTCAAACCAACAAACTCCCCAACTCCATCAGTCCAACAGCATAAGAAGGAGAAAGTAAAATAAGTAGAAACCAGTAACATCATTGTAATTCAATTAAAATCCTAAGTCTTTATGGTGAAGCAACAAGAGAGGACAAATATAAAATTTAAGCAGTAATAAAGAAGCTACAATTCCTTTTGAAACTGCTGCCAATTTCTCGTCTTCACGTTCTCAGTTTGACAAAGATAAGAAATTATGAGTAAGGAGCGAGGAAAGAGTCACAGGGTCTTCAACTGATTGCACTGATCCCTCGGGTATCCCCATGCTACAACCCTATTCATAAGAGTGAGCTAATTACTCATTACTTAGTTTTGCTATCACATACCTTAGTGTACTGATCTCCACAGTAAGAATGAGCACTGAGAGATTTAAAACCCTAGCAAAGGGAAGAACAAGAAGTAACGGGGAAAAGAAAGATGACAAGAACATTCATCAGACTTCCCAAACCACATCGTGCAAGTACATACAACCAATGAAAGCAATAACTTTAGCCTCCACCCGAGTACATAGCCTCTATCACTCACTCCGTAGTAGCCGGTTATTTTATAATTCCCTCATGAACCTCCAAGTTCTCCAACACTCAAAACCCAGCAAAAGAGGAAACATTCGAACTTCATAAAAAAAAATCAAGAAGAAAATAAATATGTCGACAGCCGACTCCAAGTCCACTGAAACTACAGCTGAAAAGCGTTTAAGACAAAGAGCTTTCAATCGCCATAGTTGTACCCTTCGTGCTCATCATGAAGAAGGGGGAAAACAAATAAATAACAGGAAAGAAAGAGAGAGAAAGAAAACCTTGAGTGAGGAGGCGATTAACGGCCTCGTTAGGGTCCATGTTACACTCCTTGAGCATCGCATAGATCTCCGCCTCGGGACAGCTGACAATCTCTTTCAAGCTCTGAACTATCTTCCTGGAGCCCGCCGGTATGGCGGAAATTCCATTACTGCCCTTTCCGCCATGGTTCCTATCGCTGTTGTTGTGACCTACTCCGCCGCCGCCACCGCCTCCTTTCCCACTCATCTTCCTACCTCCCCTTCTCTCTGCGTCACCGCCCCCACTCAGATCTGAGTACAGACGACACCGATGGCCGGACTTTTGGCTATCCTCTTCTTTTTCTACTTTTACTTCTCCGGTGACTTTCTCTGCTTCTATTACTTCTGTCTGGCTGAGCGCGCTGCGGATGCAAGGGGGGCGAGCAATGAGAATATATCTACGCTGCCACGCACTCTCTCTTCTGCTTTGGAGCACCGGAAACCCTTTCCCCCTATTTTTTCCCTCTTTCTTTTATATTTTCGCCTTTTCTTTTCTGTTTTCTTCTCTGCGAGTGGATTTTCTTTTTAGTAAAGAAAATTGAATTCTGTCCTTGGGGAAGAACGAACGAAACCGTGCAAAGTGCAGCGTAGGATGATGCGTCTTATTTTCTGGTTATTTACGGCCGGACCGGACCAGCTAGCTGGGTCAAGGTTGTCAACCCGGTTTAGCTCGTTGGTCCGGTCGAGTAAGTGGGTTGAAGGCTAATAGGACAATCTCTTTAACCTGGTTTAGCCCAAATATACCCCAAAATAAAGTGTCATACTTGGATTTCACATCAGTGAAATTGCACACTTTTATATAACATCTTCAATTTAGAATTCCAAATATTGAATTAAGCGGAAAAAAAAGCCCAAAAATGGCACATTTCACAAACCAAAGGAAAAACGACACTGTTTGACCTCCAATCCGATACTGGCGAGTGTGTACGACCCGTTTATCTCACCAAATCAGAGTTAAAGCGGGCCAACCAATGGGTCGACCCACGGGTTAACAACCTTGTGGATACAAAGCGCAGTGTAAGGCAGGCTGTAAGGTTGACGCATTGTATTTTCGATTAATACAATTTATTAGTTAAACCTTTTAAACTTTATAAATTATTACGAAATACAAAATATTAGCTAAATCTTTGGTAATGCACCAAAATATTAGCCATTTGTTTGTTACCGTTGGTGATTTTGTAATTTTTTTCTCAATTAAAATACTAAAATTTTAGAATGTAAACTCCCATGTGTATCTTTCAAGTCAATATCATGTTATAAAGTCAATATTACTAACAAAATTGCTAACGAGAAGTTAACATTTGACTAATATTTTGTATGGGTTAATTGCAAGGATGGTACTGGGATTACTAAAACTGTTCATGTTTGGTCACTACAAATATTTAATTCCATTCATGGTCACTAAGATTAGTTCAATAGTTCAAGTTTGGTGACTCTCCGTTAGTTTCCGTTAGTTTTTGCTGATGTGGCAGTCAACTATTATAGTTGACCGTTAAATGAGTGACGTGGCCATTAAAAAAATAATAAAATATAAATATTTACAATTTACACCTCATTTTACAACTATTAAAAAATAAAAATAAAACTTACCACCGCCGCTGCGCTCATGACCAAATCCCTCGCCGCCGCTGCGCTCTCTGACCGGGTCAAGTTCGTCGACCCGGTCCAGCCTGAAACGTTGAATTCATTCAGAAGCTAATATCATTTTGGTTACCAAGTATGCACCTGATGTTTTTTTCATTAGGGGCCGGCGAATGGTCGTCGTCCCTGGCCACGGTGGTCCAATCCACCCGAAAGAAAACCGGCAGCGTTTTGTGCCCGAATTTTTTAGTGATTTCGACAATGGTGGCCACTTCTTCAAGGCACTAGGACGAATTCGCGAAGTTTTTGGAGAATATCACCACCGAAATCGCTGTTCCTCTGAGGATGGAGAGGAGTTTGTCGATTTTCCTGGGTTACTTTGAGCTGGGTGTCGACGAAGGTTTTGATTTTCATTTTAGACAGATCTTTCTCAAGGTGGCTCATAAAATTATCCTGAATGTCATCCCCTCTGAAGCACACGAACACGTCGTAATCCCACCGCCCCGTGTACGGAGGAGGAGAAGAAGAAGAACTTGCTACTGCTGTGGACGCCATCGCCGTCATTGGCGGAGCCGGAAATATGAATGAGAAAGGGCTAAGGTTTGAACAGTAAAGAGGGGAGGCCTGGACGAGCTTGAACTATTGAACTAATCTTAGTGACCATGAATGGAATTAAATATTTGCAGTGACCAAACATGAACAGTTTTAGTAAATCCAGTGACCATCCTTGCAATTAACCCTATTTTGTATTTTGAAAGGTTTGGCTATTAATTTAAAAAGTTTAAAAGGTTGGAATATATATTGTATTTACTTTTTTTTTTTTTTTTATTCTGATCCTCCCGAACTGGACATGCCTGCCGGGTGACTTGGGGTCGTTTGGATGTGGAAATTTGAAAACGTTGGAATTTGTCTGAATTTCCATGTTTTACAAAACCAAGGAATTGACTTGTGGAAATTGAAAAAAATTTCACGTTTGGATAGGGTTTAGTTTTGTGGGAATTGATGGTGTGGAATTTGGAAAAAGAAGTAAGAAAACGTGGTAATGTCAAATTACTAGGGGGAGGTGTAGTATTCTCAATTACCATGAATGTGGTAATTGAAGCCAATTTCCATGGTCCAATTCCCATACCCTTTTTGCTCTCCCAAACGTGGGTTTTAAACCCAATTACTGCGTTATGTGGTATTTGGGTCCAATTACTGCATTGCATTTCCACGTCCAAACGACCCCTAGGAATTGTGCAAAGTGTAGTGTACGGTGGGTGGATGCATCTTAAGTTTTGTTATTTTCAATCGAATCGGACCAGACCAACTGGCTGGGTGAATAAAAATCGCTTGACAAATAGAGACGATATCGAGCATACACAACCAACAATTATGGCCTATTAACCCTGACAGCAAAAGGCTAGCAATAGAGGTGTTCAAATGGTTACCATGGTTATAACCAAACTAAATAAGGCTAAATTCCATTAACCATGGAATACAATATCATAACAAAACCGTCCAAACTAATACAACAACCAAATTAACCAAACTAAAGTTTAATCGGTTTGGTTAATTGGTTAACCAGATTAACCAATATAAAATCACATTATCATTGACGATGAAAATTTTTCGGTTAATGCAACAATTCGCAATTTATATAATGAATAAAACATAACAATCAACACTTAGTTATAGTTGACCCTTAACAAAAATACCTGCAACTAAGACAATTATCTTACGATTAGTATAGAAGTATTCACCTAACAAAAATTTATGACAATGGTATGGGTTAATGAATTGTTCTGTTTGTGTAAGTTGACTTAATCTCTTAGCAATTATCATAGGCTGGAAATGACCTTCCTTTCATGTTTTCATCCATCATAATGTATGAAATTTATCTAAACTAGGCGTCCATATGTTGTGGTCTACACTTTACATATACAAAATATACATTATATGAGCAATATTGAGCTTTATATTTTATGAGTCTAAAAGGGATAAACGTTAACTCTTGAGTGGTTATGCATAGTATTAAGTATGTGTATATAATATATGTTAGATATATGACTAATTACTTAACTGGTTAATTTGGTTTGACTGGTTAGGAGTGTCTGAAACCAAACCAAACCACCTAAACCAAACAAGCTAAAAACTTTAACCTAACCAAACCAATTATCCAAATTAACCAAACAAATTATCCAAATAGTACCGGTTAAAACGGTTGCCACGGTAACCAAACCGTTTGAACACCCCTAGCAAGCGTCAGAACTTATGCTTGATTGGATGTACCGATATAGTACTCTTCTCTAGGGATGGCAATGGGTCAGGTTGGGGCCGGTTTTGTCAAACTCAAACCAAAATCCATGGGTTTATCGGCCAAAAAAACCCGGGGTAAAACCCGCTGGGTTTGAAAAACTCAAACCCAACCCAACCCGCTGGGTATCCGCGGGTTCATGGGTACCCGCGGGTTTTTGTGGTAAAAAATTTACAATAACAAATTTCTTTCAAAATAAAAGTTTATCATCAATTTTCTCATACAAATTACAAGCAAATCGCAAATGATCAATACAAATTGTTCAAAATTAAAGATAAACATCTATAAACAATAAGATTAATTGACTTCTTCCTCGTCAATTAAGTTTCTTCACTCTCCACTTCATAATATCAACTTTATTCTAAACAATTAGAAAGAACAAATTATACATGTCTCCACAAACATAAATGTCTCCACAAACATAAAGAATATTAGTTGTTTAAGGAAGATATATTATTTAGTAATAAATATACCGGGAAGGTAATTATATGTGTATGGGCGGGTACCCATGGGGCGGGTTTACCTAAACCCAAACCCAACCCGATGAATAGTGTAGCGGGTTTAAAACCAAACCCGGCCCAAAACCCGTCAACACGGGTTTTACCCGCGTTGACCGGGTTGGGTCGGGTGGGTACCCGTGAGTTCGGGTTTTATTGTCATCCCTACAGTCTTCTCCAATCAAAATTCCTCTTAGTAGGATAAAAGAAAAACATCTTACGGTATATTGAAAAAGGAGCGCATCTATCGAACGAAGAACACCTCCTAGTAGGTTGCAAGAAGAACGCCTCCTAGTAGGCGTGGTTAGGGGTGTACATAGGTCGGTTGGTTCGAGTTTAACCATTTTAATCACCCGACCCATGCACTATGGTTTGGGAATTATCAAACCCAAACCCATCCAAAAATATTTAAACCCTACGGTTTGTTTCTAATTGGGTTGGGTCTGGTGGCGATATTTTTAAGTAAAAATCCAACCCAACATAAAATATATAATTATTATACATGATAAAAATATTTTATAACTAATTAAAATTTCAAACGAATAAACCGAGGTGAAAGGTATCAAAATTCACAAATGTTATTTGAATTTTAATAAAATGTGATTTACTTCAACATATGTCGAGTTTTTTTCACGATATTTGTTGAAATAGGCTAAAAAGGTTATAAACAAACGCATCCATAATATATTATTCTATTAAAATTGTACACAAGAAAAATGATTATGTGAATCATAACTATATTCAATTTATGTCTAAACTTATAGTCGAAGAATGCATTAGATTAGGGAGATCATGATAGGAAAACATGGCGAAATATCTTAATTTTCGCATAGGTATGGCTACATACGGCATAAATATTTTTAGATACGAACTCATACTAATAGTTGGAACACGGGTTGGGTCAGGTTCTACGGGTTGTGTAATCCAAAATCCAAACCCTACCTAAAAGAGGCGGGTTGTACAAAAGAAAACCCTCACCCAACCCAAAACCCTCGTTTTAGCGATAAATACGGTTGGGTCGGTTTGCGGATGTGTTTGTTCACCCCTAGGCGTGGCATTGGGGAGCCACAAGAGCGCCTTGAGTTAAAAGTCTCAAATCGTGGGGGTCACCAGGATACATAGCTAATGTCTAATAACAATGGGCTAGTGAGGCAAATCTTTACAATTTGAGAGATTTTAACTCAAGACAGTGAAAGCTAAGCAAGGGGCAAATGCAATGGTCATGGAACTCGCACAAGGAGCAAAATGAATCGTCTAACTCCTCATGCAACATCCGCACAAAGAAAACTCAATGGTCTTTCAACACATGCAAGGGGCAACCTCCACCCCCCTTTAAGGCGTCAACCCCAAAGCATCTCTTACTTGAGACATCAAACTCGCTCCAGCATCAACCTAAAGGCACCTTCTGTGAGGCCTCCACCTGAGCACCTCACCTCAAGGGGCAGAGCGCACCCTTTGGATTAACATTCCTAAGGATGCAGCATCAAGGCACTGCCTCTGAGACCTCCTTCTCACTGAGGCGTTAGCCTTAAAACATCTCATCTTAGGCCTCCAGCCAACCTCAAGTCACCTCCACTGAGACCTTCATCTCACTCTTAAGGCGACAACCTCAAAGCATCACACCGGAAGGCCCCCTTAAAAGCGTCAGCTTCATGACATCACGCCTAAGGCATCCACCTCAAGATAAAGTACCACTCCAGAGGCATCCAACCCACTTTGAGGCACCTCACCTCAAGGGGTAAAAGAGCATCTTTCGAGCTTGCAAGGAAAATCAATATAAAATAGTGCATTATGTTACTCGTTCCATTCTTAGAAAATACAATAAGTAATCGGGCAACTGTTGAGATATGGATTAGTATATGACTAATACAATAATGGTACACACTTCACCAATGAGACTAAGCATACGTAAGGCACCTCTCCTAAGGCTTCCAGCCCATTCTAAGGCGCCTAGCCTAACTAAAGCGTCCAACTTCACCGAAGGTGTCCACTCCGCTCTAAGGCGTCCAGGCCGCTCTAAGGTGCCTAGCCTACCCCGAGGCACCCAGCTCAATGGAAGCCTCTGACTCCTATGTAAAGAGGCTTATGCCCTCTAAGCGCTAGGGATCTCTTCTCCACATTCACCATACAAGTCCTCTCCCTAACTTTATCTCTCTACATTCACATATACCCACTTGTATCTCGTACTAACGTGGGGTCGGAGCATAGATCACAGGAGCAGTCCCCTCCTCTCCACATATTCTTCCACTCTCGAAGAGATTGAACGGAGGAGTCCAGATTAGAGCCTCAATTACAATTATGTTAACTCGAGTACATTCTTGAGTTAAACACCAACACCTAAGAGATGGAAGGTACGGTGTTCCGCCTCCCGGGGAAAACCACTCAGCATGCAACAAGAGGAACAACGGGTATGGATGATGAGGAAGGACAAGAAGTACATGCATTCAAACACAACAACCAACCTACAAATCGACCACTTCAACGATTAATCGAACAAGAGACTTCCATACTGAAGCGTTGATAGCGGTGATTCTCAAGAATCAAAGAAGGAAAAAGGAAGCGAGGCAACACATCATGTCTTGCATTCATGCAATTATGGAGAACCCTCTAACATATATCTCTCCAACACTTGCTCGCTCTCCTTCCCCTAAACCATATAAAGCCGGAGATGATGAAGAATCCTTCGAGGAGGATTGAGTACTAGGCACGTATGTCCCCTAAGCAACACAGGCTGCAGAAAGGGAGATACGAGAACAGCACCAATCCAACACTAACTCCTTGTAATCTTTTAGCCAAAAGTGACACCCACAAAATGGGGAGAGGGACTCACTTTTAACTACTGGGATAGAAAGCTGGAATGAGAATATACATCACGAGAAGCCAGACTCATTATTGCTTGGACTTCTTTGATTCCTTCTTCCTCCTCATTGAAGGAGCCTTTCTTCGTTTCTTTGATTCATCTCCTTCCGCATCCGAGTCTTCTCGAGGGAGTAGAATTTGCAGGGCCCACTTCATAGCATATAAACACATTTTCTTCACCTGTACCAATCCGAAACCGAAGACATTTGCGCTAACAATGAGAAAAGGCATAAACCAGCAGATCAAGGGAAACACGTTGTAGAGGGTCACTTATATCAATGAAGTGACTGCAACTGCCACTGACACTCAAACAGATATTAATCCAAGCATTTCAAAAAAAGCAACAAAGGATGGAAAGGGAGATCAGAACAGCACCTGCAACTTGTCTGCCTTCAAACGATGGTTCAGCGGAAGAAGACGGAACTCCTCTGTCAGACGAATGCACTCTCCAACGTTTTCAGGTGAGACAAAATCTGATGCTACCTGGATGCACGACTGAAAGAGACAACTAAAGCGGATCAATCGGGTTGGTACTACAGTTCTTCAGACATTTCAAAATGGGTAGAGCTTATTCAATGGGGATATCCATTTCAACATAAAAGACTAGTCTTCATCATGATGTGCCGTTCATGTTTTAACATAAGTTGAGAAGGCACAGGTGAGTGACAAGTCAACACAAACTCTCTACCGTGCCTAAGATCACAAAGCCTCAGACATCAATCATTACTGAAACAGCTCATGCCTTTTACCTTCAAATTTCTCACTTGATAAGGACAGCCAGCAGGGATAAAGATTGCATCGTCAAGTTTCTGGACAAAAGTCCATGGTTCAACACCTGTGTTAGATCATACCAAAGCACATAAGCTAAAAAACCAGATAAATGAAATCCAAAAGGCAAAAACAGGGTTAGGTAGCAAAAAAGAAGCAAGAGCAACCATATTCTTCCTTCAGCTTCCTTTTATGTTCCTCAGTCAAATAAAAGGTTTGATCATGTATGGGATGGATGACCTGCACCATCAAAACCCAAATGACAGATTTGTTTATCAAAGGGCACCAAAAAAATCAAGAGAACACCACCCTGAAGCGGCTTTGCAATTGAATGCAAAATCAAACCTCCTGCAATGGGGAACAAAGAATGTGCCTGAATTCTTTAAAGTGCTTGACAAGATATTCCCCCAGTTTGGGAACATCTTCTCTTCGGAAGATGTCCCATAGAGCACCTCCCTCCACTAAACTGTTTGGTAACTCACCGCACTTGGTCCTTTCGACTTGGCTCTCCGAAGAGTCCAGTTGCGGTCTCTGAGAACAAGTATTCTCGCAGCATATCATCCTTCTTTTGGTCATGGTCAAATCTATTGCTGCTATCATTCTCATTTTCATCTATGGCGTTCAAACCTCTGCCTATACCGAATAATTCTCTTTTGTCATGTTCAAAGTGCACTTTTTCCAATTTTTCAATTTGAGCAAGTTCGGAGCTTCCATAGACAATCTCTTTTGTGTGAGCCAAAATATATACCTGAAACAAGCAAACTCCAATCAAAGACAACAGAAACCATGCACCAATCAGACTGTGGGATGATGGATGACTATATATTAAAATAGCAACAAACAAAGCAATTAGACTGTGCTGTTATATGCCCATGCCACGTTGAAGTCACTGCATGCTATCAGCTATTATAACTACGTGCACAAATATATTTCAAACAAAATTTTGCTAAAACAAGTAATATCACCTCATGCTGTCAAATTTGACTAGCCATCATATGATAAACAAGAAAAGTACCGCATCAGACATGTCACAGTGAAGCTTAGTCACAGAATCTCCACGGCCAAGCTCTTGGGGAAACCCATAAGCTATATATGTCTTTGGCCCCATGTCTGGCTTCAAAGACTTCTTAGGAAGTTTGGCTGCAAGATTCAGAGGCCCATCCGCAAGATGAGTGTACTCCTTGAAGGGCAAACAACAAGTGTACTCAGCACCATGCCGTGGCAAACGTTCATGGAACATAGCAGATGGTGGCCAGTCTTTTAACTTCAAAATCCGAGGCCACCCCATAGAATCAAACTCCCCCTTGGAGTATCCATCAAAGAACTTGTGCAAATTGATATCCACCTGCGTGTTCAGATAAAACTTGTTTTGCTGAATCATGACAGTGAAAGCAAAACTAGACTTACTCGCTACTGCATCTATAGAAAGCAGTTATGCAATGAAGTGACAAATTATCAGATTTACAAGACAGCATATAGAGCGTACCTCGCACCAGTCCAAACAATCAAGGATTTTCACATCCAAGAGTGTGTCATAATTTTCATTTTTTATTTGGCGGAAGGCACGCCACATGACCATAGGCTCCCAGCTTAGGCCAGATCCAGTTCCAAGCACATTGCTAACAAGTACAGGTTCAGCCTTCATCCAGTGGTGGCGGAAATGCTCAAAATCTTCTTCAGTCAAATTTTTAGCATTTGGATAGAACAAGTAATTATCACTTGAGTCTTCACGGGAAGAAGCCTTCATTAACCCATTGAATTTCAACTCGTGGTTGCCGCTGGCATTACAGCGGACACATTGTGTACTGGAAAAAGACCTACCCAAATAAAGATCAAGTTCTTTACTAACACCTTCTGCTCTCTCCACCAGCTCCGAAACCCAATTCCCAGAAAACAGAGTTTGGAGTTTTAAAGTGCCGGAACCACAGGCACAAGCAATGGTACCATCTTCATTTGCTTTCCAAGAAGTTTTTGGTTCCTGAGCCAGAGGTTCCTCCACAGCAACCTCACCAGGGACTATAGCATGGCATGAACTTCTGCGTGTACCATGATCGAATGCACCGTGTAAGTAGTCAAATCCTCTATCAACATATTTTATATCCACACTAGGCACATTGCCGCGAAGATTACCATCACGGATCTCACGGCAGCAGGAAAGACAAATATCAGATTCACATTCCGAGCAATTTCTGTGGTAGTCAAAAATAGCAGTCTTGCATATGTCACTGCATCGAATGAAAACAGAGAAAGTTGACCCCAATTTTTATGAAGCCATCATTAAACGACCAATAATATCGATACAAAATGAAAAGTACCAGTAGATGCGCTCATCTTCTGGACATTCAGCTTCTTGTACACAGAAATCTTCAATTGGCACGCCTAAAACCGTTATAAAAAAAAAGTACAGTAACTGAAAAATCACGAGATGAAGCACTCTAGCAAAACAGTAGAAGAAACTAACTGAACAGGAAACAACAAATATTCATCTTCCATTCTCACCAATTCACTGCAATCCCCTACCTCCACGGGAGGGCAGGGGCATGGGCCAATGAGAGGGAAGAAAAAAGGTATCAGCCCTCAATCCTAATATAAATATAATATGTATCAAGAAAGTACCTAAGATTCCTGCATCAATATTTCTCTCCATTAACTGCTCCTCCTTTATATGCTTCAAGAAAGGTAAAATTGTCTGTAACATGTATTCAGCATGCCGCCTGCTTTCATCTGGAGTGAGTTCTACTTTCAACAGTGACTGCATATCCTGCACAAGATAGAGACAGAATAACTATTGATGATTGTACAATTCACAGAGCCTCGACATATGAAATTCCGTAAAAGAAACTGGGTGCAATGTGGAAGGGCCTGGACCTCAGCTCGGAGATCCATGCGCAAACAAGCTTTACAACTGCAGTTGTTACAGCAAAAAGGACAGGCAACTGCAACATCCTCATGCGTCAACTTAGGGTACCTGGTTTGATAGGCCAAAACCAGACTCGGTCAGAAAATCTATCTTCCAATCTACTGGATGCAATTCAATTCCCTATTCTGGAGTTGGTCTACAGAGCAATTCCAGACCAAGCAATCAAACATTAGAAATGGATATTTTCATCCTAAAGCTACTGCAAAGACCTGAAAACACCAAGAAGGAGACTCTTGAGAAACTTTACCAATTTGATATGCACGGGAAGCAGTATCGCTTGGTTTTACATTTGTTGCATCGAACAACACCACCTTTATCGTTCCTTTGGCATTGATGACACATTAGACAGTACTTCTCAGTGAACTGGAAAGGCAGAGAGGCATTCACGCTCAGTACAGCGTCAAGGTTTCTAGCAATAAACCGAAAGAGAAGGCAGCTAAAAAAAGCAGGCAACAAAGTAAAACCAATCCAGATCATTCGATCCCATAGACCCATACCTCACGGTTCCTCGTACAATCCAGATCACCGTACACTTTATTCAATGGAGGACGAGTTTCACGAACTTCCCCAGTTTTAGAGCCCTCTCCAGCCTTCGTATTACTCCTCTCCCGCGGTTTCTTCTTACCTGAAACCTCACTTTCTTCCAAACACTTGGACTCCTCCGCATACATGACGGGCTTCCGATCGCGGGTATTGCGACGCTCTCTCGCCATAACTTCCGCGTCAGAGCTCTCTCGCCGCTGGATTTTCGCACCACTCTTCCGTCCTCTTTTCCCGGATACCTTGTCAGTACCCTCGCCAGCTTCCTGGTCTCCCCCATCCACCGTCTCTTTCACTCCCTCACCGCCACTCCCACATACTCCTTCCACAGTCTCGGTCCCATTCTCGCCGCCGCCCTGATCGATTCTCATCGCATCACTCTCCTTCTCCTCGTGATTTCGATCTCCACCACCGCCTTCCGCTGTTACAGACGCCTTTCTAGCCCTAATTCCACTCGTCTCCCCTTGTCTAAACTCGCCTGGAACCTCATCTTCATCGACAATCAAGTTGGACTCCGCGTAGCTAACTGGTTGCCTATCCCGTCTCCTGCGACCTTGTTTCGCCGGAATCTCTGTCTTGGAACTCTCTCGCCGTCGGTTTCCTCCGCCGCATTTCGTGCCCGGTTTCGCCATGAACTGTTCTCTCTCCCTCTCTCGGCACTCCTGCTGCAAAGCTTGTAGTAGAACCAGCCGCTTTCGTCTTGTTTAACACTTAACGCCGACGAAATCGTTTGCTGTCAACTTATCAGTCGTCTTCTCAACATCACGACTTCCTCTGGCGCAGTCTGATTCCGGTTTCTCCAGGAATCGGTTAAGCTACTCCGGATGAACGGCTTCTACCAGAACCTATCGTCTGTGCTCGTGACATTTTACAACCTTTCGCGCAATAATGCAGGGAGACGTAAACCTAATTTTTCCCGGGCACGGTGGGGGAGTTAGATGGACAGGGCAATTGCAGGGGGTTATTCCCGGGAACGCAGTAATACTTCAACTCGCCGGGGAGAAACTGTATACGATGATACGCAAGATATGAGCCAAACCGTGAGAAGTCAAATCCTATTTGACTCATCCATGCTATCATTTGTAGATTTGAATTGATTTTTTTTTTTTTTTTGCAGTGTTTGAATGTTCAATGGAAATTGTAGTTAATTGAAAATGTACAATTATTATATATATGATTTTGCTATAGCCTATAGGAACTCATGTTGATTTGGAGAAAACGGATTATCGCTTCCATCAAGCGTGCTTTCGACAAGCGATCAACCGGATGAACATTGTTAGTGAAATAAACATATTTAATTAGAGACATCAAATATTAATAGATATGTTTGCTATTAAGAGAGTTGAGGTGAGTACAAAACTTGAAAACATATGCATATGAGGAATTTCTCGGGTGACTGTTATTTCGTAGATACGGAAACTGCTCTCCAGATTTATTTATTTATTTATTATATTCGACTTCCTTTATATAGACTTTCCTCTTTTCATCCGATTATAATTTTGCTTAGTTTTGGAATCATATAGTTGTCTTGTGATGAAGCATGTTTGTTGTTATTGTTGGTATGGAGAGACTTAAAAAGTAGAGTATCATTATTATTAGTGTTGGTACGGATCAAATTTAGTGTTGTGAATGTTTACGGACATAAACTAGACTGTCGAACACCCTTAAATTGCCAAGAAATGGAGGTTTGTTGTATAAAATGTCATATGGAGACTAATTATGTACGAAGTACGAGTAGAGTATGGGAGTTTGTTAACTAAGTATGCATAATGTAAAATACAAATATACAATCACTCAAAAACTATAATGGTGCACAACCATATAGGAATCTGAGTGACCTAATCACATTAAAAAATCTATACATAATAGTGGTGATGCTTCCTTTCCATCACAACATTTTGTTATGGTATATAGCACTAACATTTGGTTATCAATCTCTTTAGCCATGTAATACTCACATAATAAGGGATACCCAAACATCATATGAACAATCATCCATAATGTTAAGAAAATCGTTAAATTCATCATAAGAGATGAGTGATATAGACCTCCAGATTTCCACATCAATTGAGTGAAAATCTCAACAACATTATTGGTGTTAACAGGAATGGTAGTTTTTTTGTGGAACTAGTTATAAGAGGGATCATTGTAATGTATGTCATTGCTGCTTGCTAGGATGTGCTAATCTCTAATGCCACAAATCTATTTGTTAAGGACCAAAATTAAAAACAATAGCAGCTTGAAATTGGTGTTGAACTCGAGAATGTGATGGCTTATTGGGAAAAGAAAGCTACTAAAGACATTTTTAGTTCCTCTTGCTAAAATATTGTCATTTTGCTTAGAAGGTCCTGAATTTGCAATATGTATGTGAGTTTGTTCATCTCTTTAGGAGTAAATCCATGAGTAGAGTGACTCACAATACTACCTTCACCATTGAATCTAACCTCTTTTGGTGTCTCATTGCCACATGAACTCCCTTGTTAGACCAATCCATCAAACTTAGGAATTCCAGCTGGTGAAATGCCCCCTTGTTCATCCTTTTGAGCCTCCAACAATCTTCTATGTTATGGTTTATCCTCTTGCATAACTTACAAAACTTTTTTCGTTTACCTCGTTCGCCATTCTCATGTTCTTTTGTAGCCTCATTGTGTAATGACAAGACTAATGTGTGTGTCTTCTTTCCACTCACATGTCCATTTGCTTCGAGCTCTTGTTCATGCTGCAATAAATCATCTATTTCATAAGCTACAGTAGCCGAAAGTTTCAGCATCAGTAGGTATATCACATCATACTAATAATTAAGTGCTCGAAGAATTCTAATTAGGTAATTTATCTCAGACTTCTAATTATAAGCTACCACAACATTACACATATTTGGATGGCCTGAAATACAATTGCAACATTATTGAATTGTACTCTACGTACTCATCCCACAAACTCTTATTTAGTGTGTGGTACGTGGATCTCATCTTCCATATTTGTCAACATGTTTGCATTCAGTAGTCCAAACCTAAATTGCAGCTCATCCAACAATGATTTGGCATTTTCATGACTCATTACAGAAAGCTTAATGTCATTTTGCAACGGATTCAAGATCCAAATGACAACAACAATATTACAACTATCCCACAAAAGAAAATTTGGTTCATTCCTAGCATACATTGGCAAGACTCATCGATAAAACCAAAATTATGCTTCATTTTCACGCCCTTTTCATAAATCTACTCCACATCAAGTAGCCATTACCATCAATAGATTCGGAAACGATCGATTGAGTAAAACTCTCATTTGCTTTTAGGTAGAGGGAGGATAATAGAATTGTTGTTGTTGGTAGCATTCTAATCAAGCGGACCCAAAGACCCACTCTGAAATCCAGCACTGGAGACATTGTCGTTGAAAGTTTACGCTCGCTCGCCAATCGTCGCTGATTGATTGCCATGTTAGATCGTCAAACATGCCGGAGTGATGGGTGACCTAAATCACTCGCTCTGATACCATGAGAGAATTTTAGACAGGGCGAATTTGTTGCATAACCCCACAGAAGCAGCTATGTGATGTTGTACTTTTTTATACTAGCAGTGAAACAGAGTTACAGTAATTCGATGTATGTCTTTGTCCTATCAGACACTTTCAAATGAAAACAGTAATTACTCAACAGCTAACTACTATAAACCAAACGGTGTTGCAACACCTTATGATTAAACAACTACTACAGAAAAGTTTCTTCAATGAAACGTCCTTCCTCCAGCGGCTAGTCTTCGAAGTTCGAACCTCCTTCTGCAAATCCTTCTCTGATATGGATTCCATTTCTTCAATATATTCTGTCAAAAGAGGCAGGGCCTTAGCTGTGGAGGTTGCTTACATCCAGGCTTCTCTGTTGGATTAGCTTGTAGGATTGTGACCCAAACAGCCCATCTCGTGCCCAGGTGCTTAACCAGGATTGTACACCAATTGGAAAAGCAAAAAATTAAAATGTCTTCAATATTCTTCTACAATCACCAACATGTTATCATATATATTGTAAAATTTTGTAAAATTTTATCAATGATTGAGTGCATCAGGAAGATAAATTCAAGATCAGAACTCCATCCGTCGAGCCATTGGGGTGTTGGCGTAACGAATAACCACCCGGGAATTGCCCTCCTCCTTGATAGAAGGAAACTAAAACAGAGACATTATCAAAGAGCGTCAAAGATAGCTCGCAATTGCATATGTAACATACCTAGAGGTGTAGGACTAGAAACACATGGCAACATTCTCATGGGAAACATCATCGCGACTCATCCAACGACGCCATGACAGGCAGATAGTGATGAAGCAATCATGATAAATATCAGAAATCCAGCACCATGCATGGAGCAGCCAATTAGTGCAGTTCATTCAATTCAGCATTCTCATTTGTCACAACTCAGGAAATTGTGCAAACGATTTTGTTTCTGGTCAGAACTTCAGATCATATTTAAGAACTATGGATCCAAAGAGCCATCGTATCAAATATAACATAGTTGGCATACTTCGTGAGGGGTAAGGGTAGCATTACATGTTACAGATTCCACATTATCAGACTATGCAAGTATATTACAGTTTGCTCCCAGCCCCACACTAACTCCTTATAATCTCTAGGCCAAAAGAGACACCCATAAAATGGCCTAGCTGCCTGGGAATGGAGAGAGGGACTCACTTCTTATAAGTTATGACTACTGGGACTGAAAGTTGGACTGAGAATATACATCACGTGAAGCCAGACTCGTTAGTTCTTGGACTTTTTTGATTTCTTCTTCTTCTTCTTCTTCACCGCCTTCTTTTGGTCCTTTGATTCATCGTCTTTCTTTTCCGAGTCTTCCCCATCCACTACTGTTTCTTCCGGAGGGAGTAGAATTTCCAGTGCCCACTTCATAGCATATAAACACATTTTCTTCACCTGTACCAATCCGAAACCGAAGACATTTTCTCTAATGATGAGAAAAGGCATAAACCAGCAGCTCAAGGCTAACACAATGTAGAGGGTCAATTGTATGAGAAGCTAGGAGTATATCATATGATATGACTGCAACAGCCGCTAACATCTAAACAGCTATTAATTAATCCCAGCATTTCAAGAAAAGCAACAAAGACAGAGGAAAGGGAGATGAGAACAGCACCTGTAACTTGTCCTCCTTCGAACGATGGTTCAGTGGAAGAAGGCGGAACTCCTCTGTCAAACGAATGCACTCTCCAACATTTTCAGGCGAGACAAAATCTGATGCAACCTTGATGCACGACTGAAATAGAGATGAAGCATATCAATCAGACTGGTACCAGTATCCTTTAGACATTTATGTAGTGTCCAGCAAACAAGTGCCGGAATAAATCACATAGCTAGATCCTAACAATGGGGTATATCCATTTCAGCAGAAAAGACTAGTCAGTAGCATGGTGTGCAGTTCGTGTTTTAACAGAAGTTGAGAAATCCAAAGTGAGCGACAATACAAACTCTCGACTCATGCCCACAGACACAAAATTTCAGACATCAATTCATTACTGAAACAGCTTATGCTTTTTACCTTCAAATTTCTCACTTGATGAGGACAGCCAGCAGGGATAAATACGGCATCACCAAGTTTCTGGACAAACGTCCATGGTTCGATACCTGTTAAATAATGCAGAAGCACATCATAATAAAAAAAAGCCAGATGTCTGAAATCCAAAAGGCAAAAAAAAAAAAAAAAACAGGGCTAGCTAGCAAAAAAGAAAGAAAGAAGACCAACCATATTCTTCCTTCAGCTTCCTTTTATGTTCCTCGGTCAAATAAAAGGTTTGATCATGTATAGGATGGATTACCTGCACCATCAAAACCCAAACTACAGATTTGTTTTTTTACCAAAGAGCACTAAATCAATCAAGAAACATCACCCTGAAGTAGCTTCATAATTAAATGCAAAATCAAACCTCCTGCAATGGTGAACAATGAATGTGCCTGAATTCCTTGAAGTGTTTGAGAAGATACTCCTCCAGTTTGGGAACATCTTCTCTTCGAAAGATGTCCCATAGAGCACCTACCTCCACTAAACTATTTGGCAACTCGCCACAATTGCTTCTTTCTAATTTGGTCTCCAAAGTGCTTGAAGTTTTAACACCACACTTATTCATTTCCACTTCCGTCTCCAAGCTGTTTAGCGCAGCACGGGACTTGGTACTTTCGACTTGCATCTCCAAATTGTTCAGTTTTGATTCCTCAGGAAAACTATGTTCCCAAGTCTCCAAACAGTTGGACCCTTCATCACAGTTGGTCCTTTCCACTTGGCTCTCTGAAGAGTTCAGTTCCGGTTTCTTAGAACAAGTATTCTCGCATGGCATTTCATCCTTCTTCTGGTCATGGTCAACTTCATTGCTGCCATCATTCTCGGCTTCATTTATGACGTTCAAAGCATTGCCAATACCAAATAACTCTCTTTTGTCCTGATCAAAATGCTTCTTTTTCAATATTTCTATTGTAGCAAGTTTGGGGCAATCATAGGCAATCTCTGTTGTGTGCGCCAAAATATTTACCTGAAACAAGCAAACTCCAATCAAATAACAGCATCACAATACAATTTCTAAGCTGAATTCAATTTTACACATCAGAAACTTCAACACCAATCACAATGTGAAATGATGGACTACTACAACATAAATAATTGCAACAAACAAAGTAATCAAGTTCAGTACTGTGATACTATCATGCCACGTTTGAGTCCCTGTAAGCTATCAAATATTATCACCTCAAGCACACAATTATAGCAAGCAGAATATTACAAACAAATTATATGACCTCATGCTAACAAATTTGACAAGTAATCATATCATAGACAAGAAAACTACCGCATCAGACATGTCACAGTGAAGCTTAGTCACAGAATCTCCACGGCCAAGCTCTTGGGGAAACCCATAAGCTATATATGTCTTTGGCCCCATGTCTGGCTTCAAAGACTTCTTAGGAAGTTTGGCTGCAAGATTCAGAGGCCCATCCGCAAGATGAGTGTACTCCTTGAAGGGCAAACAACAAGTGTACTCAGCACCATGCCGTGGCAAACGTTCATGGAACATAGCAGATGGTGGCCAGTCTTTTAACTTCAAAATCCGAGGCCACCCCTCCAAATCAAATTCCCCTTTGGAGTATCCTTCAAAGAACTTGTGCACATTAATATCCACCTGCATTTCAGATAAAACGTGTTTTGCTTAATCATGTTAGTGAAAGCAAAACTAGACTTATTGCATCTATAGAAAGTAGTTATGCAGTGAAGTGAGTGACATATTATAAACAAACAAGCATAAAGGGCGCACCTCACACCAGTCCAAACAATCAAGTGTTTTCACATCCAAGAGTGTGTCATAATTTTCATTTTTTATTTGGCGGAAAGCACGCCACATGACCATAGGCTCCCAGCTTAGGCCAGATCCAGTTCCAAGCACATTGCTAACAAGTACAGGTTCAGCCTTCATCCAGTGGTGGCGAAAATGCTCAAAATCTTCTTCTGTAAAATCTTTAGCATTTGGATAGAACAAGTAATTATCACTAGAGTCTTCACGGGATGAAGCCTTCATTGACCCATCGAATTTTACTTCATGGTGGGCGCTAGTATTACAGCAGACACATTGTGTACTGGAAGTGGACCTAGCCAAATCAAGATCAAGTCCTTTACCAACACCTTCTGCTCTTTCCACCAACTTCGAAACCCAATCCCCAGAAAACAGAGTTCGGAGTTTTAATGTGCCGGAACCACAGGCACAAGCTATAGTACCGTCTTCATTTGCTTTCCATGAAAATTTTGGTTCCAGAGCCAGAGGTTTCTCGTCGGCATCCTCATCAGGTACTATAACACGGCATGAACTTTTATGTTTAGCATCATCACATGCCCCACCGTGTAGGTAGGCAAATCCTCTATCAACATATTTTATATCCATACTCGGCACATTGCCACGAAGATTATCATCACGGATCTCACGACAGCAGGAAAGACAAATATCAGATTCACATTCAGAGCAATTTCTGTGGTAGTCAAAAATAGCAGTCTTGCATATGTCACTGCATCCAATGAAAAGAGAGAAAGTTGACCACAATTTATATGAAGCCATCATTAAACGACAAAGAGTATCGATACCAAAATGAAAGTACCAGTAGATGCGCTCATCTTCTGGACATTCAGCTTCTTGTACACATAAATCTTCAATTGGCACCCCTAAAATCATCATAAAAGAGCATAGTAACTGAACAATCACAAGATTAAGCACTCTAACAACACAGTAGAAGAAACTAACTGAACAGGAGACAACAAATACTCTTCATCCATTCTCCACCAATTCACCGCAATCACCTATTTCCACATGAGGGCTGGAGTATGGGCTAATGAGAGGGAAGAAAAAAGGTAACAGCCCCCAATCTTAATATAAATATAATAGGTATCAAGGAAGTACCTAGGATTCCTGCATCAATCTTTCTCTCCATTAACTGCTCCTCATCTATTTGCTTCAAGAAAGGCAAAATTGACTGTAACATATATTCAGCATGTCGTTTGCTTTCATCTGGAGTGAGTTCCACTTTTAACCGTGACTGCAGATCCTGCACAAGATAGAGAAAGAATAACAATGAGGATTGTATAATTCACAGAGCCTTGACATATGAAATTCAGTAAAAGAAATTGGGTGCAATGTGGAAGAGCATGGACCTCGGCTCGGAGATCCATGCGCAAACAAGCTTTACAACTGCAGTTGTTACAGCAAAAAGGACAGGCAGCTGCAACATCCTCATGCGTCAACTTAGGGTACCTGGTTTGACAGACCAAAAACCAGACTCTGTGAGAACATCTATCTTCCAATCTACTGGATGCAATTCATTTCCCTATTGTGGGGTTGGTCTAAAGAACAAACCCAGCCCCAGCAATCAAGCAGTAGAAATGCAAGTTTTCATCCTAAAACTACTGCAAAGACCTGACAATACCACGAAGCTAATCTTAACCAAAAAGAGTAACTTAAAACACCAAGAAGGAGACTCTTGAGAAACTTTACCAATTTGATATGCACGGGAAGCAGTATCGCTTGGTTTTACATTTGTTGCATCGAACAACACCACCTTTATCGTTCCTTTGGCATTGATGGCACATTAGACAGTACTTCTCAGTGAACTGGAAAGGCAGAGAGGCATTCACGCTCAGTACAGCGTCAAGGTTTCTAGCAATAAACCGAAAGAGAAGGCAGCTAAAAAAGCAGGCAACAAAGTAAAACCAATCCAGATCATTCGATCTCATACCTCACGGTTCCTCGTACAATCCAGATCACCATACACTTTATTCAATAGAGGACGAGTTTCACGAACTTCCCCAGTTTTAGAGGCCTTTCCAGCCTTCTTAGCACTGCTCTCCCGCGGTTTTTTCTTAACTGGAGCCTCACTTTCTTCCAACCACTTGGACTCCACATATGAGACGGGACCGCGATCGCGGGTACTGCGACGCTCTCTCGCCATAACTTGCGTGTCAGAGCTCTCTTGCCGTTGGGTTTTCGCACCACCCTTCCGTCCCCTTTTCTTGGACATCTTCTCAGTACCCTCGCCAGCTCCCTGGTTTCCCCCATCCACAGCCTCTTTCACTCCCTCACCACCATTCCCACTTGCTCCTTCCTCAGTCTCCGTCCCATTCTCCCCTCCCTGATCGATTCTCATCGCATCGCTCTCCTTCTCCTCGTGATTCCGATCTCCGCCGCAGCCCTCCACCTCCATAAACTCTTCCTTCACCGGCGCATCTTCAACACCCGGAAACCCTTGGACTTCCGCCATTGACCCATTCTCCTCCGCCTTCACTACCTCTACCGCTACGCTTTCCCTCGCTCCTTCCTCCTCTTTCCCAACCTTGGCCGCAACCCCGCCGTTCGCTTCCGCCCCCGGAACACCGTCGGCTTTCTCCATGCCCAGGTTGGTTCCCTGCTGCTGTTGTTGCTCAGCCATTCGCAGCCTCCGCTTATATTTCAGTAACTCTGGCATAATCTTGCGCGGTTAATTTAGTTTAAAAGGGAAGGGGGGTGAGATTGAAAAGCCCTAACTTTTGTCGATTAAAAAAAGGAGAAACCCTAAACTTTTCCCGAGGTATGGTGTGGGGGGAAAGGACAGCGAAGGTCTTCGGGTGTGAATTACTGTAGTAGATGTTACGGGGAAAAGAAACGACCTTTCACTCTCTGTCGCTGGCCTGTAATTCAGTCTCAGTGGGGAGAAACGTGGAGAGTGCCTGCCTGTGAAAGTGAAACTGTGTGCGCTGTGCCCCAAGCTAAAACGAGGCGCCGAATTTTCCCCCCTTTTACTTTTGCGGGTCGGGAAAGGAAAGGGGCGATCTTTGTGAATTGTGGGTTTTGAATGTGGCGCCAAATTTTCTAGGGTTTCGTCTTGCTCCGCCCTAATTTTTTGAATTTCAAATCGCTTGATCGAAGTGAGAGATCGATTGAGATCTTTTACTGAGATAGAGTAATTTGAGCTCCTAATTGATAGGGGACTAGGGAGCACTGGAGCAGTGAAATTTTATCCTGTCACAGGCGGGGTAATTAACGGAAGCCATAGCAAATCCGACCCGGTTTAGAGCCCAGTGGAAAACTGAACCCGGTCAAACAGTACAAGGATCATGACGAGGACTGGAATCGATTCCATTTGCAGGCCTTCACTGTTTCATGCAAATTGTTCAGTGTTAAAGAAAAATATATGTAAAAAACATGGTTAATTGATGGTTTCTTCCTCTTTAATAACTTGAAAATTGTCATCATAGCTTCAGTCTCTACTCCATAATATCAACTTCATTCTACTCAACTAGTAAGAACAACAAATTTGACATATCTCCACAAACATAAAGAAGGTTATGGGAGTATGGGTGTGAGGTTGTGAGCGAGTATTCATGGGTTGGGTATAACTAACCCAAACATAACCCAACCCGTTGAATAGTGCAATAGGCTTCAATCCAAAACCGACCCTCAATTTGTCAACACGGGTTGGATTAGGTTGGGTAGGATACTCGTGGATCCGGGCTTTGTTGTCATCCATATTCGGAATTATGGGCTGGGATCGGTGTGAATCGAAATACTGAGTAGTGAGTACTACCAAAACTTTAAAGGGTTAATACCTTATATTGGCCCGAACTATGACCATATAATCAACTTTGGCCCGTGGTTTCGGAAATTAACATCTTGTCCTCAACTATGCAGCATATAGACTAAATTGGCACGACACATGGTTTGACCGTCAATTTAGACAGTCAACACCGTTGACCGTTAGTCAATACACCATGTCATTGCCTCGTCAACCTAAAAATCATTAAAAATTTCAAATTAGTTTCCTAATTTCTATTATTTGTCATTTTCAAATTAACCAAAAAATAAAACTTGTATATGTTAAAATAATTTGATAATTTTTGGTTAATCTATAAAATTTAGAAGGGTGCGCCTACGGTGACATGCATGTCACGGTGACTTGCACTTTTCGGTCAACCTCAGTTAGGATTAGGTCGACCTCATGTAGAATTAGGTCGACCTCATGTAGAATTAGGTCGACCTCATGTAGGATTAGGTCAACCTCATTTAGGATTAGGTCGACCTCATATAGGATTAGATCGACCTCATTTAGGATTAGGTCGACCTAATCGGTTGTTTCAGTGTAAAAACAGTTTCATGGTGCCTACTTTGGAGATTCATATCTTACAATTGGCTCAATGGAAATTGGAGATTAATAGTTTGTTTTGAATCTGGAGTGTCCCTCTACACATTGAAGTGCTTGGGAGCTCGATAGGAAGTCCATAAGACTATTTTTGAACTTGATCAAAAAGGCTATGCCAAAACTGGAAAACTCGCTGAAAATGGCTAAGTCTGGGAACGTGTTTGTGAAGCCTACTTTGGAACTCAATTCGAGAAACATGGATGCGAGTCGAGTCCAGGGGCCTCTACCACGTTAAATTAGGTATGTGTTTATACAAAGTCAAGTCATTGGATCAAAGATTGGATATCTTTAAGGCTTCAAACAAAAGGGTCGAAGTTGCTACAAAGAATTTTTTCTTGCAGACTTCGAGCACAAGCAAGCTGCCAGAAAAACAGCCTTCGTAGCAACTTCGAACCTTTTGTTTGAAGCCTTATAGATATCCAATCTTTCATCCAATGCCTTGAATTTGTATAAAAACATACCTAATTTAACGTGGTAGAGTCTCCTGGACTCGATTCGCATCCATGCTTCTCGAATTGAGTTCCAAAGTAGGCTTCACAAACACGTTCCCAGACTTAGCCATTTTCATCCAGTTTCCAAGTTTTGGCATAGCTTTTTGATCAGGTTCAAAAATGGTGTTCTGGACTTTTTATTGAGCTCCCAAGTATTTTAATGTGTAGAGGCCTAGAGGGACACTTCAGCTTCAAAACAAGCCATTGATCTCAAATTTTCATCTAGCCAATTGTATGATATGAATCTCCAAAGTAGGCACCATGAAACTGTTTTTATACTGAAACAACATATTAGGTCGACCTAATCCTATATGACGTCGACCGAAAAGTGCATGTCACCGTAGCAAAGTCCTAAAATTTATCATTTTCAAATTACCCAAAAAATATAAAAAAATAATTATTTTAGATTTTTTATAATTTCACTTTTTGGTTAATTTGATAATGATAAATATTAGAAATTAGGAAAATAATTTGAATTTGGATTTTTTAATGATTTTTAGGCTGACAAGGCAATGACATGGCGTGTTGACCGTCCAAATTGACGGTCAAACCATGTGTCGGACCTATTGAGTGCATATGTTGCATAGTTGAGGCCAGGATGTTAATTTCCGAAACCACAGACCAAAGTTGATTATAAGGTAATAATTCAGGCCAAAATAAGGTATTAATCCAACTTTAAAATTAATTGAATATAACCTACAACTATTGGCCATTGTCCACACTTTGACAACTTGCAAGCTCCAATTAAATCCAAACTTAGCATCCAAGTTTTCCTAGGTCACTCTCGTATCTCACTCAATCTCTTGTTATTTTCAAAAGGGATAATACCACTAGGAAACCGAACAATTAAAATGTGTCATTTGTGTTCTAAAGTATCCAATATGATATTTGTGTCGTAAACTATTTTTTCGTTAGAGTTGACCGGCGTTGACTGTTAGTATTTAACAAATGACACATTCTTAATTGTTCGGGTTAGAACATAAATGACATAAAACTATAATTGATTGGGACATAAATGACACAAAACTATAATAGGTTGGGACACAAATGTCATATTAGATACTTTAGGACACAATTGACACATTCTTAATTGTTCGGGTGTGCAAGTGGTATTAGCCCTTTTCCAAACACTCAAAGTGGACACTTTCATTAGTTGTTTCCCATCCTCCCTTCCATCGAATCGAATATTAACAAAGGCAATTGTTTGTGCCTAGAATGTTCTAGGCGGTTATGGGGCTCCGATTTGGACTCCCTCGTCTGATCTCCTCGGGAGTGAAAGAACCTGTGAGGCGGGGTGCGGCCCCCGGGATACGCTCCGACGCCCAAGTTAGTACGATATAGGAGAGTGTATGGTATGTAGAGAGATAAAGTAGAGAGAGACCTTAGGGGAAAGTGAGGAAGGGAAAAGAGAATCTCCTTAGTTTGGAGGGTTAGGCCTCCTTATATAGGGTTTGGGCTTCCTTGAGTGGGCTTGGGCCCAGGACGCCTTGCGGTGGGCTTGGGCCCGTTTATAGTCGTGTAGGCATATTAATCCATATCCCAACAATTGCCCCTTTACTTCTTGTATTATGTAAGAATGGAAGGAGTAACATAATGCGTTAATCGTGTATTAATTTGCCTTACTTACGAATCCGGATGATGCGGTTTGCCCCTTGTGCGAGTTGCGTAATCATTTCTTTTGCCCCTTGCTTGACTTTCGATGTCTTGAAACAAAGCTCTCAAATCGTTAAGAGTTCCTTCGCGTCCATTGTTGTTAGCGCTAGTGGACCATAATTGCGACATAGGTAGGGTGGCCCCCACGGCTTGAGAGTTTTAACTCAAGACGCTCTTGTCTCATGTCTCCCCAATGTCGCGTCCATGTTGTCAGGAAGTCATGTGTCTTGTTAATGTCTTACTTGTGTGAGGCAAGATCAACTGTTCTCTTCTATGAAGCTTAGTACTTCGTCCTTTGAGAAGCGCATTAGTCTTCCAGCTTTCTGGAAAGCTTAGTGCTTCTTCGGCTTTCTGGGGTGCGCTTCGCTCATCGGCTTCCTGGGAAGCGCGTCGCTCCTTCTCTTCCTGGAAAGCGCATTGCCCCTTTGGCTTCCTGGGAAGCGCATAGCTCCTTCGCTTCCTGGGAAGCACACCGCTCCTCGGCTTCCTGGGAAGCGCGTCGCTCCTCGGCTTCCTGAGAAGCGCATAGCTCCTTCGCTTCCTGGGAAGCGCGTCGCGTCGCTCCTCGGCTTCCTGGAAAGCGCATCGCCGCTCAGCTTTCTGGGAAGCGCATCGCTCCTCGACTTCCTGAGAAGCGCGTCGCTCCTAGGCTTCCTGGGAAGCGCATTGCTCCTTCGCTTCCTGGGAGCGCATCGCTCCTCGGCTTCCTGGGAAGCGCATCGCTCCCTCGGCTTCCTGGGAAGCGCATAGCTCCTTCGCTTCCTGGGAAGCGCATCGCTCCCTCGGCTTCCTGAGAAGCGCGTCGCTCCCCGGCTTCCTGGGAAGCGCTTCGCTCCTCCTCTTCTTGGGAAGGTGAAAGGCATGAATCAATCACCGAAGAGTGCATTGCTCGGAGGCGGTTTTTTAGCCATGCCCGGAGGTGGAAGGCATGAATTAATCACCAAAGAGTGAATCGCTTGGAGGCGGTTTTTTAGTCTTGCCCGGAGGCGGAAGGCATGAATTAATCACCGAAGAGGCGGAAGCGCATCGCTCCTTCGCTTCCTGGGAAGCGCGTCGCTCCCTTGACTTCCTGGGAAGCGCATCGCTCCTCGGCTTCCTGGGAAGCGCGTCGCTTCTCGACTTCCTAGAAAGCGCATCGCACCTTGGCTTCCTGGGAAGCGCCTCGCGCCTTTGGCTTCATGAGAGGGAACTATGCTCGGAGGCGGGAAATCATTCCAAAGAGGGAATATCGCTCGGAGGCGGGAAGCATTCCTCGGGGGGAGCCTCGCACAGAGGCGGTTTACGAGCCTTGCTTAGAGGCGGAAGACATGAATCAATCCCCGAAGTGTTCATCGCTCGGAGGCGGTATTTTAGCCTTACCCGGAGACGAAAGGCATGAATCAATCCCCGAAGGGTGTATCGCACGGAGGCGGTATTTTAGCCTTTCCCGGAGGCGGAAGGCATGAATCAATCCCTCAAGGGTGCATCGCTCGGAGGCGGGGAGCATTCTCCGGAGAGAGCATCGCTCGGAGGCGGGAAGCATACTCCGGAGAGAGCATCGCTCGGAGGCGGGAATCTTCGAGCCTAGCCCGGATGCAGGAGGCGTGAGTCTTCGAGTATCCGAGAAAGATGCAAGTGGCTAGAGCCCAATATATTTAAAGTATAAATATAACATAGAGAGCGCCTAGCATAATAATAATGAATCGCTTTGCATAAGATATATCTCTGTGAAATTGACTTAGCTTGAGAGAAGTTGGAGAACGGTTAAGTATTGGTTGCTGCATTATTGATCAGCAATTCGTTCTGTAGCACACTGGTTGGCGTGTCTATCATTGTGAGAGAGGTCGGCGGTTCGAAGGCAAATTGAGGCGTCCTTCCTTCTTTTTTAACTAGAATCCTGATTGGGCTGTCTAAAGCTGTCGGGCGGGCCTTCGATGGCTGTTCTCAATGGGAGGCGTCCCATTTCGGCTTCAATGACGATACTCGGGCCGCGCTACACAATTGAGGGAGGTGGAGCGGGCCTGGTAAGTCTGATGAGTGGGCGGTCTTGCCATATAGATCTCAGGTTGGGTCTAAAGTTAGGCACTTGGCGGTTGGAGGGCTTCGGAAAACGGGCCTCGAGACGGAGTGGTAGCTGGGTCTTGACAAGGTGCATGAGAGGTGCGCGTATTGATTGCAGGGTGGTCCGCTTTGTGAGTGGATGCGTGCTGGAGCGTGCTTTGATGAAGGCGGTCCGAGATGGGCTTGCGATGTGGACTGGACTGGATCGTAGTACAGGCCGCACGGGCTGACTGACGTGAGGCGGTTGGCAGGTCGATCGGGCCTTGGTTGTCGGAGCTCTAAGTTGGCTTGGAGGGGATCATTAGTAAAAATAAAGCATGTCGCGACATTAACTCACATAGCCGCTTGTGGTGCAGTGGTATGCTCATCATCTTTCCAATCTTTGAACGCAGGTTTGAAACTAAGTAGACGCATTTCCTTTACTTTCTCTTTTTTGATGAAGATGCGGGCGTTATTGGTCGAGGATGGACACCGGACCGCGCACTTGGTGGAGCTGGGCTCGAAGGTGACACGATGAGCAGTTGGAACTTGGAAGCGGTGGAAGCAGAGCGCGCAATGGGCCAGGAGTTGGAAGTGGACCGCGCACTTGGTCGAGGTGGGCTTCGAAGGTGACATGCCAAGCAGTTGAAAACGGGGCCGCACAATGGGTCTGGACCGCGTAGGGGACGGCGAAGAAGGCGACTTAGTGAACAGTTGGAACTTGGACGCGCGCAATGGGGCCCTGGAGTTGGAAGCGGACCGCGCGCACTTGGTGGTGGTGGGCTTCGAAGGTGACATGGCAAGCAACAGCGGTCTGATTGGGTAGGCGGGCCGGATTTGGTAGAAACAGCAAAGTGGGCCCAATGCCCACAAAGCAATGACTGGTGGAGAAAACTGTAGTGCGTGAACCAAAAAGTGAGATAAAAGTAGCTGATGTGACTCCACTGTAGCAGCAGAATAGTCTCTACTTTTTTAGTCACAAAAGTCAAAAGATGTTGGGGTAGAGTGCAAAAGTAGCGGTAGAGCAGTTTTCGAGGAGAAGTTGTACAAGAACAAGGTGACAACAAAGCGTGACTTTTGAGGCTTCTTCTTCTTTTACCTCACCGGAGCTCCAACTAGCAAGGTCCCCAGTACCCGACAATTTTTTTTTCTTCAGCTGATGTTCGTCTTCCTAGCTAGTTCGTCTGCTGAGCAGCTAGCTACCGTCGCTTGTCTTAGAGTGGAAAGAATAGATTTCTTCCTAAGATCTCAGTTTCTTCCTTTTTTTCACCAGAGCTCCAACGCCGACTAGCAATGTCACCGATCGAGAGGTTGGATTGGTCAACTTAGTTGTTTTACTTTTCTTCTTTTGCTCCGGCCGCTTTCGTCTATTTTGATAGTTGTTGCGGCTGCTTGTAATTGACGGGGGAGCTGATTTCTTCCCCTCTTTCAGAAATCAAACGAAAAGAGTACCAAAATCTTAGCCCCACGGTGGGCGCCAAATTGTTTGGTGCCTAGAATGTTCTAGGCGGTTATGGGGCTCCGATCTGGACTCCCTCGTCTGATCTCTTCGGGAGTGGAAGAACCTGTGAGGCGGGGTGCGGCCCCCGGGATACGCTCCGACGCCCAAGTTAGTACGATATAGGAGAGTGTATGGTATGTAGAGAGATAAAGTAGAGAGAGAGAGACCTTAGGGGAAAGTGAGGAAGGGAAAAGAGAATCTCCTTAGTTTGGAGGGTTAGGCCTCCTTATATAGGGTTTGGGCTTCCTTGAGAGGGCTTGGGCCCAAGACGCCTTGCGGTGGGCTTGGGCTCGTTTATAGTCGTGTAGGCATATTAATCCATATCCCAACAGCAATAAATTGAGATATCATGATTAGGGATGGCAATCAAACCCATGGTCGCGGGTATCCGACCGCCCCCGACCTAGTAAACGCGGGGAATCCCCGCTTCGGCCCATGAAACAATAATATTAGTTTGCAATGAATGGAGAATAGTTTAGGTGGTTCGGATATGTGTAGTTGATATTAGTCTGCGATGGTCATATATTAATATGTTCGTCGTGGGTATTTGTCTGTGATGGTCAAATATGAATCTGTTCGTCGTGGGTATTTGTTTGCGATTGTCAGATATTAATCTGTGTGAGGTGGGTATTAGTATCTATGGTGAGGATATTAATTATGGGCTCACTAGATATTGGTCTTAGAGGATATTTGTTATGGTGAACGGATATTATTCTGGGTGGTTTGGATATTTGTTTGGTGTAGATGTGTTATTCTGACGAAGTGATGGAAAGAGAGGAGGAGACTCGCATATTATTTTTTTTTAATTTGTGGGCTCTCTTTTCTCTGTAACTGGATAGTGAAAATGGGCCGGCCATTTTTTAATTTATGGGACCCTTTTCCATGTCTCTGTAAGTATATACTCACAATTTACCTTGTGGGTAGTTTAACTAGGTTGGTTTGTTGGAGCTAGGAGGCCGAGAGGTGATATTTCATTCTTTTGGTTTATTCAATTATTTTTTCATGTATTTGCAATTAAATAAAAAGTAACCTTTCCATCTGGCATTTTTCTTGACAAAAAGTCGACATGTAAGCAAAAAACATTTGTCTAGTCAGCATCTACATCGTTGTCGTTAAAGTTTTGGACGGAATGGCTATATGAGTGTTTTTTTTATTTGGCTATATTTGTCACAACACGAATAGTAAGGCTATGAAAGTGTATTTGCCTTCTTTAAATTGATGTATTTAATCAATATGTGTATTATAATTATATGCATTGTTTCAATTCATGAATTTCAAAAATACATTATTTGGAGATTGAATGATTTTGGTGGTCCCTTAAAACATATGGAAGGAAAAGTGAATAACATTAACAATCCCCCAAACACAATTTTTGCTAAAAGCTGAGATTGACAACCATTCATAATAAATTATTCTGGTGGTCTCATGTGCAATTCAAATACAAGTATTTTGTTTCAGTTTAAGATAAAAAAAAACGATGAGTTCTTTTGATTACATGTATTAGATAAATACATCATCTTAAATACCAACTTTCAAGCGTCCCCTTAATAAAAAAACATTGTAAGGTGAAATTAAATAAATTCACTTGCATATCAATAACTATATAAGAAAATAAATAAATAAAATAAAATAGAAATGAAAGGAAAGGAAAGACCATCCACCTCCAATTCGCCTCAGTGTGGCATGTTATCTCGAGTTGTCGACGATGTGTGCGTCAAAGAAATTCTCGTCAGCGTTTCTGTTGATTAACTGACAGAATCTCTAATGGCGTTAATTTTTTTTAACGAAAGTTGCTGAATTTTCCAATCTATTTAAAAATCTGGATATTTTGTGTATTTTTAGAAATTGGCTATTATTGTCATAAAACCGATAATTATGGCTATGCAGATGAATTTAGTTAATTTCACCTATCAATATTTTTCTTATTATGTGTCGCCATGTTAGAAAAACGTTAGTCTAGTCAGCATCTAAACTAAAGTTCGTTAAAGTTTTTGATTGAATTGGACATTTTGTGTATTTATGAAAAAAGTGGCCTCGTGCATACTAAAGCTCAATCTTATCATGCATCAATGACTCATTTATAGCATAGTTAGTAAAATACGGTACGGGAAAGTTACGTAAAAAATACGGTACGGGAAAGTTACGTAAAAAATACGTACGGGTATTATACTTGGTCTCTAAGCTAAAGTTGCGTTTAATAGTACGTTAGTAGTCATAAATATATAAAATTAATCATTTTAAAAATAAATAAATATATAAATAATACTAAAGTCAACAATTTAATTCGTAAAATACGGATAATAAACGTGTTATACGGGTTTTATACATGTTTAGTACGAGCGTCATCAAATGAACGGGGGAAAATGAAACAGCTTGACAATAATACGGATACGGAAGTTTTAAACGGATAAAGTACATATGGGTACATATACGTGTATTAAACGGAGTATTTACTAACTATGATTTATAGCATCACTCTACACCTTTCCACTAAGGTTATTCTCTACCCGTGCATGTGCCTTTTGCGTATAACTAGCTAATGAGTGCTTTCACTTCATGCCATTACCTAAGTAATGAAGAACAAGAAAGTTATGATAACACGTGATTAAGTGTGGGCCTCTTGAGCCATAATTGATGGTTTATAGCATCAATGATCTAATCAACAATCAATCATTGATACTACTCGAGGTATACATGGTTGATCATTCCCACTATACTCGTGTAACATAAATGGTGTATCAATAGAGGGTAATTTATTAACAACATAGATGATATTAAGCACAATGCATATAGCAGCACACTATAGAATAATAAGCATAGATGATAAAGAGCATTGAACTAAATGAGCATCGAAATCATAAACGTAAGCATTGAAACATAAAACATCCATGCATACATTTAGGGCACAAAAAGCAAGTATCAACACATACATAATACGAAATCATAGCATCAATACATACAACAATAACAAGTCCACATTCTCATACAATTAAATTCGAACTAGCAACATAGAAGAAAAGTCGGATACCACCATCAATGATGAAAGCATGTCCCTAGCTGCACCATCTCATACGAAAGCTAAGCTCTTACTCTGCAGAGTATGTAAAGGTTTGAATTTAGTTTGTGCAGGCTACTGAACGAATGAGCCTAATCCTTTATTTATAAGGATAACACTCGGGAAAAGCCCTCGTAAATCGACTAGGACAAAGTTTCTTTGACTCAGGACCGAAGTCGTGGTCTAAATATCTGATTTTGGGCTTGAGCCTCTTGGCGACGACTGCCACACATTTTCTTCATGGGTTAGTTTTCTTAGCCCATGGACAACATCTATTGAAGATTTGATTGCGTTTTGTCTAGGTTTCCATGGGCAACGACGGCCAGTGTTGGGCCGCTGTTGTTTTCTGCTTGGGCTGTATCTTTCTCCGTTGGGCTTCTCTTAGGCTCTACTTGTGGTTACTAGTAGGCTTCTCTGTCATTGAACCTTGTCTTTATTGTGAAAACTCCATTTACTTGTCTTTATAACTCCTTTGGCCCTCCATTGTTGCCCAATGCTGGATGACTGGATCTAATGAATCGTTTGGAAGTTGTGATTTTTCAAATTGATGTATTGAGTCAATTAGTGTATTATTATTTGATGTATTGATTCAATTGATGTATTAGGCAAATATCTTGTTTGGAGGTTTAGATTTTGTTTTTGTTATAAATCCACATAAGTTAACTTCGAGTGATTGAGAAAAATCTCAAAAAAAAGTAGAGATTGATAATCCCTCAATTTTGAGTTATTGTGGTACAGGTACTAATTCGATAAAAATAACATAATATAAGGGCCACAAAAGCTATTATTAACCCAAAGAACGAACTGGGGAACTCTGGAAGGGATAGGGATTAGGGAATTGCGGTTGTCAGTTCCAGACCAATCAAAACTGATACGGAAACACTACTACCAATTCGAATTTCTTCATTCCTGAAAATGAAAGGAGAAAATCATTACCGATAATGAGGAGTTTACTCTGCAGCTGTTCAGCTACACTTGCATCGCCACCGCCGTCGCCGGAGCCATCGCCGGGATTCTCCAACAGAAACCTCCCAAGCGTTCTGCTACTGGCGGATAATTTGGCCAAGAAAACCTTGCTCGGAGTCGTGACCGGAGCTCTCTCCTTCAGTCTAGTGCTCTCTTCTCCCGCTTCGGCGACCTTGGAATCCGCACCTCTACAAGTGCCTTCACCGGCTCCGTTATCCGAGTACTGCCGCGAAGAAGCTGCAACATTAGCGGAAGGAGCTGATCAACGAGCCGTAGTCGAGGCCGGGCGTCGAGTACCGACGAACCAGAGGATTGTGGAGGAAGCGTGGGAGATCGTCAATGGGAGCTTCCTCGATGTCGGCCGACATAGCTGGACGCCGGAAAGTTGGCAGGTAAGATAAACGGACGAATTTACGTTGGGAAAAGAAAAATAATTCGTTTCCCTTATTGACTGCTTGCTCGCTAGTAGTGAGAATTTTGAAACCTGCGTTTTTTGCAGCACAAGAAGGAAGATATATTCAGCAGCTCCATTCAATCGAGATCCAGAGCTCACGAGATAATCAGAAGGATGTTGGCTAGCTTGGGGGATCCCTACACCCGTTTTCTTACCCCTGCCGAGGTAACTCTGCCAAACAAATTTTTGTCGGATTACTGATATGGAGTTGGAAGCCTGTGTATAGCTTTCACTAATGAGATTTCTAGTTTCCCTTGTTGTGGTGGCTTGTTCCGGCATTTTGTATCTTTGGAAGTTCTCGAGGATGGCGCGGTTTGACATGACTGGAATCGGAATAAACCTCAGGGAAGTGCCAGTTGGGGAGAATGGAGAGGTGAAGCTGAAAGTATTGGGAGTCCTGCTGGATGGCCCTGCTAATGCTGCTGGAGTGAAACAGGTAGCATGTTGTACTCGCTAATCGCAATGCCTTAACTTCTTTCTGGTAGGAGGAATGCATTCAGTTAACGAGTGAGGTGGATCTGCTTTGGCAGGGTGATGAGATCTTGGCTGTAAATGGAGAGGATGTGCAGGGGAAATCAGCATTTGAAGTGTCATCTTTGTTGCAAGGCCCGAGCGAAACCTTTGTGACGATTAAGGTTTCATAATAACTCAGCCTTAGCGTCAGTGTACTGCTCCACATTTTGCATCTCTTGTCAATTCTAGCTGGTTTCCAATGGTTGATTCCCTGATTTTAGGTGAAGCATGGGAATTGTGGACCTGTTCAATCCCTGGATGTTCAGAGGCAAGTTGTTGCTAAAACACCTGTCTTTTACCGGTTGGAACAGATAGACAATGGCAGGAGCGCTGTTGGCTATGTGCGCCTGAAAGAATTCAATGCACTGGCAAGAAAAGATTTGGTAATTGGTAATATTTACCTTGCTTTTTTTTTTTGGATCTTTACAAATTGATTCGCAAGTCATCAAATCCTACACAACTTGAATTCATCTTCGCTCACATAGCCAATAGCAGGGTGTAAAATGACGATATTCCTTTCACTGGTGTTGCAGCAATGAAGCGACTGCAAGACATGGGTGCTTCCTATTTCATTTTGGATCTTAGAGATAATCTTGGTGGATTAGTGCAGGTATAGGTTCTGACTGCATTATTTCTTTTACTTCTCTGGTAAAGTTAAGTGAGTGCAATTATCTATCCTTACATGCCATATTCTAATGTCCATGCGTGGTACTGCCTTCCTATAGAAATTTGAAGGTACAAAGGCAGGACGTGCCTCTAGCAGATATTGTCGAGACTGTTGGTTGTCTAGTGTAGAATTGAAACCATATAAGTAGCAGAGATCTAGAAACTACATACTCTGGATGTGTTTTTTTCGGATGTTAGGAACCATTTAATGAGCTCGTTTGTTCACCACGTGCTGCAAATTCTGCCAATCTGATAGAATGCTTTTGCTTGTTTCAGGCAGGGATTGAAGTTGCCAAGCTTTTCCTAGATAAAGGCGAAACAGTATGCAAGTCTTTTTGGATTTCAACTTTGAACTTCCTTCTTTCCTTCTGGATGTTTTCTGCTAGGGAGGGATATTTACAACGATCACTCTGGATTTTGTACAGGTGATTTACACAGCTGGGAGGGATCCTCAGTACCAAACCACCATTGCTGCTGACACTGTGCCATTGGTGACCACTCCTGTCATTGTATGCAATCCTTCTCCTCCAGTGCTTTTTTATCCGCTGCCATTTCCAATGGCTTCACTTGTAGAGATTCCTAGGTCACTGTTTTAGCAACCGATCAACCCTGCCCAGCATATTTGTCTGAAAAATCCTCTCTTTGATAATGCACTATTTATTTGGATCAACCATACATATGATTTACCTTGTTGTACCAACACTGGACTCGCTCCCACTGCAGGTGTTGGTTAACAGCAAAACCGCAAGTGCCAGCGAGATTGTAAGTTAACTTCTTCCTGAAGGGAAAAATAAAACGTTCTACCCCTGCAGTACATAATAGAGGAGGTTTTGATTTCAGGTTGCCTCTGCACTCCATGATAATTGTAAAGCGGTTCTTGTGGGAGAAAGAACTTTTGGCAAGGTTGGTTTTGAATCCCTGCCTCCCTAGTGCTTAGCATCATTGTGTTATTACAAGCTTTGGATGTATATCACCTCTTTCTTCCGAGTCAAGTTTTGGGTTGGACATGTTGGCCTTCTTTCACTTTTCAAAGTCTGCTAAGTTGTTGGATGTCTTTAAAGTGAAAAGAAATGAGGGAATAATTCCGTCTCATTTGAGTATCACTTAATGGCATGTTACATCCTTTTTCCCTGGCAGGGTTTAATTCAGTCTGTTTTTGAACTGGATGATGGATCTGGTGTGGCTGTCACTGTGGGGAAGTACGTTACACCAAATCACTTGGACATAAATGGTGACGGAATCGATCCGGATTATCGAAATTTTCCAGGTAGAAACAGCAATGGTTTGTATTTGCTTTGCATTGCTGTCAACAAGTACAGATCCGATCCATCAGAACTTGCTAATGTGAAATTGTGAATTTATCATGATTCACGCAGCGTGGAGTGATGTTAACCAACACCTATCACAGTGCAAAACTCGGCGACAGGGATAAATACTTCGTCTGTAGATCCTTCACTACTGTCAGAAAGACCAGCAGAACGGAAAGTGCAGTACAACGGCTGGCATGGAGAAATGTTGGGGCCGCTCTTTCAAAGGGAAACTCAGGTGGCAATGTAAACGTACACTGGTGAATCTGGACTCTGGAAATCATACGAATATTGGACGGAGCTGAGATTGTTCAGGAAGAATCGCACGGCCTGGTGATCACACATCATCGACAAGTATTATTGGCTCACGAAGTTAAGGCCGAAGGTTGGAGATATGCAAATACAGAATATTTGTTAAATGATTATATAGCCATTTCTTGCTGGCACAGATATTTGGTAGGCTTTTACAACTATCTGTTTCTTTGCTCTTCTGCATAATGAGCGGGTTTTGAACCAACCCGGGGGGCCTTTCGGTGTAATGCTACATTCCCAAGGGGCGCCCTTGTGATATTAAACCAAGTTCATAAACCGGAGGAGATGATCATTCACCGGTTGAAGATAAACTGCTAATCGAATCTGATTGAAGAGTGCTTCTTGCAGACTTTACTGCAGATTGTCTCAGGGATGAGGTCCAGTAAAGCTTCAGAACTATCAAGGATGAGCAAGAGAGTGGCAGGTCCAACTCCCGTAAACAAGTCCAACAATCCAATCTGATGACTATAGTAGAAGATAGCAACTGCGAGAGCCTTCACTTTTGCAAAACTCTTCGATGAACGAACAAGATTATCCGCCCTGCTGTTCAATATTCGTTCATTGCAGACTACTGATAAGGGTTTGGGCTAATACAGGCGTTGTGTTTGTTCATTCTGGGCTCAGGATACATGTAGGTCGTGCAAACAGACATCTGCAGAGTGATGTCGCCCGCTTGTCAAGGGCAGAGTCTCTAGCCCAATCGAAATGCGTAAAATAAGCTTCAACCTAGATGCCTGACAACCTTCTCTGATCTGCCCAGGTTCCATTGCTTATCAGCATTCATAAACTAGTCAAATGCAAAATGTTGACGTTCTTGGAGATGGATTCCAGGGGTCCTCCGGCAGAGAAGCATTCCTGACCACTGCCCGAGTTCTTTCTTGCTCCAACTCGGAGACCTCCAGCTTCGCATAAATTCGCCCAAATCCACACAACCATTTGACTCCTTCTGGAAGCCGGAAGAAAGTCTGAAGTAGTAAAGAGTAAAGACCCTTCAAGAGCTGAACCCAGAACCGATCATCCTCATGAAGAATCCTCCATCCTTGCTTTCTTTACCCTACTTGCAACTGTATTATTGGGAGTTTTCAACTGCAAGTGTGAAGTTAAATAGGTTGTTACCAGATAAAAAAGGAATCAAATAGTTCTTTGCTGCGCAATGTAATGAGAATGAAGAAAACTCACACCAGCTCAGAAAAGGTCCAGAACAAGTGGCATAGAGGTCACGTAACAGATTTCCAGCAGCAGGAGAATTGGAATAAAAATAAAACACGTACGGCTACGACGACACATATTCGTATCTTAAAGAACAAAGCAGGCAGCAAAACTGCAAGAGCAAGCTAAGCTTGTTTCCTTAGTATAAAATAATATATTAATTAGCTTAATAATAATAATTCCATTTAAAGTACTATCCTAAGCTGCAATTTTCTTTTCCTGCACATATTCTTCTTCCACTAAAGGTATTCCTCTCAATTTCTCATGTCTGGCCAGGTAGCCATGTGCACTTTTGTATTCCTAACATACATAGATTTTACGAACCCAAGTGAGATCGTCTTTTTTAACCTTTTTAGCTACAGATCCTGAGGCGTATCCAACATAAGTAAATCTAACTACAACCCCAAACTTTAACTTTCGATTAAGTCCCATAAAACAGTAAAAAGGCCAGGCTAGGCACAAAGTGCTAAAGGGAAAAACATGCACCTCGTCCTAGGCAAAATCAGGCCATAAACTTATCTTTCTAATGTAGTGTAATCTTATACCAGTATTAACTATTAAGCATCCCCTAAAGCCCCTTCAGATTTGAACTCTGCAGCATACAACAGAACCTTTCCTCTCATATACTTTTCCCTTCTTTTTTGCTGCACCTTTGTCTTGCTTGCGAAATTTAACTATCTCTCAATTCCTCCTTTCTCAAGTTTTCTGATATTCTCTTCCCCCTTCCCTCCAAATTCCCCTCCTTTTCATCTCTTATCTACCATCCAAGGAACCTCTGATTCTTTCCCCAGTTTTATTTATATAAGATATGCAAGCATGATATTTAAACTCTTCTTCGCCTCAACGCCATTGGACCTTCTCCTAACTTCTTCATCATTCTTCCTCTTAACTAACAAGGATATCAGAAGCTCACCTCATAGAAAAGCTACAGCCACAGCAGCAGCAGGTCCGCCGACATGGGGTTTTGGCTTGTTCAATCTTTCGTAATCGCTCTCCTGTATCTGCTCATAATGTCAGGTGAGAGAGATAATTTCATCCACCACTGGGTTTAATTGTTTCTGGTTCCTGACATCATCCAGAATCGAATTGCATATGTCAGATCATAGTATATCATAGATTTTCTTTCATTAATTGGAAAGGAAGAGTTATAACTTATCTTGATTCTTGATTTTCTCAGGAGCTAGTGTTGCAGAGCCGCCGCCACTGGAAGCAATCGAGGAAACCGACCTAGTAGACAATCGAGAATACCAGCACCAGCCATTCCCTTCCTCTTCGCTGTCCACCAGCCATCTAGACTCAACAGGAGGGGATGTTCCTATCGTCAACCCAACAAGTCCAGGCACAGGAGGTGCCGTTCCCATCGTCAACCCAACAAGTCCTGGCACGACTCCATATGGGAATCCCACTGACTCCCCGCCAACAACTCCCTTTGGAAATCCTACAGACTCACCTCCAACACCAACTACGATCCCCACCACAACGCCTCCAGCCCCTCCTATGTCAGGAAACCCGCAGCCCACAACTCCAACAGGACCAGGAGGTGGAGGAGGTGGTGGTGGTGGTGGTGGTTTTGGTGGTGGTGGAGGAGGAGGAGGAGGCGGCGGAGGCGGTGGTGGGGGGCAGTGGTGTATAGCGAGTCCATCTGCTTCAGAAACTGCATTGCAGGTGGCACTTGATTATGCTTGTGGCTATGGAGGAGCAGATTGCTCGGCGATTCAGTCGGGAGCTAGTTGCTACAACCCAAACACTCTCCGTGATCATGCTTCGTATGCCTTCAATGACTACTACCAGAAGAACCCATCTCCTACCAGCTGTGTTTTTGGTGGAGCTGCACAACTCACCAGCACTGACCCAAGTAAGAACATAAATTCTCCTTTGACAGTAGACTCAGTTCAGGTATTCATTCCATTCCATTCAGCAATGTGAATCAAGAGTATAGGTGTGGCAAAATCTAACCAAACCTCCAACCCCAACCCAAGCAACCCATTTAAAACCTGTCTGACCTAAACTTCAAGCGATCGTCCGGTTGGTAAGTTGGTTGAGTTGATGGGTTTCTGCAAAGTACCTAAACATTTCAGCACCTAAATTTAATACATTTGCATTAGTTTTCACACAGCTACAGTTACTAGCCAGGTATTTAGGTCATGACATTTTCATATCTAACCTTTAAGAGTTTATAAACTTGTCTAAAGTAAAATCTACTTTACCAAATCAGTCCTGATAACGGTTAATCACATTTGATACTCGCTTTTAGCTATTAAAAAACTAATTCATCTGTAGTTTCTAAATTTAATACCCAAACTGATAAAACTTCAACTAACAGATGACCTAAATTCCCTCCAAACCACATAAATTTTCAAATGAATGTCAGTAACCCGCCAACCTACAAACTCATTTAGCCCCAACCAGCCAACCAAACACCATTTGCTACCTCTAATCAAGACCCCATTCTGTGAATATTCATGATCACGAAGTTTCTGATTTCATCCGTTCCATAAACAAAACCCTGCTTGTTAGCACCTTTTTGCATACTTTCTTGGTGAATACTATACATGCTTGAGACTCATGTCTGATCCTCTATTTGCACTTTTGAAGGTAACGGGAGCTGTCGCTTTTCATCGTCCAAGGGCCAATCCAGGTAATGTTCAATCCATGTGAAAGAGACCTTACAAAATGATATGCAAAGAAGGAACTCATAAATACCATTTGTATCTGCAGCATGAGTCCGCCAGGGAATCCACCACCAACATTTACGCCCCCAACTACGATGAGTCCACCAACACCGATGGCTGGTACTGGAGGGCCACCAGGAGGGTTCGGAGGGCCACCAGGAGGATTCGGTGGGCCACCAACAACATACGGTGTAGCAGAGCCAACTGGTCTTCCCAGCGCTGCAACCTCACTTCCATCAAACCTATTGATCCTCTTTTCAGTAACTGGCATTCTTGGATCCTTGATCATCACAAACCATCTGTAAAAGCTTCAAAAAGTCTCTGAATAGTCTCACCTTTGGCTGGCAATTTATTTGCCCGCGATTGTTCAAGAACTTTGGGAGCAAAGCAAGGAAGAAACAAGGACACCAGGATTCATCCCCTAGACATTATTTATACAGCATAAGATCTATTTATAATATGTCTCCTACCTAAGAATGTTAGTCAAGTAAGGGCAGGAAAGAAGGGAGATAACGAGGGAAGCAATAGAATATTGTAGCTACTTGTACTTATAGACACAGAGCTGCTAGTGCTAGAATAATAAAATTTATTCAAGCTCAGATGTTTAGGACTGCTTGTCATTAGCTAGAGCAAGACAGAAATTTGAAAGGGAGCTGAAACTTTCAAACGCATAATCATTCTTTGGTGTGATCAGGATACTTCATCAGAAGAAGAGCAATAATTGTGGGTAGACATAATGGATTGCCAACACAGGGACCATGGAGCTACCCAGCTTTATTATAAATTCACTAAATTAACGTAGGCATGCACACAAATTTGTCATGACTGTAACCTCAAGGCTCAAGCCATGGAATGAATAAATAGAGCAAACTGAGATGGAGGGATTATACAACATATTAAGAAAGCAGGAGTTTATTGTATTGAAGAACGAACATCCACATGACCAGATTGAAAGTAGAAAGCTTACTATTTTCTTCCCCATTCATTAATTATCCAATTCCTACACATTCAAGAAGCATGTCGAAGAGATCACACCCTGTAACAGGCTGAACAAGACTACATAAGGGTCTCTTCCCTTGACCTCAAACCTTATTTAAGAACTGAGACAAACAATAACAGAATGAACTACAGTGTATACGAAGTTCAGAGCATGAGTAAGCACGAGGCAACTGCAATGCAGATGGTAGCTACAGTGGCTACGATTGAACCTTGCTCAAACGATTTCTGCATGTTGCCTCCTCTTGAAAAATGCTGGAAAGCCAGGTAAGCTGCAATGGCCAAACCAATGATGGCACCTTCTTGTGTTCCTCTGTCATTTTCAAGACAAAGAAAAAGCAAACGAAATAAGCCGAAGAACAAAGTGAAAGATAACAGTTGCTTTTGGCTTGTTGCATTCAACGTCCACCCACCTTAGGTTCAGGACCTGGTAAGGAGCTAAGATGACCAAGAGCAACGCCATAAATGGCAACTCTAGTTCACCTGCAAATAGATAGGATACCCGTAGCTCCTATAGTTAGGCATATGTTCCCACATACAGAATAAAATCAAGGGAGGAACTTGCATAAGCTGATGCACAAACCAAGTAATCAAGCTACTAAGCGTACCGGGAATAAAGAAGAACAGGCGTACTAGAAGCCCCATAAATGCAGCCCAAATACCATATTCACCCCTGGAATTCACCAAGAACAGCAAATTTTCATCCAAGCAGAGATTTCCAATTAAGATGAACACAACAACTAAATCTCGAGCTTACATAACTTACTTAACCCAAGAGACCACAGCAGTAGGCGCCTGTAACGCAAGGAGGGGAACGAGAAGGCATTTGTTGACAGCAGTACCTTTGGAAAGCATCAGCACTCTGGAAGATGAAACCCTCGAATTAGGATTTGCACAAAGCTCAAGCCAAACCACCACTCCATCGGAAAATAGTGAAACAGTTCAAAGAGAGGATCGAGAGTGGAGAGAAAAAAAAAGCGCGCGATCATACATGGAAGCAATAGTGGAGATCCACTGGAGGTTGCGAGCAGTACTGACTGGCACGGCGGAGCAAACGGTAAGCATCTTCTTCCTCCCTTCCACGGTCTTCTGCCTCAAAATCACTTCATCATTTCTCTTGATTCCGAAACTGCCACAAAAACGTCACGAGAATCTCAGAAATTCAGGCTCAAAATTTCACTCTACCGTAATCAATCAACAGAATGAAAGTTCGTTCGTCAGTTCATTTTCCCAACCTGAGAGGATTGTAGCTGAGCGAGCTGGAAATGCGAGGAGGAGTACAAGAGAGGTTGGAGCAGCACAAACGCCGCTGTTCCAGAGCCAGAAATCGCTGCTGCGGCTGGTTCTTCGCGAGACCGTAGCGGGTGTGGAGGCAGAAGCTCAGCGGCTTCGACAATATGCTGCCGAGACTCATTTTCTTCTGACTTTTTTTTATTCCGGGGGAAGACGACAAGGCGGGAAACGGAATCGGCCGGCTGAGCGAGGGCGCGAGAGCGGAAAGAACGAGACGGGGAATCGATATGATGGAGACAAAAAAGAGGAGCGAGTGGCCAGCTTAGCTTTTAAACCCAGTCGACATGGGAATTTGGCCAGTAGTTACAGAAACAAAGCAGTGCGGGAGATCTTCACTGGCGCCGCTTCCGGAGGACTCCATATTTCTTTCTTCAACACTTCTCCACACAACGGGAACGAATAGGACGGGCTCGGCTCCACCATGGCAACACTCGGTAGCGTAATACCGTTGCTTTCGGCTGAAAATTTTCGGGCAATTTTTAGAGCGGACGTGACCGGTACAAGTTCCCAAGTCTGATTGTCGATAACTAAAACAAAATTACAAAAGCCATTATAATTATTTTTTAAAACAAGGATTATATAGGTGGTTGAATTAAAAAAGTTGGTGATTAGATATTTTATTTCGAAATCGTGATTCAATTGTTTTATATGAAGTAAAATCGTTTACTAGTTAGACTTTATTTGCTTTTAAGGGTTTTCTCTCTCGTTTAGCGAGAGTTTCAGAACTAGGGTTCCGACTTTTTTTGCTTTAGGTTTTTCAATGTCTTGGGATTGGCGGTTGTGTGTTGCTATCTTTGATTTTATTGTTGGTTGCCTAGATGTTGGTCGCTATACAGTGAAATTAATTCTGATTAGGTCCTTCTCCTGCCTCCTACAGTTAAGGATCTAGAGTGAGAGTTTCCGGAGAGCTTTAACTTCAGCTCAAAGGGCCACGTTTGTTTTGAAACCCTAATCTGCCTCAAGCGATTAGAGTGAGGCAGTGATCTTTTTCCTTTAGAGAAACTGTGGAAACCTAGTGGTGCACTCACGATGGACAAGGACACAACTACTAAAGAGACGGACGAACAAGGTGTCTCAAACCCAGATGAGATACAAGGTGAAGATAATCAGGAAATTATGGCCACGATCATTCAAAAACAGATAGAAGAGATCAAGCTGGTGGATGAAGATGCACTGATTGTGCAGGATGATGACATTGACGCAACTTTGGTTCACGCGATTAGTCTGCTAGGGTTGACATGAAGAGTCGTGTCGTCCAAGAATCCAAACCTGAAATCCATGAAGATAGCTCTTTCAAAAGCATGGAGCTTGCAGCAAAATTTTGAGATATTAGAAAAAGGTGAGCAACAGTTGTATGGATTCCAGTTCATGAACAAAAGTGATAGAGACAAAGTGTTTTTTGGAGGACCCTGGCATTTTGATAATAGCATGATCATATTCAAACCAGCTGATGCTTTTGAGATTGCCAAGGCGGAAGATCATAATGTAATGGAAATATGGATGCAAATCTATAATCTCCCTCCGGCTCTACGAACCAATGAGATGATTCACAAAATAGGAGCAAAGTTTGGCACCCTTATATGGGTCAACAGTAAAAAGAAATGCATTTGGAACAATGTCATGAGAATAAGGGTAGGAAAGGATATTAAAACCCTACTCAAGAAGTAGCTGAAACTCAACCTAAAATGGACCCTACAAACCTATGAAGTGAAGTACGAGAAACTACCCATGTACTGCTTCTCTTATGGGTTGATTGGGCACCCAAAATTAAACTGCCGGAACCCAGCACCAAAAGGACAGGATGTTGTAGGACCAGAACTAATAGTGAATTTGTCTAAAACCAAAACATGGCAGAGTAGGTTGGAAAGAGAAGAATCAGGGGAACTATGGCAGGCTCTGAGGGCTAAATTTGATCAAGAAGCGGTAACAACAAGGTTGCAATTAGAAGAGGCTGAATATAGAAAAAGAAGAAACAATGATGATATTGATGAGGTGGAGCGAAGACTACTTATCCAGAAAGCTGGTAATGAACTGGCGAAACAAAAGCCCGTGCGTAAGCCTAGAGAAGGTTTTGAAAGAGAACAATGACAGGGATCAGCGGAGCATATCTGGCATTCAAGAAATACCAAAGAAGGAGAGGAGATTACCTCAGCAAAACTGAAAGAGGTGAGGACAACAGATGGACCAGCTATCAAAGAACACCAATAGGATGCTCAGTTGTAGGGGCTCTCAAACCTTGCTATTAATCTAGGTTGTCTACCACAGAAAGACCAATCTCTGAAAAGACAGAGCCACTGGAAAAGACAGAACATGGATAATCCCACATTAGACCAGGTACCGCAGATCATGCTAACACCACAGAAAAGAGCTTTGGAGCGGAACTGTGATGAATTAAATGATTCCCCTAGCAAGAAACAAAAGACAGCTACCACTAAAATTATTAAGGATGGCGGAGAGGCAGTCCCATATCACCATACTTGTTCCTTCTTTTTGCACAAGGCCTATCAGCTCTAACTAAACAAGCTGTGGACAATGGCGAGATAAATGGAATCAAAGTGAGTAGAAATGGACCTGAGCTAACCCATTTTTTTTTTTTTTTTGCAGATGATAGTATCTTCTTTTTTGAAAATACTAAACAAGAAGACGAAAAATTGAAGCAAATTCTGGAGACCTATGAGCTGGAATAAGGCCAACAAGTTAGTTTGGAAAAATTTGAGTTGTCCTTTAGCATAAACATCAAAGAGGAACAGAGAAATGAAGTGGCTACAGTCCTGGGAATGAAGCAAGTTACACACCACGACAAGTATTTAGGACTTCCTACTGTGATTGGGAGATCGAAAAAAGCAGTTTTTAGCCAGCTCATTGATAGAGTAAGGAAGAAAATAAAAACTTGGAAGAGCAAATTCATGTCAGCAGCTGCGAAAGAAGTATTGACAAAGGTTGTGGCCCAGGCACAAACTCTTTATGCAATGTCTGTGTTCTTAATCCCACAAGGGGTGATCCAAGAAATTTAAATCCTAATTGCAGGGGTTTGGTGAGGTAGGAAGCAGGAAGAGAAGAGAATTCATTGGATGAGCTGGGAAAAACTATGCGAACCTAAAGCTGAGGGTGGAATGGGGTTTAGAGATCTACATGCTTTTAATCTAACACTACTGGGACGACAGGTATGGAATCTACACAAAAATCCTACCTCCCTAGTAGCTAGAGTCATGAAGGCATTTGGTGGGATAAATGGATCCCAAAGGCAAAAGGATTTAAAGTATCATCCCCAGTTGCTGGACTAAGTTGGAATGCTAAGGTGGAAGCTTTGATTGATAGGGAAACTGGAAGCTGGAAGAGTAACCTGCTGCAAAGCTGCTTCCAACCAGAAGATAGGAAGAGTATTCAGCGGATGCCAATCCCACTCCATCCCAGGCCAGATATACAGATTTGGGGCGTGGAAAAATCAGGAAAGTTCTCAGTGAGATCTGCCTACTTCCTCAGTATGGAAAGGAAACGAGGATCAGAGGGGAAAGTTATGTACCCATTAATTGAAAGTAACTATGGCATTTAAACTTACCACCTAAAGTGCGGGTGTTTCTATGGAGACGGGGAAGTAATATACTACCTACGAGTGCAAATCTAATGAGATGAATTAAGGATGCAAATGATAGCTTCCCATTCTGTGGTCTTACTGAAACCCAAGAACATATTACACGAGACTGCGACTGGACAGGTAGGGTCTGGAGGCCTAACTCAATCAGCAAAATATTCAATATTCAGTTGGAGTATGGATAGATCTTGCGAGGAGTGGATATGTGAAGTATTGGAAAAGGCAAATGAAGAAGAACTATGTGACTTTATTATGGCACTCTGGTTTCTATGAAAGGAGAGGAATAACCACCTTTTCAACAATCACAAGCTTGAAGAATGAGAAATCTTTGTCAAATCACATAATGTCCTAGAGGAATTTTGGGCAGTGCGAGCGAAAGGAACTACGATTCAAGGGCAAAAGCCGATATACAGATGGGTAAAGCCAGAGGCAGGCACTTACAAGGTTAATGTCGATGCTGCTACTTTTGCTGAAGGAGGAACCGGTTATGGAATGATCATCAGGGACGGCGACGGAACCTTCAACATGGTGGAGGTCTCCCGAATGCGAACATCCTGGACACCATAAATTTTAGAGGCTCGGGCCATGCTATGGGCGATGCGTCCCGCTCTTGCCCATGACTTTAACCCGATCCTACTGGAATCTGATTGCAAAACCCTAATTGACAAGTAACTGAGAAATCAAGAATCAGAGATGGAGATTCATACTGTCTGTAGAGAGATCAAGTTGCTGGTGGAGGAAAGAGGAGGAGTGATGTGGAGATTCTGGGGGAGACAAGGTAATGAATGTGTCCACCAAATGGCCCGAGTACGGTGTCGTATGGAGGAAACGAAGGTGTGGCTTGGAAGACCCCATGTTTTTCTTTTGTCTCAGTTAAAATTGGATTGTAAGGACACCATTTTAGTTTAATTGAAGTTCCAGATGAGTTATAAAAAAAACGCTTACTAATTTACTCTCATATAGGAGATTTTTTTGACCGACCATTGAAACAGTACGATTTTACAAAAAATTATTTTCAAAACTAAAAATGACTTTATTTTCTACGTAGTTATGTCTAATACAACGGCTTCTAATTATTGAATAATTGAAAAAACCAAAAACCCATCGGAACTAAAATTTGACACTTTTGAGTTACAATGAGTTGGTCTTCCTAGCAGGGCAGGCCCTGAGGGTGTGCCAGCCGGCCCTCAGGCACAGGGTCGCCAGACCTCCATTATGTATATGATTAATTACTATTAGAAATTATTAGATTTCGATTATAAATTTAAAATGATAGAAAGTGTATGAATTGGATTTTGATAATGGGTCTATAACAATAATAAAACATTTAAGTCCGAAGGTTAAAGGAACGAACGAATCACATGAGACAAGTACTTATTTTCTTATTAAAAAAATTTCAAACCATATAACATAACTTATTCTTTGTCGTGTGTTTCCTAAATAGAAAAAGAGGTAATTGACGATGCCTCATTATTATCATTATTAAATTTGTTGTTTTAACTTTCTTCATTGTCGGCTCTCCAAGGGGGAAAATAATTCAATTTCGGCAATTAATCAGTTGCTTGTACTACCAAGGCAGTAATGCTAAATTAATCAAATAATTCACATTAATTTATTAAACGTTAAACAAAATAGTTAGGTACAAGCCACCAATAGTATAGAGGAAAAAATAACTAAATCAACAATAAATAGTTTGACATTATGTGATATGACTAATTATTGTAATGCAAGCATATTGTTTTTTGAAATTTTATTCTTTTTGGAAATTTTCGATTGTTTTTCTAATGCAAGCATATTTTATAGAATCTTAGAGCATCTCCAATGGTGCAAATGGAGGGAGTTGCAAGGTGAGGTGGCATCCATGTGCAATTGAAAAAGTGGATAACATTGATGCAAGACCACTTTTGATGAAAATTTGCACACCATGAAAATCTTACATACAATTGCAAGTGAGTCCTTTGTTTGTTTTTCTTTCTTCTTTTCCCAGCCATTTGTGTGTTATTAAAATGTAAGAGGGACCCAAAAGTGCAATTGCATTGAAATGACATTGATGTAGCTAGTATGAAATTGATGAGTGAAATAATTGCTAAAGTTGCTTAGGTGGCAGTAGGGACCACACTTGAAAGTGAAGAAGGATTGCATTGTTGGAGATGCTCTTATTAACTATTCCAGTGACTGTTGCTACAGGCCTACAGCATGAAGAAGCTTTTCGAACTTGAAGTTGTTGAAGTCTTATATTAAATTTTAGGGCCACATTTCCAATTTTCGGGAAAAAAATTTAAGTCGCATTTTAAATTTTCGAACAGGTCCTCCGAATATCGTGGACCCGCCCCATGGTGATTATGTAAGGGACGTTGCTAGTCAACTCATGACCACATAAAATATATACCAGGACCCCACTTCTGTCAGTTCAGAGTACATGTACGTAGAAGGGTGGATTGAGGCGGCCTCTAGCCAGAACACTAGTACTCCTCGAGTTCGTGCAGGGCAAGGCCACGGCCGTCAGTCCCATGAGGTGCGTTATCCCACAAGCGGGTTCCTGGTTCGATTTGATTGTCCCCTTGGCCGAGATGTGGGAGGGAGTATTGGATCTGCAGGGTTCACAGGTGACTCATCTTTAGCCTGCGCGTTCAGTAAGTTTTATGAAGGTATGTTCGATTCGATCCATTTCTTAATGGAGTTCATGGCCTTAAGAGATGCAATGTTTTGGTGTTTAAATCATGGTTTATCTAATATCTGTACTTGTGGAGATTCGCAACTAGTTGTTCACAGGGTGGGAGTGGTCCTAAAAGAAGTTATTCGATTTTGTTTATACTCTGCTTCAACTAATATGGTTACTTATTTTACTGCAAAATTAAAACGGTTTTTTATCGGTAGCTCGACATTTGATTGACTACTGCATTTTACTTTTGAGTTTTGAACAACTAGTAATCTCCTGTGTATTTTGATGACTAGACGTAGCAACTAAACTTACAAGCATTTGGCTCTAAAATTAAAGGAAGCGAACATACAAAGCACGGACAAAGTCTCCAAACCAGAAGAACAGCACAAAGAACACGAGAGGGAGATAATAATATATGTTATTATTCACCTCGATCGGGTCCATTCCAAAAGGCATTTTATTCTTATATAATTACATCCTCATGATCATAACGCACGTACAAACTCCAAAAAAACATATTATAGAATCCTCAAGGAACGACGTCGCCGCTGACCTGCTCCGGCACGACCACATCATGCCCTGCCGACTGCGCCACCACACGAGCTGGCGGAGCCGGCGGGGGCGGCAAGTGATGATCATGAGGCGGAATATTGGGCGTCGTCGGTGTTGGAGTACTAGAACCCCCATCCCCACCGTCCCTTCCATCATCACCGTCGTCGTCGTCGGCTCGATCACAGTAGCCTTCGAGCACGTCGCTCTCCTCGTCGGTGAAGCCCAGGGTGTCCATCAAGTTGGGCCAGCAGTGGTGGGCGATGACGCGGATGGCCCGGCAGCACCCTTGGCCCAAGTAAGTCTCGCCGTTGAGGAAGAAGAGGATGATCTCCCCCGAGCACGCTTGCAGCTCCATCAGCGACTCCCAGCAGTTGCTCGTCGTCGTCTCTCCTCCTCCTCCTCCTCCTCCCCCCGCCGTGTCCAGCTTCAGCCGCGACGCCAGCGGGGTGGATGGTGACGTGGACGACGAGGAGTCGGGGAGGTTGGAGAGGTCACGCGCCGCCGCCGTGGTGGGCCTTGCGGACGGATGGAGGGCCAGGAGGAGGAGGAGGAGGAATGGAGTTACGAGCTTCATGTGAGCAGCAGTCATATTCGATGTTCTCTTTGTTTTTTTCTTTGCGAGTGAGGAGACGATGATGATGAATGATGATCATTTGGTAGGCTTTTATATAGAGGGAATTATGGGGCAGCTGATGGTTTTTTAAACGTTAGAATTGAGAATGATGAAAAGTCTGTAACTAGCTAGCTAGATAGGAAGCTGTAAGGGCATACCGGATTAGTTAAAGTTTGAGGTTCTTAAATGTTTTTTTTGGTAATGTTTAGTCATTACTAGCTATTTGATTACGGATTTGAGTGATATTAATACCATGGTTAATTATTGAGCAGTATCAAGTGGGTCGGGACTGGGTGGTGCAGTTAGTTCATACGTATAGAGAAGGGAATAGAGCTGCGGACTGGCTCTCGAAGCACAGTCTCGTCTATCCCTTCGGTACGCATGAGCTAATGAATCCTCCAAACGAGCTACGGCGGATTCTCATTGAGGATACTTTGGGAGTAAGCTTTCCCAGGATGGTTCTGCAAACGCATGGATAATTTTAACGGGGCTGTCTGCTGCTGGAGTGGTCTTCCTCCTATAATGATTTTCTTTGTGCTCTCCTTGGGTGATTTCGGTTCTTCTCTGTTGTAATCTTTGGCATCCTGCCTCCCTTTTTTCAAAAAAAATAAAAATAAAATCAAGTGGGTCGGGAAATAGACTGATTAAATTAATTAATCATAAGTGGAAGCCGGAAGGGGAAGAAGGATGCTAATTAAATAGCGCGAATTGAATGGTAAAAATGAAAATCTCCGCATGTAGACTAAGAAACCATCTGATATGATGCATTTAACTCACTACAACAGCAAAACACACAAGTTTAATTTACTAGCAAAAGCCCGCTCGCTATTGTTTCGCGTATCAGAAAAATAAATATTTTAAAGAATAAAAGTTTTAATTTTGACCAAAAGTGAAAGTAATCTTATTTCATTCTTAATCATTCTTTTCATAGGTTTGTTATTTACAATAGCATATGGTGGATGAACTTGCATAAGGTAGAAGGGTCGTCAAATAGATTATTTATGTTCAAACTTCTTTCATGACGTCAATGTTTCAATTCGTATGGCTAGTAGTTGATCATGATGTAACTTTTGCAGAATGAAGTTAGCTTCTCTGGATCTTTTCAAGAGGTATTACAAAAAATTGTTAAGTGTTTTGCTGAAAAACTATCAAAATTACTTTCTAATATAGAAGGTAATGAAAAATGCCTAAAAAAGATCTAACATAAAATATGAATACAAATTCTAAAAATAAAAATGTATTTAAAATGGGTCACGTTAGATTTATTTCATATGAAATAAACTAGTTTTCAATTTATTTTTTTATAATGATATAAATGAAAGGAAATTATATTTTCTAGAGAAAGAATAATATATGGTAATGACAATTTTGTATTTTCAAATCGGAGCTTCTGCTTTTAAGTTACGAAAAACTTCAGTTTTTTAAAAAGCAAAACTTTAGAGGTGTTAGGCTTGGTTTCAACTTTTGAAACATAAAACTTCTAAAATTCGGGCCAAACATAATTGTACTCTTTTGTTTGTGTGGGTTTGAGGTAATTGTGGTTCCCCTTTATGAAATTTTGGACTGATTACAGGTTTAAAGAGGTTCAACTCGCATTGATCGGGTCAAATAAGGTTGGATACCCATGGACTTGAGTTCAATTGTCTTTCTCAAACAAAAGAAAAAAAATGAAAAAACTAAAGCTAAGACTTGCTACCGACTCAAAACTCGTCAACACCAGGTTCAACTCGCTTTGACTTGGTTGGACTGAGTTTTGGACAAATTCACACATGACACAACACGCCAATTACAAAAACAGATGAAACTCGCTCCCATCGAAAACCTAAAAAATTGGGTTTAAGTCCCTTTGGTCGGGTCAAATTAGGTTGTATACCCATGTGTTTTGACTCAATTGTCATTCTCAACCAAAAGGAAAAAGTTAAAAAAAATTAAAGCGGATAAGACCCGCTCATGACCCCAACAAAAAGGAAAAGTGTAAGAAAAAACACTAAAGCGAACGAAACTCGGTCCCTATACAATATTCGCCAACATTGAGTAAATATGATATGGATTGTCGGTAGCGACATTGGGTTCAATTGTGATCATGCTCAACAAAAAGGGAAAAAAGAAAGAAAAAAACACTAAAGATGATGAAACTCGATCCTGATACAAAACTCGTGGTAGCGGCCTTGGGAAACGATGGTGGGGAACCACTTAGGAATCCGTCGAAAGTATTTCTAGATAGGATGCACAATGGTGGGCAAATAATACTCCCCTGGGGGGTGTATTTTTATCAAAGTAATGCAGCAAACAATCAATCCAAAGATTGATTGAACTCGAATCAAGAACAACGCGTTCTTAATACGAAATTGGGATAAAACGGAACCAACGGATAATTCCACACCTGGGGAAAGCTCGTATGGTATTAAAGGATAGCTGCTCGACCACGATTGAAGTGAATATTCAATCGATACAAAGCTCACAAGCTTGGAATCCACCAAACTCAAACAAGTCGCAACTTGCACAAAACCGAAGGGTTTGTTTTTCGATTAATCAAAGTCTTATGTTTTTACAACGTAAATAGAACGGTATTTAAAGGCAAATAAAACCTAATACAATCCTAATAGAAATAGGCAACAATTAAGGTAAAAGTCTACACTAAAAAGGACAGAAAAATTCGGGTTTAAACTCCTTTTCTTCAAGCGCAAGTAAGCTGCCAGCAAACAGTCCAAAAGCAGCTTTCGTATTAACTTCGCGCCTTTTGTTCGAGGCCTTCCAGAACTCCAATCTTTCATCCGATTCCTTCCCTTGTTAGACAAACATACCTAGTTTCATGTTGTGGAAGTCTTTGGACTTGAATCAGATCCATACTCCTAGAATTAAGCTCCAAGGTAGGCTTCACAAAACAGTTTTATGCCTTGGTAATTTTCTGGCAGTTTTCCAGTTTTGAGGTAGCAACTTTGAGGCATTGGAAAACAACCTTAATCACATCTTCTGGATCCACAAAGCATACCATTGGAAACATGAAAACTTTGTCTGTAAAACAAGCCCTTGAAATGAAATTTTCACCAAGCCAATTGAAAGAACCATGCCTCCAAAATATGTACCCTTAACACGGATTTTGACTTAGCCAAATTCTGCCTTTCTTCTTCCCAACTTTGATAGCTTCTTTGTCAAGTAATTGTGACGTGAATGGTTGGCAATTTGGGATCATATCAGACCCTCCCTCTTGAAAAAGTGTCGCCCTCATTACTTTAGCCTTTCTTTTCTCAAATCGTTCACAGAATTGATCCCAAATTGGATCGAAAGAAGACATCCCAAACTTGCAAATTGGGGATTTTTTATTTAGGCCTCTCCAATCTAATTCACTGCCTCCAGAAGCTTTGCTAGGCCTCCAATTGAACTTCTGAATAATTACCAAGCCTCGATTTATTGCCATCGTCTTCAATTCATCAATTTCCTCTTTCCCGCCGCTGACCGAATTCAAATCCTGGAAACCCAGAATTTTCGATTTTGATTTGGGCGTTTCCATCTCGAGAATCTCCAACTCCAATTGATAATTCCAATTGCTTCTTGGAACGTCCCCGAATGATCCCACATCGTTCGTTTGCGTCGAATCACGCTTGGACGCCCAAACCAATTCAGCAAATTTTCCTTATTGTTTCTGCGTTTCCAGAGGCATATGAGCTCGATTTTGATCTTGCAAATTAAGCGTATTCAAGTCGATCCAATCCTTGGGGCATATTTCTGGGGTCTTTTGGAAGGTTTCCTCGGTGTTGGCGGAACTCGATTCTTGCCTGATCGTGCTAAGCAATAGAGGCTTTTTCTCCTCGTCGTTCGTCAAAAACAGAGGCCTTTTTACGAGCTTTGATTCTTCAATTCCTGACACATCCACTTCCAATGAATCAAATTCAGACGTTGCTGGGCTGGGATTTAATGCTTTTGCTCCGGTGGCGTCGTTCGAATCTTCACCGAGTGGTTCAGCCACGAGAGCCCGCTCGACGCTCTGTTTTTACCGGTGATGCAGGGGGTTCTACGTTCATCGTCGGCGTGATTTGTGCGTCGGCATACTTCGCCAGGACTTCCCCTCGCTCTCCAGACCTTCCATCAACCTCCATGAATGCCTCTGCTCCGTCGTGCTGCGCCGGCTTCGCGTGTTCGTTGTCCGAAGAACTGGTTGTGTCGGTGCTCTGTTTTTGCGGCGAAAAACAGAGCTCATTGCAAGCTGTCCTTGGCGGTTCTTGAACCTCCTTGGGAAGCTTTCGAAAACTCAGAAAACTGAACCCAATTCGTCGTTGAACCCAAAACTGAGCCTTGAATTCCTTTCCCACAACTCGATTCTCCTCCATCTGCTTTAAATCGCCGTAAACTTCATCCGGAGATAGAGGTTTCAGCGCTATCTTCCCACCATTATGATTGAATTTGTACTGATTGGTTCGACAATCATGAGAAACTTCGCGATCAAATTGTCACAGTCTTCCCAGCATCATATGAACACAATTCATTGTTACAACGTCACAATTTACCTCATCTTCGTAGCTGCCGATTTGAAAACGAACCACAACTTGCTTCGTTACGTTAATTGTTCCGTGCTCATTGATCCAACTGAATTGACAAGGCTCTGGATGCCTCGTAGTCTTCAATCCAAGCTTCTGAACAACGTCTAGGCTGATAATATTTGCACAGGAGCCTCCATTGATCACGAGCGATAATAATTTCCCATCGACAATGCATCTGCTGTGGAATAAGTTGTCTCTCTGTTTGTCGGATTCTCTGTGATTGATGACGACTGCTGGGGACTTCTCTTTGCCACAAAATCGAGGTTGTTGGGTCTTGGAACTGCTCGCCACCATCTCCTTTGCGTAGGACAGAATTTCCCTTGAATTTCAAGTACAAACAGCAGCTGTAAAGGTACGTACAGGAGCTGCCCTGTTTTGCTCGAGAATTCTGCTTGTACCGAAGTAATTGATTGCTTCTTCTCCTTTGCCCTCGTGTAGAACGGGGCTCTGATACCACTTAATACGCCCCTGGGGAGTGTATTTTTATCAAAGTAATGCAGCAAACAATCCAAAAATTGATTGAACTCGAATTAAGAACAACGCGTTCTTTATACGAAATTGGGATAAAACGGAACCAACGGACATTTCCAGACCTGAGGAAAGCTCGTATGGTATAAAAGGGTAGCTGCTCGACCACGATTGAAGTGAATATTCAATTGATACAAAGCTCACAAGCTTGGAATCCACCAAACTCAAACAAGTCGCAACTTGCACAAAACCAAAGGGTTTGTTTTTCGATTAATCAAAGTCTTATGTTTTTACAATGTAAATAGAACGGTATTTAAAGGAAAATAAAACCTAATAAAATCCTAATAGAACTAGGCAACAATTAAGTTAAAAGTCTACACTAAAAAGGACACAAAAATTCGGGTTTAAACTCCTTTTCTTCAAGCGCAAGTATAAGCTGTCAGCAAACAGTCCAAAAGCAGCTTTCGTACTAACTTCGCGCCTTTTGTTCGAGGCCTTCCAGAACTCCAATCTTTCATCCGATTCCTTCCCTTGGTAGATAAACATACCTAGTTTCATGTTGTGGAAGCCTTTGGACTTGAATCAGATCCATACTCCTCGAATTAAGCTCCAAAGTAGGCTTCACAAAACAGTTTTCTGCCTTGGAAAACAACCTTAATCACATCTTCTGGATCCACAAAGCATACCATTGGAAACATGGCAACTTTGTCTGTAAAACAAGCCCTTGAAATGGAATTTTCACCAAGCCAATTGAAAGAACCATGCCTCCAAAGTATGTACCCTGAACATGGATTTTAACTTAGCCAAATTCTGCCTTTCTTCTTCCCAACTTTGATAGCTTCTTTGTCAAGTAATTGTGACGTGAATGGTTGGCAATTTGGGATCATATCAGCAAAGACGATGATTTGTGTTCAAGTTAGGATACCCATGTGTTTTGGGTTCAATTGTGATCATGCTCAACAAAAGGGAAAAAAGAAAGAAAAAACATTAAAGAGGATGAAACTCGGTCCCAATACAAAACTCGTGGTAGCGGCCTTGGAAAACGGTGGTGGGGAACAACTTAGGATTTTGCCGATATGATTTCGAGATGGGTTGCAAAATGGTGAGAAAAGACGACAATTTTTGCAAAAAGGCATTGACGAAAACCTAGCGAACAATAACTAAACACAAGTGCGATGATTTGTGAAAAAAGTCATAGACTAAAACCTAGCGAACAATAACAAAATACAAAAACGATGATTTGTGCAAAAAACCATAGACGAAAACCTAGCGAACAATAACTAAACACAAAGATTGTAAAATGGAGAATGGGGTAAAAGAGGGGCTTGGAACTTCCCCACTTGCACTTGGAGGAGTGTGAGAGCCACTAATGAATAGTAACTCAAACCTAGGCTTTTATATTTCGAGATGGGTTGCAAAATGGTGGGAAAAGGCGATGATTTTTTGCAAAAAGCCATAGTCAAAAACCTCGCGAACAATAACTAAACACAAATGCGATGATTTGTGAAAAGAGTCATAGACGAAAACCTAGCGAACAATAACAAAATACAAAGACGATGATTTGTGCAAAAAGCTATAGACGAAAACCTAGCGAACAATAACTAAACACAAAGGTTGTAAAATGGAGAGTGGGGTAAAAGAGGGGCTTGGAACTTCCCCACTTGCACTTGGAGGAGTGTGAGAGCCACTAATGAATAGTAACTCAAACCTAGGCTAAGGCGATGATTTTTGCAAAAAGCCATAGACGAAAACCTAGCGAACAATAACTAAACACAAATGCGATGATTTGTGAAAAAGGTCATAGACGAAAACCTAGCGAACAATAACAAAATACAAAGACGATGATTTGTGCAAAAAGCCATAGACGAAAACCTAGAGAACAATAACTAAACACAAAGGTTGTAAAATGGAGAGTGGGGTAAAAGAGGGGTTTGGAACTTCCTTACTTGCACTTGGAGAAGTGTGAGAGCCACAAACGAATAGTAACTCAAACCTAGGCTTTTATATATTAACTAGCAATCTAGCATAATATGTGAGGTGTGTGTCCCTCCCCCTGGCATTTTCCTTCCTCCCTTTCCCGCACTGGCCTACCAGGATACCACTATGAAGAGCCACCGGGGCTGGCCGCTAGTCGACAACTTGTTCCAACTCTTCCTCCACCGCCACGACGTCATCTTCAGGTTCCGCCGCGTAAGGAAAAATACGACCCTATGTTCACCCTAAAAATAGGCCAGCGAACCCTCGTGGTCATCGCGAGTCTGGAGCTCCTCCATGAAGTTGCGTCCTCCTGCACTCCTCCTCCGGCGAGTGGTCCTCCTCCGGCGAGTGGTCCTCCTCCGGTGAGCTCAGAATTGCAGCACGCGTTCCGGATAATCAACCGCGACAACGACGACGTCGTGGAAATAATCATCACGGCTCTCCTGTCCCCGCTTTCCTTCGGCTTCTGTGCTGGGCTCTTCAGCCGTTGGCTTCCTTCAGTCCCAGATGTTGGGACATTTTTGGGACGATGGTACACGTATGATAGCCCGATATCGGGCGAATAGGATAATGATAGAGTCGTGAACAACATTAACTTTCCGCCTCTACAAAGCCTTGGGTTAAAAGAAATTTCTACTGAGGATAAAACTATCACCACTTTAGGTTTTAGGCTCAAGAACACAAAAGCATACTTAGAAATTTTTGGAAGAAAGAAGAAGAATCTGTTTGATGGTCTGTGGCACCATCCACCCCACACATATATTTATAGGGGCTAAATCCATGCATTGTTTCATGAACGGTTGCCTTTATCCATACGTAAGGTTACTTTTATCCATATGAAAGGTTATCCTTGTAACACCCCGAATTTTGGGTTATGGCTCGACCATAATACGTGATCGGTTGGGTTGACAGTTGCGTACTAAAAATTGCAATCGCGGATTAGTCGTAATAATAATAATAATAATAATTATTATTATTATTATTGTAAAAAAAAAATTATTATAACCCGGACCGGGGGCCGGGCGGCCACTTCCACTTAAATTCCCAAAACCCTCGGTCAAGAGGAATTGCCAGAGACCGCCGCCCTCTCCATTCTTTTCCCCATTAACCCTCGTCCCAAATCAGTTGGCATCTGTAAGTTGGCTCTTCCTCCGTCCATGAGAGCGCCATTCATCCACCACCGACGGATACGAGAAGGGTGTGGATGTTGGCCGGTGATTGATCTGCTCTCCCTTAGATGGATCTCTAGATCCGGGCTGTAGGAGGAAAACGAACATAGGGGGATAAGTGACCAGGCACTTGGACTTTCAAATCTGCATTGCAGTATACCAATGAATGGCATGGTCGACTCTTTCAATGTATCAGTTGCTGGTGGCATTCTCATGCACCATGCTGGTGGCATTCTCGTCTGGGGCGGCATGGGGATTTAACAGCAGAAGAAAGTAAGATACTGCTGGCTGAGTTCTCACTGCGCCATAGCAAGAGCGCGATAAGCATCGCACATGAATATGCAAAGAGAAGTAAGGTTTCCACGCCTCCACCAAAGCTGTGATGCAGACGGTAAGAAAAGCAAAGAAACATCTGCAACGGGCAAAAGCGATCAGAAGTGATCGATGAAGTGCCAGCGAACAAGAGAGCTTGCAGTTCATGGGATTTTAGACCGAGTACATCGAATTCCTCAGCTCAAGCAGTCCCGACAACGATCCCGGCGTAGGCGATTTCCAATATTCTTTGAGTGGTGGTTCTCATCGCGAAGAGGACGATCCCAGGAGCATCACAGTATGGACAGAATTGAGTTTCGACATTGGACGAGGGAGATACGAGCGTCGAAAGCTTGGGACGCAAATCAGACAGTTCAGGTATTAGTCTTGGCAATTCAAGAAGTTAGAGGATTAAATGTGTAATTTTTTTCAGAGAGGTCGTGGTCAACTGTTTTGACTCGGAAATTTTAGTTTTGGTACCTAGTACTTTTAAACTGACAGAATGTCTATTTTGGTCATAACTCGATCAATTGACGTCCGAGCGAGGAATCGTCAGCGTATATGGAATCGTGATAACGAAGTGAATTTGTTTGAGCTATGCTTGAAGTGAATGGTTATTAATTACCTTGAAATTTTTACGAGTATAAGTTATTATTAAAGAGTAAGAAACAAGTTCTTTTAAAGAAGTAACTCACCTTCAAGAAGGTGAAGTCGTTTTAAGTGTTTTTAGTCACTAGCGCCAGTCCGTTGCTTTTGAGACAGTTTGAGATAGAGCAGCAGTTATGCTCTTGAGATTTTAAGATGGGCAGCAGTTATGCCCTTGAGAATCGTGGTGAAGAGCCACCACGATAAGTTTAAGATGTTAGGGGGATGAATCGTTACGACTTCCCTAACTAAGTTTAAGTTTAAGGAAAGCCTTGATGGCTTCTCATACGTATGAGTTGGCAACCGGACTAGCTAGTGAGGGATCCCCGTGTCAGTCAAGTATTTAAGTCGAGATTTGAGTTTTAAGAGAGGAGAGTCACTTCAACTCCCTCAAAGTTTAAGAGTTAAGATTTTAAGATTGGAAGTACAAACAACTTCCTTTAGTCAAAGTTAAGTGTTTAAAGTAAAGTATTCAAGTATGAGAATTATTAAAACGTAAGGGCGTAGACTGACCCCATCTCACTCACCAGTTTGAAGAGCTAGAGGAAGAGTTAGAGGAGCATTTAGTGAGCAGCGAGTCGAGGGCAGCCAGCTAGAAGAGAGTATTATAAGCATCACGGAGGATGCTTAGTCAAGGTTTTCAGTAGCAACAATTTCAGAGTTTATTAGTTAATTACATTTATGATTATGAGTACAGACTGGAGATTATTTTGAGATCAGATTGAGATTTTAAAGTTTGAGTTTAATTTGCCCACATGTTAGGGCTTTGCTTTGAACCATAAGTGCGCGCTTTCAGTATTTTATTTACTAAAATTTTCCCTAGTTGAAATTTAAGATTTGGTATTTTATTTGCCAAGGGCATTTTAGTAAAAGTAGTACCCGGTCGGGTTAGGGTGTTTCAATCCTTATCCATATGAAGGGTTGCCTCTATCCATAAGGTTGTCCTTATATATAAGGTCATTCTTATCCATAAAATAATGCAACCGCCACTAGGCCAAAGGGATGTGTCCCTTCATGAAATTAGAATATTGGTTCGGTCGGTCTAATCCCAAACCAGTTGGTCGGTCCAATCCAAAACCGGTTTGACTTGATTAGTCCGGTTCAACCAAAATTCCAACACCAGATCCATAACCGCTTTGTCATGGGTCTCCCTGGCTGTTTCTAGGCACTTGGCCTTGTCGTCGCTTTCTGTTTGCTCGTTTTGCAGGTCACGGTGTTCCGACTTCTGAAAAATGTTTCACGACAGCTTGGTTCTTTTCTACTCCGACTTAACTTCATTTGGATGGATTGTTATCAAAATTCAGAATTCAATTGGGGATTTAGGTTTTTAATTTTGGCTTTATTATGGCTCATGATTTGTTCTACTCTGTTTGAGCTCTACGCCGGTGGGCGGTGATGGGGAAGGTGACGCTGCAGTAGCTCGGTTGAGCGGTGGATGCCTATCCATTCCTTTTCCCACTGACGGGGACGGCCGGAAGGGACTCTCTAGTTGCTTCGTGGCAACTCAATTGTCGTTACTTTCCCATTGGTGGATGGAACTATCGCATTCTGATCCTTATCGGTAGACTGCGGCAGGCCTTCTGATCCTTATTATTATTATTATTATTATTATTATTATTATTATTATTGTTGTTGTGTTTGTTAGGGCTGGGCCTCTCTAAAACTTTTCACACGTCAAGCCTAGCTTTGTTTTTCATCCCCACTTGACTAGTCCAGTGGTGGCTATGTGTTTTCTTTTTTGGTTATGCAGGTGAATCTTTTGGGCTAAACTGCTCAAACCTGCATTTAGTATAATTCTATTTATACTAAATGACATGGTGAAGTTTGCAATGAACCTCTTTGTGTGTCCAGGCATACTAGGGCTATTTGTTTATTTTGCAGGGCCAATGGACTTTCGGCTACCTCTTTATTCAGTCTTTTGGAGTTCCAACAATGGGTGCCATGTTTTTTGGAGCGCGGCAGTGGAGATTTATGATGTATTTCTTTTGTGGCTTTTCGGGCCTCTATGTTCATTTTGCAGGTGAAGCTGCTCACAGGGAGTGTTAGTCTTCTTGATACAAGGATTTGTTTTCCTGCTTCAATTTTCAGCATGGTTAGTTCTTGATTTTGATCTTTTAAGGAAAGAAATCATGATATTGCCCATGCCGTTCAGGTATCATAGGGCTGCCCATATCGTGGCAGTGAAGCCCTATTTTGTCAGACCTGCAAAGGTCTTTTCATTTTTCATTTGTGATTTGACCTACAAAGGTCATGTATATTGGATTCATGGAAAATATACCATCCTTTTGTGGTTTGATAGTTGTGTTCATTTTGCAGGTGAAGCTGCTCACAGGGAGTGTTAGTCTTCTTGATACAAGGATTTGTTTTCCTGCTTCAATTTTCAGCATGGTTAGTTCTTGATTTTGATCTTTTAAGGAAAGAAATCATGATATTGCCCATGCCGTTCAGGTATCATAGGGCTGCCCATATCGTGGCAGTGAAGCCCTATTTTGTCAGACCTGCAAAGGTCTTTTCATTTTTCATTTGTGATTTGACCTACAAAGGTCATGTATATTGGATTCATGGAAAATATACCATCCTTTTGTGGTTTGATAGGTGAAAATAGAGAAGATTGGGCGTGGAGACGAATTCTGAAACTTCGGCCAACTGTGCAGCCGTTTATGAGGAAGCAGGGTGATGAAGGCTTTTGGGATGGGAAATTCATGCCCAACTAATCAATGAGCGCAGTTTGGGATACGATACGTCCTCTGAAGAGCAAACAACACTGGTCTGCTCTTCTCTAGAGTAAATTCTATGTGCCGCGTTGCAGTAACATAACAAGGATTGTGGCCATGGATGCGATAGTAACCAACGTAAAGTTGATGTGTGGGGTAAATTAAATAAAGATAGATGCATTTTATGTCATGCCAATAGTGAGACATGGGATCATTTGTTTTTCGAATGTTGTTTCTCGAGGAGTATTGTTAGCAGAGTTGGTAAAATTTTCAATAGCAGCTCTTGGGACCTCCGACTCTCATATGCAAGTGTGGTTGCAAAGTGAAACACGGCTCTAGGGAGACTTAGTGGACCTCTCTGGTGCTCCTTGATTAGCTTTGTTTGACAAGAAAGGTGTCTAAGATTCCATAGAGAAGTTCCAAGAACGACCGAGTTGGTGACAGAGTTATGGTTGCGAGATTTTCGCTTCTTTGTTTCCTCTTACCTAGGTTTAGAGGCTAGGACAATTTGCGTCCCTCCAGCAACATAACAATAAAATAAAAAATAAATTAGAAACTGAAATAGAAGCCAACAAATTTAAAGCCTAGTGGAAATGCTAAAATTAGTGCGATAGATTTAAAGCCCAACACAAAATGTTTAAACGAAGCATCCCGATTAAAGTGTGGTAAATGCATTTTTCCTTCCAAAAATCACTTTGGTTGCTAGATATTTGAAATTGAGAAAATTTAACTCATGAATCTCCTTCATATATTTTATAGATTGAAGAATAGTTTAGAACTAAAATAACAAATATAAAAATTAAAGCATCAAGCACCATAAATATACTTACAGGAGACTTAGTGAGCTAGCTTATCGTTATGCAAAAGTCATATGTTTTCCAGATTTTAACTTCGTGTATTTTTGTAATAAAAAGTATACAACCTATTTGTTTAGTGTAATTGGTTATATGTCTTGTCTTTGTTTAAAGAGACCATGGTTCAAATCTTGGAGCTGATTTATTTTTATGCGAAACAAATATCCTTCCTACTTTCACTCTCGTTGCTCAAAATTTGAAATGGAGAAAATTCAACCCATGAATTTGCTTTATAGGTGGTGTCTTCGGTGCACTCACTTTTTTGGGTGCGTTCAGTGCACTCGCTTCATAACCGTCATTTTAAACATGCGATTTATGTCAAAATGATGCCAATCATCACTTATGATGTGATGAACAATAACGCACATGAATTTGCACAAAAACCATTAAAGATTTACTTTAATTTGAAGGATTTAGAGTTAAGAGATTTAGGGTTAGGGTTTGGGTTTACAATTTGGGGTTTAGGGATAGAACTCAAGATTGGAGGTCTAGGGCTTAGGATAATTCGCTAATTAGTTGTTAGCATATGTTATATCATCATATTACACTAATTCTACAAATTAAAATTCAAAATCTGACACCTTAAGACTAGTTTTTGAGTTGGGTGCATTGAACGCACTCATTTTTTTGAGTGCACCGAAGTGGTCACCTTGCTTTATATATAGTATAGATAGATAGATAGATAGATGTTGGTTGTTGGTCTCCACTTGGGTGCTTATTTACGGTGGCGATGTAGATATTGGAATTATATAAGTGTGTTATTTTTCGAGAATATAAATAAAATATTTTACATATTTAATTTAAAATAATAATAATTAAATAATTCATTTATAAAAACTGAAAATAGGGGTTACGTTTCAGGTAAATATCTTTCAATGTATTTAGTTAAGCAATCATTAGCGACCCGCGGTCGAAGAGTTTAAGCAGGGTAGAAGGAGGAAAGGGAAATCATGTATTATCGCTATTGCGGCAGATTAAGGACTAGGGAGAGCCGCATAACTAAATTGTGTCATTGATGACTATTGTTTCATTAGTGTCGGGGAAAATGAGTAAGTGAGAAAAAGATAAAATTGTGTCATTTTATGGCCCTTCTCGGCCAGCTGACGTGCTGGCCCCCTTTTTTTTTCTTTTAACTTTTTTGGTTGGGAATTTGTTTTGGATTTTTTTCTCTATTCTCATTGGTTGTTTGTGATTCAATTTGAAATATAAATTTGAAATAATTGATGTAGTGACGAAAAAACGGTCATATTTTAACGGCCATAAAAAACGGTCATATTTTAACGACCATATTTTTTCTTATATATTACAGCAGTCTTCATAGATTTCTCTTCACTCATTCTCAGAGCATAAATCGCATTCTCTCAAAATTCAATTGTTATCGTCTCTCAAAATAGAAATATGACATGCAAGAGAGGACCTAATTGGCGTACGAATGAAGATGAAATCTTGTGCAGAGCTTGGGTGTCGATATCAGAAGATGGAGCGGTTGGCACCAACCAGAAGTCTACAAGGTTGTGGGACAGAGTGGCGGCAGAACATCAAAAATGGGATCCTACTACAACTCGTACTGCTATTGCAATGGAATCCCGAATGATGATTATTTGCTATCACTGCAATGCTTGGAAGGGAGTTTTGCAAAGAGCACAAAGGCACCAATCGAGTGGCACGAACCAGTTTGATGTGGTATTCTTTTGGACCCTCAACTTGTGTATTTTCTTATTTTTTATGTGTCAATAAAAACTTCTCTAACCCATGTACTAATTATTTTATTAGGAAAAGGAGGCAAGAGCAATATATAAGCAAGAGAATGGGAACAAGGCTTTTGATTTTGAGCATTGTTTCGACATTCTTCGAAATTGTCCTAAATGGTACTCCAATCCTGATCTGCTTGTTAGTCCCATTCCACCTATGGGGCAAGGTTCCCAAAGTTATCCCACAGGTTTTGGTTCTCAATCATCTCCCGTGGAAGGCCTTGATGACTTACTAGATGAAGGAGCTACGCCTTTCGTGTTGACTCGCCCTGAAGGACGCGACAAACAAAAGGCAGCAAAGAAGAAAGGTAAGGTAGTTGCTGAATCGTCAGACATATACACTACTCAACTGCTAGAGTTGGTATGATATGAGAGAGAGGCAAAAGTCGAGGATGGAGTACGAAAACAGAAAAATGAATGTTCAAGAGAGGAGACTAGAGCAGGAGAAAGAGGAATGGGAATACAAGATGGCAAGTGAGGGAGCGTGAAGCGGAAAAGTGGGCTATGGAGAAGAAAGAGAGGGAAGCTGCAATACTTCAACAAAATGTAGCTATTCTGGAGAAGGATTTGTCACAGATGACACCAAGAAAGAAAAGATTTTGGAGGCGTAAACAAAATGACATTTATGGGTACGATCAAGATGATCCCAACTCTTATCCAAGTGATGGAGGAGACGGAGATGGCGATGCAAGTGGTGGAGGAGATGGCGATTACTTTCCTGTCATGGATTATTAATTAGAAGAAGATCCTATTTGTACTCTACTGCCTTTACATCTTTAATGTGTTGTGTGTTCTCTTTCAACTTTGTTATTTTCATGTGTCATGTGTACTCTTTGAACTTTGAGCAATTCCATGTGTAATAAAAACAAGTGTTATTGAAAGTTTGAAATACAAACAACCAAGCAACATGAAATACAATCACACACTGAAACTTGAAATACAAACAACCAAGCAACATGAAGTAAAACAATGCTAGATATTGCCGTGCAAATTCCAAAGATGCTCAACCAAGTCATTTCTAAGCGCATGATGTGTTGTAGATGAGCGAAGCCTGTTATTTCTAGCCAAGTAATCAATTAGAGTTGATTGGTGTCGGTTGATTGGTTCAGGTTGTGCATGGACCTCATAATCAAGGTCATCATCCATCTCGTCATCAGAATCAACTTGCTCATCCTCGATTATCATGTTGTGTAATATAATGCACGTCAGCATTATATTGTTAAGCGTGAAAACATCCCAAGCTCTTGCAGGGCCACGAACAATTTCCCATCTTGTTTGGAGGATTCCAAATGCCCGCTCTACATCTTTGCGGTGTGCTTCTTGATGTTGAGCAAACAAAGCCTCTTTGTTTGACCTTGGATTGCTGAAGGTCTTCACTAAAGTCGACCATGAGGGATAAATACCGTAAGCCAAATAATAACATTGATCATAAGCATGACCATTTACCTCAAATCGTACATGTGGAGCGCTTCCATTGACGATACGATCAAACATTGGAGACATCCCCAGAACATTTATATCGTTGTTCGATCCAGGTGTCCCAAAGAAAGCATGCCATATCCATGTGTTGTAGGAGGCCACCGCCTCCAGAATGATTGTTGGCCTATGCATGTGGCCGGTGTATTGTCCTGCCCAACCACTTGGACAATTCCTCCATTCCCAATGCATGCAGTCAATTGATCCAATCGTTCCAGGAAAGCCACGACTTGAGGCTTTACGGAGTAAGATCCTTAAATCAGCAGGAGTAGGTGCGCGAAGGTATGTGGCCCCGTACATGTTGATAATGTTGTTGCAAAACTTTCTGAAGACCTTCATCAAGGTGCTCTCACCCATACGAACATACTCATCAAGTTGATCAGCTGGAGAACCATATGCTAGCATGCGCATCGCACCAGTAAGCTTCTGCTCTGGAGATAGTGACAATTGACCAAAGCTATCACGCCTTAGAGCAAATGAGGGGTCAAACCTCACAATGTCGCCCATAATGCGATGGGATAATCTTGGCTGCATCCGATAGCGCCTTCTGAATATGCGAGCATTGTATACTGGATTTGGATCGAAGTAATCCCTCATAAGACGTCGATTACATTCGACCCTCTCACGATCAATGTGACGTCGGCTTGTAGTTTGACGGCGACTTGATGCACCTTCAGCCAGCCTCCGACCGATCAAACTCAAACGTAGGTGGTGAAACCTTTCGTACTCTTCGTTTTCTTCTTCTCCAGACGACGAGCTATCTGAGATACTCATGATGAATGTGTTTATTTTAGAAATGGGAAGAAGTTTTAGTTGAGTTGATGAAAATGAAGAACTGTCATTTATAAAGACATTTGGTGCAAAAAATGACAAAAAAACGGTCGTAAAGTAACGGATAAAAAAAAACGGTCATATTTGGAGTGGTCCCGAAGTTTTAACGGTAATATTTTAACGACTAATTTTTGAAATAAAAAATTATCTCGGAATTTAAAAAAAAATTACATCGAAAAATTTGTATTCAAAACTAATAACGAGCTATGAAAAAATTAAGGTGAAATATAAAAATTAGAGGTCAAATAAGTATGGTTTATTGAAATAAATTGAAAAAGGGAAATGGGAAGCTAAATTTAGCTTTTTATAGGGTTGGAGTGAGAAGTGGGTTTGGGGAGCTAAAAAGCCATATTTGGCCATTTGGGGAGCTAAATTCCCCTTTATGGGTTGGAGTTAGCCTATGATGTTATAAATAACTTTTATGACAATAAAATAACAAATGAATTGTAACGCAGTGACATAATTATTTTGTATTACCTCAAATGTGTTGAGTTTGATTCCCTATTCATACATTCTTGTAGTTGATTATATTTTTATCTAAAATTAGGTGTCTTGGATCTGCCTATGCTTATGTACCCATTCAAATGGCTTCCTTTCTCAGTCTATGATCCGACTCCTTTGTTTCTTCTTCTTTTCCAACTGTATTTTCTTAATTTATATAATTAAAATAGAACCATTAGAGGTAAATAAGCTTAGATTAATATTATGTTTTCCTTAAGTAGACTTTTCATCGATGTTGTTATGCTTATGTAAAAGGTTGATATAGGTAAGAGATCAAATGAGAGTTGAGTTCGATCAGGAAGCTTTGGCCGAAGTACAAGCTCAATTTTGAGGTACACTCAAGTCGTACACTCGTACTGAGTTAAATTTGAGTGTGATTAGTTGAACTCACGAGTCAAACTAAGTTGGAGCTATAATTATGACAATCAAACCGAACTCGTTAACTTGAATCAATGTTCAAGAAAAACTCAAAACAAAATAACTTTTTATAGAGGCAAGCTCCAAGCTAGGGATGGCAACAAAACCCGAACCCACGGGTACCCATCCGACCCAACCTGGTCAACGCGGGTAAAACCCATGTTGACGGGTTTTGGGCCGGGTTTGGGTTTAAACCCGCTACACTATTCACCGGGTCGGGTTGGGTTTGGGTTTAGGTAAACCCGCCCCATAGGTACCCGCCCACACACATATAATTACTTTCCCGGTATATTTAATATTCTAAATAATATATCTTCCTTAAACAACTAATATTCTTTATGTTTGTGGAGACATGTATAATTTGTTTTTTTCTAATTGTTTAGAATGAAGTTGATATTATGAAATGGAGAGTGAAGAAACTTAGTTGACGAGGAAGAAGCTTTCAATTAATCTTATTGTTTATAGATGTTTATCTTTAATTTTGAACAATTTGCATTTGATCATTTGCAGTTTGCTCGTATGCTCTAGATTGGTGTTTTTTGTATGAATAATTTGTATGAGAAAATTGATGTTAAACTTTTATTTTGAAAGAAACTTGTTATTGTAAATTTTTTACCACAAAAACCCACGGGTACCCATGAACCCGCGGATACCCAGCGGGTTGGGTTGGGTTTGAGTTTTTCAAACCCAACGGGTTTTATTCTGGGTTTTTTTGGCGAATAAACCCATGGGTTTGGGTTTGACAAAACCCGCCCCAACCCGACCCATTGCCATCCCTACTCCAAGCTAGAGTTAAAACCGGATCCGAAATATCCACTCTATTGGATGAAGAGAGGACGATGAATTATTTACATTTGGAGGCGAATTGAAAGGTGTCTTAAGCCCGTTTCCACTTTTCAGATAGCAAACCTTTTCTTCCGGGCTTCCTATCAAGTGCTCGGACCAGAGTCTTAAGCCCAAGCCCAGAGCTCATGCCTCGGCTTCAGAGTCCGAATCATACTTTGGGAAAAGGCAGCGAGTCAGTGACAGAAGGGAGAAGAGAAGGGATCAGTGTTCATTGGGGAACGGAGAAGGACGTCCGAGCTTCAGACGCTGGAATGGAGCTCCAGCTAATGGAAGAAGAATCCACCAGTGATGATTCTGTCGGTAAGCTGTTTGCTCCTCCTCCGTAGCACTTACTGCCCTAGGCTGTAGCTGAAGCTTCGTCGTCTCTCGCTGGTTCTTCAGTTGGCATTGTACAACTTTCTGCTTCATTTCTATGAACAGCTGGCGGAACATGAAGCCCAGCTTTGAATATTTTGCGATTGAGATTTCTTTCAATTCTCACTTCGGTGCTCTGAGACGCAGTTGTGTATTTTATTTTTGTTTTTTGCTAGTGTTCCTTGACGAGGGCAAACTGCTCGAAGTTATTGCTGAAGGCTCATTGACGTTTGAGGAATGGACTTCACTAATATCGTTGATTGAGAAGACTTACCCGGTAAACTTTCACCTACATTCTTAGCTTCTTGAAGGTGTAAGTTATCTGTTTGAGAGCTCAATTAATGCCCGGGCTTTGGCTATTTGATGGATGATGATGCAGGATGACATTGAGAAGTTATGCTTAGTGTATGATCCTTTCTTCTCTGAGTATCCTTTGTGCCATGTTTACTGGAGGAAGTACGTCAACCACACCATCAAGTTGTGCTCCCCTGAAAAGGTTGTTGAAGTTTTCGAGCGAGCTGTGGAATCAGCTATGTATTGTGTTGATATTTGGGTTGATTATTGCACCTTTGGCTGTATGGCCTTTGATGATCCATCTGATGCTCGAAGGTAATCATTTCACTCTTTCTGGAGAAAAATAGTGCATTTCGTGTCTAAAACACCTGGCCGTTGGGAATCAGGTGATGATGCCTGGTTAGTTTTTGCAGAATCTGTTATATGTCTCTGGAAACGTCCTTATTTGTTTCGTCAAGTGAAAGTGAAGGATCCGGTGGTAGCTAGGATGGGATTGAAATGGTGTCACTTGTTAGTAACTCTCCGTTTGAAGTAAAATGGTCTGCTGTAGATTGACACTTACTAATCTGACTAGATTTTCAAGATGTTGGAAAGATATTTCACAGCATATTTTGTTTTTGTGCGGGTAGTGGTGAACTATGGCATGTGTTTGAACAACTATTTATGTTCGGTAGCTTGATGTATGTCAACACCAAAATTTTATGTCAATTGACTAAAACCTGCTCCCGAAGCAGAATGATTGATAAGCATTCTAGGTTATGACTGGTTTCACAGATGTTGGAAAGATATTTCACAGCATATTTTGTTTTTATGCGGGTAGTGGTGAACTATGGCATGTGTTTGAACAACTATTTATGTTCGGTAGCTTGATGTATGTTAACACGAAAATTTTATGTCAATTGACTGAAACCTGCTCCCGAAGCAGAATGATTGATAAGCATTCTAGGTTATGACTGATTTCGCAGCTTCTTATGATGTGTTCTTGTTTGACGATTCCAGAACCTTGACATTGAAATTGAATTTATGGTTCTTTCTTCTACCAGATTGTTCAAAAGAGCCATATCCTTTGTTGGAAAGGATTATCTTTGTCATATGTTGTGGGATAAGTACGTAGAATTTGAGTTCTCCCAGCAGCAGTGGAGTTTTCTAGCTGAAATTTACATCCAAACACTGAGGTTTCCTACCAAAAAGTTGCCTGAGTATTATGATAGGTATGTCTATTGCTGCAAAGTTATATTCTACACTTGTTATTCAGTCTGCAAAAGAGAATCATGAATATGCACACCTTTACGACCTACTAGATCAACAACTAGGTCCGAGAGAGGTGCAATCTTGACAAAAGAAATTTCTTTTTGAAAATGATTTAAGATTTAATAGCTCACTGTGTATGTGAAAGCTTTTCGATGCAATTCGCACTGGAGTGCTTTCTGACGTGCTCTCAGTTTCTTAGTTGCATATTAATTTGTATAAACCAGTTCCTTGTATGTTTAGTGATAATATTTCACTGCTGCAGTTACAATTTTGATCGAGGTTAATGCTTCTGATGTTGCAAACTCCTGCCATTCTATTCTTGCTGTCTTTAAGTCCTCTCTCTCTCTATATTTCTTAGGTCAGCTCTATCTTTTGTTCAAATCATGCAGCTTTAAGAAGCTGGTAGGAGTTTTCAGGGATGAAATGGAATCCCAGAGCAAACCCAACGTGGAAGAGCCAGTTGAATCTATGCTTAGCACTGAAGGTCCAATCAGCTATAAGCAAGATGAAGTTTCTGGTATCATCAGGGACTTGCTCGATCCATCCTCTACTGCAGCTGGGATTATAGCTCTGCAGAAATATGTAGCCATTGGAGAGCATTCCTATCAGGAAGCATGTCTGTTGAATGCAAAAATAATTTGCTTTGAGGCTCATATCAATAGGTCCTATTTTCATGTGAAACCTCTAGAAGTCAGCGAGCTAGAGAATTGGCATCAGTATTTGGATTTTGCTGACTCGCATGGAGATTTTGACTGGGTATAACTTTCAAAATTCTGTTTTGATTCAGAGTTCCTTTCCCTTTTCCTCTGTGCCCTCCCCCATCTCCGTCTCTCACAAATTTGAAATTCAATTTCAATGATGATAGGCTTTAAAACTTTATCAAAGGTGCTTAATTCCTTGTGCCAATTACCCTGAGTTATGGGTACGATATGTGGAATTTTTGGAAAGGAAAGGTGGGAAAGAACTAGCTGACTTTGCTCTGCACAGAGCTACAAAAACCTTTCTTAAGGTATGTTTTATTTTGGCACTTATTGTTTTGTAACTACAATATATTCTTTTGGCTACTATATGTTGTTCAATTCTTGGTTATTTCAGCATAAATTTGATCGCCGTAGGATGCTTTGTCTTCGTTCATTCATAGTTGACATAGATGTACTTTTGCTGTTTCAAATGTTAATTTGCAGAGGGTTTCGTTGATGCATCTTTTCAATGCCCGTTTTAAAGAGTATCGAGGAGATGTCTCAAGTGCACGAGCTGCCTTTCTTGCATGCGATGCAGAATCGGATTTTGTTGAAAATGTCATCAGGAAAGCTAACATGGAAAGGCGCCTTGTATGTAATCTAATTATCTCGTTTGTCTCCCCCACCTCCCAAAAGAGAGGAAAAACAAATACAGAGTACTTTCACGTATCTTTTGTACTCTGGAACTGGATTGCTGATGTTTTGCCAGAATGTCAGGGAAATTTCAAAAATGCTGCCAAAACTTGCAAGCAAGCATTAGAAGTGGCTGCAGCTAAGGGGAAACATGATGTACTTCCCCTCATATACATACACTTGTCAAGACTCAAATACTTGGTAAGTCTCTCGGTTTTCTGCAACAAAAATATGTGGTGAGTTTTCATAGAGCCTCTAAACATCTTATTGTTAAACAATGTTGTCACTATCTGTGTGGGTCCATTCTCCAGGTTGAGGTTATATTTCGTTAGCAATTTTGTGCTATCAGTTGAACATAGATTGGTACACTTTCATGGAGATATACTACCTAACCATTTATCCTTGACAGACCACTGGCAGTGAAGATGCTGCTGTAGATACTCTTACAGATTCAATTAAACAAATTCCTTGTAGCAAGTTACTTATAGAGGTAATTGTCTTTCTCCTTCATAATATTACGTTCAAATTAGTGACCAACGTTTGCAAGGAAGGAATAGTGATCATGCATTACCCTCCACTTTTCTTTGCTTTATAACCAATTAATTAATATTATGGGTGTACAAAATCTAACACGCTTGCAAGTTCGACCCACTTAATTGACTCATAAAATTCATGCAGGAATTAATAAAGTTTGCAATGGCACATAGAGGATCAAGACACATCAATGTCATCGGTTCAATTGTTGCTTATGCTGTATCTTCAAAGCCAGGCTCATCACAAGGCCTGAGCACAAAGGACGGAGAGGAAATATTTAGACTATATCTAGAGGTCTGTATTTTCTCTGATCTCATCTGTAGATCTCTCAGCACCTGTCTTGAACAAGGTGCCATCTGTATTACAGTTCACTGTTTTGGCTTTTTCCAACACCATATTTTCTTTCTCAGAGACCAATACTTTATAAACTCCTGCAGTTTGTTGACCTTTGTGGAAATATCCATGATGTAAGGAAGGCGTGGGTTCAGCATGTCACACTGTTTCCTCATCTTTTGAGGATTCCTCCAGTTCAGGCTGAAAATGCCAGGCGATGGAAACTGGTTACGACGCAAATGGAAGAAATGGACAATCTGCTTCCTCACTGTTCTGAAGATCACAATTCCGATAGCAAGGTTCAGCCCTCATTTCCTGACCATGAACTTTCATCCTTGGAGAACCTTAATATAGAACCCTCCCTTCCCAATCCTAACCCAGTCCCTGAGCAAGCATCAACACGGGAAATGAATCATGACCTGGTACCTGACCAGGTAGCAGACCGGAATACTGCACTACCGATAAACCAAAATGTGTTGTCTGATAGCACTACGCAAGTGGAGGTGTGCAAGACACCTCTTGAAGTTCCCGAGGAGCTCAAAGATAATGTCCCTGAACCAGATTCGGACGTTGGTCTCATAAATCAATGCTCCAATAAAATAACTGAAGATGAGGAAATGCCAGCGGAATTGGTGAAAGAAAGTGTTCAAAAGCAAGAGTGCAGAGACCTATCTGAAGAGGACTCAAAGCCACTTCAGCTGGAGAAACTCTCCTTAGAGCCACAGCCGACTGGATCTCCCAGTTTACTAAATCATGATTCTGACCCATCACCGAAATCTGATTCAGTCATTCCCACATCTCATGATTGTCAAAGCTCTCAAGAAACCAATTCGGTACATAGAACAATGCTGGTAAGTGCTGAAGGTGCTGATATTCATGATTTCTCATCTGCCCCCTTGAGTGTCAGTGCTGCTGTTTCCATTCAAGCCGATGTTGGATGGAATCCTAGTCCTTCATCATCGGCAGGCGAGCATAACAGTGCAACACAAGCAGCTAGGCCCCACATGATGGCAAATAGGGGGAAATATTGGCATCAAAGGAGCAACACAGAGAGACATAGCAGAGATTCCAGAGCTGGATATCGTGGTCATCCACGTAGAAGGCTGGACAAGCATACAAAAGCTGATAGTGAACCTCAGCTGTCCAACAGCATGAGTGGTGGTTATTCCTCTCAGAATTTATCCTTGCAAAACCCACCACAAGGTCAACAAAACAACAGCCAAGTCCCAGCATCTAATGTTGTTGCTGTAGGAAATGGAGAACCCCAAGCCTGGAGTCAAAATAATCCAGCGTCATATGACCAGTTGTGGCAGCAATACTATTATTACCACCAGCAGCAGTTGCTTTGGTTACAGCAGCAGCTGCAACAACAAGAAAACCAGCAGCAGCCCCAGCAGCTGCTGTACCTACAGCAGCAGTACCAGCATCAGGTGCTACAACTTCAGTATCTCCAGCAGCAACAGTCACTTACCCAACACCAGCAGCAGCAACTAATGCAACAACAACAGCTACAGTTGCAGCAGCACCACCATCAGCAGCTACTCATGCAACAAGCGTACCAGTCGCAGCAGCAGCAGCAACAACCCTATAATCAGCAACAATATCAGCTGCAGCAGCATCAACTTTATTCGTCACAACAGCAGCAGCAACAGATACCAGAAGGAGCTGTCTCACAACAGCAGCCGCAACAGATACAAGAAGGAGCCGTCTCACAACAGCAGCACTATGTTCACGAGCATGGACAAGCTAGCCTCACGCAAACTCAGTTTTACCCCCAGGTAAATAAAATTCTGAATCAAACCAGTTGATTGCTTCTAGTTGTGGTGAAGGCTCTCTCAGTATGTTTATAGGCAACTCTGAATCCTGTGTTAATTTAGCATGATCTTAGGTAAACCAACAAAGCAGAGCCTACTCAAGTTTATACCGACGTCTTTGTAACTATGCATGCACTTTCTTCTTCGTATCCAGTAGAGTCCACGCCTTCATGGTTACATATATAAACCCAGTTTCTATAGCTTGCTACCATGTTGTACTGTCTTGGACTTGCGTTTTATGGTCTTGCTTTCTCATGGAGTGGTGTGATATGGATGACAAACTGCTGCCTGAGCACTTTAATTCTTTCTTTCATGACATGTGACTTACCTTGAGTTCCTTGAGATTCACTTTGGCCTTTCCATCAACCCTTCTACCCCCCCCCCCCAACGCACACACACACACATTAATCCATTTCGATCTCCAGTGAACCTGACAAATGGTAATTTTGCAGAGCTGGAGCACAGCAGGTGATGGTAATGTTGCAGCACCAGCAAGTGTCAGATCAACCGAGTCTCCACACTCCCCACAGCCATCCCCACCTACTCAACAACTTGCTTGAGAGGGTATACACGTTGAGCCCTCGTGAACTTTCTTAGCCGATAATTCAAATATGGAAGAGCTGTTGTTGAGATATAGTTTTTGTGTTAAGTTTGGTTGTTATTAGGGTATCGGCTCTAACAGCACGAATCTTAGTATACCATAGTGACGATGGATCAAACTCCATATAACAAACTGTTGGTGGGAACATATTAAATGAACGAGGACGTTGTCTTAGGGAACTTTTGGTTCTCGAACATCAGAGAACTACAGCATTTCGTCGAGCCAATGTTTTCTTTGGTAACCCCTTGTACTAGGTGGTCAGGGCAGTTGTTAGAGTATCTCTTAAGACCAATCACAAGCTTGGATTCATACATCTCTGACAGCTAATGGTGAATGTCATGTCTTAAGGAACTCCTGATTACTAATGATTATGTGCTGGATTATGAATTCTCTTCGTAAGAAGAACAGCGCAAACCTTATGCAATGGAATGAAGAGTACGTATTGGTGTGCTATTGCAACCTGAATTGAAAATTTCCAAGATGAAAAACAATGGACCCAAGCAAGGAACAAACATGGTTGTGACACGTAAAGCCCTCTTAATGCATTACGTTGATGTGGCGGGTTTTGATTACGAACGGTGGTTAAACTCGAATCGTTGATCTTTGTATCATGGTCATCTAAGTAAACGAACCATTTCAAGCTACTAGCAACCGTGTCTACAACTTGATTCTCTATCTTCGGCGCAGTAAATTAGGGCATCCTAGCACTGCTAGACCTCAATTGTTGCAAAAATGTAATGAGCATAGCATGAGAGAAAGAGTTTAGCATTGTGAGGCCTATCATTGGTTTAAACATGAGACACTATCCTTTCTTATAAGTTCAAGTCTAGATGAGGTTGTTTTTGCCTTGATCTAAGTTGACATAAGTAGGCTAGTTGCAAGACTTTGGAGGGCCGTCCTTACTTTTTGAACATTGAACAGAACAACCCTAAAATTGATTGGGTCATCATGAGAACCAAAATTCAGAAGCCATGAGCTTATTGCAATATTTTTCTTGTCATAAGATTATGAGAAGACTCAATAAACCCGAAAGGTCCGTTAGTTTTGTACAAATAACTCTCACTCACGAACCTGGAAATAACGAATTCCTAGCCTGGCCGTTTTCTGTCTCTAGGAAATGAAGTGAGATTTCAAGTTAGTGTGGGGTTAGAAGGAGGGTTCGATGCTTGAGATGATTTGTACTCCGAACTTGTGATTATTGATTGATCCTACCATTGCAAAGTTCAATGGGAGAAAGGGTTGGGGATTCTATGTATTGGAGATTGAATGGAGAACATTGAACAATGCCCCTCTTTTTCATCAACGACTACGCTCAGTTCCGATAGCCGATAGGGGCGGCGTTCAACTCCCACCCTCTTCCTCACCCTCAATCGTCCAACTTGGAAAATCATTTTCCAATTGCTGAAAAACTGTTTCTTTACTTTTGCTTTTCAATTCCAAAGAAACTGAAAACCATCTCCCAGATCACTTTGGCAAGAAGCTACGATTCAGATTCCAGCAGGAGTCTGACCACCCAGAGCAATTTGGTTAACTGCGACGAAACCAAAACCACCCACTCAAGGCAGATTGGGAAGGCGTAATCAACCGCATTTCTTGATGTGGGTAACTAAAACCATAACCAGTTTCCACCCCAACCTCTAACTGCCAGGAGAAAATGAACTCCCTATCTGACACAATCATTTGCAAGCCCAGATCATACAGGGAGATCTCATTCTACTACTTCCTTTGGATCATAACAGAGCAATGCAAGTGGCAAATGACTTAATAATCAATCGCTAATAACAAGTCGATCGCCCACAGCAACTTCTGCATCAAAGACAGCAAGCAGTGCTGCACATATATTCACCAAACAAAACCCTAGAACAGCGTTTCATGCAAACCCATACTCAAAACTTTATCATATTAAAGAACAAAACAGTCCGACAAAACACATAATTGCTAAAACACTGTATATACATAATTGTCGAAAACGAGTCTGTGTTGGGGCAAAAGACTGGACAAGATAGTAAGTCGTACAGCAACTGAGCAACATCGCCCAGGCTGCTGGATATTCTTACTCTTTTTAACAACTGCTACTGCTACTGCTACATCATTGTATAAGAACAAAAGCGACCATATGGCATTATGGAAAAACTTATTACAAATTAGTAATGACCCCCAGTAAAAAAAAAAGGTCTTGTGGAACAGAACAAGCTATAGAATACCCTGAAGCAATTACTCGAGAAATTCAGAGGAAAAAAGGAAAAAATAGACATGTTAGGAGGAACAATCTGTTGATCCAAAAAAGAGACGAAGTTGAGATCTTTAACGAAAATGGAACTGGTAAAACAAATATGAAACACTGCGTACCTACACATAAAGCCATTCCTCACAACACCTGCAGAGAAGGCATCATTACGTAGTAGCAGTGTAAAAAGGGAAGGAAAAAGAAGACATTTCACCATTTCAGCAAACAATTTCATCACTGGCAGATTCTTATGATCCCCGATTTCAAAAACAGATCTTAGAGACTCCAAACTCCTTTGGTCAATTCAGGATACACCTTTAGCTTAAATTTTCTAGAAGTCACAACAATTCTAAGTTCTGAGCAATTTATTATCCATGTTAAGGAGGCTAACTCATGTTCCAAATGCAGATGCAAATAGCAGCAAGACAAAGCCTCCATCCACCTTAACAATTTGCAGGTTCATGAACTACATCGCTTTACTGAGTTATTGATTGCTGCTAGCCTGCTACACATCCCCAGGGGTTCATGCTATTTTTGCGAGCATTAAAGATCTAAGGCTTAACTGGCTTCCACGTAAATCAACTATTCATACAACTGAAATGAAATAATGGAGAGACCTCAACATTGAATTGTAGGCCACCACCAAGAAAGCATAAAGTAGCAAACTTTTCTTTGACATAATTGTTTATGTACACCTTCTCTATAAATTGAAACTTCAACTGTACAACAAAAGAGGATAGAGCGTCTCTACATCTACCTTTTGGAGAACTAGATGATGATTACCTGAAAGGACCTGTTGGCCCAAACAAAAAAGAAACAAGCAAGGCTCAATAACAAAACAAACTCTATCTTATTCTATAGTTACTTATTTGAAAAAAGAGAAGAGATTGACCATCTAAGATTAGAGACCATATTTGGAGGATAAAAAAGAGAACACGTAAGGGCAATGCACAATATCCAAGCTATTAAGGAAAAATAGCCCTTATTCCTTGTTACCGAATCTCCTTGCAATTATTGGGCGGACATCATCAGCATCAGCCAAGGTCTCTAAGAAGGGCAGTAATGATAGTAAAGCACAATCTGACGAATCGCTGAACCAACTCTTAATAGGAATCCCATTATTAACTTGCAACCTGAAAACCTGAAATCATTCAAGGACAGAAACAGTTAATCGGGATTGGAACTACAATGGCAAGCTTGTTTTCCAGTGTCTTTAAATGTTTTATGTATACTTCTTATGGGGAGAAGCAGTAAATCATGTCTTAGCCTTTGTACACATCCAACTCACACGATTCTATTTATTAATAGTATTCATCAGTAGTGTAAACAATAACCTCTTATGCTGCTTCCAAGTGTTTTAAGCATCTCAGATCTGCTTTTCAGGAGCTAAGCATGTCAAAGTCAAGCTACAAGTATGTAGACAGCAGACCAACTTCTTAATCCAAGGGGTACAGAAGTTGAGATATATGACCAGACTTAAATGAAGAGTGACATGCAGGTATGTCAAATAAAAACATCTAGTAGGTAGTAGGATCACTGTACCTGTGGGGAATTATCAATTATGGCAACTTTGGCAAGATCAACACCTAACACTGTCAAATCTTTCGTATAAGTTCCATCTGAAAATATGCAAGACTCCCGATAAACCCGCCGAGATATGAGTTTCTTTTCAGTATCCAGTATGTCCAAAAGCTGTTCCGCATATATGCTTTGGCTTGCTGTAAAGATGACAATCTCAAACATCTCAGCAACTCTCTCCAGGAATGTATGGAGATGAGGCCTCTTTTTTACATATACAGTGTGCTCTTTCATGTTGAAGAAGACAGTGAAAGTGAAGTCGGCATCCCCACAATGTTCCAGTGTAGAATGAACAAGTGTTTCTGGTCACAACAACAGAAGAGCCATTTCAGCACTTACTACTGATTGTAATTATTTGCAGCTAATGCTCTACCCCAGATATGCAAAAATAAAAATTCCAGCTACAGTAAAGTGCATAAATGTCTTACCATCCAAGTCAAGTACTAATGTCACTGTCTTCCTCCTTTGAGAATCTTTCGGGAACATGCTTGTCTGAAAATTTGATACCACCTCTGATAGTTCAGGTAGATTTCTGATAAAGTACTGGGGATCAAAATCATCTGCCTGATCAGAGTCGGCGATAGAATCACATTCCTGGTTATAAGTTCTAATCTGGCTGATAGCTGGATATAAGCCAGCATCATCTGGGCCACCTTGAATGGCTTCTTCACCTGATTTCAGATCATTGGAATTTGTCAATTTGGCAGTATCCTCAAGAAAAGGGAGTATCATGCACTCCTGAGCCATATCAAACAACATACTTGGCTCAGCACATCTGTAATCAGGAAAAGGATCACTCTCACTGAGATGACTATCTATTGCATTCCCATCATAAGGTAGGCTAGAGATAATCATGTCGGAGATAGAGAAATCTGCTATGTTGCAGGTCTGATAATCAGATAAGCTTGTATTACCATCCCTTCCATCAGTTCCCAACCCTGAGATGATAAAATTACTTTTGGCCCCTGCAAAATGTATCGCAAGATAGTCAATTGGTATGAAGTAGAATGATCTAGTACAAAGATTCAAGTGGTCCAATGTCCTTCATAGATTCAGGCATCAACTTCAAAGCATCTGATCTAGTTAAAAACAGATAATAGACTTCATGCAAAAAAAGGGGCAACGGATATCATGTGCAACATTTGTGAGTTAGATATAGATTATGATGTTCATCACTACTTATCAGAAAACGGAACTTTATATAACAGAGGGGTTAGTTGCAAGGTGCATCTATGTGTCACAGCTGCGTTCCCCACTAGGATTTTGAAGCTATGTGTTCAAGGAATAAAATGCTTTAGCATACCTGGATTCTCATCTATGTTGGGTATGTTGAATATACAAATGGGCTCCAAAGCCGGGGAAAAAATGGTTTCCAAGTCAGCTGTGCAGTTATGTGTAGAATCCTACAGTGCAGGACATTACAACAAATTAGCAACTAAAGCAATTGATCTCAGAAACAAAAAGAAAGAGCAACTAATGCGTTACATAAACTGATTGCGAAATGAGAACGCCAAAAATGACCCTAACTCAAGCAGTTAAACCATGTACCTGGCCAGCAATGATAAATTGTCAACATTAAAAGTTTTAAATGCATAATAATTTGCTGTGCAAAATTCCATATTAATAATTCTATAATAGTCTACAAAGAAAAATTGACAGTTGTCTTCAAACCCTAGTCCAAACAAAGAACTAAAGACTGAACCATGAAGTTAAATAAAAAACAACCCTATCTCAAGCAGTTAAACCAAGTACCTGGACAGCAATGATAGAGAGCCAAAATTAAAAGTTTTAAATGCATAATAATTTTATGGGTAAAAATCCATGCTAATAATTCTATAATAGTCTACAAAGAAATGTTGATAGTTGTCTTCAAACCCTAGTCCAAACAAAGAACTAAAGTCCAAACAAGGAACTACTAAAAATATTTTGAAAGGAGAAGTGAAGTTAAGATATACGGATGAAACTTCAAGGGTGATCTATATGTTAAGTCCTCTTACATGGGAGATACGTAAAAACACACAGCATAATAAACATCAAACATAAGGTTGAAAACACACTCAAACCATAGAAAGTAACTTGCTCTCCACAATGTGAACAACATAATAGCTAATAGATGAAACTGACAACAAGGAAAGAAACACATTCAATGACAAGCACCATGCAGAAGACTTACCATCTTCACAGTGGTTCCAGAATCTAGACTAGAATCATGTGTCTGAAAATGGGAGTTCCCTTGATTTGACAATTGTTGCTGATCAAGGACTTCAACACCGCCAGTTTCCGGAGAATGCATCTCCTCACTCGAAGAAACTGAAGAAAAAATAACATAACATAGTCATAAAAAAACTCCAACAGGATGACATGTTGAGCAGTATTAAGAATTAAGGCCTTCCAAACATCTAAAGCAAACGACCTAGAATAATTGGAATTTGAAACAAATCATTTTGCAGCACAGAATGCAGTGAGGGAATAACACATCGTTAGTTTGACGCTCATTTCTTTGAACCATAAATACAAGATGCATGGACAAGAAATAAAAGATAACCTAGCTACGAGGCTAGGTCATCCCACGTAACAATTTTGAAGCAACCTCCGCAATAATGTTATGAGTATGGAGTATGAACTAATAATGACAAAACCTAGTGTCCTTCAAGAATGGATTATACTCACCGCAATCATCTTGACATTTCTGAATACACAGGTCAGCCTCTAATAAAGGAGAAACCGCGTTGACATTAGCGCAAGATTTCTTGCATATAACACTGGACGTCTGACACACACCAAGACTTCTTTCCCCTAAAGAGCCCCCACTTAGTTTTGTCTTCATTTTCAATGATGGCATTTGATCTGTTCTGATTATATTTGCCACAATCTCGACTTGGAAACATCAATGGGAAGCAATCTCTCCCCTTTAGCAATCAAAGCACCCGCCCAGACTATAATATCCCAGAAAGAGAAATCATCAGAAAATCCATCCACATGAACTCACAGGGGGGTAACTTATAAAACGTTTACGAACCAAGAACATTAATTCAACAATACTAAGCACAATTCAGTTAGCAGATACATTGTTCCAATGAGATCCTCCAAGTATATCAAGGATTTTTAATTTACAAGATCATCAAGAAATCAAGTAGACTCCAAATATAACAAGTAAAATAAAAAGAGCATATGATACAACCAGGTCCACTTTGTTAACATGCCAAACAAGGAACTGTGTAATGATAATCTTTGTAGCAGAAACGAACAGAGATTTAATGTAAAATGAAAACACAATTAGGCCTCCAATTGTCCAGCTAATTACAAAGTCAACCAACTCAGAAAGACTATCTCTTGCATGAAAAGGGCTAAAATTGAGCAGACAGCAGTTACAGAACTCGGTCAACATGTACTCTTTCCCTGTGAAATACAATGAATTCACAAGAACAAACAGATAGGCAATGAAGATTCCTATTTCTCTACAGAAGAACATTATAGAATGATCTTTGAAGACAATTACCATTTTACCAGAACAAGATCGAAATTAAGTTTTTTTCAAGAAATACACAAGAAAGAGCCACCCGAAGAGAGATAGAGAGAGGAAGAGAAGATTCATATGTAAGCCAATCGTTAACCCAAAAACAGAAAACCCACTCCCAGCTCCTCAAATGAACAGAAAAAGGAACAGAAGTCAACAGTTCCCAGGTTGTCAAATTCAGAGCCACACAATTAGAAGACTCGAGGAAAGACAGCCCAATTACAACCAAGAACCACACAGCCCTCCAGAACCCAGAAAGAAAGCCTAATCCCCTCCAAAGCCCCATAATCTAATAAACCCTAGACAACCAAAGGGCTGCTGAAATGACAGTTATACAGTTTCAACCATGAAACCGGGAAACAGGGAGCCGTAATAGAAAGCTTTCAAGGGGAAAGAAGAAAAGGGAAACAGAACCGAGATCAACAACAACAGTAGAAGAAGATGAAATTCCAACAAGGGGAACTAAGAAAAAAAGGGTGGAAAGATTCGATTTTTCCAACAAGAATCCATATGGGTAGGCCGCAATACCTTGTGATGCCCCAAGGACTAAAAGGGAGAGCTTCCCTCTCCCTCTCTCTCTCTCTCTCTCTCTACAGGAATGAAGAGTTGTCTGTGTGTGTTATTGTGGGGTTTCTTCCATTCTCTCTCTATCTAAAGCTGAATGTATAAAAACAAAACAAATAAAAAAGACTTTGGTTTTCTTTCCTTAATAATTTCTTCTTCTCCTTCTTCTCCTTCTCCCCCTCGCTGTGTTAACTTCCACGAACGGTCATACAGTGACAAAGTCGGCCTCCCGGCGGAAGCAGCGGACGGCTGGGATTCAATGATTTTTTACCTGTAGGAACTTGCCACGTGGATGTGTGACCAGCTCTGCCTGACGCGTTGACACGTGCTCTCGGGGAATGTAAATAAGCAAACTTCAGCTCAAGCAGCAGGCAAGGCGAGCGGAGAGGAGCGTGGGTTTCCACTCCCGATCGAGCGCGTCGACGGCAGCCAATCATTAGTGCGTGCCATCGTTTTTTTTTTTCTTTCTGATTAGTTGATGGGCTGCTTTCTTTTATTTATGCCTGAAATAAAAACCAAACCCCAAATTTAGCAAAAGGAATGAACGTTATTAGTTAATAAACGGAAAAGGCTTTCATGTTCCATGTGAAAAAATTGGTTGTACGGGCACAAAAATGTTTATGGTACACGAAGGGAGGAATTTTCAGGGATTGTAGGCAATAGGGATGAAGCAAATGCCTTTTCACGTGAAGTATTTAGGGTTTTCATAGGAAGGACAAAGGGATTGTTTGGTAACTTGGTGGACAAGATTTGAATGTTGGGAAAACTAACACAATAGTTTTCCACCGTATTCTGATTTACCAACATGGTATCAGAGTCTGATTCAAAAACCTAGTCCGAAAACCTAAGTTTCCTTCTTGCCTCGTCGGCTGCCACCATGAGCCCTCATTCTCCCAGCTACACAGTCCTCGCATGTCATACCATACACTAACAGGCCCCCTCAAACAAAAGTCACTCACAAGGGCTTGAAGTTTGCACAGGTCCACCATACCTTGTGCTTTAATCAACTGTTAATATTGGGGGTTGTAGAGATTCGAACACACGACCACTTGGCCAAACCAGCTCTGACAGCATGTCATAAACCAATTGATCCCAATAACTCGAGTTGTTGGGAGAGGTTCAATCTTGGATCATATACCATTTACTAACACCCCCCTTCAAACTCAAACCATTCAGATAGGTTTGGAGTTTGAACAAGCACAAGTCCTGACACCGTATGCTTAACATAAACAAATGGGGTCACCGGGAATCGAACAGAAGAACTCACGATAACAAAAGACTCGGATACCATGTCATAAACCAGTTGATCCCAATAACTCGAGTTGTTGGGAGAGGTTCAATCGTGGATCATATACCACACACTAACATTGAACTCGTGTTGCTCGAGCAAGAAGGCGGGAAGACAGAAGTTTGAAGAAGTTCATTTTAGTTTAAATTATATCATTTTGGTTAATTATTCTATTAGTCCTTTAGTTTTGTTTTGTGTCAAAGTAATCCAAGCTATCTCTTCGTGGGTTAGAGCATCCACATAAAGCTTTCATATTGAATTGCAAAGTGATGTGTCAATTGAAATGCAATTGCATTTCCAATTGCATGGATATAAGTCTCAATTGCATTAATACAAATTTCATAAAATGCAATTTCATTTCCAATTTTTCTCTTTTATTTAATTTTTTCTATTTATTTTATTTTATGTATGGATAAATTAATGAACATATAAACCTTTTATTCTATAAAAAAAATAATTTACGCCCACATGCAATTGCAAGTTAATTGCATTAATGCATGTGAATGAATGAAATTAAAGTGATGTGGATTGTAAAAGAGTTGTGTTGACAATAAATAGCACAGATGCAATTGCTTTTTACTCATGAAATACTGAAGTAGATCTCTGCATTACTCATGAAATACTGAAGTCTGGTTTATTACTCTATAGCACATATTTGCAAAATATCAATCAGCAAACATTTTCACTAAGGGGTCGTCTACGAGAATGATTCAGTTCTTAATCAAAAAGTTTAGGTGCATTGAATCGTTGCATGCCAGTTTGAGGAGACGTGTGAAGAAGATGAAGTTTGGATGAACAATAACAACCCAACTCTAGCAGCAACCCATGTCTCTCTTCATCTTTGCACTGTTTCGCTTCACACTCAACTCGTTTATCGTCAATACACGTTTGCTGTACAATTAGATTAGCAATAGCTCAGTGTAGTAGAGCCTTTCTTTCACAAACTGTACAAACTATTATTAGTTAGAATTATTAAACCACAAGTAGACAAAACTTACCATAAACCGAAATTACTGTTCCTTACGAAAAAAGCGCGTTTCACTGTTCTGTCTGTTCACTAATAGGGCTGGGTGATTGCCTGCGGACTAATTCACATGAACTCATGTGCATTTATCTTGGGTAGGCCAAGTTCGGCCTTTGATCTAAGTTTAAAGTTGAAAGATGCATGAGCTCACAAACACACAGCTGTACATGATCAGTCGAACCCTTAAAAAACAAAATTGGTGGGTTTCCCCATTATTCCTTTCTCCCACCTCCCGAAATCACTGAATGGCTTCCCTCTCCTCTCTCCTCTCGAGAGCTCTTTGCCCAACTCCCATCTCCTTAGTCCCAAGTCCTTGCCCACTGAACGCAAAAATGCCTGATTTTCTCTCCCCCTCCTCCTTGAACCCGCTGAATGGACGCCGACGGGAAGACAGCGGCGACGAAAGATTTCCCATCCCGATTCCCTCCTTTCTCCCAACTCCCGAATCCCTGAACCCACCGAATGAACGCCGACCAAAGACCCTGAATCCGCTTAATGGACGCTGGCGGACTGTGAAGCCGTGGATGATGGGTCCTCCTCTCTGCGAAATTGAATCCAAGGACGACGGTTCCTCCGCCAAGTCGCACCTCAAAGTTGGGCTGTCCAACATCTCTCCACTCTCATCTGCGAGAAAAAAAAAAACCAAGCAAGGTAACTGTTAGCTCATTTCAACATTAAGTGTGTTCTGAAATGATATTGATGCTTTTGAAAGGGTTGTTTTATGAGCAATTTGGTTTTGTCTTTGTTATTTAAAGGGGAAGAACTGAGAAGGATTGCGGGAGAAGGTGTTGAAATGGGTTTTCTCCTTTGGGGAATTTATCTCAGAGGAAAAAGTTTCCCCAGAAGGTGTTGAAATGTGGTCTTTGGATTTTAAGGGTGCTTGGCTGCTTGCTAATGGGGTTGCCGGTTGTCTTGAGGAGAGGCAGAGGAGAAGGAAGACAAATTTGGGGTGGTGACATCTGTTTTCAATTGTGCTCAAACTTATCCCAAGTGTCCAACATGCAAATCATTGAACTACGTGTAAATAAAAGGGAAGACTAATTATCACTAATAATAAAACTAAGCTGCAAAGTGTTTTTGTTTCATGGCTATTTTGCTTTGAGTAGCAATTGATCCATTTCATTATCATTTCTTTTTTTAAACATCACTCATGGTCGATTATTGTATAATGACATCTTAATCGGATGTTCTGAAAGGAACACTTTCAAATGTCCAACCACATTTAATTAGAGGCTTATACCCGGATCAAAATCTGATCAGAGAACATAAACAATTAACAAAAGTTAAATTATTAGTATATTTTGTTTGTTACTGTCGGGCGTATTTGGAGATTCCTTTTAGTTTCACAATAGTATATGCAAGTCAATGCTTACATTTTCGTTCAATTCAAGTTAATAAATTCTCAAACAATAGTGTTCTCTTAGGTTATATGGTTCATATTGGGGTTTTAATTAATTACCAATGGGATGAGTAATGATTAACTAACCCACAGAGAGGTTAGAAGTAGGGCAATTGAAAAGAGATGAACAAATAGCTCGACTAATAAAAAGAGTAAGGAAGTAGCTTGACTAAACGGAGATGGTTGTTTGATCCATCTTATTTATATTTTAATGTAATAGGCTTTATATATATATGTTGTACTGAACACTACTCATTTAAACCGCCAATACTGTCTTCTAGCTTGACAGTATAATAGTTATTTAGCTTCAAAAACTTTAATTATTTTAAATATTTGTGTGTTCAACACTCTACACTGTCTTACTTTTCTATTGCGCTATGGATTTGTAAATCATCCACTACTTAAAACATAAGAATACCCGGCGCTGGCTAAATGACTAGTATATATTGTTGTTGTAGCTGAATGGAAAGGCCATTAAGCCAATTGCCCAAACATTATTGCTTCTCCCTTCTTCACCTTTGCTTAACAAAGATGAGTTTACAGGACTCAAAACATTCACAGTAACCGAATTCCTCTCCCAAAATCCCACAAGTTTACTCCTACCACTGCCCCAACCTCCAAAGTATCATAAAGGCTTACAATCCTGTACTACTAGGAATAACATCCAATAACTTACCTTGTTGGTCTTGACATATAGGATACAGACCGCAGCTGTTCACCGATAAGTCGGAGCTGTTCGTCACGATGACGAGATCGACGGGAGTCGGATAGTCCCGATTTCGTATCGACTTGAACAGCAGGACCGGGACGAAACGCAGCCACATGTGCATCGTGCGTACTTCTGTACCTTTACTCACCACAAACCCTACTTCGGAGATGATGTTCTCGCCGCCGCTACGAAAATGGAAGTCGAGACTCAGGTTGGCCCGGGCGGTGAAGCTTTCTACATTGAATGTAACCCACAGAGCCACGCCTTTAAGAGGGTAGTCGTGGTACTCCGGGGGAAGCTCTACGACCGTTGTCATTGAATGCATGTGCTCATAACGACGCCACTCTTCCACGATTTTGCTTCCTGGAATGATTATGGACAGCTCGCTTACAGGGTGGGCAGGAGTCTGCAGTTCCATGTACCAAAAACAAAGACAAAATTGGGATTGAATGTCATACTACTACGCACTACATTTCGAGCGAATACAATTCACTATTATCGTTTGCAAACTATGTTAAGCAATAAGCATATCATCTACTTTAGTAAAAGGAGCCAAACACACAAACTATGCAAAAGGATAGAAGAAAGATAAGTGAGAGTAAGGAAATTTGAGACCTGATGTGCGTGAGTTTTGATCAACTCAACAGCCACTTGAGCTTCGGTGTTAGCACCCAGTTCCAAGCAATTCATGAGGTTAATACCCCGCATTCTCGCCGACTCATTGCCCCCCGGTGGTTCCATCCAACCCAACGATTGACAGTTGGATGCTTCCAAGCAGTATGTAGCCGGCGGCAGGGTAGGTATGGAATAAAGGTTCTTGCAACTGGACACAATTAGAACTTGCAGGTTTCTGGGGAGTGCCCCATTGAACAACCTGGTGAAGTGATTTCCAGATAGATCCAACTTCGTCAGACATGCGAGCTGAGTGAGATCACATAAGAGATTTGGCAAGTTGCAGTAACTCAAATCCAGGCTCGTTAGTGAAGAAAGCTTCTGGAAGACAGCGTAGTGAATAAAATGAGGACTTCCGACACTGGCGGAGGGTTCCATGACTGGGAAAGGATCCCGCCGAGGGGTTTGAATCAACGACAACGGACTCTTTCCAGATCTTCGAAGTGTAAAAACCTTCAGCTTCTTCAAATAACCACCACCTATCAGATGGCTCAGTTCGAGAGCCGTGCCTTCACCATGAAATTCCTCCAGATTTTCCAACAAGCTCAACTCGAACTGCACCCGCCGGAGATTCTCGCAGCCTGTAAGGCGGAGAATCGTCAAACCACGGCAATGCCCGACCCCCTCTGGGATAAATTCCAGGCGTTTACATCCTGTGACGCTAAGGGTGACAAGGCCGGTAAGCTTTTGAATTGACGCCGGTAACTCTGATATATCCGTGCCATCCAGAAGCAGCTCCGACAGGCGTCCCATATCGCCTTCCAACTCCGGGAACTTGTTTAGTTTCGAACACCCAGACAGTACGAGAGTCTCCAGAGATGTCATCCCGATGGTGGGCGGCAAATACAGCAAGCTTCTGCAACCTTTCAGATTCAAATAAGCTAGCTTTCTCAAGAACCCAACAGAAGGATGAACCTCAATTAGCTTCACGCAGCTCTCTAGAATTAGTATCTCAAGGTTCTGACCCCCCGAGAAATCTGGTAAGTGTGTCAGCTTTTGCGAGTAGCTGACTTTCATGTACTTCATTTTATCAAAAACCTGCAGTAATGTAAATGGAAGGTTAATTTCTAATCGCCGATACTTGGTTTAACACAAATGTTCAAGCGAGTTATTGATGTTCTTCTAGACAGCTAAAGTTGTACCTTGTTTCCTCTCCATAAATTCTTCAAGCTACTGAATGACAGGTTGAATTCCACGAGGTTGCGTGGGTAAAAGTTCGCAGGCAAGGACTCAAATGGATACCCGTGCCAGTGTAGGCTCCTCAGTTCATTTGAAAGAGCTGTCAACTTACTTGCCATATGCAACCTAGAAGAGCCTTCTGTTGTTGTGTCCATTACTCTAAGACTCTCCAACTTACGAACAAGAGGTTTGAACTTCCCAGAAAGCTGAGCATCATTTCCCCTGTTTTCATCCATGTCAAGGGATGGTTCTTTGTTGAGTACGTACTCAGAACCTCCAGAATGGTGAGGATAACAGATTTTAAGCAATCTGAGCCTATTCATCTTGTGGAAAGCTCCACCTTTGAGAGACATGTTTTCCCTAACTTTGGAAAGATCAAGGACAATGCTTTCAACATCTTTCGTACCCTGTACCAAGTAAGTACAAAATTAAATGCAGCCACCACTTCAGTATTACCGCTATGTGCAAAGCCTACGGTAGGTAGGTTTGTAAAATTTAACGCCTAATACCAAAATAAGGCAAAATCTTATTTGCTTACCGTGTTTTGCACTAGTACATCGCACACATCCAGATGATTCCACAACCTGCTGCGCCTTCCAACCTCATTCAAAGACTCCTGTCGGACAACTTCCCTTGCCATCTGCTGCAACAGATCATGCATCCAGACTTTGTTGTCTTGGATAGTTATGAGAGATTTCCGGAGGAGGACTTTCAGTCCATAGCGTGCAGAGGAACCACAACCTTCTAGTATGCTCACAACATACTCCTCATCCTCCCCTTTAAGGAAACAAGCAACATCGAGGAATATGTTCTTCTCGGACCTATCAAGCACATCAAAGCTTTGTCTCAGGATCTGGACTATGTCCTGAGGTGGAAAGTCTTCCAAGGCCTTCAACTTGCTCTCCCAGTCACCTCTGTCCATGTTGAACAAAGAAGATCCCAAAACTTGCAGAGCTAAAGGAAGGCCACGAGCATAGTTCACAACACTCCGAGACAATCCCATAAATTCCTGCATCCTCGAACGCTTCTTGAAAGCATGTTGGCAAAAGAGCTGAAGCGATTCCGACTCACTTAAAGGCTTAGCCTCATAAACTGAATCCACCTCATGTTGCTCCAGCAAGTGCTTATCTTTACTTGTGATGATGATTCTACTTCCTGGTCCGAACCAATCGCGATCTCCTGCTAAGCTTGTCAATTGATTTACATTAGAAACATCATCAAGAACAACAAGGATGCATTTGTTGCGAAGCCTTCCACTCATTAGTACATCCAAATTCTTGTCCAAAATCCTCAAACCATCTTCAGCAATCAAAGCAGAGAGGAGTTTTCTGCGCAGATGATCGAGGCCACGTTTCTCTGCAACATCTCTAACGTTCTTAAGAATGCAGCAAGCATCGAATTTATGAGAGATGTGGTGGTAAACAGCTTCAGCAAGAACGGATTTACCAATTCCTGCCATCCCCCAAATTCCAACCACTCTAACATCAACCAAACCTGTGCTTAGCAGCAACTCCATGTCCTTGATTCGTCGCTCAATTCCTACCAGTCCTGAAGGCTTGTTTGAGAATCGACGACCCAACTTGTTCACTACATCTTCCACAATCTCCTGAATAAGAGCTGGTTCCTCCCTAAGCAAACACAAAAGGATTGGAATCAACGCCTAACTTGCAGTTCAGTTCTTGAATTTGGGTGCTGTTAAGTAACAAAATTCGAATTGGTGCTTACTTATGACGCGAGTCCCAGCCGCTTAATTCGGCGGCCTTCTTGAGAGCAGCCTTCCAATTCCGGAGCATTTCAGCATCATCGGGGAAATCCATCTCGTGTTGAGCAAACGAAGCCGCGTAACTGTTCCGGACCTCGCCGACATCCGATGGATCTACGCTGTAGAAGACCGGGATAACAGTGTGGCTCTTGTTCTCGTGCTCCATACACTGAATGATGATCTGGAGTTCTTCCAAGCACCATGGAGAGGAAGCGTAATCTTTGGAGAAAACGACGATTGAAAACCTAGACAGCTCGATCACGCGGAGAATCTCCGGCGAAATCAGCTTGCCGCGCTCCAGCTTCTGGTCGTCCTTGAAAGTGCTGACCCCTTTCTCCTTGAGAGCGTTGTAGAGATGGCTGACGAAGCCGTAGCGAGTGTCGGATCCTCTGAAGCTCAGAAAGACGTCGTAGCGAAATTGAGAGGCCGGGGAGGAGGAGGAGGAGGAGGCTTGGCCGGCGGCGGCGGAGGACATGGTTGGTTGAAGTGATGCACTGTTCCAATTTCCCGAGTCAACTATTCCGATTAGAGCGCTGTACTGTTCTCCTCTGGGCTTCTGGGATCGAAGAACAAAGGTTGAGAAGCTTGCCTCAGCGATGACCGGAAGGCAGAGGGAGACGATTCATGGATTCGAGCACCACCGTCGCCGGCTGGATATCACAGATTAACAACTCTTGCTTGTTTTCTCACGAGGAGTGGGAATCAGAATTTAGAAACTCCCAAGCAATGAAGCAGACGACCTGAACCAAGCCATTTGGGGTAGGGGCGCGTTGTAGGAAAGTGCAGGAAAGCGTTGAAAATGGGGGAAAGTCAATGGACGGTAAAAGACTTTCCCGGGTTTATTTGAAAAATATATATATTTCTTTAATAATTTTTTACAACATGTATTCAGAAATTATGGATTAATTAGAAATTGAGAAACACGAATAGGGAAGTGGTGATCAAATAAGGCTTCAGCTCGTGCTGCTGTCGAATTTCTTACTGCACCTACCAATTTCTCAGATAGTATTAAGTTTTAAAAGTTAAAATTGAGTAAGGCAAATTAATAATTATGGACGAATAAGTAATTATGACATAGCCAAAGGTAACATAGTCTAGTGGTGAAACCACTGGACCAATTGAGTTTTGAATGTGGGAGGTCTTGAGTTCGATTTCCAGTGGCGCCACTTGAGCGTTCTCGGAGGCGAAGCCTCCCCTGTGTTGATAGTAGAAAGCCCCGGTTAGTATGCAGGTACCCCTAGTGGTTTAGTAGGATCCGTTGTCGCTCAAGCGGCCCCGGTTAGTATGCAAGTACCCCCGCGGGGTTGAGGTTCCCTGGGTTATCGGATAAATAATGTTAGTATGAAGAAACATGTAGATCAACAGAATGTGAAATCACATGATTATGTATTTTAATATTTTTCACATTTCAATAAACACCTTGTAGTAAAGAGGACTTGTTACTCTGATACAGTTCCATAAATTAAGTCCCAGAAAGGGTTTCTCTGTCACCGCTGTACAATTCTGTAGAACAATTGCAAAGTACATCACTTTGCCCCAGGCACAAATGGGGAAACAGGAAACACTAAAAACATGCCATACAAAAGCTGGTGGTCAGCAGCAGCAAGTTTGAGTGCTTCAACTGTCATCTTTTTATCCTTGTTGATCTACAGAGGAACCATTGTGGGTTGACAAAATGGGAATCCCAAAATGCTTCTGTTGCCCTTCTTCTAAACCTGCCATCAATACTCTATACACAAACCTGCAAGTAACTTCCTTTTTTCTTCTCTTTTTCTCTTCCGAGATGATGATCTCTTCCTCTTAACATTTGTACACTTGGAAAACTATACACGCAAAATAGTTAGTGTGCCCCATGCCCAACGATCAATACAGTGCAGGACAAGGGCATCCCCAACCACCTTTCCCCTTCACTGTCATCTTTTATCAAAAGGGTAAATCATCAGTAGGACTACCAGATGGAGAATCTCCGGAATATAAACCATTTGGCTGATGGAACTGAATGTTCAAAGTGTTCGAGTGCAGATGGTCGTGAATGATCTGCCGAAGAGAAATGAAACTGATCAACTGAAACTAGAAACTCAAGTACTCAACCAAGCAAACTTTATCATCACTTCTTCTAACATTTTTTTAAGCTAAAGCAAACACACCCTTGAAAGGAGTTAATTCTTCAACTGGAATTCCATACCTGATCAACCAACTCCTGACCCTCTGAATGGAACAGGATTGGGCGGCAGCGTTTATCTTCATTCATAAGACTGGAGTTCTGGAAATGGTTGACAAGAGCTGCCTTTCCCTGGATTCTAGCATATGCCAAGGAGGCAACTTTCTCACTATTGAACTTCTCCCACTTCTTACCATTGAATGCCTGCATAGAATCACAAACGATAAGCCCTATGCTCAGTGAAAAAGACCATGAAAGTCAAATAAGACATGGCATAAAATAACCGATATCTTACCTCATAAAATGGGACAATGTGTGAAGGAGACAACATATTGATAAATGCATAGCCCACGTTGCATTTATTCTGCAGCAGGCAAGAAAAGGCCATCAGTGATAACTTAAAGATAACTAGAAAACAAGAAAACAGGATACAGAACAAATATACTACCAAAGTCCCAGTGTTGATACCTTAAAATCAATGGGCAGGTAGAGGAAATCGTAAGTACCCCTGTGCTTCTCATCAATTGCAGCAAGCAGCATCTTAGAAGTATACCTATGAACAGTATAAGGCACGTAAACAAAATTTATCTTACTGTAATAACCATCTGAAACACTAGTAAGGATCACAGAGAGTGAAATTTACTTGTTTGGTATATTCTTTATCATTAGTGTCGTTCGAGAATCTTCCCCATTCATGATCCTATCCAAGTCAAGCTGGAACTGCTTCTTGGTATCAACTTGGCTCCCATTAGTCTCAATCCGTCTACTCCTACCACGGTCAATAAAATTATCCATGCTAGGGGATGTAAGTCCTGCTGCATATGGGCTACTACCTAAGAAAACAGGACTAAGCCTTGGGGAAGAAGACATCATTCTGTTGTAACTCGAGGAAACACCATTGTCAGCTAAGGTTCTTGAAACATTATTCACTCCATTCATTAGAGGACGAGGGATGCCCATATTCATCATGAAGTTTCCATCATTGTGACCCATACCAATTCCTTTAAATGAAGCTGCGGGGTTCATGAATGATGTGTCTGGTGAATCTGGCAAGAAGCCCAAGTGCCTCTCCAGAGGGACTCCAGATGGAGCAGAACCAACATGATGATGATGATGTTGGTGACCCATGAAAGAACCATGCCAACCTGAAAATGGCAACGCATGTCCCTTCCCATTGGATGGAAAAGGATGACGTGTTGATGAAGGCGTTGGCCATGCTGAAGAGGCCGAGGAAGAAATAGTATGCTGCTCCGAATGAGAGTTCTGACTTCCCCAAAGAAACTGTGGGCCTGATAATGTTTCCATAACTGATCCATTTGATGTTGAAGGACCCAATGATGACATGCTTGCATGAAATTGGCTCAACTTTGAGTCAGGTAATGAGTGGGATTGTTGAAAAGCAGATCCAAGGAGGGAAAGGCTACTCCTCCCATGGTCTCTCCCAATTGGTGCGACTTTCATCGCATTCGATACTTGAGGGTGAAGAATGGAAGCCAACCCAGAGACATGGCTACTATGAGTTGGACTCATGGTCCTGAAAACAGGTGATTTGCTGATACTCTCTAAAGGGCTGTGTTCTATTGGACTGTTGAGCTGTAGCCAGTTACCTGCCATAATTTGTTCCAAATTAGTTTGAAGGAAATTTCCAGAAAGTGCAAATGTAACAAGTTTTTAACCATGGCCCACCTGGCGGAGAGTTAGTTACAGGAGAACCCATTGGATGGCGGAAACTCCGAGGCTCGTCTTGATCTAGCTCTTGATTCAGTTGCAACATCAAACTGCAAGGTGAAACAGGAAAAATTAATGATGCAATCAGCTAGAGATTAGTCTGAATGGAACCCCAATGATCAAACCACCATAGCAGCTAAAGAAAAACATAAGTAGGGTGAATGGAAAAAGTAAAAAAGGAGAGAAGTAGCACAATACCATACTTGGTCAGGGAGGCTCTATGAAGGTCACATACTACACTAGGTTTAACAGAAAGATAGCTGCATTCAAGACCATAATAGAACAACAGATTGTGCATGGTTTCATCACCAGGGTTATACAACATAGATACAGGAATTTTTAACAGCATATCAGATAGCATTATGTTATTGCGATTAGATCGATACACTTACTTTCGACGAGCACCACCAGGGCGACTGGGTTCTAGCTTTATGCGCTTGCCAGCTATGTCACTTCGATTTAATTGCTTAAGTGCTGCATCTGCAGCCCTAACATCATAAAATTCGATGAACTTATGGTGCCTCTTGTGTGGTGTTTCCCTGATCTGCGTGAAATATAGAGCATTTCAGTTCAGAAAGACTCGTAAATTATGGAAATAAAATGCAACAATGTGAAAAAAGAAAAAATATTACCTCTTTAACCTCACCATAGACCCCGAAAATCTGACGCAGATCTTCATTTGACACTGATGGATCCAGATTGAAAGCTACAAGAGTTCCTTGATTGACATCCTTCTCAGAAGGATTATCCTAAAATGTAAAATCAGGGTGACTATAAGAACTCAGGAAACTCAGAGACAAATTACAACTTCTTATGTTACTCAAATTGCTTTACCTTAGGAATTGAGAAGTGAATGTCGAGTTTTCTCCTTCTCAGTGGCTTGTTTTGTAATGCACGCATTGCAGTTCGAGCAGCACGGATGTCGTAATAAGATATCATCACAAAACCCCTATGTTTGCAAGCAGTGTACAGAGTCCTAATGTCACCATATTGCTGCATTACATAATTTAAAGAAATAGGTTTTAATGCTTTTGCATTGGATGGATAAACCGAGAGGCCCATATGCATCAAGAACTTCGAAACGACTAAAAAAAATTAAGAGTGACAGATTATGCTATACCTCAAACAGAGCCCTGAGTTCAGAATCTTCGACATTACTGTTAATGTTACGGACAAATAGCGTTCTTGAAGGGTGCTCGCCATATGGATGTTCCCCTGCAACCGTTCCAGCAGTACTTGGAAGACCATACTGAGAAATTCCATTCCCAGCAACACCACCGGACAAGTTAAATTTCGAGATACCTACGCTCAGGCTTTCCTGCAAGTCCATTTCTAGTTCCATTCCTCCCCCACTGCCAAAAAGATCATAATCATCTAGGTCTTCAAGAGATAATGGTAACTTAGACAGATCAAGATCATCCATTATCCCAGCTAAGAGCTCATCTTCGTCATCAGGAAGCAGAGTACCAGCAAAACCAGCTTCTCCGTTTCGAACTATATCAGGGTTCTCCACATTTTGGCGAAGTTTTTCAGCACCAGCAGAGACATCATCAACTGACTGGTGACCATGATCTGTCTCTTCCAAATTCACTGCAAATGTAAAGCACTGTCAAATAGCTGCAAAGAAACAACAACACAAAATAAGATCTGGAAAGAAGAAAGAGGCATACGCTTCTCATGTGGTAGAACAGGTAACGAGCTAGAGAAGAGGGAAGCATCGGTTGCTGTATTGTGAGTATCAGATCCAGATAAAATTCTATATCCACCATTCCCTACGGGTTTACTTATATTCACAGGCTGAATCATAGCGGGACCTGATGCAGATGGCACATAAGATTGGATTAGAGAGACACATAACATCATCGAGAAATATTAACAAACTTGAAAATCATCCAAAACGAACTACCAGGAAAGAAACTATGTGAATGCTGCTT